CCATTGATTCCAGGCCCACGGACCAAACTCGACTTGACGCAATGGTGTACGATCAGCACCCTCGACCCCACAATGGATACTTTGTTGAATGGAGGAATTCCCACGGGATATGTGACGGAAGTCACGGGTGAAAGGTATATATCTGAATGTTTTTTTATGGGCAACGCGTGGCTAATGTGTTGCAGTGGGAGCGGCAAGACGCAGTTTCTTCTCGGTCTGTTGCTATCTGCGCAGCTACCACCACCTCACGGCACGGCCAGAAGCGCGATTTACATTTCCACGGAGGCACCGCTTGCTACGAATCGGCTGTCTCAGCTCATCGAGTCTCACCCGCACCTCTCGAGCCTTTCCCGCGACGATGCTCCTTCGCTAGAGAGGGTTCTGTCTATCAATGCGATGGACCTCGAGACCCAGGACCATATTCTGAATTACCAACTACCTGTTGCGGTTAAGCGGTATAATGTTGGGCTCGTTGTTATTGACTCTATCACGTCGAATTACCGAGCTGAACATACTGCTCATGATATATCGGGGTTATCGACGCGCTCGGGGGAGCTCGCCAAGCTAGGCCAGATGCTGCGCAATATGGCCGCAAGCGAAGACATTGCCATTGTTGTTGCGAATCAAGTCTCGGATCGGTTTGAGGTTGAGGCTCCCTTGAATTTCCCACGTATGCCGCAGGATCGGACTCCCATGTCTTCTCCCGGCACGCAACAACAGCGAGAGTATCGCTCCGGCGTTGATCGTGAATCGGCCGCTTCGCCTTTACCCCGGATGCGTACGTCAGAACCGGGTAATGTCGAGCTGAATCAACAAAATCTTGCGGTTCCCCAGTCGACACCGAACTTGCTGTCGTCATCGCCCCTACCGACGCAGGAAGACCCGCAGCAGTTTGACGGTTCATATTTGGTGGGTAACCCTGTCCGGAACGAGATCCTCAGCCTGCAACATCAGCAGCGTTTCTTTACTGGGTGGGGGGATTCTCCACAGCCGTTGGGCCAGAGTATCTACCCCGGGTTTCAGAGTTCAGCCCCTAAGACCCCGACGTTGGGTCTTGTCTGGGTTACGCAGATTGCTTGTCGGATTGCCCTCAAGAAGTATTTCCGGCCAGCGAGCATTGATCCTGTCATGGAGGCTAATCCCGTTGTACCTACTGTTGACCGGGCACCGTCAAAGGAACGGGAGGAAACGGCTGAGGATGAGTTCCCATCAAGTCCCGCTTCTAATCCGGACGAGAATCAGGCCCACCAGAGGAATTCTCCGGCTCGAGAAACTGCAAAGAGCCAGCTCACATCCTCGGCACTTCCGCCACCTCAAACTGAGCAATTGATTCAGCGAACGATGAAGTTGGTCTTTTCTCCGTGGGCAGGTGGACCTGCTCCTGGGCAGTCTGAGTTTCAGGACGAGGTAGAGTTCGAGATTTGGAAGGGCGGGATTCGGGCTCTTCAGACGGAGTAGGCAGGCAATGTATGTGCATATTTGTATGTCGCGCAATCTAGCCATGCATAATTTTTTTGAAGTATAAGCCTCATGTATTCACTGCTGGTGATTTAACTACATCTACATGCTATTAATCACAAGATCTCCGGGCCGGAGCCTGTGTGTTCTAGTTCTTGTAACATGTGCCACAGGTACTGATTTAAAGAAACGGATAGGTTGCCGATCATATGCACCTCAACTATCAGCCTGACTCTTGTCAACAGATAGAATATGTCAGCTCTGACAGTCTAGAATATTTATTAGTGATATAATTAATCGGCTGTCGGCTGAGACTCCCAGAGCTGTTGGTTGGCTGATTGGATGGTCGGATAACATCGCAAACAGAAATGCCTCGGCTCGTGTTCGGCTGCCCCATACTTGACTTCATCAAGAGGCGACCAACTCACTTCTCTTCCTCTCCTCACCTTTCTTCTTCTCCTTATAACTTCCCTTCCCCAATATCTTACCCATATTTATAAGATATTCTTAAAAAGAATACCACAGTCATGGCCGCCGAACGCCTAAGCTCCATCCTCTCCCACCTCCGCCCGGGGAATAAGGGCGTCGCCGCGATGTAAGTCTACTTACTCCCCGCTCCCGCCACATCCGACCTTACGTCGAGCAACACGCATGGAGCAATTCCCCGAAAAATTGAATAGAATATATGGAAACTAACCAGTCCGCAGTACACAGAAAAACCCCGACGATGTGGTGATCACTCTCTCCCTGCGCACGCCGCTCACAAAGGCTCGCAAGGGTGGGTTCAAGGATACAGACCTGGATTATATCGTCTACGCGCTGCTGAAGGAGGTCATTGCCAAGTCGCAGATTGATCCGGCGTTGGTTGAAGATGTTTGCCTAGGAAATGTATGTTCTGCTCTAATACTCGGCTCGGGCTTTTTCTGTATCTATCTATCTATGTATATAGATGGCATGCTAATGGTGAACGATGATATATATAGGTCAACGACGGAAAAGCCGCGTACCTCGTCCGCGCAGCATCGCTCGCCGCCGGAATCCCGCACACCGCTGGTGCATCATCTGTGAACCGCTTCTGCTCGTCCGGTCTCAAGGCCGTCCAGGATATCGCGAACCAGATCCAGCTCGGCGCGATTGACGTTGGTGTTGCCGTAGGCGCGGAACTGATGTCCGCCAGCGGCGACCGCCTCAACAAGCCGTTTAACGACGAGGTTTTGAAGAACCAGGAGGCTGCGGACTGCATGCAGCCCATGGGCCAGACGTCTGAGAACGTCGGCAAGGACTTCAACATCAGCCGTGCGCAGCAGGATGTGTACGCTGCGGAGTCGTTTAGGCGTGCCGAGGCGGCGCAGAAGGAGGGGTGGTTTGATGACGAGATTGTGCCGATTACGACGCGCGTGAAGGACCCCAAGACTGGCGAGGAGAAGTCCGTGACTCTGTCCAAGGATGATGGTGTCCGGTACGGGACGACGGTGGACAGTCTGTCCAAGATCCGACCTGCGTTCCCGCAGTTTGGGGATAGGAGCACCGGTGGCAACTCGAGCCAGGTGACGGATGGTGCTGCGGCTGTGCTGCTTATGCGCCGCAGCAAGGCGATTGAGTTGGGCCAGCCCATTCTGGCCAAGTTTGTTGGAGCTACGGTTGCGGGTGTGCCGCCGCGCGTGATGGGCATTGGCCCTACCGCTGCGATCCCGAAGCTGTTGGAGAAGTTCAACATCGAGAAGAACGAAGTGGACATCTATGAGATCAACGAGGCCTTCGCATCCATGGCTGTTTACTGTGTTCAGACCCTGGGCTTGGACCACGCCAAGGTGAACCCGCGAGGTGGTGCAATTGCGCTGGGTCACCCGTTGGGCGCGACTGGAGCGCGCCAGATCGCGACTATTCTGAGTGAGGCCAGGAGGACGAAGGCCAAGGTCCTTGTTACGAGTATGTGTATTGGAACTGGACAGGGAATGGCTGGGTTGTTTGTGAACGAGCAGGTGTAACTGCCATTATATGCCATCTGTAACTAGTTATGTATTGTCAATATAAAATCACGTTGATGTCTATCAAAACAAAGCATGGGGTATATAGAGCCAAAATGTAGAAAAAGTAATATAATCAAGAAGAAGACGGGCCTCCCCTCTCTTCCCTCGCCTTCCTAGCCCTCTCCTCCGCCGCCCTCGCCATAGCCTCCCTCATCGCTCCCCCGCCAGCACTACTACCGGTTGTACTCCGTCCTCCTAAAACCTGCGAACTCCCCACCCACCCCCGTTCATCATGCACATGGCCCCCCTCCCTCTCAACCTCCCAATCGCCCGGATTATAAAACTCAGCACCACCCGCACCCCCAACACTCTGCCCCCCATGCTTCCAATCCCCCCTCTCAACCTCCTTCTCGATCTTCCCCGTCAAATCCCAGAAATCCCGATCATGCTCCGAGAACACGCAATGCGCCAGCTCATGACACAGCGTCTTCCTTATCGTCCTGTAATCACGGTACCCATCGTAAGCATCCGTGCGCAGCCGCAGCTCAATCACCTCGCCCTTGTTCCGGTTCAGCCCGAGAGTGCGCGATTCAGACGTCGTGTGCTCCGCGGGATCCATCTCCGTTAGCAGCGGGACGGAGAATTGGTGGTTGGCCATTGCGGTGCGGATGCCTGGGTCATCGCGTAGGCGTTGGAGGAAGGTGAGACTGCGTGACGGGTTGGGGAGGTGAGGGAGGGGTTCGAGGCGGTGGAAGGTGTAGTTGTTGCTAGAGGAGGATAAGGTGTGGATTGACGCGGCGCCACCGCCTGGACGTCTTGAAGAAGATGAAGAGAGGTGGGCGCGTGCTTCGGCTTGAGCGGCCGCGCGCTTTTCGTCGCGGCGGCGGCTTTCTGCGCCTTGGGTGTTTAAGGTGGTGATTTCCTGTGTGGGCGTGCCGAGGAGGGTGATCTTGAGTTTTGGGGAGGAGAGCGGGATGGTTTCGGATAGCGGGGTTGGTGGGAAGGGAGCTTTTTGCATGCCTGGTTTAGGCGCTATGAGGAGTTTCTGGTTGTCGATTGGAATGTGGAAGGTTGAGGCGAGGGTTGCTGAGAGGTCTTGGAGGGTGGCTTCTGCGGGGAGAGTGATGGGGTGCGCAGTGCCGTGGTGGTGGACCGAGAGGGTCAGTTGTTGTGCTGGGTCAGCCATTTTTTTCGCCTTGATGAGTCTTCTGCCGCTGTGCCAGGTGTTGATAAGAGGGAAGCCGGTGCAGCCGACATGGCGGTCTTAAAAGAGGGCGACAGCAGAGCAGGCAGAGGCGCTGATGATGAATCCGCTGATCTTCGATCACTTTCTATGATTGGTTAGTCAGCCGGAGATAGCCTCGGAGGTTCAGCGACACAGAACTATATGAAGTACGATATCAAGCTCAGTATTAGTGGTATTATTAGTGTCGTAGCCGGCTATATATCAAGAACGTAAATCACGCCGTATGCTGATGCAGTCCAAATCGTAACTCCAGTCCCAGAAACTCCAACAAGCCGGTGTTATACAAGAAGCGACAATATCGCGATTATAACCCAAGCACCACGAGTCTACTCGTACTGTTTATCGTTTTCTTCCTCATTTTGCTCCTCTTCTTTCTCTTCCTTTTCATCTTTCTCCCCGTTTTCATCTCCGTTTGTCTCTCCTCCTTCTTTTTCGTCTTTCTCGCCTTTCTCCTCGTCTTTCTCGCCTTCGACAGGTTCATCGAATACCCATTCCTCTAGTTCCGGATCCCAAGTATAGCTGCGCCAATTAGTACCATTCTGCCTAGAAGTCGCATGAAAAACTTACTGATTGTAGTGTACCTCCGTCAACGCTTTATCTTGATATTCATCCCTCAAGACCGCCTCATACCGGTAAGGGACTTTGGCCACGACACCTTCAAAGAAGGTCGCACGAAGCGGGTATATATCGTTCATAAGGTAATTGTGATTATTCTTGCAACCCCATTCATTCGGTTTCTCTTTGTTTAACTGGCTGAGCCCTGTGATATCAATGTATAGACCGGTCTGCATGTCGATCCAACGGGCATCGATGATGTTTGCTCCCGTTCCGCGATCACGTTGCCGCGCCCAGGGATTGATGTCTAAGAGATAGGAGTGCTGTGCATCTGGATTGGTGGTATTATAGTGGATTTCGGTTCCGTTGAAATCGTCCGCGAGGCGAAGTAGCGTGGCTTCGGAGACCTGGGTATCGATATCCCAGTCCCAGGGCATAATCTACAACCAACTTGTGAGTTAACATAGCCTATAAAGACCGGCGATAGTGAGAGATGACTGCATACCTTGCCATTCCACCACCACCCCAACAGCGTCCCGTGTGCAATCCAGGTCTCGAGATTGTTTTCGCTGAAGAACTCGAAATACGAATGGACGATATGGGCCAACGTCTGCGAGCGTTGCTCTTTCGGTACGGGCTCCTTGAAGAAGCGCGAGTCATAATGAGCGTGGATCTCGTCATTCCCTGGCTCCTGGAAATATTTGTATTCCTCCGATGCGTTGAGCCCGTACTTTGTTTGTAGATAGTACGGTTTGCTGTGGTTAACAACGGTTCCATGGCTGCTGGGCGCCGACGAATTCGTTTGGTCGGAGCTCGGAATGGGTATAGCCACTGCGCTCCCGAATATACTGACGAGAGCCAGTAGTGCCCGAAGGTTCATTTCGAGGTGGTAAAGATGTAGGTCGAGTCGGGGGTATGGGATGGTCACGTATGCGTTCGCATTCTGGAGCTATGTCGGGGAGATATTGTTTATTCTCGAAACAGGTGAGAATGGCGTCTTAAAGATAGAATATTGCGACGTCTTGAAGTGATATTGGCGCTGTGGATGCTCCCCGAGAAAGCCGGTTTAGATCACCGTGAGCGAAGTTGGTGACAGCGACTGATAGACCTAAATGCAACAAATGCGCATAGACGACTAGGTGATAGCGAGCGTGAGAGCTTAAAAGACGGTGAACTCGGAGGAAGAGAAGGGAGAATCATGAGGGGCATGGCTGAAGAAGGGGACTGCAAAAAAGAGACGTCAGGACAGCCGAACGATCCGCTGGGTCACAATCTGGAGACAGCTTGGAACCAAAGTATTAGTCTGCCAACTCTTCGCCAATCGCATGACCAGAGCTGGGCGGCTCCACTGAGGAGCAGATGATTTGGGGACTACAGAACATGCAGAGTTGATACTGTTAGGCTCCTGAATTAACTCGTCTGATATTGGCGGCCGCAAGGGGTGGCCACGGAGACAAGGCCTCGGCGTTGACCAAGCCCATAGTCAATTAATTGCCTGCTCTGGCCGGAGAGGTCCAGAGAACAAGGACTGGAAGAAAGGAGAGACAGCTACAAAGACAAAATAACCTTCAATTGTTGAAGGATCGATCCACCGAGTGGGAGAGAACGTCTGCAGAGCTGATCGTGATCATCGGTGTCCCCATCTCGGGTCTCGCGTGCCATCCTTCCCAATCGGTTCGCTCCGAGGTTTGATCTCTGCAGTCAGCACTTCGTTCAAGCTTATCTTGAGTATAGAGCAGATCAGTTCGATCATATCCTCAACATGAGAATAGCTGAGCAATCCGAGAAACCACATCAATTCTCAACTCCGAAATCAATCATTCACTTGTCCCCAATCCCCCCACACATATTGCTTGGCGTCGCCCTATCCAGGAGTGGCAGCTCCACATGAACATCCCCTGATGTAGCATTGATAAAGTGAAAAAGAGGTCCTAAAAACCGTAGAACCGACCAAACATACAAATCCGAACAATTACTTAGCAACCTGGGCGTTAAAATTACAATAAACTACAGAATTCGCGTCGATAGGAGCAGTAGGCAAAAAAAATTACTGGTCCCGGCGAGGATCGAACTCGCGATCGCCAAGACTCTCTCATAAGAAAGCTATAAGCTTGACGCTTTAACCGACTAAGCTACGGGACCAGATGACGTCCAAATTCCCCGAATTGCGTTTATGTAGCGGGACTTGTTCTTTGAGTGAAAATCCATCATGCAAATTCTTCGTTCCATAATGGATCTTCTGCATTTTCAAGTTCAAGTGCATTGATTGGCCCTTTTCTCTTCGAAAGAAGAGATGACACAGTCAAGAATCCACTTACTATCCATCCAGAGTTTCTGAGTTTTCTTGCACAGGTGGCAAAGCGCAGCCTTCGCCCTCGATCGGTCTTGACTGCGTCTTGCTAGAGGCACTAGAAAATCTCTGACCACATTACCCACACGGGCCATACCGTGCGCTACCAGATCTCTCGCCCTTAAAATGAAAGGCGGACGATTCAGGTTTTATCTGGCTGCGAACAGGTGGAACATCGTTTCTGGCGAGTATAGAATTAAAATAACGTCAGGGTTTGCAAGAAGCAAGAGAAGAGGCAAAAGTTGGGAGCGGCAGATTTCCAGCCGAGATTAGGGCTCGGAGATCTGTCGGATGCGGCAAGGCAAACAACCTTAAAGGTCACTTCTACCAAGTACAGAGAAGAATGAGTGTATGTGCAAAAGTAGTATTAAATTCTCTAATAGCGAACTTATAAAACTTTTCGCCCGCAGTCTATCCACATGTCTGATATCTAGTCCTTCCGTTTCGTGTCATGCCGATGCGTGCCCAGAGAAGCAAGTGAACAACTTAAACCCCAGGTACACCACATCATCGTATAAAAAGTGTCATCAAGAAAACGAATAAAATGAAAAATCGTCCTACAACCGTGGTTTCATGGAGGGGAGAGAAACGGAGAAACGAAAGAGGGGTAAAAAAGAGCAGGCCGGCAGATTGAGTATTTATTCACGGCGATTATCATCAAGCTTATATGCAGAGGCTCAATGACTCAAAATGAGATGAAACATGTGTCATTTCAAATGAGGCAGCTTTTACTGCTTGTCAGCCTCAGCGTTCTCGGGAGCGGCCTCGCCTTCAGCGGGAGCATCCTTCATCTCAGCGTCGGGGTTCTCCTGAGCCTTCTTAGCTTCTTCCGCGGCCTTGGCCTCCTCTTCAGCCTTGCGCTTGGCCTCTACCTCAGCACGCTTCTTCGCAGCCTCCTCTTCCTGGGCCTTTTGGATAGCCTCACGCTCAGCGTCCAGCTTCTCTCTGTGGCGCTGGATGATGGGGCCGGCGACGAAGCGAATCTCATCGAGCTTAGCCACATAGACGGACTTGGTGGTGTCATCACCCTCCTCATACAGCCAATCCTGTGTCAATTGGTTAGCTACTATCATCGCTTGAGTCGTGTGTGGGTAAACTGTACCTCTAGATCGGTGAGCTTAGATCTCAGCTTGTCCTTCTCTTCTTCACTGGCGAACTCAGCATAGACATTGTCAATCTTGTCGCGCATCTCATAGATCGTGCCCTCCAGCTCGTTCTTCTTCTCATCCGTCTCGGCAATCAGCTTGTCGTCCATGTACATGGTGTTCTCCTGCTCTTGCCAGGTGTTCTTGAGAGACTCCTCAAGCTGGGCAGTGCCAGTGGAAATCGGAAGATCGCCCTTGCGGACCTGCTTCTTGACCTTGCGGGTCTTCTTGGGCTGTTCATCATTCACGTTAGTGTCCATTGACTAATAAATCTAGCCATGATACTCATGTTGGGGAAAATCTAAACTTACCTCACCATCCTTAGTCTCACCCTCCTCGGGGACGGGCTCCTCAACCTCGACGTCCTCAACATAGTAGCCAGACTCCACGTTCAGGATACCGTGCAAGTTGAGTCTAGCCTTGAGCTTGCAGATCATGAAGTCGTCGTTGGCATCAGCCTTGACACCCTTGACGGAGAAGCGGCCAATCCATGGGTTGATGTTTCCAGGGAGGGTCTCAGGCTGGGAGTAGCGGGCCTCGAGGTCGAAAGGCTGCTTGCGGTAGAAGGTGAGAATCTTGGTCGAAGGCATGACGTTGCCCTTGTTGAAGACAGTCAAGCTGGTGTCTTCATCGGGGATATCGGGAGACTGCTCCCATGTGAACTCGATGGGGTATGAAACGATGTCGTGAACGGAGAAATCACGGACACGGAAGACAGGGGAGAGGATAGCACAGGCGAAAGCACATCCACGGGCGATGGCCTCATCCTGGTTAAGCGTGAAGGACAGGTTCTTGCCGAAGAACTTGTTGACGGCCTCCTTGATGGCAGGGACACGAGTGCAGCCACCAACCATCTCGACGAAGTCAATGTCCTCGGGCTTAAGCTTAGCTTCAGCAAGAGCTTGTTCCAGAGGAACTGTGACGCGGTCCAGCAGAGGCTTAACCATCTCTTCCAGCTCCTCACGCTTGACAACAGCGCGAACATCGACGTCCTCCATGAGGGACTCAATGCTCATGGGGGCAAGCGTGTTGGCCGAGAGAATCTTCTTGAGCTTCTCGGCAGCGACAAGGGTACGAGCCCAAGCCTTGGGGTTGGTACGGATGTCAATCTTGAACTTCTCCTTGAACTCATCGGCAAAGTGGTCGGTCAGGGCCTTGTCGAAGTTACGACCACCGAAGTAGCGGTCGCAAGCGGTGGCCTTGACGTTGAGCTCGCCCTTGCGGAACTCGACAACGGTTGCAGTGTAGTCACAGTATCCGATGTCGACGAACATGACTCGCCTGGGCTTCTCCTCGGGGGCCGGAAGGTCAGGCTTGGTAATACCGTAGCCGAGAGCGGTAGCCGTGCAGTCGTTGATCAGTCTGAGAACCTTGAGGCCGGCAATCTCACCAGCATCGAGCAGGGCGCGGCGCTGGATGTCGGTGAACCAAGCGGGAACACTGATGGTGACATCCGTGACGGGGAGTCTCAATTCTTTAGATGTGATGTCGCGGATCTTGGTCAGGTACATGGCCACCAGCTGGATGGCAGTGAACTTCTCCTTCTTGCCCAGGTAGCTAATCTCAGCACCAGCCTGGCCATTGACGTCACATAGCTGCGCAACACTGAATTCCTGCTCGAGCTGGATATCAGGGTCGCTAAATGAGCGACCGATCAGGCGCTTGAGGTTTCCAACCGTGTTCTTGAGGTTGGAAGTCTCTTGTGTCTTCGCGGCTTCACCAATGTGTCTGCTTCTAGCGCTGAATCCGACAAGGGAACTAATCGCAGGCTCTAAGTTAGTATAAGCAAGAAGCGAGGAAAGTAAAAAAGACGCAGAAACTGCAAAGGAATAGTACATACGGAGTTTGTCGGTTGGAAACTTCGTTGGTGATCTAATTGGGTAGATATCATGTCAGCTCATGGGAGAAGAAAAACAGTAAAGTTGTACTGAGGGGCAGAAATACGCACAATGTCGATACCCTTGTTACGGGCAACACCAACCTTGGTGCTCTGGGCACCGAAATCTATGCCGACAACAGACATTGTGACAAAATTTTTGTATGCGGGGGAGGATAGATGGTGAGAGGGGGAATCGGTAGAGAGATGGAGAAGAGAGCGAGAGGTGGGAGGGGAGGATGGGTAGCGATAGGAATAATTTGCAGCGGCGCCACTGGAGCGTCGGTCTTAGGAATCTGAAAAGTGGCTAGGGCCAGCAACGTGGGTTGCTTTGGGTCGTCAAGCGGTCAAGACTTTTTTTTTTTCCCGGTCCACTACCAAGACTCGAGGATTCGTTGGCTTGTGTTTCAACACGGAATTCAGAGATGATGCTGGACCTCTAACACTGCGCAAGAACGGCTCTATTTGTGTGAAATGAAACTCTTGTCTTTGTGCAGCCTTACTGCCTTGGCCGGTGCCCATCGAACCTTCTGGCTCCTGCTGGAGCGATTCCCCTCCGCCACCGCCCGCCCGTCCCGGCAGAATCGAGGGGCTGTCGCTTATCGATATCACCTCTCACCACTCACAGAGAGCTGATTCCCAGGCTCCCGAGGGCCCGTGTCACTACGACGGCCTGCTATGCACTCTGCACAATAATGGTTTCGCATTCGCTAACACAGTAACAAGAATACACTCATGGTACGAAGGATCATCAAAACTGTCTGCGAGACCTCCTTTCAATGACTAATTCCGTAAAAGTTTACGTACTGCCAAGTCCAAATCCACCGCGCATTGCCCAAGTCACGTTGGATCAGATGCTTAGGCAACCGTTCCCCGTTTCCGAGACTTTGCCATGCTCGGGGATTTGCTCAAGCGCGGAGCTTGAGAGCCTTCTCCCTGCGAGACGCTCCGGGCTGTCGTAAGGGGATCGGCATATTTGCATGAGTCGTTTGATGTAGACACAGGGTCACTCGGCACTTGCTCCGACCCGGCCGCTTCTGCTGCTGTATTCGTATTTCGCGCTGCTAATGGGTCAATTGAATCGTCTTCAGTGATGGTACAGTTCGCATCAGTGTCTGGCTTCGATTTCTGAGACCCATCTGTACTCTGAGCATCGCTGGATGCGTCCATACTTCGGCGAGAGCTCGGAGTTTCTTCTGCCTTAGTACTGAGGTATAATTTCTCTTGGTCCATCAAACTTTCCACTTTATGCGGCATCTCGATGGGGTCCAGGCCAGAGTCAGACGACATCACCGACTCCGTCGACCACGGTGAATGTAGGCCAATCCGAGGGATTTCTGGAAGGGGAGACAAGAACTTCGTCAGGCCTGCTTCTGTGTCATTGACCATATCAGCTTCCCCTCTCGGGGCCATAGATTCGTCGTTTGAAAAACGCCCGGTGACCTTCCCTGGTGGTCTGACGGGGACTCCTCCCTTTCCTTCTACTACTGATCGGAAAGTTTCCACTTCGACGTTCAACTCATCCCCCTGCGCTTCCGCCCGCCGTACGGCTTGCTCAGGCGTAGTAAACTTGTCAGCCCTGGCGGCGTCTGTTCTTGGTCCTCCCCATGTGCGGTGGCCGGCAGTGAATATACCGTAGACCATATATAGCCAATTGAAAAAAGGATTCAGAATAAACATTATCGGATAAAGCCAGGCTTTGTATCGTTTAAGTTTGAGGCCAAAGTAGAGCATGAGTGTGTAGTTTAGAACAAGTGATATCACAACAAATCCCACTGGCAGATCATCCACTCTGCTGGTTGTCGTCATGATCGAAATGAGCAGAATGAAGAAAAGCAACGCTGTGGTCCGGATGGTGTTCTGCAGAAGGCGAACCAAACATAGAAGCGGGTATCGCTTCCATAATCGAACGTCAGTTAGCATACACACTTCGTTAGTGATATAACCAAGGAACCATCGACGGCGTTGCTTCAAGAGGCTACCGAACGTCTGCACCGCTTCTGTCTTGCAGAATGCTGCTGTACACATTTGAATTTGATATCGCTTCCTGGCTCCAATCATGAAAAGGTGCGTTAGCCAGCGATCTTCACCCAGGTAACACTTCCCGTAGTCGAATAAATCTTCGCATTGCTCAGCTTTGTCTGCAAAATAGTATTTGGCCATTTTGCGAAAGGCAGAGAACCGTAGGATCGTCAGAGCTCCAGGAAGACAAGTTACTGCACCACAACCAGATTCCACAGAGCGCTCAAAGAGTTGTCCATGTATGTATTCCATATCCTGTAGGACTGTGATAAGTGAGTTCTTCTCCGTAGTTGACGTAATAATACCGGCCATAGCTAGCATATTACGCTTGCTCCCTGGTTTCAATTCCATGTCGTACATGAAGTTCTGCAGACAAAGTCGGTCCAGCATGCAGTCGGAGTCGATAAAGAGCAGAAAAAGATCATCGTGTTGCTTGAGATAGTCTGCGTACACCTTGTCGATAAGCCTAAACGTCTGCTTTTGGCAATGCCGCTTGCCACCATGTCTGAAGCGAGAGACAGTAATTCTTGATCCCTTGTATGTCACATCGATGCTCTGAGGATAGTTCCGAAGTGATATAGGAATGCCGAGATGATTGATCACACGAAGATACGGTTCGTCGATAAAACTGCCATCATAGGAAAGAAATACATGGATACAACATCCGGGGTAGTCACTACCGACGACTGAATCCACGGCCTTGATCAAAACTTCCGGCTCTTCTTTGTAGACGGGCATGATGATGACGATTTTTGGTGCAGTTTTAGCGTCAAGAACACTATTTATTCTCTGTGTTTTACCGATTGAATTGGTAACGATCCTGTAAATGCAAAACAGCCATGGTAGCGTGAGAAGTCCGGCAAACGCCCAAAATGCGAACCACTGGAGAAATGAAACCATTGCCGGAGGGAACCGCTGGCTTATATGTGGAGGAAGTGGCAAGGTTGTTATCATGACGGGGAGGAATATTCCCCTGCCGAACGTTAGCTCTCCCCCTAGCATAAAACGACGATGGAAGAAAGACCTCAGTGCCGAGAAGACGACTATCATGGAAACAGCAAGAGTCTTTATGCTCCAGTGATCGGCCTTTTGGTATACCTTGACCAGACAGTATATAAAGGCGGCAAGGAAAAGCACCCATTCTATGAAGGCCGCTATCATGAAGGGACTGATCGTAGCAACGAAAATTATCTGGGAGTTGCGGTTAGTGGTTGAAGGCATACAACACGAATGAGGGACTACTTACATCTCTGACAGGCCATTTTAATTTCGAACCGTCGGTGTCCGCCATAGCGCTTCTCGGAAGGCTAGGCGATGTGTTTTCGGATGGGCTTAGCAATACCGGAGCATATAATCTGGCGAGTGATGACCTAGTCTGGCTGGCGGACGGTGAGAACAGGGAGTATCAGTCGAGCACGTCGGGGTCAGATCAATACTGATTGTGGATTGAAGACTGAGTGTAGATGACCACTGTTGCTGTTACCATTGGCGTGCTTGATGAGCCAGAGAAATAGCGCTAAGTTGATGCTGGTTTATATATACCGATATGAGTTGAGTGATGACAGCAAGTGGGAGAATACTAGTCTCAGAAATTGAAGGGTACTCCGTCCTACGTACTGGGCCAAGTTGCAAGTTTTAATAGCGTGGAAAGAGCGAGGCAGGTACGCTGGACAGCCCAGCGCTGTATACTACTAAGCTGTAAAGCATGATGCCCAAGCCCAACAACAGGCTTTCAAGTTAGTAGGGGTGTCAACGAGATGCCCATATCTGGTGACATCGTCTATACTGATAGTTTACAATCAACTTTTTGATTGGGACTATGAATGTCGAGCAGAAGATATAGAGCTGAGTTGTGAGGATAAGATAAACCAATTAGGAAGGAGGGTACTATCCTGAAGAGGCTAGACCAGCAACCTTCTTAAATAGGCTAGTCTCCAGGTGACTAGTTATGTGTGCCTCAGGCCAGAACTGCAACTCGAACTTTTTGAGCTCCGCAGCTCAGAAAATTTCCCCCGCCGCAATCTTCACAAACCATCTTGTTCAATCTAAGAAGGGATTTCTTGGTTTTGCGAGTCTCTTATAGCGGAGTCAAAGAATTATTGTCTGAATTGAGGTAAGGAGCACAATGATACCCCGATCCTGCTGCCGCACTGCCTCCATGCAGCCATTGTTCATCGGCGCGTCGGCCATTTTGCGATGACCAAGCCTCCGAGACTCCAGCCACTTTCTTGTCTTATCATTTGTGAATCACATTCCCGTTTGTGAGAACACTGAACAGGGTTGCTTACTGACTGAGTCATAAAGTTAGAACGATTGCTATTTTACTCGTTCCTTCTTTCTAAACTCCTCTCCTCTCCTTTCTACTTCGCGAAATATTTGTCGCAAGAGTTTAATTCGCCATGGCTGAAGAACAGAAGCCTGTTACCGCGCAGGCGACCAACGCCGAGGCCGAGAAGGATGTCCAGAATGTGCTCGCAGAATTGAAGGGCGAGACCGATGCGCCTGCTAATGGTGCTGAAAAGAAGGACGATGCTCCCGCCGACAAGTCTGAGGAGGCGGAAGAGGCCCGTATTGTTGCCGCTGCTGCTAAGCTCGGCGAGAAGTCAGAGAAGACTGAGAGTGATAACAGAACAGATGACCGTGGTCGCGACCGCCGGGGTCGTCGCAACGAGAGCAAGTTCGATCCCTCCGCGCAGGAGGAGACCGATGACCCAGTGGAGATCCGCAAGCAGGTCGAATTCTACTTCTCAGACTCCAACCTTCCCATGGACAAGTTCCTCCTCTCAAAGGTCGGCGGCAGCAAGAACAACGCCGTTCCCCTCGACCTTCTCCACTCTTTCAAGCGCATGCGCCGATTCCAGCCCTTCAGCGCCATCGTCGAGGCGCTCAAGTCTTCCGAGACCCTTGAACTCACAGACAATGAAACTTCCGTGCGCCGCAAGGTTCCCCTTCCCGAGACTGTTAAGGATACTCACGACCCCACCGTCGTTAAGGTCTTCGAGGACCAGGCTATGGCCCGCAGCATCTACGCCAAGGGATTCGGAGAAGAGAACCCTACCACCCAACTTGACATTGAAGCCTTCTTCGCCCCCTACGGCCCCGTCAACGCCATTCGTCTTCGCCGGACCAACGACAAGTACTTCAAGGGAAGTGTGTTTGTCGAGTTCGCATCGGAGGAGAAGCAAAAGGCGTTCCTGGAACTGGACCCCAAGCCCCAGTGGAAGGGTCAGGACCTCAACATCAAGAGCAAGAAGGAATACTGCGACGAGAAGGTCAAGGAAATCGAAGCCGGCCGAGTCAGACCCAGCGGTGGTCGTGGCCGCGGCGGCCGTGGCGGTCGGGGAGGTCGTGGAGGCCGTGGAGGCCGTCGTGACAACAACCGCGACTGGAGAGAGCGACGGGATGAGGACCAGAAGCGAGGCTTCCGAAACGACCGGGACCAGAAGCCCGAGCGCCGCGAGGTCGAGAAGGACGCTAGGTAAGCCGAAAATTCCAGCGCATCCATAATCTAAGAAAACACCTGCTAACAGTTACAGCGGCGTTCCTATTGTGCAGAGCACCGCCGACTCCACGGGCCAAAAGCGCACCCGTGATGAAGACGCGAATGGCGACCACCCTTCCAAGAAGGTTGACACGAAGGAGTAATGATCTATTGCATTCTATTGCATTTGCTTGTTTGCTTGCTATGTTTGAGTTCAATTTCAATCCGGATGGGCAAAAGTACCAATACAATACCATTGCTTGTTTCCTCGAATCTTGGAAACCACATACCAATTGCATCTCAGCCTCCGTATCTCGTCCTGTAAACCCATCAGCCCATAATCCACCTGTAGTATACGAGACGGGATTTCACTAACCCAGACAATGTATATTCAACCCTAAAACTCCATATCATAAGCCAACGTCTCCTCACACAACGCCTCCCTCATCTTATGCACCCTATCCCAATCAATTAGCACCATACCCAGAAACCCGAACCCCAGAACAACCTAAGTAGACTGGACGTAAAGAAAGAGAGATGGAAGGAGAGAAACTCACTCCAAATGCGCCGGATGCGTCGCATACCCCTCCAGATCACCAGGCTTCTCAAGCACAGCAACAAGCCCCATATCGAAACCCTTGGCGCGGGGGACACAGATCGGAAGCGGCCCGCCGGCCTTGAGCGAGACCAAGCCCGGGATCTTGCCGACCATACCTTCGGCGATGGTCGTCCAGGTCTGCACCTGTGCGGGTGTCACACCTTGTTTGAGGCGGAAGAGGACTGTTTTTGGGAAATAATGGGGCTGGCTGTTAGCTGTTGTGGTAGTATAATTGGGTGGGAGTGGGTGGGAATGGGGTGTGTACCGATATGGTAGACGGTCATTTTGATCAATTGACTCTAGTACAATAGGTAGGAATGTTTCTGATGCAGTTGATAGTGAATAGCTCGGTACTTTGATGGGCTGCGGGGGTTATATATCCGCCATGCGGAGTGGTGAGTGGAGGGGTTCCGTCGGGCTCACTCCGATTTAAGTTATATCCGGCCGGTTGCTTCTCCGATGAAGCCCGGCCGGAGTTTAGATCTGCCTATACTAAGAGGAACAACGAGTGGATATCTACGAGTCAGTTTGCGTGTATGAAACACTCCATGAATTTTATGTCAGCCGGATGATCTAAAGGGATATATCCATTGGAGGATTGGCCGATACAGCGTTCCCCTTATAGGAAGCCCTAGTCTCCTGCATGGCAGTATTTACTAAAGGGTGGGTGGTAGTCTACTAGCACCAGGTTTGAATACTGGGATCGGTGTACCCGTAAGAATTCGTCCGTTCATGCTTCATTCGTAGCTCGTATCCAACTATAAAGGGCTGCATTCATATCTTCTGCTCCACCTATTTCTTCTTCTTCGTCTTATCAACAACATCAATCCACTGCGACTTCAGGCCCCGGCGAGTAAGTGCGGTATCTATAGCCTTGCGCTGGTCACCCTGTACAAGGACCTCCATGACCCCCTTCGCGGCTCCAGTGGCCTGCGAAACGCTCGTGCTACTGGCACATTTCTTTTGGAGCTCCTCGGCCAGCAGATTCGGAAGAATGCCAAAGACTTCCAGGTTGGAAACCTTTGTGACAGTCTTGGAGCCTGTGCGACGCTCGACAGTTATGTTGGCCTTTGGCGCTGCACCGGCTTTGGGCTTCACGTCGGAGAGCGTTTGTCCTGGTTTGAGGATGACATAGTGCGCCGCCAGTAGAGTTGAGTCTTCCACTAGTTTCTTCAAGAGCATATCGCGAGTTGTCTTGCCGCGGGCGAGAGTGTTTCGGTCCTCTGCCGAGGATGATGAAAAGATGGTGTTGGCGAGGAATGGAGTGAGGGTGAGGATTCGTTTGTTCTGGGGATCGACAATCGAGGGGTCTTGGGACTGAATATACTGATCAAGTTGTTTGGAGACGTCGGTATATTTGTAGTAGTTGCTAGGGTGTGTGCTGGATAGGGGAGGGAATATTGTCGGTGTCAGCTTAGCTGTTGGCCGGTAGAGAGTTTGCACTGTGAGTGTCTGCCCGACGGCAGGGTCGCCATCTGTGCTTGCTACGGGCTTCTTGCCGGCTGCATTTGACGTCTTCCCTGTGCCCTCAATAGCGCTCTTATTTGGTAGCCGGTATGGAGTGAAATTGATGACTCGACGGTCGTCAAAGTCCACGTCCAGGATGACCGTCTCCTGCCCGCTGCGGTCCTTTGATTTCACCAGCACCTGTTTGTCGAGGTATTTGATGAACTTCTTGACATTCTTCCAACTCGTCTTTTTGATTTGATAGAACTGGGCTTGCTGTGCAGTGTATATCGGAAGAAATGGTGTGATCATGTTCGCTATCAGGGCGGACGGAGATATGGGCAGAGACAGGCCGTGGTTTGGCGCAGAAGGGTTGTCCTGTTTCAGTTTATACAAGGAATAAAGGAAAGCCTTCTCAAAGGCGTCGTCGATTTCTGCTTCCGTTAGTACCCAATAGCTTCCATTGTTAGACAGCAACTGACCTTTTGTGGTAGGCTCTTTCTCGACAACAGGCTCTTCGACCTCTTCAGCTGGTTCTCCAGCGTCTGCCTCGCCAGCTTCCTGTTCGCCCTTCTCCTCCAACCCCAGCCCTTCAACCCTTTCCTCGATCTCTCCAGCCTCCCCCTCTTCCGCGACTTCCTCATCCCACCCCTCCAAATACTCTGGCGCAGGCACACCAGGCCGAGAAGACGGACTCCAGCCCCACACCTCATCCCCCTCCCACTGAATCCCCCTAACAGCTTGCCCCTTCGTCCCCTGCACCTCCCCAAGGGCAGAAACATCAATCTCACAAATTCCCACAAACAACGGCACAGTCTCCCGATCCAGACTCGCAACCGCCACAACAGCACCCTTAACCGCGCGCTCATCAAACGGCGGCTCATTCGCCAGACCAGGCGTCATCAAATCCGCACCAGAGCGTAGTTTCCGCATAACAAGCTCCGGCGTGTGAAGCAGCGGCACGATGTTCGGGTTATGCCACAGCGTATAGACGGTGGGGTATAGACGTTTCTCCGCGCCGGGCCCTTGGTCGATCTTGAACCAGAGGACGCGTTCCTCGCTGTCGTCGTGTGTGCCGACGTAGACTGTGCCTTGGACTTCGCGCAGGTCAGGGCCGGCGGTGGTTATGAAGCGTGCCGATAGGCAGTTTTCGGGGAGGAGGGCATTGCGGATGGATGAGAGGGTGGGTTGTGCTGGGTTCGCGGGGGCCGCATTGTCGCTGGATTCCGGTGGGGGTGTTGAGGGGATCTCGATCTTGTAGTCGCTGATGATTTGATCGGCGATTTTGCGACGGTCTGATGATCGCAGCGGCGAAAGGTTTTTGATCTGTCAAGCTAGTGTGAGCATTCAAGTGTTTGTCGAGGGGGTGTAGATAGGGAGGGGTTGATATGCGGGGTAGCACTCACGGTGGGCTTTTTCTTGAACATGATGGCGACAAACACAGTAATATGGCTCTAGAAAACAAGTGAAATGCAGGCTAGACGATGCGAATACCCAGCCGGAGGGAGGGCTTGTGTGGTTTACAGAGCTGAGTGTACGTGGGGGAAAGAAATATTTAACTTGTTCTGGATTTTCGACCCCGCAACAACAATCGCCCGCCGTCCCCGCTCCCAAGAGCCCCAAGAGCTCTACTCTGAGTCAACTACGCAGCAACTACACGGACTAATTATGATTCATGTTCTGTCACTTCGGTTTTTCGTTGTTTATGGGGCTTTACGGCCTCAGGCACTGTGGTGACTCACTGGCGGAATGCTGACGGTCCGCTTTTCACCCGGCGCGATTGATGCAATTACAGTAAACTTGGCAAGGGAAACACGAAGGGGCAAATAATTAACTGAAGTATGGACATGGACGTGGTCTATTCGAGCCCTATGTATCAAATTGATATTCATAAGTTGGTCTAGTTTTTGGTATATTTGTTAGTGACAAGGGACGCTCTATACTTAGGGCAAGGAGTCTAAATGGAAGTTAATGAGTAAAGAGAATGAGAGTCAAGAACTTCGTCCATGGTTCCTCAATAACTTTCTGCTGTGTATTCAAGTTAATTTTACGTATGAAGCTACGATTCCTCCTGTAGAACCATGGCCATGGCTCTGGGAGGTCGTCCAATCCGTGATCCGGAAGAAGAGGATTACGAAGATTAGCAGGTTATGGACATCCCTAGAGAAGTACAGGCAATATATGCAGGAACAAAGAAGAAGAGGTGGACGACGAGCGATCGAAATCCCTGAAACCCAATGGGGAGTCATTGGACCAAACCAAGCACCGCCGAGAAACGGGATGCCTGACTATCGGACTGCTGGTTTTGATGACAATGAAAATTTAGGTACAAGTCTGACATACTCAATGCTGGCACAGCTGCCTGAAATTAGGTGTTAGAGGGGTCTTAGTTGACGTGGTAGTACTCATACTAGTAGTCACTTTTACAGAAAATGCTGCTTTTATAATAGCTTGAATGACGATAACCTCCTGCATGCGTAAATAAGTCAAGTACATGTTGTACTTATGTATTGCCCAGGTCTAGAACCCACCATAACCCGCTGAAGAAATAGTGGAAGGCTACACCCAACGTTAATACTGGCGAACCAACACAAATGGTCGATGAACTTGCATGAGTGATGGACCCAACGAACCCCCTCGGAAGGTAAGGTATTGCCCCTACCAGCCCTCCCCATCATTTGCGTAGCCCATATCATCACCGTCGTCCGGCCCATCACAGTATCCCTCCTGATCCGAGTTATATCCATCCTCATCATCCGAGAACACCGGGTATCCCTCAAACTCCGGCTCATCCAAACCCCACTCAAAGTGACTATACGGCCCATCAACACGACACCCGCTCTCCTCGTCCGAATCATCCTCGTCATCTTCCGCAACTTCAATAAAACCGATAGGAACCCCGCGCGAAGAACCAGAGTCCGAATCTGAATCGTAGTTTTGGTTCATGTTGGACGGTTTGTCGTTCTCGGATGGTCGGTCGTACTCTTGGAAACGGGCTAGGATGTCTTTTGCGTGCTTTACGTCGTCGTCATTGTGCATATTGAGGCTGTGGCTTTGCATGAAATGCTGGAGGTTGTCGTAGCCGCTTTCTTTGAGGACTTGGTGCTGGCTCTTTTCTTCGGGTGGGAAGGAGGAGGGACCGGTGGTGTTTTGAGAGGACATGCTGATTCGAAACGTCTCAGTATAGATCTAGAAGGTATATTTGATGAGGCACAGAGATTTTTGATGAAGCTGGGGAAACTGGAGAAGAGTGGGAAAGAAAGTGTGGAGGAGTGAAGTGTTGGGAGAGGGAGATGCAGACAATTTCATCCGTTTGTTGTGCCTGCCACATTCACCATCAACAGAAGAGACACAACCAGTTTATTCTCTACAACGTGTCAATGACTGCTAAGTTTGTTCCCCAAATCCTGACTGTCCTTCATATCTCCATCTCCTGATATACGCCGATGTCGAGCTATCTACTTCCAATACAATATTGTCAACGACTGATCACTGCATCTATGGAACTAACACACTCCAACATGTATTAGATATTGAACTCACAAGCAAATCCAGAAACCACCTAAATCAATAACTAAGACGGGGAGGCGGCTGAGACTTCGAATAAGCCATAATTCTGGCCGACGAGAGGCCGGCTTCAAGGTCCGTAACCGAAAGTCGTATATCTCCCACAGAAATCTACGTTGCATGACTTTCACCACGGCTTGCACGGTATGTGCGGTGAATGCCTCCCATGTTAAGACGGGTCATAGTTTGTTTTTAACCCAGGAGAGGAAAACATAGTTACCGGTATCGTGATACGTCAGACGCTACGCCCATGCAGGAGCCTGCATGAGAGCTGGTATAACAGACCGAGCTAAATCCCGGAAGCACCTCGTGTATCTCGTTTACCATTATAACATGGAATTGGGGCAAAGTAGGCAAAGGAAAGGTTCAGCACCACTTAAAAGGTACACATAATATAGGTATTCAGTTATATTTATCCATTACACTGCTAGTGGACCCTTACCTTACACTTTTGCAGGAAATGGGAAGGCTACAGTGAATACCTATACATCTAGATGCGAGACGTGAATAACCCCGTTTGCAGGAGAAATGTCTTCCTTTCATCAACGTAGGACAAGAGAGCTCGCTTCGCTATAGTTGTCTTTCAGGCATAAATAGACATTTCTGAGGTGTATCTTGATGACACCCAGACACTTTGATCCATTCCTGATCGATTACTAGTACTATTAACAAACTCTACCATCATATACATACTACAGTATCAAACTAGAAACAGGTACGCATTCCAACCCCTACTATTGTCAGAATACCCAACCAACCAACCAACCACTAACTACAGGATACAGAAACCCTATATCCAAATGGCCCTCCTAGCACAATACCGCACCGTCTCAACAATCGAAGCCATAGTCCACAAAATCGAGCACCCAACCGACGAGCCCAACTGGCAGAACGCCCTCGCAAACGAACTCTTCCACTTCTACTTCCCACCCTCCGCCGGCTGGACGATATTACCCAGACGCGGCCGCGCAGACCGACACGCCGGGGTGGTCCTCCGCGTGGGAAAATGGGGGCCAGGACCCAGCACAGCGCAGAATCCGAATCCGAACTCGAATCCACCATTTGAAGACCGGGTTGTTGTGATTGTTCGAAAAGGCGACACTTATAATCGGTCTGCGCTGAAGCGGGAGGTGAAGGCGCTGCATGATTCGGGGGTGATTGAGAGCAGAGTGCACTGGGCGGCGCTTTTTATGGGGCGGCATGTTTGGTTTTATATCTGTGAGAGGAAGCAGGAGGGGGAGGGGGAATTGGGGTGGGAGGCTTTTGGGCCGCCGATGCAGATGGGGAGGTCTATTTTTGATGTCCGTGAGGAGAGTTTGGCGGTGGAGGAGATGATGAGGTATATGGCTTATAGATGACTCTGTTTCTGATGGTCCAACGGTGGATTTAGGTTGTTCTACTAGCACTATGGTGAAGTTCATGTAAAGTAGCAAAGAAGGATAAATTCACACTATCCGCTATGCCAAGTATAGGTACAAGAAAAGGATGCCCGATCCTATTAGAAGAAGGAAGATCCAACAGTGCAGCGAGCTAACGCGACCATTGAATATAGTAGAAAAAAAATATAGCAACAGAAAAGGGATGGGGGCAGGAGAGGAGGTCTATTTTCGTTCATGTAAGGGAGGCATTATAAACCGCTTACTCGAGGGAACGAGCGTGGACCTTGTCGGTGACCAACCAAGAGAAGGTGGCCTTCAGGTAGCTGAGGAACTCTTCGGCGCTGAGAGAGTTGAACCATTCAGTGAGGCTAGCGCTGTCGGTGGGGAGCTCAGCAGAGCCAGAGCTGGAGCCGCTGGAACCAGAGCTGGAGCCAGAGTCAGAGCCGCTGTCAGAGCCAGAACCGGTGGCAGGCTCGGTAGGGGCAGGGGGGAAAGCAGACTCAGTCTGGGTGACGGTCTGGGTCTGAGCAGGAGGCTGCTCGGTGGAGGTGACAACCTGGGTGGTAGGCTGAGCAACCTGGGTGGCAACCTGGGTAGGAGCAGTGACGGAAACCTGGGCAGTCGAGCTGGGAGCAAGAGGAGTGGAAGAAGCACCGGAGCTGGAGGTGGGGATGACAGGGACGCTGGAGGTGGGAGCGCTGCCGCCACCGTTGCCGCCGGAGGAGCCGCCAGAGTAGAGAGCAGGGCCGGGGATGGGGTAGGAGTCAACCTGAGCGTAGATGTTGAACTTGATACCCTCGTCGGAAGGAGTGTAGAGCTCGGTTCCGACAACACCGGAGGGCTTGTCGCTGCCACCGCCGGTGACCTTGAGGTTGACACACTGGGGGTAGTTCTGGGCGCCGTTCTCCTGGCCGGCGGAGTGCAGGGCGATGATCTCGTGGCGGAGGACGTAGTTGCCCGCGGCGATGCTGCTGGGGATGGTGACGGTCCAGCTGTTGTTGTTGGCGATCAGCTCGTCGGAGGCCCAGGTGCCGGGGGTGCTGCTGCCATCGACGATACCGCTCTCGCTGATCTTGAACCACTCGAGGGTGGTCTTGTCGACGGTCGCGCAGTCGCCGTTGCAGCTGGCCAGGTAGTCGATGACGGGGCCGTGGTGGCTCTCGGGCCACTCGGTCCACTGCAGCTCAACCTCGCCTCCAGCCTTGACCGCAGCAGAGAGCTGGGCGTTCTTTGCATCCTTGTGGCAGATGATGTCGGGGTCGGTGTAGCTGTTGGGCTCGACGAAGCCCAGGTCCTTGGCCTGCTCAGACCATCCGACAACATCGGGAGGGCTGGGGTTGTAGGGGTAGTTGTTGACGAGGTATCCTCCGTAGTACGAGCCGTCGGCGACAATTCCCTGGACGAAGCCGTGGGCCGAAGCCATGGCCGCGGAGGCGAGGGCGAGACCAGCAGTTCTAGCGACAGACATTTTTGTAGTTGGAAGTTTCTTAACGCGCAGCGTTACTCAGAATCTGAAGGATTGAATGAGGGTTGGGGTGGAAAAGAATGTCCGGGCTTCAGTCAATGAAGCGGGAGGTAAGAGAATGAATGGATCGTTGATCCGGGTTGAAAAGAATGCAAAGGTTGGTGGTGAGGAGAGGAGAAGATCATTCCTGGCTTGAGGGCGAAGGCCTTTATATGCATCGAGATGGCATCTCCCAGGCTCCCATGCCAAAGCTCAGACCAGCCAGGCCAGGCACAGTCCTACAATGCCGGCGAATGAAAGGTTCGTGGCCAGCCGCATCTTGATTGCCTGCAAGCCCTAGTTTCTGTGTCTGTGGTTCCGAGTCCCCGAGGAACCATTGCGATAGGCCAGCCGAGGGCGTGCAGTCTGAAGTAGATGAAAACCCAAGCACCAAGTTCTGGGCGATGAGACACCGATGCCTGCTGGGATGGACGAACACGGGCCCCCATCGACGATTCAAGGCCTGGGGCCGTTGAACGGGTGCAATGGAGAAACAGCGAGCGGAGACGGGGGTCCTCGAGGATTCAGGGCAATGTCGCGCAAAGGCGCCTAAATCCGCCTTCAATTCCTTTTACTTCTGTCTCTGACGGCGCTCGTTTCAACTTAAGGAGCGCCGCTGCAATTCCCCGAGTGTTGGCCCCGCCAAGTGGCCCGCTCATTAAACTGTGCCCTAACTCGGTGGAGCTGCCACAGCGAATATGACGAGCAGCAACTCACGGCCCGACAAAATGTCAGCTCTACCGGGCTCTGAAGACACTGAAGTGTTTCACTGACGAAATGAAAATGTTGGAGAGGATTGGTGGGGGTGACTGGTGAATGGCCTGGGTAGGCCGTTTCACATCAAACACTTGACTCGACATTGAAGAATCAGAATGTCAAAAAAATAAGCAGCTGCTTCATATTCCTGGTAACTTGCGAAATTGATAAACTATTAGACAGCGACTCGCCACAATACACCGTCTGCGTCTGGGAATAATGATGCGGCGCTAAACAAGCACCCCTCAATATATCGGACCGATATGATACGCGCAGTCAACTGCAATCGTACCGGATAAATTAACTGAGTCCATGGCTCGCTCGGTCGAGGCAATAACAGCCGGTGGAGATGTGATCCGTCTGCATGGGTGGCGTTAAAGACAGCAAGAATTCCAACATCCACAAGGTACGAGGCTACCGAGAGGCTAGAGCTAGCCGTCGTCCTTATCGATCTGTTAGTATTAACTTATGGTGATTAAATTTTCTTGGCTGGTTCGGATTCCCGGCTCTCGCTCAGCTGGAGATCGAAGCGAGGGCGCTAAGGATCGGTGTAGGGGATATTCTCGGTCATTTCTCTGATTAGCAGAGAGTTGGCTCCAACGAGATCTTCCCATCCTTGCTGCCATGGTATAAGTAGCTCAGTATACTGCAATTGCGCAGGAGAATTGCGCCTAGAAACATTTCAACTTTCAAGCTGCGGGTCGGTGAAACCCGTTACTAGGGTCATCTCCTGGGCCAGTTCGGTAACTAACGGCGGCGATGTTTCTAGAAAGGCGAAGAACCGTTGTCTTGTCTTGTTTCTGAGCAGCAATCTATTGAAATAAAAGTGAAACGTTTAGACGAAGCTGATGGGTCCCAGATATTGGGTGGGCCCATGCCGACGGCGACCAGATGCCAGGCGGTTAGGGAAGAAGGACGAGCAGGTCTGCTGTCTATATTTGTACCTCTTCTTATTATCTCATATATCACCAATTAACCGCTTTGTGTATCTCACATGGTGCAATTGCCCAAAACCCTTGGGCCAGATCACGACATTCACTCAGGAGGTGAGGTCTTCACTCGGAACCCTGTCGCGGATGTCTAAGAGTTGCCTTCACTATGATAAACGTTAGCGACTATCTATTCAGTAAATAATATCAGGGCACGATCTTGTTTCATCGACCCTAGGGCTGATCGGGCTTATAATGTGTTATCGTCAAGTAAACAGAGGGGCAGCCGCACAATAAGAAGGTTACCCTCGACTTGAATAAATCAGAAATCTAGAAATTTAATAAGATTTATTATTGTTCTGATCTTGAATATTTAGAAAAATGTCTCTTCTAAACATTGTCAGCATATATATAACGTATTTAGAAAGACGGTTAAATAACCACTAGTGGCCTTTTTAGTCGAGCGGTATTCCGTTAAATACACGGGTTGTGGGCGGGCAACATTATATATTTTGGTTGATATGTAAACTACCATATATGCCGCTACTTAACTCGAAAGGCAGAAGCCCCAAGCATGTTTGCTTGTTTACTTCCGCCTTTTTAAACCACTCATATCTATGATACATATAATATTCACAGGGCTAGGTTGATACTCCTAGGTATTCAACTTAATGTGTCTAAATGATAATAAACTCATTATCAAGAACAGAAAGTTATATACTCCGCCAAACCGCCTTAGAAGAGCTCGCCAACGGATTTCTTGCTACACATTTTACAGGATACCTCATCCCACAGAACAAGCATACCTTTCCCCGAATGCAAAAGCCCGAGGCACCAAAAGACGAAGACATTGCTTCCTTTAGACCAGCATGCGGTCAGAAAGTAGTTGGATGCAGCTGACTGGCTGTTTTACACGCCAAGACTGCACCGTCACACAAAGTTATTCCGAACTGCATGCTCTGTCTCAGGAGTCGCTCCAGTGCTATCTCCAATGTATGACGGATTGACGGACGGATGCTCGACCTGATAAGGCTGGCTGTCACTGATAACCCAGAAACGTGGCAGCCTAACCCTGTTGGTGTGGCCCGTTTAACCCAATTCGGACTAATGCATTGCCGAGTGACTAAGCAGGCCTGTTGATTCCACCTTTCTCAGGCCGCTATGGATCAAAATGGGACACGCCTATGGATCACCGCCAAATAAACCTCGTAATCAAAAAACGGCTTGACGTCGAGGTGGCTTCAGAGTCCTGGTACTTTTGAGTCCCTGTGGACAATCTCTTCTTCATCTTCATCGACAGCTATCAGGTACCGTTTTCGGGACCGCCCTCGCACGACTTTGTGGTCATAGCACAAATTTCTGCGTGCGCCTAGGAATCTTGGCTGTCGTGGTGTTTTGCCGCCGTCTGGCTTTTTCCTCCTTTTCAATTTCCACCACCCGCGCCCGCTGTTCTCCGCTCTTCTTCGCCGGCCGACCGCTGACTCCCCTCTCCCAACAAACGCCCTCGCTTCCCCAGATCAAACCCGATTACTGATCCCCCTCCGTCTCGCTGTCCTCGCAAATCATCCAGGCACCAATTTTCACCAAGGGTCTCACATGTTTCCGAGCGGGAATTGCTGTTAGCCTCCAAGCCTGACCGCAACGCAGTGCGCCCGTGGAGCTCGTCTCCTGGCCAATCTGATCGCCTTGACGGCTCGTTCCTTTTCCCACTCTCAACAACCGGACGTGCACAAGGTTTTGCTCGTGCGAGACTACGAATTGTGTGCCGGGAGTTGGTTGAACGGCCTTTGAGGGAGTCTTGCTGGTCTTTCTCCATCGCTTCAATTTTGCCTGCCCTAGGAGGTCAAGGATGGGACCGGGGGGCTCGTCTCCTACATTTGCCGCTTTGGACCCGATTGTCGTGGACGACGACGACATGGCGAACCCTTACCAGGATACCGATATGGACTTTCTCGATACCGCGAGGCTGCAGATGTCGTCCGAGAGTGCTGGACAGGAGTTTGATGACCTCTTTTCACATGCCTCATCTTCCCGCACAGTCGCAGAATCCAACCCACCGTGCCTTTCCCCGTCTGAGTTGTCGCTCAAACGATCGTACCAAGACCACGAATCCCTGCGGCAGCCCAAAGTAATCGCATCGGAATCCCCCGCTGAATCGCCCGAAGACTCCAGCCCTAGCTCAAGCTCAGAATCACCCCGAAACCACCTCCGAAACATCTCCGTCGAGTCCTCCACATCTGCGGTGCATAGTGAGAACACAGTGATGCCGTTCGGCTACACGGGAGACGACCTAGTGAATCTGGATTATGACCACGTGAAGGATGAGTCGCTGTTTGGGTTTGACGCTTCGCTGCCGAACCTGGAAGGCCCATATTCCTCTGGGGCTGACCTTGAATCGAGCAATAAAGCGATGGATGCCGCTTTTGACTTTGAGAGTGCTGCCAGTAGCCCCAGTCCTTTGAAGCCCGGGGCAACACTGCATTCGAGGGCACTGAAGGACTCAAAGTCACGTTTGCGGGGAGCGCATGGCTCCGTGAAACGAAAGTCTACTTCGCCTGTGAGATATAGAAACCCTTCCAAGCCGATTGAGCATTCTATGCTAACCTGACTGCAGCAAATCTCCCATACCACTGCGCCGTTCTTCGCTCATAACACAAACACTACCCCTTCCCCGTTTCAATCTTCAGTGATGCCTCCGGTGAAGTCGCCGCTAAGTCCATGGGGCGAGCATTCGCCCTCTTCCTTTCTCGAGGAAAGTTTCGGTGGCATCAATATGAATGGCGGTCCTCAACCAAACTCGGCTTTCAGCTTCTCCCCCAATGGCCTTCCGTTTGGTTTCGGACTCGTATCTTCACCCCCTTTGACCAACGTGAAGCCAGAACCTACTCAGCACCCCGTCTTAACCGTCCACCCCACCTCTCTTAAGTCGCGCGTGGAGACGCAAATACCAATAAAACTTACCTTACATCCCTTACCGTCTGGGGTCAAAAGGCTACGCCTGCCTAGCCATACGATCTCTAAACCAAAGTTCCTTGCGCCACCGGCCACAGAGCGCTCCCCCGACACCGTCGAACTATACACCAGCCTTTTCTGCACGAGTGCACTGCAGGACAAAGACAAGCTGCGGAAAGCGCTGGCAAGAGCAAGAGGCGAATCACTACGTCGCTCGTCTAGTTCCTCTCCGATGGCCACAGATGGGATCCAGGAGGAGGAAAAACCTGTCGACGGTGCAGAAGTGAAGATTTGCTCTGGCTGTATCCAACGGGAACGAAAACGGGCTTTTCGAAAGAAGCAGCGGAAACCAGAGGAGGATGAGCTGTTCCAGAAGCACGAGGAGAAGCGTGTTATCGTGTTCAACACCCATGAGATCAAAGATTGGACTGAACCATCCAAAACCGCAGCTTCAAGTGAAAACCAGGTGCCTGGAGTTCCGCAGGGTGCCATGCAGGTGGAACTTCCAATGCGAATCGCATGCTACTGCAGGCATCAAAACGAAAAAATCGGATTTCAGTAAGTTGTATCTGGACAATCCACTCCTGGATTGGAAAAAACTGACTGTTTGTAGGGTTATCTTCACGCTAAAGGACTATAAGGACAACGTAATAGCCCAAGCGATTACAAACTCAATCATGATCACAGATGACCACAAGACGCATGCACCTTCAGGACCTCCTGCACCTGGCCCCGCGCCTGCTCTGCCGGATGGAACTGAACTTCCAGGTGTTGGTGTCTTCCCGTCTGGCGCTGGCTTCGATACAAAGAGGTCATCTGGATCTGTGAAGCAGGCGAGCGCCTCACCATCCGCCACAGATCTGCAAAGTCTCCAGCAGAGATTAAACTCGCAGTATCAACCAGGTTCCGGGCCTTTTATGAATTCGACAAACGGTGCAACACCATCCAATTCTCAAGGATCGCGCAGCCTGTCACGGCAAACATCGCCCAATGACTTCCAAGGACCTACAAGCAAACGTCGAAAACATAGCAGTTCGAGCAGACTCCCATCGGAATTGACCATGACTAAACTCGAAAATGGCCAGTCGTCTGCTAGGGCATCGAGCAATGAGTCTCAGTTTTCGGCTTCCCGTGGATTCGCATCTCCTACGGAAAGGCCATTTGTTACCTCCGCTGCCATGTCCAACCACTTCAGCAATGGCCCGTTGACTCCAACTAGCGGGGAAAGCAACCCCTTCTTACCGTCTCTGCAACAACAGCAGCAGCAGCAGAATTTGGATAACTTCATCCAGCAACAGCTGATGTCGGCGCCAAATTCGGCCCAAACTAGCCGTCCGGGAACTCCTGGTGGGTCAGCTAGGAATAGTTTCCAAGAGCAGAACTTGAATCTTTCGCTAGGCCCGACTCCATCTACGCCAATGTGGACGGGCATGACGGGCATGGCGGGCGTGACGAGTGCCGGGAATCGGTTGCCCACGGTAATTCATAAATTGGTTCCAGCCGAGGGTTCTATTAATGGAGGAACGGAAGTCACGCTATTAGGCAGTGGCTTCTACCCCGGCATGGAAGTTGTGTTTGGTGATACCCTCGCGACCACCACTACATTCTGGGGAGATAAGTGCCTCAACTGCCTGACCCCACCAGCCCTCCAACCTGGACAGGTGGTCGTGGTTTTCAAGCATGAGCACCCTAGCTTTAATCAGCTACAACAGCAGCCACAAACGCTACTGCCGAAGCAACAGCAGTTCTTCCGGTATGTAGATGATCGTGAGTTGCAGATGTATCGTCTGGCACTCGGCATACTTGGACACAAGTTGGGCAACCAGGCCGATGCCTTCCACACTGCCCAGCAGATCATGGGTAGTGATTACAAGGGAGCGTTTAACCTCCAGAAAGACTTCCAAGGCTCCTCTGGTGGCAACCAGCGACAAGTCCCTGGATTGGAGTCTCAGGGCAAGCTGGGCGACATGGACTCGAAGATGTTGACTTACTTGGAGTTTATCGACCTGGATGACAATCCTCGCGCGCCAAGGTATAACTCGCGCTGTGCTACCGGCCAGACTTTGCTTCACTTTGCATCTTCGCTGGGCCTTACGCGATTTGTTGCCGGCTTGCTCGCCCGTGGCGCGAATCCAGATGTGCAGGATAACACCGGAAACACGCCAATGCACCTTGCTGCTCTTAACGGCCACGCGCACATCGTCAATAGACTCCGTCTTGCTGGTTCCAGCCCCAACATCCGAAGCATCAGAGGCTTTACCCCGGCCGATCTCGCCAGCACATTGCCTGCCCACCAAGCAGCTTTGATTCCTGCACGTCACCGCTCGCGTAGCGCTGGGTCCTTGACCTCGCGTCGCAGACAGAGCAGCTCGGCCTCTCTCCAATCGCTCTGGGAGTCTTCTTCGGCGTCGGGCTCGTTCGACTATGCTGTTGATGACTCTGAAGAGAGCTCGGATGAGGATGACGAGCTAATCATGACCACTTCTCGCCGGTCTAGCGTGCGCCATGATGCCGTCCCACCAATGCAGACGTCAGAGCCGATTGCCGCAGAGGGCGAGGCGCGACCATTCTCTCCACCAGCAGCGCTCGTTGCCTGGCGCAATCAGCTGCAGACACAAATCAACCAGTTCCAGCAGAGCGTCTCGAATGCTTTCCCTAACCTACCGAACCTCCCAGCCTTGCCACCGATGCCGGCATTGCCAGACTACCAGGCACACCCTATGATGCGTCGTATTACAAACCTCGTCCCGCATCGACCTTCGTCTTCGCGTGGAGCTAAGGAGGGTTGGTGGGATATGCTGACTGGCAATTCCTCACCTGGTTCGCCTGCTTCACCTGGCAACACGGAGCTCCCATCGTATGAAGAGTTGTACCCGCGTAAAGAAGGAGAAGGCCAGGGTGAGGAAGAAGTAGAGCGTGCAAAGAAGGCTAGCGTGCTGCAAGCTGCTGCTGAGGCTGCTCTAGATCAACACTTTGAAACACAAGCCGGCTCCTCCAGAGTCACTGGTGAGCAAGAAAAGGAAGACCTTCAGGACATCCGGATTGGTCGCAATGTTATCTCCCGGGAGCAGCAGAAGCATCTTAGGGAGCAACAAGCTCGACGCATGAAGGGTCTGGGTAGTGACAGGAACCTGTACTTCTTCTGGGTAAGTTACCGACCTTGTACCCCTAATCTTTATTACACATTGCTAATCTTGGTTTAGATTCCTCTTCTCATCTTAGTGATCTTCGCTTGGGCTCGAAGCTACATTCCTGGTATCTCGCAAGGGATTTCTGATGTCTTCGAGTTCGTACAGGACCGCTACACTACGCAACGTGTGTTGGACGTTGGCACCTAGACGTCATTTCTCGCTCGACTATCATCGGTATTTTTTTTTTTTTTTTTCAGCTGAGGCGTTGTGCGTGTTTGGGACACAATACACTGGGACTTGTTTTCGTTTCCTTTGTCTGGATTGACTTCCGTATAATGATGGGATATGACTATTGTTTTTATTGTCTGCTTTTGCTATTCTCTGGGTCAGTATGGAGTTTCCTGTGGCTTTTTGTTAGACCTCGGCCGTCGATAGTTATAGAAGAAGCAGCAGTGCTCGATGGAGAGTTTAATGTAAACAACACTACAATCAATGTATATATGTCAACCATACTCCGAAACCTTACGTAGAGAGATATTCCCATTGCAGTAGTATGATTGCAGTAGTATGATTGCAGTAGTATGTTTAGTCCTGGTGGTGTAGTGCTGCCTGAGGACTGCCAAGAGTCCACCGCGGAGGCCACCGAACAACCACGGAGACAACAACCACCACTCGGCCTCTCGCATTCATCTATAACCTCCCCTCTCGCTCTCTGACCACTAACTCGCACGTCAGGTAGGCAATTCTCATCCGAATTGCTTGACCGGAATGCTCCAGGAGCGCAGCCAGCTTCCCCCCTGAATACTGCGCTGCGCCGCGAATTATGGACTCTCTACCCCAGGCCGCCTCCAGCAGTGTCACCGGTATTTACCCCCTCCGCCGAACAAAAAGCCCACGCTGCACATATCTTTTCTTTTCTTTTTTTTTTCCCCTGGCTAATCTCAGTCTCCTACCACTATAGTTGAATACACCGATCCCTCGGGCCTGTTCCCCTCCGTCCAACCAGTCATCGCGAACAAACTCCCCCTCCGCAACCTGCACTGGAAGTCACCCACGCGCCCCGTCCGCTCAATCGAATCCCTCCGCATCGGGTTCACGCCGGCCAAGAATGAGTCTGACGAACGCAAGTCCTCCAGCGATGCGCCAGGCGGCGCCGTGACGCATCGCCGGCACCAGATCCCCGGCCTCCGACAGACACCTTACCTGAAGATCTACATCCTGCGGTGCGACGATAACGACACGTACAAGAGTACCGCGAGGAAGGCGTTGCGGGAATGGATCAAGACGCATGCGTCGTCCTCTTCGTCGTCCTCGACGTCGGGCTCCGGGGCTGCGGCTGCGGCTTCGAGCCAGGAGAAGCACGATGCGTTTGAGTGGCTTATCCTGCATGTTATCCAGGAAGGGGACGGGACGGAGAAGGTAGCGCCGACGTCGAAATGGGGGCGGGCGAACACGACTGTGCTGGAGAAGGTGAAGGCGGATTTTAATGGGTCGTCCAAGTCGGCTGTTGATCGGGTGGCTCAGTTGCGGATTCCGAAGCCCGAGAGTACGGCCAAGTCGCCGGAGTTGGTTGATCAGATTGAGGACTTTGTGGAGAAGGTGAAGAATGGGATTCTGGCGTCCTTTGATCTGAGGGTTGCGCAGTATGAGGAGGATATCAAGGGGAAGGACTCGCAGCGGAGTTTACCCGGTTGGAACTTTTGCACGTTCTTTATATTGAAGGAGGGTCTTTCTAGGGGGTTTGAGAATGTGGGATTGTTTGAGGATGCGCTGGTTGGGTATGATGAGCTGGCTGCTGGCTTGGATGCCGCGATCCAAGACCAGCTGGCGGGGTCTAGTGAGCAGCATGGCAGCGCTTTCTTAACGAACAGTGAGGACTGGCGGGAACGTGCGAAGGCTGCTCTAGATGCTCGGACGGATTCCAAAGGCCCTGATGGGGAAGGCGAAGATATTGCCCCAATTCCTGATCTTGACCCGGAGGATTTCCCGATTGACCCGGCCAGGAAGACTTATCGAGAGATGATTCTCTCCAGCAATATCTCCATCTTCGATTTCCGCACTTACATCTTCTCCCGACAATTGACGCTCCTCCTCAGAGCATCAAGGGCGCCGTCGCTTGTCACTGAGGACCCAGACGCCGACCCCAAGTCAGGGAAAGGAACAAAAAAGCCTGAAGACTTAATGCTTCTGGCCGAGGTCTGCGAGCGAGCAGCCGAGTTTATCAGCCTTGCTGCGCGGACACTTCGAGCCGACCTGGAAGGCGGCCTCGCGGATGTCGAGAACGCTGCCAAGTCGGAGATTATAAGCAACCTCGTCTCGTCTTGGGCTTATGCCGCTGCATACCAGATTTTGCTACAGACCTTTACACCAGCTCTCACACTTCCTGAGTCTTCCTTACATGCGATGGAAGCCGCCCTGGATGAGAAGCAAAAGCAGGATGTCCCGAAACGCACGACCTCGCTAGTCATGCCTGCAAACCGCCAGTCGCGCTCAGCTAAGACCGAAATAATATCTGCCAACGCGCTCTCATCCGTTCACGAGCAACCAGGATTCGAAGGACCAAAGCTCACCCCTAAAACAGGGTCGGAGCAACTGGCCTCTCAGCGGGGTGAACTCCTCTTGATGGCCCGGAGGCTCCTAGAAGAGATCGCTGGCCGGTGTGGGTGGAAGGAATCGTGGACTGATCTTGGGCTTCTATTCGACGATAGGGATGCTAAGTCTGGAAACATGGCAGACGTGACTTTGGATGATGAGAGCCCAGAGCCAGTGAAGGAGACCCAACCCAGCAACTCTCTTAGGGGGATCGATCTATCGCAACTACAGGCAGCCCTGAAGTCTAGAAAAGCATTCCGTGCGCATTATGAAGAGCTTACGGATCGAATGTACCGTCACTATATCGCGGCGAACCGTACGCATTCGACGCACACTGCATTGGCTGATATGGCCCTTTTACGTTATCGTCAAAGCGATTACGGCGCCGCTGCGTCGTACTTCCACCAGATTGCTCCGTTCTACGGCAACAAACACTGGACTATTCTAGAGGGAGTTATGCTGGAGATGTACGCGCGGTGTCTGAAAGAATTAGGTCGAAATGAGGAGTATGTCAAAGTGGTGGTGCGCCTTTTGGCGAAGTATGCTGCGCATACGCAGTCCAAATTGTCGAGTAGACAGAAGACACTCGATGCGTCTTCAATATTTGCAGAGGATGCATTAATCTCTGAGTATGTGGAGGAACTGTTTCGGGCGTCCGGTGCGCTCCAGAAAGATGTCTCTGCACCGTTGACGGACTTCTTCGGGGATTTGAGCGTCAAACCTGCCATCCTTCATTATAAGGACCGAGATGGATTTCAGCTACAGCTCTACATCCGGTTCCTCCTTGGCAAGCAGATTGATGTTGATTCGATCAAGATTCGACTTGTCAGCGCCAACGCCGGCACTCACAGCAGCGAGCATTGGATAGAAACGCCAGCGAAAGCGACTATCAAATCATCTTCCACAAGGGTCTTGGTTGATTCATCGGTATGTATCTCATCTTCATTGGGTTTTGGGAATCAACTAACTTTGCGTAGACTACGCTGCAGGGGAAATACTTTGTGGACCGCATTGAGATGCGGGCGGAAAACCTCCTATTTTCCATGAGCGGGGGAGCGAATTCTAACTTACCAGTGGGATTCAGGGAAGATGTCGACGAGGAAGAAGATACTCGATCATACATCCTGTGCTACCCACCACCGCAGGGCCTACAAGCAAGGATTGAGTCGCCTCATCTTGTGAACCTGGAGGCCTTGCGTACGCTCGAGCTGGAACTTAACAGTGGCTGGAACGATATCAAGACGGGTGTTTTACGAGTACGGCCTGCAACAGCGGGTCTGAGACTGAGAATCACCGAGGCAGAGATAGTAGAAGGTGACTTGGCGATCAAGACTAACAGCGAGACGGGTAACATCGAGTTTAGCAAACTAGGCGAAAACACGATTGTTCGATTCCGGATCCCATACACGGTCGAAGAGCACCCCGCGACGCTCTCTGCAAGGGCGGAGGTGACCTACGACACAGAGAAGGGACGATTCAACTACTCATCTGCACACAACGTTGCCTCTGCTCTGCCAATCAGCGTGAATGTGCAAGATGTGTTCAAACAGAATATGCTCTTCTCGCGGTTCACGGTCAGCCCGGCTACGATGATTCCGCTCTGGCTTTCGAAATGCAGCATCCCAAGTTCGGATGTTTATGAAGTGCAGTCTAATGTCGGCGATCCCGTCGCCATGAGGGTGTTCCCCAAACAGCCTGCTAGCCTGCTGTACAAGATCCAACCACGAAAAGATACTGCAGCCTCTCCTGGATCGAAGCGAGCTCTACGGCTCACAGTCGACTTCACCTGCGTGGATGACGAGTGCTTCGATGCGGTGGAGAAGACATTCAAAGATAGCATCTCCCGCAGTGAATTCGCGCAGTACACGACATTTCTCACGCCACACATTGTCGATGCCTTCCGGACGCAGCTCTCTCCGCCCGAGCTAGAGGTCGTCGGGCTTGTTCGCGAGGTCGAAGCCTTGCCTTACGCAGCTGTTCGTTGGGAAGGATTGTTGAACGCGTTGAAAGAACCAATGGACGAGCTACGGGCTTGGCTCAGGGCATGGCATGATGTAAGGGTTTACTCCCTCCCCTTATTCTGAAACTGTTGGGAATGTTGGTGTTGAAGTAATCATACTGATCTGTATACCCCTAGAATCATCTGATGCTGTCCCTCCCGGAGCAGCCGTCAATCCGTAGGCGCCACATCATCATCCCCGTCGACATTCCAGAAATCCAGGTCGTGCATACGGCCGAGCTTCGCCTCACCAGCCTGCCAGAGCAAGCACCCCATGCGGCGGTCGGACAAACGATCACCGCGGAGCTGCGGCTTTCGCATACACGACGCTGGTGCACGCCCGATCAACGCGAGGAAACAGCAGGCGGAGGCCCGCTAGAATTTTCGTACGAACTGCACGCCAACCCAGAGCTCTGGATGGTTGGTGGGCGACGGCGAGGAAACTTCTCCGCGAGCGAGGGCGAGACAAAGACATTCGCAGTGATGTTACTGCCGCAGAAGGCGGGCCATCTACTTTTGCCGGGGCTGGAGATTAGGAGCTTTGTGCCGCCACCGCCGCAGTCGCCGTCGACCACCAGCACGGGAACCAATGTGCCGCCCGCGGTGGCGGCAGCGGGGACACCAGCGGTGCAGCGAAGGCCGATCGCCTGCGAGGTCGACTACCGAAATCACGGCGAGACGGTGCTCGTATTACCTGATCTGCGGGCCACGACGGTGAGTCTGAGCTTGTCGGGAGGAGGACATGGGGGCTCCTGGCTGGTAGATTCAGAGCGACGGGTTCACTCATAGCTCTCTCTCACAATAGATACCTCAGTATATACTTCTTAACTACATTGGATACGATGAATGTGTTCAAGCAGGGTGTGCAAAAACCAAAGTTACGGCCCGGTAACTTTGCGTAGTTTATTTTTTTTTTTCTTTCGTAGCGGGCCCCACCGCAGTCAAATTTGCCCAACCTCGAACCCTCAACAGAAATCACGGGCTCCCCAACAAAAAACTGGATCACCACCGCGTCGTCGGAGTTGCGCTGCATGGAGTCACGCCATCTCAGATTTGACAATAGTATCTCATACAGAATATTGTGAACAGTAGCAGGGCGCCCTGATCGGGATCTGAATCAGTTCGAGTTGGGGTTGGGCAATTCTTATTACGTCGCCTTGTATAGTTCTTTGTCACCCAAGGTGGTCAGACTCTCTACCGTACGGTGTAGACGAGATTTGTTGACGAGTACCGATCTATCACATGCAGCAAGATCACACTCCCGTCTCCTTCAGACCGTCAGAGTCTCGTCGAGCACCCAGCGATGTCCCAAGATCGACAGCCCGAAGGAAACCCATGCAGACTGCAGAGAACCATGCGAGTAAACTGGAGCCCAGGGCGAGCGGTGATTGACTGACAAGCTTTATCTGGATAAGCAGTTTGATCCCGGATGTGGCGAGGGCAGTGGCTAGCTGGCTGGTGCACTTGGTCACTGTATTGTTGAAAGTTCCCGTACTTAGGACGTCCTCCAAGTGTCAAGAGTACTCTGTATGATCAATGAGTAACACATGATGCCTCGGAGTTGCCTGATAGGTCGCTATCAGTCAAATCGAGGCATTCTGCCAAGACTGTTGAGAAGGCGATGGTCTTCCATGTGTGGAGTGGAGGCCTTTTGTTTGTTTTCCGAGGCTGTGATTGGGCTTTGTTCAGGCGGTGTGTGGTCTGCGATTCCACCCCCGGGTTTCAATTAATTTGATCGACTCTTAGTCAATAATCAGGGTATTGCGGTATACAGTAGGGGTGGTGTGGTAGAGGTAGTATTTTCAAAGTTCTGATGATGCCATGATTCCGATTCAGAGTTGGAGAGTATCTCTCGACTGTGAACAGGCCATGCAGCCCATCGCCAGTCATGAGAGCACGGGCAGCCGGAAGAACTCGCGTTCGGGGAGGACCAGCTGTGAGTGGGCGGCTGTCTTTTTTGCAATCCAGGGGTCCCTTGATTCCACAACTTTATTCTGCTCCAACTGAGCCTGCCCATCCTGTACCAGTACACGATGTATGAACACAATTATTCATCAGTGGTACGTAGTTAGTAGTGCCTGTTGGCAGTCGACTCGACTGCAGTCGATTTCCAAGCTCGAGTAGCGGACTGCTCCATCGCAGAGCAGACCGAGTATATCCCGTTTGAAAAACGAAAACGCTGGGGATCGCCACGGTAAGGCAGAACAAGGAACAACATTCTTCAGCCAATCACCGCCCGCGAGGTGGCGGAAATCCGCATAAACGGTACCACAGACTGCAAAAATACCGGAACGGTACCAGGATGGAAACGATGTGCCCATTCTTCACGATGGGGGTTGTCCTTCTGGCCGCAGCTCTGCTGATTGCCTTTTAGATTTTGCAATTTTCTTGCCTCAGTTGATTGTCAATTGTTCGAGTTTTCCCCTGTCCCTCATTCGTCCGCTGTTTTCGCAGCTTCCCCTCCCTCTGTCCTTTCGTCCCCTTAAGTTGGCCGGCTTGTGTACATCTTCTGCGTCTCTTTGGGCTTCTTCTTTCTTCATCTCCATTCCTTCTTCCCTCAAGACTCTCCTCGTCAAGGGCTCCCTGGGGACGATCCTGAAGATCTTATCACCCCCCATCTCAGGTCTCCCAGTCATTTCTTCCAGATCTCGTGTAACCTCCAAATTTTCTTGGCCCATTGGTGAGTGCGAAGCGAGCTTCCCAACATTTGGCCGATCACCGCGGAGGTTGTCTCCCACTTGCCGAGACGATATATCAAGCGGCCGTTTTGCTTCTGTTGCTAACGGATTCTTCCTCAGCAATTTCCAGTTGGCAATTCTCTCACTCACCATGTCGTCTACCGCCATCCCCAAGCGCGTTGCGCTTAATCGCAACCCTACCACCGACTCTTCGGTTCCCAGTTCTGTCTCTGTTTCCCCGCTAGAGTCACCTCGCCAGTCTCCCTCGTCGACTTCGCTTTCGTCAATGGCCTCGGACGCCGAGAAGGTGGACAATGGCAAGATGCTGGATACCTATGGCAATGAGTTCAAGATCCCCGATTACACGATCAAGGACATCCGTGATGCCATTCCCGCCCACTGCTTCAACCGCTCCGCCGTGACCAGCTTGTACTATGTTTTCCGGGATATCTCTGTCCTTGCCTCCGTCTTCTATGTCTTCCACAACTATGTCACTCCCGAGACCGTCCCCTCGTACCCGGCCCGTGTTCTGCTGTGGGGGCTCTATACCGTCATCCAGGGACTGTACGGCACCGGTGTCTGGGTTCTGGCCCATGAGTGCGGTCACCAGGCTTTCTCTCCTTCCAAGACTTTGAACGACACCGTTGGATGGATCTGCCACTCTGCTCTTTTGGTGCCCTACTTCTCATGGAAGATCTCTCACGGCAAGCACCACAAGGCCACCGGTAACATCGCCCGTGATATGGTTTTCGTTCCCAAGACCCGTGAGGTGTACGCCTCGCGCATCTCGAAGACCATCTATGACCTGAACGAGCTGATGGAGGAGACCCCCATTGCCACTGCCACCCACATTGTTCTGCAGCAACTGTTCGGCTGGCCCATGTACCTTATCAGCAACGTTACTGGCCACAACAACCACGAGCGCCAGCCAGAGGGACGCGGCAAGGGCAAGAAGAACGGTTACTTTGGCGGTGTTAACCACTTCAACCCCTCTAGCCCTCTGTACGAGGCCAAGGATGCTAAGCTCATCCTTCTGAGTGACCTCGGTCTTGCCATCACCGGATCTGTTCTGTACTTGATCGGCTCCAAGTACGGCTGGATGAACCTGCTTGTGTGGTACGGTATTCCCTACCTCTGGGTGAACCACTGGCTGGTTGCCATCACCTACCTCCAGCACACCGACCCTACTCTCCCTCACTACCAGCCCGAGTCATGGAACTTTGCTCGTGGCGCTGCTGCCACCATTGACCGCGAGTTCGGTTTCGTTGGCCGCAACATCCTCCACGGCATCATCGAGACTCACGTCCTTCACCACTATGTGAGCACCATTCCCTTCTACCACGCCGACGAGGCCAGCGAGGCCATCAAGAAGGTCATGGGTTCCCACTACCGGACGGACGCCCACACCGGCCCTCTTGGTTTCTTCAAGGCCATGTGGAACAGCGCTCGTGTCTGCCAATGGGTCGAGCCCTCTGCGGGAACCAAGGGCGAGAACGCCGGCGTCCTCTTCTACCGTAACACCAACGGTGTCGGTGTTCCCCCCGTGAAGCTCCAAAAATAAAGCGACAAGGTCTGCTCTCTCGCACGTCACGTCGTGTCGGTACATAGAATGTGAATGTGTTCGTCAGGTTTAATCTTATGGCCTGAATGCGATTTATATGGTTGATTTACCTCTCGTGGTGTATCTCGCCGGAACGAAAATGGCCACGGTTAGGTATGCTCTTGTTGCGTTCATTCATAGAGCAAGCTGCAAGTTTCAGTCGGTTGATTGTTAGGCGTATAGGGGGAGTCTGAGAATACTTGACCTTGTTATTTTGGGAGCTTTCTAGAACGTCTTCTTTTCATTATCAGATAGCGAAAGACAGTGTTTTTTCTCCTAACTGGACTCTTGTAGACAGTAAACAGTAGACTGGTAGCTGGCAATCTGACACTGGGGATGCAAAGATGAGAAGAGGCACGAGGCCAAACTGCGGGGTTTGACAGCAGCTGCTTGCTGTTCTCACTAAGTAGGATGTGCTACACTAAGTGGCTTGCTAGCTGCTTCTGACTGACATCGTGATGGTTCTTATTCGTCCCCCGCATCCGGCAAACACCGGACCCCGCGTTGACAGATTTGACGAACTCCACTATGTTATTCTTAACAGGCCAACGTCTACTAGTTTTATAGTACAGGGGTAATTGAAGTGCTTCGTTGCCCTTTCCTGGGGCTGGCAGTATCAACATCCTCAACCTGAGATTCCTCAGATGGATCAGGCCACTGGAAAGTTTGAACTCGTCCACGGTCGATTTTGAGCAGTTAATGTTTATCCTTGTGTTACTAGGTAAGTTCCAACTCTCCTGCATCTCCTGTATCACTTTTATCCACCTCCATGTCCCTTTCCAAGCATTCTACCGTCGTTATACTCCAGCTATTCCAGGATGGAAGAGAACCGAGAATTCCTTAGGAAAGGTTTTAATTCGATTAACAGCAAATCAGAAGAAATCATCTGTACAGATCTCGCTTTTACAACGACTCACCCTCCCGATGTCTCGCACAGAAGCCGCATTGTAGCTGTCTGCGGTATCACCGACCATGACAAGCTTGCGGATCCGGAGAATGATGGATGGCTCTTTAGCGACTTCTATCTATTTCACCATCTATTCAACCCCCTTCGTATGTATCAGTCCTCCCCTTGCATTGCTGCTCGATATGATTAGACCTAACCTGAATGCCGTTTCCGATAGACGTCCGCACTTCATCTCAAACATGGTTGACATGTGTCGACCCAGCGCACCTGGTGGCCAAATATGGTGAATATGGTCACGGCGATCCTCGAAACGAGCGCCGAATTGTCCTCGAAGAAGCGCTTTTGCCAGATATCCACCGAGCTGGGAATATCCGCGTTGTGGATAGACTTGTCTTATTGGAACGTTTCGTGGAGACGGTCGAAGAGCAAGCTAGAGAGGCTGAAAAGAACAGTGAACATCTAGTTATTTTTATTTTCGGCCGTGGTCGGGGCGGTGATTATGGAGTCTACATTGGCGAACCAGGCCATACTGTACTGCAGGTGCGGAGATTAAGGCAGGCTATACCACGGGGGCTGAATACGACTCTCCTTCTGACTTCACGCTATTCGGGACGCTGGTTAATTCAGCCGGATGTGAACTATAATCGCAGATTGAATGTAACTGGAATTGCAGCAGAGACTACTATGTCCTGGTCCATGAGTGACAGCGTCGGCCGTGCCTCTGGAAGCACAATCGCCCCTGCAATACTCAGTCAGTTAATAGACATCGAGGAGAATGAAGGTGCAGAGGATGCTGCAAGCTCCCATCCAACCTATATCGACCTTGCCACATCAATCTATGACAAAGCGATTACACTTGACACATTTTTCAAGGACCAAAATGTGCATTTCTCTGCACAAGACGATGACTGGGAAGTCCATTGGAAGTCACGAACAGGGATTCCACTTGCAAGACTCAAGGAACGGTGGGAATGCCTGCGGCAGATCCTGCCAAGTGAGACCAAGTCTACCGGTGGGGAACACCCTTTGGCGAACCGACAGAAGGGCTCTCTTCAGCGAGATCTTCATCACTTTGCAGTAGAGTATTTGATTGCAAGGCCGGGCCGACATAACGTGGCGTCCAACCTTTCTTTATATGGGCGCCTGAACAAGTTCTTCAGAGGGGACCCTGAGGGGTGCACGACAGAGAGAGTCCAAGGCTTGCTGAACCGGGTAGTATACAGGTTGAACATGATGGCGGACGCGGACGAATACGTCAAGGCGATGGGCTTCAAGTACTCATCGTGCATCGGCTTCTCTGTCGAAGATCACGAACTCCGTGGTTCGCAGCAAAAAAATAGAAGCGCAGCTCTGGATTATGTGTTCCGGGCGAAACTGTTCCCACGCATGTCCCGTGTCGATTTCCCGCATTTTACAAAACCAGAGAACTATCTTGCGATTGTCCTTGTTGAAAACTGCAAATCAGAGGCTGACATCAAGGAGCGAGTGGATAGGGCTTTGTGTTGTGAGCTGTCAATGCCTCAAGGTTTCTGATTATGGTGCTGATCCATTTGATAGGGAAACGAGTGAGAGATACCACGATTCTCCCACAAGTCCAGGCCGGCAAAATCGTAAATGACCATCATGTCCGTGCCAAACTCCACGCATGTGTTTCAGCGCTCAGAGAGATAGGCCACAGGATACACGTAAAGACGAACTTGTTGACGCCTAGCCACCGAGGGTATTCGGCCGTTCATCCTGATGTGCCAACACCTTAGGTTTTCTAGGCCGAAAACCATTGAATGGACAAAGCTGAGGTACTGCACAACTCTTAGGTTTATCATCCTACCATGCTTTTTGTCTTTTTATCCTTCTTCTTCTCCTTCTTCAAGGCCAGCAGCACCGCTGATGGCTCAGTCCTGCTATAGCGAATTAAATGAGAGAGACGGTAACCTCGCTACAACCAGAAACTCGCGATATCCGTTTGGTGTAGAAATATAACGTAAATCACGGGTCAGCCGGTCACCACCGTATGGGGACTTTTCCTTTAAAGATAATGGGGGTTAGAATAGTCTAACCACTCGCGTTGATACATTCAACTGCTGTAACCTATTCCCGGTCGCCTGGTTAAATAAGATGTAGCTTACCAGGCATCTCAGCTCTAGAAACAACTCTAGAAGTTACTATTAGACCTATAGCAAAACCAGTTTTATTAAAGTTAAAGATATCTTGTTAGATACTGTACTTGTCTTGGAATTACTATAGTTGCTTAAACTAAGCTTTAATAACCTTAGGATTCTTATATTAAGCTCGAGAATAGTTGTATGTATGTGTAAAAGTACTTTTAACCTTATCTTACTATTTAATAAAGCTAGTAACCTAATTAATACTAATAGACTCCGGAGTAGTAGTTACACCAGATTAAAGAATAAGATTAGCTATTTCTTATATCTATACATGTTTAGGAGTAACTCCACGGGTATCTCTTAATACTGTCTAATATATTAGAATATTTTCCTGAGTTTCAGAGAGCCGGAGATTATAGTTATATTATTCTAATCGAAATTAGTATCCCTTGAATCAGTCTCGGAGAGTTTTCATGGTGGTTATCTGAATAATTACGTGTTGAACAACGCGTCGACTTTGGGTGGGGTGACCTGCTGACCCCTGATTTACGTTATAAAATTCATTGCAACCACTATATTTATAAAAGGTTTATGTAGAGTCATGCATATTTCAACCTGCTTATTAACAGATTGGTATGGCAAAACAGACAAACTCTACGAATTATGGGTATAAAGGGGTTTAACGAGATGTGTGGGATTTTTATAGCGGGTTTGACTGGAGCAGCCCTGAGCTGTGCGGAGATCCCTACTGTTTTGTCTGGAAGATCAACAAGGTTGGGTCTGAGTGACGAGATGAGAAGAGGTGTTCTGCATGGCCCGAAAAAATTAGAATGGCCTGGACTAAGACTCTCTTTGAATTAGGAAATATTACCGATTCCTTGGTGTTGGAATTCTGTGAAATGAACGATGTTCTCTGGTATTCTAGAGAGTTTCTGTTTTGCAGCTTTATACAACTGCGAATGCCAGTCTTCCTCTAATGTAGCCGTGGAAATGACTAATTAATACTACTAGAATAGCACGTACAACAGCAGCTCAGTACAGTTCAATTAGACAATTCTGGTGATATATAGCAAGAATAGCAAGCAGAGGTTAACTAGCATTTCCCTCTCGGAGCCGAGAACTCCTCTCGTCGCCACTCCTCCTTCCTTCGAGCCATCGATTTACCGACTAATGGGACCCAGTCGGTGATCTCTAGGGCTATGGGTCGATCGTGGGCCCACTTTGAGATCCGATCGACTCTTCAAAAGGATGCCCGAAGTCAAGGTTCTGCGATCCCTCGAAAACAACAATGGCTACCATGAGTTCGACCGCTACCTCCACCAGTGAGCTCAAGCAGATCCAAAAATGGAACTCTCGCGTTGAGCTGGGAAGCGTCGAACGCTGCGTCCACGATGTAATCGCAGAGAAGACCCAGACAGCCCCATCAGCAGAAGCTATTGCCGCCTGGGATGGCACTTTAACGTACTCCCAGATCGATGCTCTATCGACGACCCTGGCGAGCCGTCTGGTTGAGCTTGGCCACAGCCAGGAGAAATTCATCGGCTTGCTGTTTGACAAGTCCAAGTGGACTTCGGTGTCGGTCCTTGCTGTCATGAAAGCCGGAGCTGCATTCTTTCTGATCGATTCATCCCTCCCTGACCAGCGCATCAGACGTATGTGTGAGATTGCCCAAGCTTCGGCCATCATCACCTCGCCGAGCCTGTCGACGCGAGCGGGTCAGTTCGAGCGGCCTATACTGGTGGCTGAACACGAAGCCCAAAGAACGGCCACAGCATTAGCCTCGCTGCCAACGGTCAGCCCCAGGGACGCCCTCTACGTAGCATTTACTTCCGGGTCAACTGGCGATCCCAAATGTGTACGTCCAGCGATTCCTGCTAGTTATCTAGCCTTACTAACCGGCATGACAGGTCGTCAATACTCATTCAGGCGCTTGTAGTGGAATACGACCATACTCTCGCTGCATGGGGTTGACCCAGCAAAGCCGGATGTTTCAACTCTCATCTTACTCTTTCGTCATCAGTATCCTGGACCACCTGGGCGCGTTGATGAACGGCGCTTGCCTGTGTGTTCCATCCGCCGAGCAAGTCCAAAATAGCCTCGCGAGGACTATAACTGAATTGAATGCTAACTGGGCTGAGATCACTCCCTCTGTGGCTCGGGGCCTTGAACCAAGGATGGTACAGACATTGCGCACGGTTGTTCTGGTAGGCGAGGCCACCACCTTGTCCGATCTCGACACGTGGAGGGGCAGTGTAGATCTAAAAACGTGTTATGGACAGACCGAAAATTGCTTGGGTGCGTTGATTGACGACAAGACCGAGACCTCGAGTGCAAGCGATATGGGGTATCCATGGGCAGCGCATTGCTGGGTTGTCAACCCTAACTCCGATGACCTCGTTCCCATCGGGGCTGAAGGGGAGCTTTGGCTCGAGGGGCCATCCCTCGCGAGAGGGTACTTTAACAATGCCGAGCAGACAGCGGCTGTGTTCATTGAAAACCCTACTTGGATGCAGAAGATCCGGCCCGGCGAGAGAGCCCGTTTTCTAAGAACTGGAGACCTGGTTCGGTATCGGCCTGAGACGGGGATGCTGCAATATGTAGGCCGCGGGGGGACCCAGGTGAAGCTGCGAGGACAGCGGATTGAACTGGCAGATGTGGAGAGTCACCTGAAAAAGCAGTTCCCCGAGGCAGATGCAACAATAGCTGAGGTTGTAAATCCCAGTCAAGATGCTAACGGTGCTCTTCTGGTAGCGTTTATCATGGCGGGCCATGCAACGGTGTCTGGTGATGCCGCCACGGATGCACCTCTTTTCGCCGATACAACTGCTGAATTTTCTGCGCAGAGCCAAAACGCCCTGGCTCAATTACAAGATACTTTACCCAAGTATATGGTGCCCACCACCGTTGTACCCCTGGCGGCTCGACCCTTGACGGCGTCGGGGAAGCTGGACCGCAAACTGTTGCGGAGCAAGGCTTGCGAGTTAGGGCTCAAGCTTCAGACGTACCACCTTATAACCGAGACAAAAGCTCATCGCCCAGCGCGCACGGAGAATGAGGTTGTGATTCGAGATATGTGTGCCGGCCTTCTGCGCTCGGCTATAGAGGACATCAACATGGATGCCTCCTTTTTCGAACTCGGCGGCAATTCAATCAGCGCTATGTGGCTGGTTAGTCGTGCCCGCGAAGCAGGCTTTGCCTTTACCTCAGCGAATGTGTTTCAGCAGATGTCTCTGGCAGAAATGGCTGGCATGTATGGAGGCGTTGGATCTGCGAGGGACACTGGTGATGAGACTGCGAGCGAACTCCCTCTAAACGCTGCTCAAAAGGAAGAGCTCACCAAGTTCATTCCTCCTGACATTGACCCATCCAATGTCTCGGACTTTTTCCCATGCAGTCATGGGCAGCAATGGCAGCTGAGCAGTCAAAAAGATGGCGCCTTTCTGTTTCGCTTCTCTGGCCCACTCCAGGTTGACCGTCTTCAAACTGCATGTCGGCGTCTGGTTCAGACACACTCTTCACTACGATCCCTTTTCACTTTGCATGATGGAAGATTCATGCAAGTTATCTTGAAGGATATTGACGATTTCCCATTCACAATCCGGCATAGCAATAGCCCCACGCAAGACCCTCTATCGTTTGCAAAAGACCTGTGTGCCATTGAGCCTGCCGCTGAGCGCCCTGTTCGACCACTGCAGTTCACCCTGATTCCAGGCTCCTCAGGACAAGAACATGTCCTCATTCTCCATCTTTCACACAGCCAATACGACGGCATCTGCCAGCAAACACTGATCTCCGATCTATGTGCCTTGTACCAAAACCCCTCTGACCCAGGGGTAGTCCCAACAAACTTCGCTCATTACGCGCGCCATCTCGCACGCCCGCAGACAGCAGACGAATCTGCCTTCTGGAAGAACTTTCTCGAGGGCTCAAAGATAACCAGACTACCAACCCCTCCTCAAAACCCCAGCCAGAAGGTCATTTTCCTCGATTGCGCAACTACCATACCAATCCCTGACAAGCCCCTGCCCACCGGAGTAACGCTCGCCACAGTCGTGAAAGCCGCGTGGTCCCATGTCCTCCGAAAAGCAACAGGGAGCCAAGACATCGTATTCGCCCAGTACGTCGCCCTCAGAGATCTGGAGAGCGTCCCACAGGCCCACCGACTAGTCGGGTTCTGTGTGAATTCGTGCCCGGTCCGCGTCGATTTCAACGGCAGCAGCGGCAGCAATAACAAGCCCATAAAGACAGCTCTAGACCTTCTCCATGCTCTGAAAACCCAACATACGCAGACTATCCCGTTCAAGGCGTCGCAGTGGGACTATACCGTTTCGAACAACACGGACTGGCCGCGAGGCAGTGAGACGCAGAGTACACATATACACGAGAACTTTGACATTGAGAAAGCATTTGATCTAGGCGGGGGTTTGCGGTGTGAGCTGGTTGACTACCTTGGTATTTTCCCGCCGTTGGATGCTATGAGGGTTATTTCGGAGCCGAAGGGGGATAAGGAGTTGAAGATTGAGTTGATGTCTTCGACGACGATTGTGGAAGAGGATAGGCTGGAGTATCTGCTGGGGGAGTTGAGTAGGACTGTTGCTGATTTTATGGCTAGTCCGGAAAGGCCTTTGGATTGAATCTAGTACAGATATATTAGTCAATTACTATAAGCATAACCCTCTAGTCCAACCTGCTGCAATAACAGTCTGAACAATATACCACCCGGCTTCAACTACTCTTGCTTCTCACACTCTGCACCGCAATCTGACACAACTGCAAGACCGAGTCTCCCCCCAGAATCTTCACGACAGGAACCTCAGCGCCCAGCTCTCGCACAAACCACGTCCGTATCTCCACCGCGACAAGAGAGTCAATACCGAACTCAACGAGTGGCTGTTTCGGACTTTCTCCAACAGACCCCGGCGGCAGCTGCAAAATAGACTCCAACTTGGTCGAGAAAGCCCCCACGATAACCGCCACGGCATCCTCTTCGCTCTGCGCCTCTATCGCTAGCTTCCGGACGTCTCCTAATTTCCCTACCATCTGCTGCTGCTTACTTCCTAGCTTAGTGTAAGGAACGAAATGCCCAAACCGTGGATTCCCTAGCCACACGACAGGCTGGTTCGGGGCCAGAGGCACGGTAGGAGGTTGAACGCCCATAATGATATTGTAAGATCCAGCACCAGGCCTCCCTCCCCGAATCGCCTGAGCAAATGCATGATGCACATCCGTCTCAGATAAAGGCATCGACCGCAGTGTATTGAACTGCCGCTGCATCATGCTACTGGAATTACGCGCCACATAACCCACGTCCCCGACATACCCAATGTGAATTATAGAGGCTGCGTCACCGCGGCCACGGCGCTGTTCCACCAGTGCTTCCATGTAGAGATTGGCGCAGTTGTAGTTTGCCTGTCCGGCATTGCCGACGATTGCAGCGGCTGACGAGAGCAGGATGAAGAAGTCGAGTTTCGTATCTGTATCTGTATTCCTGAACACGGCATCGAGGTTCTCGGAGCCGTCGACCTTGGGCGCGAGTGTATCATTTAGCTGGTCAATGTCCATATCGATGAATAGAGAGTCTGATAGGACCATGGCCGCGTTGCAGACACCGGCGACTGGGGGCATTGTCTGTCGGATCTTGTGAATAACCTCCTCCACTGACTCCTTTTTGGTCACGTCCATGGCAATAACTTGCACTCTGGCTTCCTGGTGATGAGCATCCTCGAGGAGAGAAGTGTTTATTTGCGGATTTCGACTGGTGATTACTATATACTTTGCACCGTTACGCAGCATCCAGCGGCAGATTGAGAGTCCCAAGCCTCCAGCGGCGCCTACCATGAGATACGTCCGGTTGGAATAGAAGAGATTCTGCGTTGAAAGAGGCGGAATTGTGACTTCGAGCAGCCCAGATTCGTGCTGCTGCCAGTCAGTCACGTATTGTCTGTTGAGCAGGCGAAGGTCTGTTCCTGCTAACTGAGCTGCAGGGATAATATCGCTTTCGTCTTGGGAAACGCCTTTGGCAGTGTTATATGCATCTCCAAGTAGTGTTGAAATGTTTACCTGGTCGCCCTGGAGGATCTGCTTCAGGAGCTGGCTGTCAAAATGCCACCGCGGGCAAGTGGGTGGAAGACACGACTGGACCTGGCTCGCAGCCGAACTATCTGGCGTGCAGTCCACGTACAGCTTGACATCTGTAGGGATGATACGCCTGATATCACGCTTCGATGTCAAAGGATGGATCTTGATCCAATCAGCCGGTCCATTAGGATTCGATGTCACGAAGTAAGCTTGTGCTTCAGCGCGCATCAAATCAGTAGTAATTAGAGAAGCTATTGCTGACGGAGGCTCATACACCAGGACTCTCGATACGGGTCCTGCAATCAGGGACAGTGCTCTAGAGAGTAAACAGGTGGTGATTGCTTTGATCGTGCTCACATCAGTATCGTTGTCAACAGGAAATATATCAGATAACCCTAACTGCACTGAAGAGTTGTATTTCGAGATGCCAATCACAGATATACCATTCCGAGTCCCATAAATGAGATACAGTCCATCGCCTTGATTATCTGGAATATGCACAGCGTATTTTACCAAGATAGAAGTGCAACTCGTGGTCATCTCAGTGCCAGCCTGCAGAGTCATCTTGGACGCGCCTGGAACCGCCTTGACGATAGTGTCTGTTGAATCCACTAGCTTCTTCATAGGCCGGGTCGATGCAATGTACACCTCGTTCAGACTGCTGTCCATAATGATCCGCGGAATCAGGACCTGACCGGTGGCAAGAAGCGTAACTTCAGACTCCTGCTTCCAAAATTGCTGGTCTCTATCACTCGCCACGTCATTCTCGCTCAGTTCGTGCAGTCTCAGCAAACCCTCAACCAAGTATCGAGCTGCCACCGGGTCATTTATGCCCGTCTCAAGACTGACAACCTGTGTTCGCAGCTGCGGTATCTCATTTTCAAGGACGCGTGCGATACCTGGGAACATGGCGGCTCGAGGGGTCTGGTCTGCGGGCTTCACCCAAATTAGGACACGGGCGTTTATTAACATATTTTGCAGCAAGGCTAGTCGTCGCGCTGTCATATTAAATAGTGGCTAGTCTAGCTCGTGTAGACAGATTATCTCCGTGTTTGACTCAACCGAATCGAGCGCATCAAGGTTAGGAATGATATGCAAAGACCGATGCCATGGCTCTGGAAGAAACTTTTGAATCTGGCCAACAATATCCGATGTTGCCAGCTTTCCCCCTCCTATCAACAACACAGGAGGCCCTTCTAGAGGAGGTTCAACCAGCGGATTCTGCAAACGAAGGAATGTCCTATCCACTGCTTGACTAACGATCAAGGACAAGGTATGCTTATCCTCATCAGCAACATCATGGACAACTGTATCAGCGCCTGAGAGTCCTGTCTGCCGCAGGAGTCTATCCCAGTCCGCGCATGAGACTGTCGGATTCAGTCTTCGATTCTCCTCCTCGCCGAGCCACAGTCCACTCAAGCCGCCGAAACTAACCAGGATGCGAAGAGAGTGGGTATTTGTGACTTCGAACAGCAGGAGGTATCCCCCAGGACGGAGCAACGACCGGATATTTTGCAGAGTGTGTTCCAGATTGCGAGTGGCGTGGAGGACATTGGCTGAGATGATCACGTCGTATGAGTGTGGCGTGAAGCCCTGGCTCAACGGGTCTTTTTCAATGTCGAGGACTTTGAATACCATTTGATCGAGGGAGTGTGCGAACCGTTCTCTTGCACCGGGGAAAAAGCCAGTGGAGATGTCTGTGTATGTGTATGTCTCGTATGCGGACTGGATGGCTTCCAGGACACTCCAGGTCTATTCACACCATTAACATCAGTCAGGTTATAAGAGATATAATAACATACCGTAGCACCCGTCCCAGCACCTATCTCCAGAATAGTACACCGCGGGAATTTAAACGAGATCTGCTGCATCGCGCGAGCAAGACATTGGTTAACCTTGATGAAGCCACCGTTCTCCATATAAAACCGACTCAGCAGATCATCCTGCTTCAAGATTTCCAGCATGTGCATCTCCCCCCGGACTACTCTTGCAAGACTCTGGCCTGAAGCTTTTAGCATCTCCAGCTCCACTTCATTCGGACTCTCCGCGTGCAGTCGGTCCATGGTTTCCGGTGTATCTTCTAACCACTCTTGCTTCATGATCTGGTGTTGGCCCTTTCGCGTAAGCTCCAGGTGCTTGTCGAATGCCTCCAGCATGCGCTGATGATACCACGAGATATTTTCCCTGTCAATATCAACCTCCACTAGCCGTCTAGCATAAAACAGCGCCATCCGCTCTGCAGTTTCACTCAAGCGTAAGAGCTGCTCTGGCACAATATCATCATCACAAACTAACTTTGCAGCCTCAATACCCTGTACAATATCAACCCCCCAAGCTGTTTTCGAGAAAACAGGCCTGTCATGCGAGACATCCAGCTCCCCAACTATCCGAACTTCCAATCCCTCAAGCTGGAGGAATTCACGCCCATCCGCTGGATTATAGATACTAATATCCCCAGTTACAGCTGCCGCAGTCTGCTGGACGATCCATGTTTCGAATTCAGCCCGTATATCTCCACCTCTGGCTGGATTTAGTCTAGATCCATCAACGCGCACACGCTCTATATACGACGGCAGGAGAGCAGACGAGACCTGGCCGGTATTCGGGTGCGTTCGCGCGAGGAGCAGCACTTGGAATGCGACGTCGAGGAGGGCCGGATGCACCAGGTACTCGTCATCGCCGAATGAATTAGCAGGCCAGACTCCGGTGGCGGTGGAGAAGTCTAGGCACCGCTGGCAGGTATCTATGCTGCGGAAGAGGCCGGAATATGTAAGGCCGATGTGGTGGAATAGGGCGTAGATGTCGTCGGTGTTGAGGGGGGTTAGGTCTGTAGGATGAGGTTCTTTTGGAGGTAGGATGCTGCATTCTCTATTTGATTTTGAGGGTCGACGGAGATGGAGAGTGAGGTTGCCGGTGCAGGTGTGTATCATGGTTCCAGATACTTCATCCGGGCAGACGTAGTATGAGAACTGTGCCTTGATAATCTGGACATCACCCTCTGATGCAGATGATTCCAGCATAACAGTAAAGAGCGTCTCAACCCCAGCCTTGTCATCCGGTACAACCACAGGCCGCAGAATATTCACCTTCTCAACCTCGCTCAGTTCCAGCTGTCTCTTCTGCATTGCTGCAAGATACCGACCCGCCTCCAGCGCAATAGAGACATACGCTGCCCCAGGAAGTAGAATATCACCCAGTACTTCATGCCCACTGAGCCAGGGCAATTCATTCCGTCTGAGGACATTGCGCCAGCGAAGTTCTCGGCTGTTATCATCTGATGTACGCCGGCCTAGTAATTCATGTGGCTTGTCTCTGTCTGTGCGGAATCGGCGAGATATGCGCGACTCCCGCCAGAAGACGCGGTCGTGGTCCCAGGAATACGTTGGCAGGTCTTTTATTAACACAGGGGTTTTGGTCCGTGTATTCTGCAGGGTCCTATCCGAAAACGCCTGGTAGAATCCATGTAGGTCTATGGATGATGGGCACTGCACCCATACACCCGCAACAGTATCGCTCAATGCCTCGATGTCATTCTCCCCACGCTTCAACGTCCCGGTGTAATAAGGAGCAGCGCCTGTTTCTTTGAAGATTTGCCCCGTCGGTCCCTTAAGGGCGGGATGGGGACCGACTTCAATAGCCAGGTCGAATGGCCCATGTTGTAGGGCTAAGGCAATGGCGCGAGAGAAGAGCACCGGTTGGACCATGTTATCCACCCAGTATGGTCCGCGAAGCGCGCTCAAGTCTTGTTCTAGGAGTTTATTTCTGTGTACACTCGAGTGCCATACCGGTGTTCCGGGTTGCTGGACATGTATTTTACACGCCAGCAACGAGTCCAAGTACGCCTGCGCACAGGGCAGCATATGCTGCGAATGGTAGGCCGTATCGACCTTGAGCTGTCTCACAAATATACCATTCGTCTCGAGGCATTCCTTCGCTTGTAAGATAACTTCAAGATCGCCAGAGATAGTCACGCTCTGTGGCGCATTAACCGCCGCGACCTGAATACGGCCTCCGAATTCAGGACGCGTGCAAAATTCCAACGCATCGTCATTCGACATCCCCGCTGCGATCATACCCCCTTTCTCACCATTTGGGCCCTGCGCATGCCGGGCGTGGAACCCGCGGTAGTATGCTATCTGCATTGCTCCTTCAAGGGTGATAATGCCGCTGGCGTACGCAGCGGCAATTTCACCAGATGAGTGGCCAACGACGTGATCGAATTTAATTCCTGCAGCTGTTAATAGGTTAACAAGGCTGATCTGGACAGCGGTGCATAGGGTCTGTGAGATAGCGGCTGAATCAATGTTTGTGCTACTGCCCAGCTCAGTAGCTAGTGAGCAACTCGGGATAGAAGTGGGTAAAGCCTGTAACACTGCTTCGCAGGCTTTTATACCCTGACGGAAAAGAGGGCAGTGGAGGAATAGTTCACGGCCCATAGCTGGCCATTGCGCGCCTTGGCCTGTGAAGATTCCTAGAATGTTAGGGCTCTGATTTATCAGCTGTGGTTCGTATCTATCACGCGAGACGTAGTGTTCCATTTTATTTAAAATGGAATCTCGTGATATACCAGAAAAAGAAGCTCGTATTCGGTGCGTAGAGCGGCGCGAGTACAGAATCCAGCTGAGATCGCGGAGATTTATATCAGGATTGTGCCGCAGGTGCTGTATATATGCCTTGATAGTACGCAGCAACGATGGACCAGACCGAGCTGAGAAGAATAAGAATATCGGACCCAGGAGCTCTAGATTATGTTCGTTATTGATACTCTCGTAGCTTTCGATAATTGCGTGGGCGTTGGTCCCCCCGAATCCGAAACTATTCACACTCGCTCGCAGCGTAGGTTGCTCTGGCCATACCAGGGGCACTTTGGTAATCTGTAACGGACCATAATATGGTTCAATTTCCGGGTTCAGCTCGTCGAAGAGGAGGTTCGGAGGGATAGTATTGTGCTTTATAGCAAGTATAGCCTTCAGTACCCCCGCCAATCCCGCACAGCCCTCCAAATGCCCAATGACGGTTTTTATAGAACCGACATGAATCACATTCGACCTGTTCGAGACGGAAGCATCAATGAATGCCTCGCTGATGGCGCGCGCCTCCACAGGATCCCCAACAGTCGTCCCAGTCCCATGGCACTCCACAAACTGCGGCGCATCCCTAACCGGATCCAACCCAGCACGACGATACGTCTGCCGGATTAGATCCCTCTGCGCCACCGCCGAAGGCACCGTAAGCCCAGCCGTCTGGCCATCCGAGTTAACCCCCGTTCCCCGGATCAAAGCATCAATGTGATCGCCATCCTCAAGGGCACGACTGAGCGGTTTAAGGAGCAGCACTGCAGCGCCCTCGCCGCGCACATACCCATCCGCAGCAGCATCCCACATCCGACACCGCGCGTCTGGCGAGAGCATGTGGAGTTTCGACTCGAGGATGTATCGGCTCGGGTCCAGGATTAGATTGACGCCTGCGACGAGTGCGGTTTCGCAGTCTCCGATGTGTAGAGCGTTTGCTGCATGGTGCAGGGCTACTAATGAGCTCGAGCAGGCGGTGTCGATCGTCTCGGATGGGCCGTGGAGGTCGAATGCGTAGGATATCCGGTTGGATATTATACTGCTTGCTGTACCCGTTGCGGCGTATGTGGTGACTGTTTCCATATCCCTGCGCTGGATGGCGGACCAGTCGTCTGTCATGCACCCGACATACACGCCCGTTTGGGAGCCTTTTATCTGATGGAGAGTAAGACCGGCAGCTTCGAATGCTTCGTACGCGGTTTCTAGTAGGAGTCGTTGTTGAGGATCCATGCTCGCTGCCTCGACGGGGCTGATGCCGAAGAAGGAGGCGTCGAAGAGGCTGATGTCTTCGTCTAGGAGGTAGGATTTGTTGATGACGTCTGTTGACCCGTGGGTGTCTCCATTCTCGTGGAAGAAGCGCTGCAGGTTCAGTCGGTGGTCGAAGTCCTTCAGGACGTCCCGGGGGTGAAGCAGCAGCTCCCACAGTTTTGCAGGCGTATTGGACTGTCCTGGCAATCGGCATGCCGAGCCGATTACGGCGATTGGTTCTTTCATCTTGTTTATCCAGTTCAGATTAAACTGGCAGCAGGATCTCAGGTGAGAGTTCAGTCTGTCAACCGCGGGGTAAAACAGTCAGCTGTTGAGACATTATAAGCGAAACCAGTCCCATTGGCTGGACTGGCTGTAGCTGACTGCAGTTTGAGTATATTATTGAGGATAATCTTTCTACAGAGAGTATATAGATTTAATATAATCTGACTTAATAAACAGACTAGGTACACCTCTTCATCCCACAAGCACAAACATCCCTCGCAAACTGCTCCTCCTCAGGCACCTTGTCATGCAACTGCTGCCTCCTCTGCGCCGGCCAAATCTCCTCTCCCTTCTTCACCTCTCTATCCCAATGCTCCCTCAACTCCCTCTGCACCAGCTCCTTGAAATACAACACCCCGCTCTCCCTCGCCCCATGCAACGGCCCATGCACATAAACCCCGGAATTCAAATTCCTCTGCACCCCGTTACACAAGTCATAATCCTCCAGCTCAATCCCCTCGAAGAACGCAGCGGCGCGGTCAAACGCTTCCCCGGGGGAAGTTGGGTTGCGGAAGACCTGGTATTCTGTTGTAACTGTTGTTGCGGAAGTTGGGACGACGCGCATGATGAAGAAGTACGGCGTCGACAGGTTCACCGACGTGTTGGGGAAATTATACGTGAAGGCGCCGTTGCCGAAGTACTCAAAGTCCGCGGGCTTGATGTCGTCGCGGTTTGGGGGTGAGTGCTCGAAGCGGCCTGAGTGTGGCGTTACGGTGTATCGCTCCAGATTGGTGATTTTGGTGATTCCAGGGTGGCTTGCTTTGCAGTGGTAGCACTATTTCTGTTAGTATATGAATATAACAAGGTAGATTAGGGCTGGGGGTACCTCGTTGTAGTTCTCTCCCACGACTTTCCAGTTGTATTTCCCGTTTGTGGTCCAGGTACGGTGGTAAACATAGTCGTCCAGATTAAAGTCGTCTAGTCTGGGCTGCTCGTCTGTGCCTCCATTCAGCTTATCCCAGGGGATAGGAGTCTCAGCTGCATCAAGGTTCACCCAGACGAAGCCGATCTTGTCGACGTGGGTATGGATCTTGAAGAGACTATACTCCGCCGCATCAAAGTCCTGGAGGTCATCAAACTTGGGCGCTTTGGTTAGTTTTCCATCGAGGTTATACGACCAGCCTAGCCATTAGCTTTAATAAACCCTATGAAGGAGGAGAAAAAGTACCGTGATATCCACAAGACAGAATCGACCTCTTCCCCTCATCCGGGGCGTCCTTGTCAATGAGCGGGTACGCGCGGTGGCGACAGACATTATGGAATGCCTGGATGGTACCCTCCTTGTTCTTGATGAGGAGGAAGTCGAACCCTGCGATCTCGAAGCGGAGGTAGCTTCCGGCTTCTGGGAGGCGCAGACGGTGCGTGGTGAGCAGCCAGTGCTTGGAGAAGATTGCGCGGCGCTCGAATTCGTAGAACAGGGGCTCTGTATACCATGAGGCTGGGAGGTTGCCTTCCAAGATGGGCTTGCCGCTGTTTTTGTTGGTGAATTTATTGTGAATTGCTCCGAGCATAGTGAAGTAGATAAAATTGATTCTTGATAGAAGGAGAGTGCGTTAGACTATATATTATATATTCATCTACCCTCAGTCCATCAACATCAATCTAGAAACCCATCGCGAAGTTGCCCTACTTGGATGTCTATCTCCCTGTAGATAACCTTAACGATGAGGCTTGGCTTCTTTCTAGGGTTAGACCGGTAATTGTAGCTTCAATTACCAACTCCAACTGCAGCATCGGCAGCTGTTCCGATCATTGTTGGAGCAATCTCCAATCAGGGCTGCATCGCGATCGCTGCCCTAATCCGGTAATCCCGACTTACCTTATTAACAGTCCAACCTTGGTTACCCCTCATAGTTCTGTCAGTTTCAGTTGTCAGTCAGTTGTAGTCAGAATGTCAACCTCCCCCGACGGCATCTACGAACCAGGCATCATCGACCCCGGCCTCCCCAGCAACTCCCCCACACAGCCATTCTGGCTCTCCCAGCCCTCCAAGATACACAACCTGCAATCACCATGGCCCAACCAAGCCGACATCATCATCATCGGCTCGGGAATAACAGCAGCAAGCCTCACCCGCACACTCTACACCCACAAGCCAAACCTGCACATCGCCATCCTCGAAGCCCGCGCCCTCTGCTCCGGCGCAACAGGGCGCAACGGCGGACACTGCAAAGTCATGAGCCCGGGCGTCTGGTTCGAGCGACAGCACGCATACGGCACGGCCGAGGCACTGCGCGTTATGCGCTTTGAACATGCCCATCTTGGTGAGCTGGCTCAGTGTGTCAAGGAGAATGAGATCCAGTGTGATCTGCGCCTGCACGAGGGCGTGGATGTCTACCACGACCAACATACTTTTCGCCGTGCTGTGCGCGCACTCGAGGACATGCGCAGGTATGCACCAGACCTCGCGGAGAAATACACCGTGTACACCAGTAAAGCAGACCTCGAGGCCCGACACTGCCCCGTGGAAAGCATCGGCGCGATCAGTATGCCTTCGGGCTCAATGTGGCCGTATAAATTCGTAACGGGACTATTCGAAAAATACCTCCACGACCACAATTTCACCATCCAAACCAACACCGTCGTCACAGACATACTCGAAACCCCAGACTATGGGATAGTGAAAACAACCAGAGGCGAAATCAAAGCACCAATCATCATCCACGCCACAAACGCCTGGATGAGCCATCTCGTCCCCGAACTGCAACCGTTTGTCTCGCCGGTCCGCGCAAATGTCCAGCGCCACGTCCCAGACTCGAGTATCCGCGTCGACAACTCCCTCTGGCTGCGCTACGCAGAGCACGACTATGATTACATGGTGCAGCGCCCAGACGGGGCATTCATAATCGGGCGCGCAAACACAGGGCGGCGGGCCACAAGCGACGACGGGGATATGGACGTCTTACCCCAAACTCATCTACGTACTGTTGTGCCTGCGCTGTTTGACTTCAAGTCTGCCAATGTGCGAGTCACGCATGCCTGGAGTGGGTGTGTTGCGTTTACGCAGGACGGGAACCCGTTTGTTGGGAAGTGGCCGGGGGAGAGGAGGCATCAGTGGGTTTGTGGTGCGTATCAGGGGATTGGCATGGTGAGGGCGTTTAGATCGGCTCAGGCGCTGGCTCGGATGGTTCTGGGCCTGGATGTGGGGGAGTTTCCGCGGTCGATGGTTATAACCACGGACAGGCTGAGGAGGTTGGATTTGTCGGTTAGGGCTAAGCTGTAACGTTTGACCTTGCTGTATTGATCGTTCCTATGGTTGAGTTGCTAAGAAATACTACTTCGCTCTCTCCATATATCTTCCCATCCAGGATAAAACGGACTCTCAGCCAACGTCTCCTCCTCCCAATCCCTCTCTACAACCCCCCTCTCAACCTGCTCCCCCTTCCACGCCTCCAACGCCCCCAACACAACCCCCAGCAAATGCCTATGCACCTTCGGCTCCGTAATCACCCTCTTCCCCTCGGTAACCTGCTTATACAACAACGCAGGGACATAAGGCTCCGCACGCAGTTCCGTCATAGGCGTGAAAACCGCCTTGAAATTAAACACAATTGCCCCGGACAGCGGCAGGCGGCGGAGTGTCTGCCAGTCGACGCGGAGATAGCACTGCTCAATTGAGATGGATTTGGTCTCAGAGTGTCGTGTTCCGCCGTTGAGGGCGTATTCTGCGGGCGTCACGAAGAGCGGTTTCCAGTCTTCGATGAACCAGGCGCCTCGTTGGATGGGGGTGTGTGTGGGGAGTTTGGCGAAGAACCTATATATATATCTATTAGCTTGTTGATTTATTCTGGTAAGAAGTGGGGACGTACTTGTCCATGGATCTGGCCATCTTATCATAGTCGTTTACTTCAGCGTGGATATCCCGCAGCGGTTTCCCGAAATGCGTACCAAACGTCCAGCCGATGGACGAGCAGATATATCCCGCCCGGAGATAATAAAGACCGTCCTCTGGATTGCGCATCATAATTGCAAAGTCCTCGGGGATATTCTCAAACAGCACATGGAGCGGATGGGTAGCGGTAATATCCGTCTTTGTGTTCAGAAGTCTATTGACGAACACGGTATTGGACTCTTCCAGCGCAAACTGGCGCACTAGCAGTCCCCCTATCCTGCATGCCGTCGTACCTCCCCGCCACGTTTGCTACGGTCAATTACTCGTGCGTTGTCTTTGTAGGGTTTATTTCTGTTGCGTCGTTGTGGTATTGTGTTTGGGGATATAAGGGCTTTCAGGGGCCTGTGGTTGATGTTTCTCGGTTTGAGGGTTCGAGTACTGCAGTACATCCATGATAGGGTATTGCCCCTTCTAGATATAATTATGGATGGCTGTACCTTCCTAATATGAATAGCTTTCTGGCTGTGAATGGAAGGTGCGGCGTGCCGTTCTTTCCATATACAGTTCAAAAGACAAAGGAAGGAGCGACCACGGAAATAATACCAGGTAGCTGGTTCCTATTCCAACTATATTTGATATTTCATAAGTGGTTCATGTGAATGATACAGTTGCCCTTTCTATCCCCATCTCTTCAATACAAAAGGAATAACAAAAGAAATACTCCTTGTCAAGACTACCCCCTCACTTCACCTCAACCGTATCCGTAACACGTATTTTCCGATCATATCTTCCATCCCAGAGAACCTCCTGGCTAGGACTCCTCGCAGCATCCACCTCGGCTGTATTCTCAAAAACACCGGAGCCGTGGAAGATGCGGCCCTTGTTTGTGCGCCGGCCCGATGACTCCAGTCCAATGGACTCGGAGCCGTGCGAGTAGCTCTGGTCTCGGGTTGTGCGCTTCTCCTTGAGGAAGCCGAAGATGGTGCGCAGGGCGGGTAGCGAGAGGGCGATGATGGCGGCGCTGATCTCGGCGCAGGTCCAGGCGATGACGGGCGAGAAGTACCAGGTTGCGTCGGCTTCGTTTTCGACAGAGACGATCATGGAGATCATGCGGAAGACGGAGGTTCTGCTTGGTTAGTTGGTTGACTTGTATGGAATAGGAGGACTTACATGACGGCACTATAAAGAAGAACGGTTAGCAGTGAATATAATGTGGTGAGTTGGGTATACTTACAAAACTCCAAAGCACAAGATACCGAGCAGTGCAATCTTCCGCGTGATGCTTGCTTGGAGAGTCATAACGATTTTGATAGGGAGGAGCAGGATCAGCGAGTCGCAGGCAATCGTCAGAGCGCCCGTTGAGATGAAGACGATGCCAGATCCCATGCATTTCCCCTTTACAGTCTGATCCCACATCGCCTGGAGAGGGATGCACTGCAGCGCAATGATGAGTGTCTGCGCAACATATACCGACGTAATAAACGCAAAGGAGAGTCTGAGGTAGAGGATGAACTGCGGCATAGGGTTAATGCGTGCATAAAAGGCCAGCCCTGAGACACGACAGAGCCACAGGTTGAACATGTACACCATCTGAGTCGTGAAGAGCCATTTGTACATGTGGACCAGGTCCTCTGGGGATTCGAGCATCAGCGCTGCTAGATGGCGACCAGAGCCGTAATGCAGAATCATCATACACAGGCTCATAGTCGCCCAGGACACTAGCTACAGTCAGAGATGTTAGCAGGGGTAGCAGGGGTAGCAGGGGTAGCAGGGGTATTAGCAGAAGAGGCACTACTGCTAGAAGCTTACCTGCGCCATCACGATAAAGTAGTCATCCCATCCTATCTCTCGAACCAAGAACTTGCGAGCATAGAGACGCACAAGAACAACAACAAGGGACAGCGACGTGGAGAATATGATCCCAATGTACGCTGGCCGGCTGCGATCCGCTTCCAGATAGCCAGGAGGGAACTGTGAGGGATCCGCCATTTTCCTGGTAGCATCGAGTCCTGCTCAGCAGAGTATACAAGTATACAAAGGCCATCGTCGAGATAAATATCTTCAGCCTGGCAGCCGTTCCAGTCCTGCTGCTGCAACCAGCACAAAGGACCATATCAGGAAAGAAACCCTAAGGACACGCACCAATCCTCGTGATTCGTGCCGTTTGTACTTTTATCGCGCTAGAGGGGATTAAATTAAGGAACTGGATGTGTCCGAAACAAGGAGGAGTCTGGATCCCTCTGTACTTTGGCCATTGCCGGTGCTTTTTTCCGTATCCACTATTGATCCTGCTAAGACCGCGCACTCTAAGAGGTCCATCCCCTCGGCGCGGGTTACGTACAAGCCTCAATGGACTGGTAGACTGCGTGACATGAATACCTGGGATGGCTTTGGTCTACCATTCAACCAGCTACCCAGACAAGTGACAAGCAAAATAGAGTTGGGTGACTCCTCACATTTCGTTCGAATGATTTGGTAGGCACGGGCGAGTCTGGTCTAGAATATGGCCACCTGGCGGTCACTTAACCACTCGGGGCAAGAGATAAGCGACGCCGTTGGACTAGCCGTGCCGTTAAACTAGCATGCTGCTGGACTAGTCACGACGCCAACCAAAAAGACTGGGTCTTGCAGCAGCACAAGTCCGGGACTTTGGGCGTTTCTGAAAAAGAGACTGAATAGCCGAGGGTCTTAGCGAAGAGGCTTTGGTTGCGCCAAAGACAGACAATTGGGCCGATCAAGGCTTTTCGACCTGTCGAGTGTCAGCTCTCCTGTACCAAGCTTAACTGGCCAGCCGTTGACAGGCAGCTAGCGGTTTCACTACTGCAGCTAGCCATTTATATCTCTGTCCGGCTCGTGCCCTAACTGCAAAGGACAGCAGAGACTCCACAGTATCCACTCTCCGCATTGGCGGCACGGGAGGGGCCGCTGTCATATTGGATAGATGCTGATCAAGAAACAAGTACATTTGGTGCTTGCGCCTAAAGTACGGGGTAAACGGAGTACACTGGACGGTGCTCCTATTACCCCAGCACCCCCTCTTGTAGTCACTTAGTCGCTTGGGTGCCGTTCTTGTTGCTTTTTATTTGGACTTCGGTCACCCCGTCCAATATCCACCGTAGACATGTCGAATTCAGCGTCAAACGTGATGGCCATCATGGATGCGCCCCAGTTATTGTCCTTCTTGGACGCCCACCGTGTGCTAGTGTTTCTCGCTGGGGCCGTTGTGGTCCGTGTTCTCTGGAGAAAATACTGCACCTCCATCAGGGATATTCCTGGCCCCTTCTGGGCGTCATTTTCCAGCATCTGGAAAGTGTATCAGGTCTGGAAGGGCCACTCGGAGCTGGAAATTCTGGAACTGCACAAGAAACACGGTATGTCTCTCCTGTCATTTGATCTGGGAGCTTGCTCATATAGTATAGGCCATTTTGTTCGCCTTACCGACAATGAAGTCAGCGTGTCCCACCCAGACGCAGTGAAACAGCTTCTCCACGCAAACATTCCAAAGGTACATTATGACATGCATATCGATCTATATAACCAATTAATCTGAGGCTGCTAGGGCACATTCTACTCTGTCTTCAGCCTGCCTGACTACCGATATGTCAACCAAATGTCCGAGCTCGACCCTACCTATCACATCCACAAGACCCGTAACCTTTCCGCCGGCTTCTCCCTATCCAACATCACAAAGACAGAGCCCTACATCGACTCCGTGCTGAAACTATTCACCACCCGCCTCAACGACCTCAGCGACTCCAACACCCCCGTCCAGTTCCAAGACTGGTTCAGCTTCTTCGCATTCGACGTCCTCGGCGAAGTCACATTCTCCAAATCCTTCGGCTTCGTCGACTCAGGCGCCGACATCCGCAGCGCAATCGCAAACACCGGCCACCTCGTCTCCTACATCGCAGTCTTCGGCAACTATATCTGGTTCCACAACCTCACCCTGGGGAACCCCCTCTTCAGCCGCCTCGGCCTCCAGCCCAACTCGCACATCTTCGATACCTGTCTTCTCGCAATCGAAAGCCGCAAGACAAACCCCGAGCTCCGCCATGATATGATGCAGCGCTGGCTCGACGTCCGGGCTACCCACCCTGAGCGCATGAAGGAGGAAGATATCTTCGGCGCGGCCGTTGCGAATATCGGAGCTGGTGCTGAAACCGTGAGCTCCACGGCACAGGCTGTCATCTATAACCTGCTCCGGCGCCCGGACTTGATGAAGCGCGCCCAGGACGAGATTGACGCTGCAGTGGCCCGTGGAGAACTCTCGCCTTTGGTTCAATATAGTGAGGCTGCCAAGTTGCCCTTCCTCCAGGCTTGTGTAAGTGATCCCCTTTGGAAAGTGTTTAGTATTCTAACCGTGGTATAGTTAAAAGAAGCATACCGATTCCACCCCGGCGTCTCGCACAATCTTCCCCGTGTCGTCCCTAAGGAGGGAATAACCATTGCAGGAAGATACTTCCCAGAGGGAGTACGACTGCCCCCACCATATATATATGCCTTCAGGATATTAACGTAATCTAGGTCATCCTCAGTGTCCACCCCTGGGTCATCCACCGCAACCCCGACATCTTCGGCGCAGACTGCGAAACCTACAACCCCGATCGCTGGCTCCAGGGAGATACCAAGAAGATGGACTATTTCCTGATCCACGTACGTCTCCATTATTTATTTGATAGCATCTCACTGACTTGCCTCTTCCAGTGGGGCGCCGGCTACAACCAATGCCCCGGCCGGAACCTGGCCCAGTTCGAGCTCTCAAAGGTCCTCACGACTGTCCTGCGAGACTATGACATCGAACAGATTGACCCGAAGAAGGACTGGCAGTATGAGTCTCGGTTCCTGGCTGTTCCTTATGGATGGCCGTGTAGGATCAGGAGGCGTCAGGGGGTGTGATGGGCTTACGTTCTTGTTTGTTGAATATGTTAGTTAGGAACGGTTCTGTTTATTAATGCTAATAACTTTATCGATCAAACTGCCAGTTAATATATTTTCGACAGTATATATTAGTAAGGTAGTTTGTTTTTTTCAACCTTAAGTGAGCATACCACCCACCTGCATGCAGTAGCTGCGCTGGGCAATGCAGGCTCGCTCAGGCACAATATGCAGGCTATTTATAGACGATCGGCTTAAAAGCATTTAAGTGCTTACGAGGGAAAGACGAGGATGCTTCCTTTCCAGAATAACCGTTATAAAAACAAACGACATCATTGAATCCTCTAATAATCCGGTCCTCAAAAGTCAAATTGATAGCCTTGACGCCTATTTCCATTTACCTTACTCCTTCCATCCATAAAGCGCCTACATAAGCGCCTATCCATCGAAAAACCGTGCTATACTTCAAATAAATCAAGACCTAAATCCATGGTGATTGTACTCGTCGTTGCTGATCTCGCTCGAGACCTCTGACCAACTAGCAGGAGTGGCAGCTCCCCCCAAAGAACCCTCAAACTCACTGAGTACGCCATCCGACGAAGCGTCCACCGCAACATGACTGAAGTTGTCGGCGGTGGAGGGTGTTGGTGGTGTCGGTGCGCGATCCTGGGTGAAACGAAGGCCTTCTAGATCTGAAAATGGAGACCGAGCATCTTGCGCAGGTCCGCTAGCGGTCGAGTCAGGGTGAGCATAAATTACGTCCGAGAGGTTTCCCTCTGTGTGGCTAGATGAAGATGTTCCTGGCTGGTGTTCATCGGCCGATTGCCTGGACACGATTGAAGCCGACATGCCGTCTGATACTTCGGATACAGGAGTAAAGTCAGCAGCAGTAACGGATGAAGCACGGCTCCTCGGCGTTGGGATATCAAGTCGAAGCTTGTCTTGCTCAGGCACTGGTTCGGCATCGTATATCACCGTCGACTCTGCGGCCGGGGGCTCTGGCTGTTTACCCCGTTGCATAGGCTGCGATGCGCCAAGATCCACGGCAGTTGACCTTGCAGCAGAATTACCTTGGTCTTGGCTATCCAGGAGATGACCCCTGTCATCTACGAGCGTATCGAATGTTCCTAGTGAGCTGTTTGATCGCTTCTTATGGCGCTCCTCCAGGAAGCTTCGTCGTCGCTGGATCTCTTCTCGCGCTATCCGCCGTCGATCCTCGGCGGCCGGGCCCGGCTCTTCCGTCATAGATATATCATGCCGATAAGGAGAGTCAGCTTCGCCGGGATCAACTTCATCCCCAAGGTTGTGCAGCGTCATCGCCAGCTTTCGCCGCGAATTGTCCACCCATCGTCGGAACTGAGGTGATTCATAGACCGCGATGCCGGCGGCAACAAGCGCCGCCACACCAATGATGATTCCTACCACTTGTCAGTGCCCCAATACATGGACAGATAAGTCGTGCAGTATTAAGAGAGTGTATATGTGTTTCGGGAGTAAAGCAAGGCGCCTAGTTCATTCTTTCGAATAGGGATAGATCTCCATTCCAGAGCCATGCATCATCACTGATAAGCACACCGCCCGTCGGAGCAAGTATACAAGGCGTCCGAAGGAGAAGGCATCTAGATGGAAAATAACAACATACCCTTTGCAACTGGAGTAGGCATCTCGGCTTTGGCCAGTTCTATGGCACATTTAAGGCGTATCCGAGAGACTCCGTGTCGTAGGCAACCGTTTGATGTCAAGTCAGGCGGCACTCTGCGGCGTCTTTCCCCGCTGCGCCTCCACGTGATCCTATCGGCCCTTATCCACGTGCCCTAAGTTGCGTCCCCTTTCGGTATCCCGTGTTTTCCCCGCCAGGTCATGTCAACAACTTCGTCACCTCAAACAGACCGCGGACCGCATCTTCAAACAGCTTTACCCGGTCATCGATCTATTCTGTCGCTATGTCGCGTCAATCTACCATGCCTCAGCGTCCGTTGACGCTTACAGAAGAATTAGAGAAGCTGGAACAATCCATCACCCTTACGCTTCAAGGTAAACAAACTTCCCGACACGGTTTCTCTGCAGATAACTGATCAATGGGTTTTTAGAAATCGATCATAACTTCAGCCGTGCCCACCATATTGTCACTACTAGTGTTCTTCCCGTTGTTGAGCAATACTCTGAAGCCTCCCGCGATGTCTGGGATGGCGCAAAGGTCCGTCACCTGTACCCCAATATTGGAACTTAGACTCATTTGCCCCTCCAGTTCTGGAAGCAATTCTTCGAAGCCAGTGCCAATGTCTCTCTGTCTGGATATGAAGAAAAGCCTGATCAGGATACAACTGTTGAAGAAACCCTCACGGAAGATGACTCGGGCAACATCTCCCAAAGCAACCTCACCGAATCCGAATCCTACCAGACTCCGTCTAGCGAACGCATCGATGATCGGAAGCCCGATGATATCGATCTCACGTCTTTAAGCCTTTCACAGCACAGCACTCCGCGCGCTATGCATGATAATCCGCTCAACGATTCGACCGTGACCTCCTCGATCGCACATCCATCCCCTTACGGTCAACCCGAAGGCGATAACAATCATGACTACGACGACGACTCCTACCTTCCAACCACGCCCGGAAAACAGCCATCGCGCGGATCCCACCACCAAGTTTACAACGACGATCTCATGTCCTCGTCCCCCTTCATCCCACCCGTATCCCACGAGAAACCCCACTCCGCTACCCAAAAGGGCGCCGACCCTGTCTTGCACCATCTCAACGACAGGACCTACCGCGTTCAAGCCACGCCCCTCGGGAAGGGCTACGACGCCACTCGGTCTCGGTTCGCCGTCACGCCAAAGGCTTCGGCCACAAAATACGCCTTCGAGGACTCCCCCATGTCCAGCCCCGAGCCCGAAGCCCCGCAACTCAACTCAGAACTTTTCTCCTCCCCGCTTAAACCCCAGACCCCAGGTACGGGCCGCAAGTCTCGCCCCAGCGGCAACCGGCCACGCGGCACTCCAAAGCCAGGAAGAAGTGTTCTCACACCGGCCAAGGGTGGTTTAGGCAGCCACAACGACTGGGACAGCGACGATGACCAGTTCGGCGATGAGGCCGAAGATGAACTTGGCCCTAGCCCGCCCAAGACAATGCAGTTCCATATTCCTCAGAGTCGGCTTATGAAGACACCAGGTTCGTGAAATCCTTACCTGCCCCCTTTGGTCATTCTAGGAACATGTTTGCTAACGTCAGGTGAAACAGCCAAGGAAGCTTCAAAACGAATTGTCGAACAACTGCTTTTCACGGCTGGTGCGAACGACACCACTGAGGAGCTAGGGGAGGACCAAAGCCCGAGCGTTATTCGACGGGTAGAGAGACTTGAGGACGATACTTTCTAATTTATAGCGTAGTACATAATATATTACTCCCGTGGACATGTATAAAGACGAGATACACAAATACAGAAGTACACATTTGTTTACTGATGTATAGCTACGATACTCCAAATTGAAAACAAACAGCAGACTCATTAAAGTCACTCTTTATTCATATCCATACGTTGATAAAACTCAATGTTGCTATTCTCAGCCACCGCCGTAACAACACGAAGGCTAACCCTACTCTAACACAAGCTAACGCAGTCCAAAAAAGAAGCGGGCAACACAGAATACATAGTAACTAGGTTACCATATATCCGCATCGACCGACAATAGAAAGGTAGTAAAGGGGAATCTTCTAAAAGTTTTGAGAACACGCATACACCACACCACCAGAAACTGATAGGGAAACTAGCTTCGAACCTGCGGGATCAAATGGAGGGCAATCAAAATAGCACGCAAGTAATGGAAAAGATACATGAAGGGTATCGAGAGTGAGGCGCTGATCATCAGAAGTTCGAAGGGGGTTTTTTGCCCTTTGCGGGAGTGCGCGACAGTGTAGACATCGCCATGTAGAAAAGTAAGGAAAATAGGGTGGACGGCCGCCCCTGATATATACATGCTGTCGGATTCGACGAAGCTCGGGGTTGTTTTTAAAGGCCAGTCGCGAGGGAACATGGAGGGCGAAAAAAGCAAATGAAAAAATAATGGCCATCAAATCAGGCGGAGTTGGGAACTGGCAAGACAACGCCGGTCAATCATTAGGCGTTGTTCTGCATGCCCATGAAAACTTCCTGGCAGTTGTCCACCAGGAATTTGACCACCTCGTTCTTCTTCTGGACATCCGTCATCTCCCGCGCCAAACTCTGCGGCCTCATGATGGTGGGTGCGAAAACGACGGCAACGTTCTGGCTGGTCATCAAGTTTTCCTTCTCTCGCTCGACAACACGCTTCAAGTGAAACACGAGGAATTCGAGCACATCCTGATGGACACGCGGCAGCTCTCCGAGGCTCTTCTGTAACGTTTCAACCCTACCAGAGTGCGAAGTAATCTCTCCCGTTTCAATGATTTTCTCGTATACATCGTACGTGATCAGGGGCATCGGTAGCTTGCGGAAATACTGCTTAAGCGCCGACGTCACTGCATGAATATCAAGATCCGGGTCTGAAATATCATAATCCTGAGGAGATCGCTCAAAGCCTTCCCGGATTGTCTGGATAGCTGAGCTAGCACCAGATTTACGGTAGATGCCCTCCATGTCCATGCCTGTTTTTATAGTCAGCTTGCTGAAATTAGAATGGATGCCAGGGTAATATACCTCGTAATTCAACCTCCTGGATACAACGGGTGATGATACCCGGGATGATGCTTTTCTCATGCTCCATGCGCTGTTCCAAATCGGTTCCAAAGAGCCCTACAGAGGATATATTAGCACGTGGAATTAACAATGAGAAACGCTGTCGTGGACGTACCTCCTGGTGAGCCTTCAGAGAGCGTTGGGACACTATCAGTGGTGGGCATCCTCGTCCCTCCCTGTTTGCTACGCTGGTTTCCGAAAAACCCAAAGCCTTGGCGACTGGGATCTTGTGTTTGGGAGCGCGGCAAGGTAGTGGCACCGTCTGCCCCACCAGCATTGCTTTCGCTAGACATGAACGCTCCTTTGATTCCTTTCGTAACGCCTTTGGCGACGTTCTGGCCTCCCTTTTTCCAGTTGAACTTGCGGGGTTGTCCTTTGCGGATGCTGACAACTTGGGGACCCGGGACAACGGTAGCAGGTTCAGCCTCTTCGGACATGTTAGGAGCTGATGCGGATGGTGGCAAATCGCCTGCAGCCTTCAATGCATCAATTGAAGATAAAGACTTCTCCTTGCCGTGCGAGTAAATTCCAAGGCCATTGGTTCCACGACCTCCATCATTGTTGTTTGCCTTGTAAAGCTCCTGGATTTGATGCACAAGCTGGTTGTTCAATTCGGCTAGCTGGGCATTCTTCGACGAAAGTTGCTCAAATTCTTGGAAGCTCTTATCCTTCATGCGGTTAGTCTTCGCAAGCTCCTCGGTAGCCTCGTTGCGCTTCTGAATCAATTCTTCGATCTGGGGTGTGAACGAATCTTTCAGACTCTGGATGGATTCGACGAAGTCTCGCAGAGCCTTATTGGTGAGTTTGCTCACATCGAGAGGACCACTATTTCCGCCGCGCTTTTCGGATTCTAGGTGGTCGGTCAAAACGCTGAGCTCCCTCATAACGATTTCCTTTTGGGCATCCAGAACCACCATGGTGGAACGCTTCTCGTTCAATTCGGTGTTGACCTGCTTCACGTCCGCGGCGGCTCTTATAACAGACTCCATCTCTGCAATTTTTTGATCCCGTTCTTGAACCCGTTGACTCTCCTTCCGTAGCTCATTGCGAAGCCACGTCAATTCGTCTGTGTCTTTGTCTGGAGAATCGGTCCACGCATTAGCACCATTCTGTTTCGGCGAGGATCCGTTGACAGGCGCTTTAGACCACTTAGGATCCTTCGACGACAATCTCGAGCCTTTATCGCTATAGCTTCGGCCATGTCGCACGGAGTTGGACACGCGGCGGAGGAAAGACTCACTCGATTGGGAGGGATGTTCATCTGAGCCCATAATCCGCGCCATATCTTCGTCCATAGAGAAGTCGCCCCCACCGCTATAACGCAGAGGAGAGGTCGGGGTACCCTGGTCGGCAGAGCGGAATCCCCCTGGCGGCTGCGGCGTGCTAATTGAATTCGGACGCGCGCGAGCTTTTGTTTGATCATACGAATCGTTACGCTGGATACGGGGCGACCCGCCAACTTGAGGGGTGCCTTTGTTGAGGGCATCCCCAGACCTTTCACTCCACCGGTCAGTTGGACTGACTGAGCTTGCACCGGGAGACCGTGTGAGCTCTTTCCGAGGGACCTTATTATGTCTGGTCTCCAGCGAATCGCCTCGTTTAGGGTGAGCAACTCCAGCCGAGTCCGAAGACCCTCCATGGTCATGTAGACGGCGAAGCTCGTAAGATGGGCGAGTAGGTAATGTAGTCGAACTCTCTACTGCTGTAGATCTTTGAGAATCAAGAGTCGAACCGTCTCTTCCAATGGTTGTTGACGACTTGCCACTCTCCAGCGCGGATGAATAAGATCCAGCCCCCTTATGCCCCAGTGGGATGTCCGATCTAGAACTCCGGGCAGAGCTTGACCTTGCCGCTCTATTCAAAGACTCCTCTTGGCGCCAGCGGTGGGATTCGGACTCTGGGCGATCACGACCTTTCTCCTGGTAGGCAATGTGGGGAGAGGAGCTCTCCGTCGGTAGGCGCTCTGGGGACCTAGTGCGGCTACTAGAAGTGTCACGAGGCGGTCGCTGTTCTTCCGAAGGATCAAATGCAAGAGGAATTAGGAACTCTCCCCCGTCTGCATCGGACTCGGTAGGCACAACAGAGTGTCGGTTGCTGCGGTATGTGCTTGACGGTAGGATCAAATTATCTGTTGAGGCGGAGGAGGCCAGTTAGTTAATTGACCTGCCATCAATGTATCATCTGGACGTGCTTACCCTGATTCTCAGTAGTAGTCGAGGATTTCCCTGCGTCCAGCGCAGGCACTGCCTTCCGAGAGCCAATCTCTATGGTGGTATCACCAAATCCATCAATGTCGACGTCATCGGCGGCTTGTAGCATAGAATCAGCTTCCTCAGGGGGCAGCGAGGGGAGCGATTTGTCTAGCTTCACGTTGGGACTGGCGTGCTTCTTTGCAGCTATTGTACGATTTTTTTTCCTGCGTCGTTGCATCAAGGACTCGTGACAATCCATACAAAATATTCCCTGCGACGTTCGGGCATAGCGTAGGTTCTCAATTTTTCTTTTGCAGTTCCGGCATCGAAAGCATTGGGCACAGAACGCTTGCTCGCCGGTCAAGATAGCCAAGTCCTCGATCTTATTTCCACATGAACTGCAGCTGTATGTACAGTTACTGCAGATCAACGACCCGTCACCGAGAAGGAGGAGATGCGCGTCCGAGTCTAGTAGCGTACTGCACGAGCTGCAGCGAAAACAGTCTATATGCCATCGGTTTCCGGCTAGAATAGGGCGCAATCAGTAAATTGAACAGAAGAAACAATCCAAATCTAGAACCTACCTAGTTCAAAGGCCTTGCCCTCTTCCAAAATCTATTCAAGTCAGCACCATCCCTATTTCTTGGTAGGTTTTTTTTTTTTTTCTTTTTTCCAGTGGGCGCTTCATGCATACCTCTCCACAACCCTTGCAAGGGAACGGGATATCCTCCTGCTCCATGGGAGACTCTGGAGGGTATGAAGTGGGGGACTCCATGATGAGTTCCACTTCCAAGCGGCGCTCAACAAGAAGTATGCAAAGACAACGGCGACGAGATCACCGCAATGCTGCAAGACGGAAACGGTAGCGACAGATGACGGAGTACAGGGCGCACAAGTGATCGGTCGAACCAAGACTATTATTCATCGATGGTTTAAAGCGAGGGGGTCGGGGTCCAGCCACACATCCGCCGAAGATAGAGAGTTTGCGATTTGAGGCACAAGAAGTGAGCCCCTGGAATGACAGCAATCGAGCGAGGGCGTACGACAGGCGGTCGGGAGGGGGGGCGGTTTGCGAGAGAAAAAGGACACGGGGCCCGCGCCTGGAAGGGACGCAATTCGCACGGGAAGGATGAGATGTTGTTTCTGCGGTCCTAGCGAGCCGAGCAAAGCTAAAGAGAGACCAGGATTAGTAGTCGGCTAAGCATCAGCATGGCGAGAGAGGGATGGCGGGACGAAGGGCGAGGCAGGAGGAGGGATTAAGGAAGGTGGAAGGTATGGGGGGAACCAAGAACAATTGGAAGAACAGGGGGGCCAGAACGGAGGAGGGACTGAGGGGGGCCGAACGCCTGGACTGGCTGGACTGTACCATACACTTGAACACCTGTCGATCGCAACAGGGATGCTGTCGCAGATGGAGGCGATGGGCAAGATCGCAGAGTCGACCCTAGCAGCAAGACACAACGAAGAGTGGAGGGCCGACGGAAAATTAATCGGATTAAGAGGTTGAGGCAGGAGAGGAGTCCATGCGAGAGCTGGATTGAAACAGAGGATTGTTTCAGATAAACGCGGCGGGCGGGATTAATTCACCAAAGCCCCTCGCCAACTCACTGCCCTGCATAAATACTGGGCGCCGAGTCGGTGCGCAAAACAATGATACGGCAGTTGCACTGTGATAATGCCCTGGTTGTTATTACTCTCGCTCTGCCGTAGGACGACAGGATTATTAGGGATGGCCAGCAAGCAGTTCATGAAACTACTGTATACAGAAGATGCGGTGTTACGCAGCCATAATTTCTGTATACCCACACCTTGCTGCCTCAGGCATGTATATACTTGCTCCCCAAGAGCCCCCTGAGATTATAACAACCGAAGGAAAATGTTGCAAAATAGTGGTACGATCCACCAGCAATCTTACTGGCACCGCCAAACAAGCGCGATACTCTTATGGGCGCTCTTTGTATAAGGACTTGCAAGGACCTCATTGTCAACACCCACCGACCAAAAACGGTCTCACTTTCAGATCCTCAGCGGTCCCATTCTTGTTGCGATGAACATCAACTGCAGCATCTCGTTGGTGCCCGGTCCATGCATGTCTCAGGAGACGACTGCGGGCAGTAACAAAATCAGAAACCCGTCGACATATTTGCGGGTTGGCGTCAAGGATAACACTTACAAACCCATCACTCTGAATCGACGACCTCTCAACCCCCACCTGATATGCAGTGCATACTAATAGAGCTAATCGTGAATAGGTAAATGGTCAGGCATCGTATCAGAAACCACCACCGCGGGACTCGATCCATGCCTGCCACATGTCCTAGCGGACGGTGTTTCGGTGATTGGGCTCGTGAATTTGGACTCTGAGCGCCCCGAAGCTTTCAACTGTGTATTAACTGCTTGGCCGATATTTAAGAGCCCAGACTCTCGCCTTCCAGTTGAGAGCCTAGCTCTATCCCGGCACCTGACATACTGGTTTACTGCCGGAGTGTCCTTCTAGGGCCCACAACTACTCAGGTATGGATGCGGGAGAACGTGCACACACAATGCTGGGGTCTTTCAGTGACATTCCTCAGTTCAACGTCCAGGAAACGCAGTTGCACGGTGTCCAGTGCCTTGACCAAACCCCCTAATGGACGTATATTAAGAACTTACCAAGAGTCAATATCTGTAATTCTCTTGCATATTTCTTGTCAGATCATTTTTCGTTTCTCTTTAGTTCAATGGCACATGTTATCCTGGAAACATGTATTTCACTCAGTAGTTGAAGCAGGAATGGCTCTGCTGGGCAAACGTAACTGAAGTGAGGTCCAGCTTCAGGTGAACTGGTCAATTGCATCTCACTTTGAAACTCTTCCTCCTTCTTTTCCTCCTCCACCTTCCTTTTCATTCCCGTTTCCAGTTTCTATCAACCCCATCTAGCAAGCTGCTTCAAAGGTTAACAGAGCTCTCGTCGCCATGTTGGACCGACTACCACTTAAGATATGCCATGTCTCAAAGATTTTGCAGATTGAGCATTTGGGCCAACTGGCCTTCCTAAGTTGATGGCCGTCGCTTTCGGTGATTTCTCAAATGGCGAACGCTTCGCATTTTCCCATGTTTTCTTAATTCGCTCTTTTACACCTCAACGAATCTCTATCGCATTGTAGGTCATGGGATGCATGATCATATCATAGAGGGGATATCCGGTGCCCGTCAAATGCTGAGCGCCTGCCCAATAGAGCCGAGTATCATATACGACCCGGGCGATGAAGGCAGCGACACAGTCACAGATTGGAGTGCATGTAGGACTCGGCTGATGGTGCAGACAATAGTTCTGAAGGAGATGACTGAGGGATTCCGTTTAAGCGAGGAGATGCGAATGGTCTAACTTAGGCTTGTATGAAGTAATCATACGCAAAGCAAATGTTCGTCAAGCGAATCCTAATATTGACACATATATAGAGAAGCATACTATATTACCTGCAAGTGCCAGGCTCCCTTTGAGTTTCTTCTAAGCCCTTAGTAGTTGCCCCGATGTCGAAAGAGTTTCCATTTATGGAATCACAGCAATCTAAAATTGGTCCGTGCACCGACGCGAAAATCCGCGTCTTCCCCAATTCTTCAATGAAAGAGCATAACTGCCTCCCACCTTGGCAGCTGCCTGGCGTTGCCCCGGACCCGGCATATATCCTTTCTTTGATCTGCTGTATACTCTCAGTAGCTGTTATTTCGCAATCTGTATTTCACTCATTGATAACCCCTGCCCTCTTCTCCTCCGCGACTCCATCGATTGGCGTCACGCGTATCCGGCGCCACTTTTCTCTGCGTGCCAGTGGCTATGACGAACACCTTTTACCTATGAGGATCGGTTTGTAAATTTAAGCTTTGCGAAACAACAACAAAAATGTCGACCCGAGATTCGCCGGTCACGCCTACCTTTTCGCACGGCGATAACACCATGCAGCCGTCGTCGCCCCTGACGGACGTCGACCAGGATGTGAAAATGGCAAACGAGAATGGAACATCTGGACAAAATGGGGCTGTGGAGGATGAGGAGGATATGGATGTTAAGGCGAAAGCGCTCATGCATCTGCTGAATACAAGCGAGGTGAGGGCGGGATCCCCATTGCATTTCATTGCTGGTTTACGGATTGCTGATGAGTGCGCGGGTGCTGGTGTAGGTCTTTGTCGCGATCATGGCCGAGAAGATGAAAAAGCAGCAGGAACAGGCGAGACTGGAAGCCACGAAGAAACAGGAACAGCAGCAGAAGGAACAACAAGGTGGGAAAGCGGATGGAAGCAAGAAGGGAGCCGCGCGGCCGACTGAACGACGGGGGACTCGTGCAAACGCAAGACAAAGCGGAGCGGCCGAGGCTGAGGTGAATGGTGAACAGAAGGATGAACCGGCAAAGTCTAAGAGAGGGAAAGGGAAAAAGGCGGCCCCTGCGGCCAAGGGCAACTCCATCTCGAACTACTTCAAGAAGGTGGACATGAACGTTGACGAGGCGAAGAACACCACCGTTCAGGAAGCACTGGAGCATGCTGCTGATGAGTTTGAAGCCAAACCTACTGTTCTTGGTGAGCAGGAGCTTGTTGCAACCCAACAACCTGCCCCTGTTACTGGCGGTAAGATGAGGAAGTATCAACTTGAAGGTTTGGAGTGGCTGAAGTCATTGTGGATGAATGGTTTATGCGGTATTCTAGCCGATGAGATGGGCTTGGGAAAGACAGTACAAGCCATATCTCTAATTGCCTTCTTCAAGGAACATAATGTTTCTGGGCCATTCTTAATATCCGCGCCGCTGAGCACCGTAAGTAATTGGGTGGACGAGTTTGCGAGATGGGCCCCTGGAATCAACACGGTCCTGTACCACGGCACCAGAGATCAACGTGCAGATCTCAGGAAGAAGTTCATGAATCTCAGGAACCAGAAGAACCCGGACTTCCCTGTCATCTGCACGTCGTACGAGATTTGCATGAATGATCGGAAATTTCTCGCCCAATACCAATGGCGCTACATCATTGTGGTACGTCTTGGGAACTCCAATCTCTTGCAGGAGGTCAAGTTTACTAACATTGCACAGGATGAAGGACACCGTTTGAAGAATATGAACTGCCGCCTCATCAAGGAATTGTTGTCGTACAACTCCGCCAATCGACTCCTTATCACGGGTACTCCACTACAGAACAACATCACCGAATTATGGTCACTTCTGCACTTCCTGCTGCCCGAAATCTTCAATGACCTGAACAGTTTCCAAAACTGGTTTGATTTCTCATCTGTGCTGGATAACAATGGCCAGACAGGCACAATTGAGCATCGGAAACGGAATCTGGTCTCCACCATGCACTCAATTCTCAAGCCGTTCCTTCTTAGGCGCGTTAAGACGGACGTCGAGACCGGTCTTCCCAAGAAACGAGAGTACATCTTGTATGCGCCTTTGACTGCCGAGCAGAAGGATCTCTACCGGGAGATCCTCAATGGCACAGGGCGTCAGTACCTTGAGGAGAAGGCGACACAGCGTCTGTTGGCGAAGAACGACAGGATATTACGCCCAGGAAGCCTAAAGCGCAGTGCGAGTAATAGCGGAGCCTCGACGCCGAACAAGAGCCTCCGCTCCAGTCGGGATTCTACCCCCGCAAGCAGGGCTAGCTCTGTACGTAGACGCAAGGCACCGCAAACTTACAAGGACATCAGTGATCGCGAATTCAACTCAAAATTGCAACGTCTGGAACAAGGTATTGAAGAGGAGCTAGACATTGAGAGTATCGACGAGTCGGAACAAGAAGAGATTGAAAGAGCAAACACTATCAAACTTGCCAGTATGTGCACACACAATCACTCTCCAAGAATCATATTCTCATACTAACGCTTTCATTGCACAGAGCGCGAAATTGCTCAGAAGAAAATGCAAAACCCTGTAATGCAAGCCCGACTTGCCTGCAACTCACCTCACAACTTCTACTGGCCATGGGCCGACGACTCATCCTCTATTGATGAATCCCTCGTCACAGCATCAGGGAAAATGCTTCTCCTCGATCGCCTCATCCCCTCGCTCCTGAAAAAGGGCCACAAAATTCTGATCTTCTCTCAGTTCAAAACCCAGCTCGACATTCTCCAAGACTGGGCCACCTACCTCCGCTCCTGGAATTGCTGCCGCATCGACGGTGCAATCAGCCAAACAGACCGCCAAGCCCAGATCAAAGCCTTCAACACAGACAAAGACTACAAGCTCTTCCTCCTTAGCACTCGTGCCGGTGGTCAGGGTATCAACCTTGTTGCCGCAGACACAGTCATCCTATTTGACTCTGATTGGAACCCGCAGCAGGACCTGCAGGCTCAAGACCGAGCCCATCGAATCGGCCAAACGAAGCCCGTTATCGTCTACAGACTCGCAACTAAAGGAACAGTCGAGCAGACTCTCCTGGAAAAGGCTGATTCTAAACGCCGTCTGGAGCGTCTCGTCATCCAGAAGGGCAAGTTCAAGAGTCTGCTTAGTGAGTCCACTGTGAGCCGGGATGATGTGGACGAGCTGAAGAGGGCTCTGGGCGAGGATGAGTTTGAACGGTTTGAGGCTAGCTCGGATCCGTCCTCTATCCTGTCAGACGAAGACCTGCGTACCCTTACGGATCGCAGTGAGGAGGCTTATGTGCGTGCTGAGAAGGGTCTTGACCAAGGTGGCAAGGCGTTCAAGGCTGTTGAGACAAAGAGAGATGGTGAAGGCCTTATGGCTCAGCTTGAGCGGAAGTGAATTTAGTTGCTCTTATTCTGGTGTTAGGTCAGCTGGTCCCAGGCTGGGTTGGGAGCTCGCACTGCAATGTTTTTTGTTCCCGGAGGGATTTCTGGGGTTTATTGGGGCGTACTAGCAGTGGTGTTGTTTGGGTATATCCTGCTTCGGGGATTTTGTTATGTACTAGATGTATTATACACGATATAGACTGTGTATCTGACAGCAAGTCTAATTTCGCAAGGTATGAACGCGGAATCAATAATATGGGTTACCTTCAAGATAGGAAACCAGATGCATTCGACGCCTGAACACCTCGCCAAGAAAGTGGCTCTATATAAACATACAGGATCAAAACCACCATAGGTACAAGAAATGAATACGAGCGTAGATTAAGCGATCGGACTATCGAGATGACCGCTCATCTTCAACCTCTCTCCGTAGATCTTCAAGGACCCCTTTCCGTTGAATGAGGTGAGTCTTCAATCCTTCAACCTGCTCGCCAACTGTTCGGACATCCTCACTGAGACGTTCGACATCTCCACCGAGTTTAGACCGCCCTGTGCCTTCGCGTAAATCACGGAGTTCTCGCTCCTTATATTCCAGAAGCTGAAGGGCCTCTTTCTTAATAAGAACCCAATTGGGACGACCATCGCCTCGGTGGCCTGACTTTCGGTCTTCCACGGCCTTGTTCGCGGACTGCAGCTTGGCTTCTATTTCTGAGAGCTCGCGTCGCAGGCGCACCTTTTCCCACTCCTCATCCTGGATCGTGTCGCTAAAGTCCGTGCCCTTGGGAGTGTAGGATGTCTTACCGGCGACACCGAGTCGGCTCAGGTATGTGTCACCGAACTTGGTCTTGCGGCCTGTTGAAGTTTCCGTCTCCCCATTTGCACCCCATCTTTGCGCCGGTCGTGCGCTGTCTAGTTGGTAGTCGATTTGCTTGTTCTCGAATGAGGCACGCAGCGAGGGGGGGATTGCGCGGGGGATGCGGTAGCCCTCGTGGCGGTAGTTCAGGATGTGGAGGAAGGCGAGTGTTGCGTCTTTGTTGATTTCAGGCGCCGCAGATGGGTTTACCAGGTTCCAGGCCGAGCGAATGTCAGTGTCAGGTACATCAAGCGACTCATAGAGCGGTTCCAGGGATCCGACTGGAAAGTTATTTGTCAGTCAGCGTATGGGAGGACTTTGGTAATACTCGGGGGTGGGCACATACAGGCAATTTCACCGCGTTGGTTTTTATTGGCAGAGTATATATCTTCGTACTTGGACTTGTCTCCTGGGTTCATATACCAATCGAATCCGTCTTTCAATCCGGGGGTAAGGTCTTCATCCTCGATGTGCTCAAATTGCTCTTGACCTCCGCTCAGAGCACGGGTAGCGTGGACAAGATGAGATTTGGACTCAGGAACGAGCCAATCGGGAAGTGTTTTAGGGACTTGCGGTAATTCCTTGAACCGATGTCAGCTATAGGGAACTTGTAGATGAACATGCGCGCTTGGCGAGCAACCTAGGTCGGAGAAATGATGACATACCCCGTTGACCAGATCAAAGACTAATCGCATGGCAACACAGAATTCCTCAAAGTCCAACTCGCCATCACCGTCCAGGTCGGCCAGATCCCAGACTTTCTCCAGCTGGTCGTCGCGAAGCCGGCTGTTCCTGAGCACGGAGGCGGCCTGGGAGTTGTTCAAACGGGGTTGGCCGCCAGCCAGCGAGGAGAAGATCTCCCAATATCGCTCAACTTCCCACTGCTCAATCTTTTTGCTCGACATGGCGTCGGTAGCTTTCAGCAGTTATCTTCGGGTAGGAAACGAGGGGGGTTGAGGGAGAGGAAGCAATGGGAGCCGACTGCGGAGATGTCCCCGTGTTGATAGTTGAGCTCCTTTAGATTCGGGCGTCCCGCAATTCGATGTGGCTCCAACGGGGCCCTCGGATTAAGGTAGATCCGCCGTCCTCTATCAATAGAACAGTGAGGACGAAACGGATACAAAGTCCTGTAGGGGTTTTCTAGGTATGAAGTATGGATTTGAGATTGTTTTATCGGAGTGTGCTCTTCTAAATGTTAGGCACATATTATACAGCACTAAACGGTATAGTACACAGACTGATGCAATCTAACAATGTCATCCAAACTGCTTATTTTTGCTTCTTTTCTGATGCCTTTGCGCCGCTATTTTCTTGTTGAGACGCTTCTGGCGCTTTGAGCTGCTCTGAGACTTGAAGAATGGCCCGTTCCGCTTCCAATGCAAGCCCAGGCGCATCGAGCGTCGTGGCAAGCTTCTTCGCATCTTTCATTCGAAGTAATATCCTGTCATCGCTCTTCTCTACATTCTCGACCATCTCTGCAACTGGGCTTTCGCGATTCGTCTCTTCTAAAGTGCGCGAGACGCGTTTCGCGTATAGTTCCACTAACCCGGGGTGCGATATGGGATTGAGCAAATTCTTCTCGACGAGAAACTGCAAATGTTTGGACCCGTTCAAAGCTAGGCTGTTGTAAGTATGAAGTACAGACATAGGGATATGTGGAAAGCCAACCTCGCCAATGTGACCACCCTCGATATGCGAGGTAGAAAAATGGGATATTCGGTATTCTATAGATTCAAAGGTCAGAAACGGATTTGCATTATCCACGCAAGGATTCAGTTCGCGAGTTGCATGAAACATACATAGGGATCAGGGCAACCGGCGCCGTCAAGGGGGCAGCGATGAAGCTCCACCACATCCTCCGTCGATGCAATTCTTGTCGTTCTTTCGAGAGTTGGTGTAGCATGGGAATCAGCTTCTCCTCCTTGATCGCATTGCCTGGGAATAAGACATCTACGCGTGTTTTCTCATGTGATTCGTCAATTCGCCGTTGGGAGCTCAACGAGGGGATGCTTTTAAGACCCCATTCTTCATACGGTATCCGTTGCTGAACTCGATTCCCCCACGACACAATGTGCGTCTTCCAGCCCTTATCAGCCTCCTCCCATTTGGCCCAAGTCTGCGCCGCCTTGTCGGTGATCCGGTCTAGGATGGAACGCTCCTTCGAAACATCTTTGCGCAGGAGTCGGGCGTAGATCAAGGCTCGTCGGGTAGAGATTGGAACAACAAATAATCGCAAGGTCATGGCGCACTGTCCAATGTTGGGCTCTCTTGGGGCTAAATTTTGGGATTGATTGCTTGGTAAGAAAGGAGCTGCGGGCAGCCAAGAAAAGCGCAACTATCGAGCGACGAAGGGGAACAGGCGATGAAAGCGAGCGACGGAAAGTACCATGCCTTTAGCGTTGCCTCTGTAGTACTCTGGAGGGTATTGTGAAACTTTTTTTATCGTATAGTTGGAGCTTCGGCGTTGAAGCAAGTTAAGTGATAAACCATGGACGTCATTCCATGCAGGGCCAGTTCCACAATCCGAGATTTGGGCCGGGGTTTACTCGGCAACGGGACTGTTCCGGGTTAGTCCAGTCCCAACTTTACGATGTCTCACGATACCCAGTTCACGGCCGAGCCTGTTCACTAACACCCTTCGCTCACATTCCTGGGTTCACGGTTTCTGTGCTTTCCTCGCCGCCACTCGTTCGCGCATAATTCACTCGAGCGTCACTGCGAGGTCAGCTCGGCGGCCGGACAGGCCTTTGGAACCCCTTTCACAGAAGGGGCTACGAGGCGATGCAGCCCGTTCCAGCGCAACTCCTGTCAGCACAGCCTCACTTCACCGAACTTTGAACCGCAGGGCAATGGCCCAAGATGCGCGCGAAGTTCGAGTCCAGCCTCCCGACCCAAGCCTACTGCCGGACGATCCGCTGATGGAGAAATCATCCGCCGCAGAATGGACTTCGGCGCCTTCAAACCGTTTCCCCGATTGGCAAAACAACGATAGCCCTTCCATGAATCCTCTTCATACCGAATCGAAGGATAAAGCAACGGCTTTATCGCCAGTGCTATCGGACCGAGTAGAAGATAACTCCGAGGCTATTCCAACATGGGGAAGCAAACTACGGACACTGCCGGGTAAGTAATTTCTCTCTGGGCGCGCTGGGCATTGGAAGTTATTTACTGACTCGGATGTGCATCTAGCTTGGATTCGGTCCTTTGAATACCCAGCCGATGATGATATCGAAGCCAACGCCACGTCCCGGCTATTACCTTCCCAGCCCAATGATGCTCTCGTCGCGCAGCACAATCACTCACCCTACGCAACATCCAAGCAGTCCGGCTATTCTACTCGTGGGGGAAGCCTCGAGTATGATTTGGACCGAGAATCACGGTGGAAAAACTTTTCCAAGACCATGGCATATCCCCGAGAAGCCGGTGTAGAGGAAAAGCTCGTAACGCCAGAATGGCTAGCGGAGAATTATGGCGACTATTCACAACCATGGCGCGGGCAGCTCGAACCCGATGAAAACTCCGATGATCCCCTCAAGAAGAAACGGCGACGTGAAATTTGGTTCAAGCGTTTCCACAATACCCTTCTACAGAGTCCAATTGTGCCGATGATTATCCGATTGACAGTGTGGACATTTTCCCTAGTGGCTTTGGCCCTAGGTGGTTCCATTCAACATCTTTCGAGTAACTTCCCCCGACACCAAGGACCTTCAGCCTTGATGGCGATCATTGTGGATGCCGTTGCCCTGGTTTACCTCATTTACATAACCTGGGATGAATATACATCCAAGCCGCTGGGACTTCGCTCTCCAGCAGCTAAAGCACGACTCATTCTTTTAGATATTTTCTTTATTGTCTTTGACTCAGCCAATCTGAGTATAGCCTTCGGGTCTTTATCGAGCGCGGAAGGCGCATGCACTGAAGCAGAGATCAACCAAATGTTGATCCCTAAGAACGACGCTATCTGTCAGCGTCAGAAAGCCCTGGCTTCTGTTCTACTAATTGCACTCATAGCTTGGCTCGTCACATTTTCGATCAGTGTTCTCAGGTAAGAAGCCACCTCATTATTTGTTGGATCTAAAATGCTAATCACGGTTTATAATGGATAGACTTGTCGAGCGAGTGTCAACAAAGTAGGTCCCAGACGGTCCTCTACGGAAGCGGCACAGACGCCGCAGTCATTCTCTTCCTTGTTTTCCTCCTCTCATTCGCTTGCAACATCTAGTGTCTGTGGCTGGTACCATGTGATTGATGCATATTTGAACCTTTTTTTTTTCTTTTTATCTTCTTTTTATCTTGCCCCAACACGTTGGTTTTGCTTACGAATGTTCTGTCTTTTGGATACAACTCTACGAATGAACCATGTCTCGCTTAGGTTGAAAGGAAGTCTTATTATTAAATACCCTGTGGATCTAGGAGTGCGGATGATAATATGGCTTAATATAATCAAAAGTTGCTCTTGACAAAGTGTCGTTCCCATAAATGAAACCCCCATCAAACATGCAATGCAGGTCCCTCTTCCCCATACAGCGGGTCCGCGTGAAACCAATCTAAGCCCCCAATGTTCCGACAACTGCCTTCCTCCCCGGGCTGTCCATAGCACATATCCCAGGACTTACCTCGTGGATAGGCGCCAACCATCTTAAAGGAGCCAGTGTCACCAGACTCGGAAAGAAGTCGGTGACCTACTCCAGCTGGGACTATAATCAAGTCCCCTTTAGAGACCTCAGGCTCAAACCGATCAGGATTCCCTTCTCCTCCGAAACAAAGACGTGCAGAGCCAGAAACGACACCCAAAACCTCGTGACTAGTGGAATGGAAGTGCGTTTGGCTGTACATAGTGTAAACCCAGCTTGGGGAGACCTCGCCTATTTTGTCAAGATGCTTCGATAAGGCATCGGCTGACGCATCGAAGGCTTGGTGGTAGATCAAGAGAGGCTTGGACTGGATGGAAGTGTTGGGGATCCGCTCCCACTTTTGGATTTGACGGGAGGTGATCTTGATTTCTGAGGGCGGTTGAATTGTCATTGTGTAGAACGAGTTTGAAGAGAGAAAGAATATCTATAGATACTGTGCACTGCGTCCGCAATTAATGGATGCTATGACGTCATACAGAAAGAGCCTCATGGATACCTCCACAACGTATTCAGTATCCGCGAGTCACATTCTGTTCATCAGAAAGGACCAGAAATTAAGCTGTACAGTGTTCTCCATAATTACTATAACCCAGCAGTCCAGTAATGGCTTACAAGAGATCATTGTATTTTTTGACTAGGCGCCATGAATGTTTCAGGCAACAAGACCTCTCTTCCAACCAGTCACAAGTATGTTTGGAGCCTGATGTTAAGCGCTTAACAGCAAGCACCTCCCAAGAAATCTTCTGGGATTTGTAAATGCAGGGGTTCTACTTCCAAAATAAAGAAACAGAGGTGCTTGTCAAGAAACTCAAAGCAAAGAGATAAAGAATAAAAGAATACAACAAGGTGGCTGACGGTGCGAGTAGATTCACAGCTGACCGCCTTTGATCTGGACCACATCTCCGCCAACTCTTTTCAGTCGTCTGTCATCGCCCCAACGCCGCCACGCCCTTCTTGAGTTTGTCTCTATTTTAACTCTCTCCTCCACTTCGATTTCTACAGGGTTCTGCTTCTGCGTTGTAATCCGGGAGCTGGTTCGTCTTCCACCGTCGTTTCTTCCTCTGTTTTCGAGCGTAACTGCCCCCCTCTCTCAACTGCAGTCGAGCTACCCACCGCTCTGGAAGTGAGCGAGTCAAGCCATCTGGGCATCGATCTCATTCTCACCTGCCTCTTGTCTGATCGCGCCTTCGATTCGGTGGGTATTTTTCTTCTTAATTTAACGTTCATCCCTTGACTGCTTGCTCCGCGCTGACGCTCTATAACCAGTTTCCACTTGTATTCGCGTCCATCCGGCGTTATTTCCCCGGATCAATATGGCCCCTATGATTCCTCTGACCCCTCACAAGGATGACCTGGAAGAAACGTGAGTCTATACATCATCTTCTCGCCGGTTGATACTGTGACGGCTTCCATTTCGGATTATCGACTAACCATTACAGATGGGCGTTTCTCGAGAATGGTATCAACAATGTTATGGTAAAGCTGGAGGAGGGTGTGGATATGAAAACCGTATGTTCTTTCATCATTACCGAATTCGGGCTCTGCTACTGGGGGAACTTATTTACTAACTCATCGATCTTCCGATAGTACATGGCCCTCTACACGTGCGTCTGCCCTTTCAAGGGTCCTAATATCCCTCGCCCCCCTCATCACTAACCATCTTTTAGAGCGGTTCACAATTTTTGCACCTCACACAAAGCAGTCAGCGGTCAAGCTATACAATCACAGCGTGGCGGTTCGTCCTCAAACAATTTGGTCCCAACCTCCGAGCTCAGACAACTGACCGTCGCAGCGCATTTGCTCGGAGAGGAGCTCTATAGAAAACTCGGAGAATATTTGACGGGCCACCTTGACCATGTTTACAACGAATCGACAGGCCATGCGGACGAGGCCTTGCTCGCATTCTATATCCGTGAATGGGAGCGATATACCAACGCTGCCAAATATATCAACCACCTTTTCAGATACCTCAACCGTCACTGGGTGAAGCGAGAAATTGACGAAGGGAAGAAAAATGTCTACGATGTATACACACAGCACCTAGTCAAGTGGAAGGAGGACTTTTTCGTCAAGGTACACGACAAGGTCATGGGCGCGGTTCTCAAGCTTGTCGAAAAGCAACGGAATGGTGAAACTATCGAACAGTCGCAAATTAAGAGTATTGTCGATTCATTTGTTTCCCTGGGACTTGATGAAACCGACCCCACGAAGTCCACACTGGAAATTTACCGCTTCTATTTCCAGAAGCCTTTCCTTGCAGCAACCAGAGTCTACTACGAAGATGAATCCCGCCAGTTCGTTGCGGAGAACAGCGTTGTTGAGTATATGAAAAAGGCAGAAGTCCGTCTCGATGAAGAGAAAGCACGTGTCGGGCTCTATTTGCACAATGATATTGCTAGAGAATTAACCGAAACCTGCTTGGATGTGCTTGTTACTGCACACTCTGAGCTTCTGCGCGATGAGTTCCAACCACTACTCGACAATGAACGCCAAGAAGACCTTGCCCGAATGTATCGGCTTTTGTCGCGTATCAAAGATGGGCTGGACCCTCTCCGGACGAAGTTCGAGGCGCACGTGAGAAAAGCTGGTCTATCTGCAGTTGAGAAGGTAGCTGCTGAAGGTGAATCCTTCGAGCCCAAGATGTACGTCGATGCATTGTTATCGGTGCACACCAGATACGACAGTCTCGTAAAGGAAGCTTTCAATGGCGAGTCCGAGTTTGTTCGCTCTCTCGACAATGCTTGCCGCGAATTCGTGAATCGTAACAAGATCTGTAAGTCTGGTTCTACAAAAACACCAGAGTTACTGGCGCGGTACACGGATTCTCTATTGAAGAAGGGGTCAAAGGCTGCGGAGGAGTCAGAGTTGGAAGAGATGTTGGTCCAGATCATGACCGTTTTCAAGTATATTGAAGACAAGGACGTCTTCCAGAAATTCTACTCTAAGATGCTTGCTAAGCGGCTGGTCCACGTGAGCTCAGTATCTGACGATGCTGAGACAAGCATGATTAGCAAACTTAAGGAGGCTTGTGGTTTTGAATACACCAACAAGTTGCAGCGAATGTTCCAGGACATCCAGATCTCTAAGGATCTGAACTCCAGCTACAAAGATTGGCTTGATAAATCTTTCTTAGACGACGATGACCGGAAGAAACTTGTGGACTCACATTTCCAGATTCTCGGAACTGGATTCTGGCCCCTTAACGCGCCATCGACTGATTTCCTTGCGCCTCCTGAAATTGTCAAGACTTCGGAGCGGTTCCAGAAGTTCTATTTCGATAAGCATAACGGTCGAAAGCTGACCTGGCTCTGGCAGTTGTGCAAGGGCGAAATCAAGGCTAATTATATCAAGAACACCAAGGTTCCATACACATTCCAAGTATCGACTTTCCAAATGGGTATTCTTCTGCTCTTCAACGAGAGCGACTCCCTGACATACGAAGATATCCAAAAGGCCACTTCTCTCACACCCGAAATGCTTGATCCGAATCTCAGTATCTTCTTGAAGGCTAAGGTTCTCACCATCGGCCCAGAGGGATCTAAGCCTGGCCCAGGCACGACCTTCACCCTCAATTACAACTTCAAGAACAAGAAGATCAAGGTCAATCTCAACATTCAAATCAAGTCCGAGCAGAAAGTCGAGACGGACGACACGCACAAGACGATTGAGGAAGACCGCAAGCTTCTGCTTCAGGTATGTGTTACTTCTTTTATTTCCTGTTCTCGTATTTGTACAACATTCACTAACGCTTTCAATCCAGTCCGCCATCGTCAGAATCATGAAGTCCCGGAAGAAGATGAAGCATGTGCAACTTGTGCAAGAAGTGATCCATCAAGTCAAGTCACGTTTCCCACCACAAGTACCCGACATCAAGAAGAACATCGAAGCCCTGATGGAGAAGGATTACATCGAGCGTCTGGACGGCGATGAAATTTCTTACATTGCATGATTGCCTAATACAATCAAATCACCATATTCATTGTTATTCCATTACTGCCTTTTATTTTTTATTTTTTTTTCCTCCCCCATCCCAGGCGTTTTTATTGCAAGAACACGGAATTCATCCAGCCAGCGCTATCTCACTATCCCTTTTTCACGTTTCGTCTCCTTCGGTTCCTACCGCCGGCCCATAAGCTGGCCGCGACTTGAGTCTGCACCGTTTTCTATCTAGACAGAGAATGTGCCCACGCCGTAATGTTTTTAGATAAAATAGGTCGTAGTCTAATTGATGAAGTACGCTTAACTATATTTCTTTTTCGCCTTTGGTAGCCTGAATCAGCAACATATCCATTTCATTGCCCAGTTTTTGCATGTTTATCATGTACGCAGTATGTCAGTAGGTCCATGTCCTCAGTATAGGTCGTTTCCAGGAAATCAATTAATCGAAAAACCAAACCACCAACCACCAGCCTATCTCAAAACAAGTCAAGAATATGTATATAATCAATCATATCAATCCCATCGTCGAAGAAATGGCAAAAGCATCAAATGTAAAAGTGGTATCAAGAGAAATGAAAGTGAAAATAAATATGTATATGATTGTTTGTACATCTCACGATAATCCAAACAAGATGAGAAATGACCTAGCAGGAACGAATAATAAAAGCTGGCCAGCCAATGTGCAAGGATTTGATATCAAGGCTGCAGTATGCAAATCGTGTGTGTATGCATGTATATGTAAGTGTAAGGAGGAACATCTGAATATGAATGGGTAGATTAGAAACCCCGATGCCGAGGCCATTCTGTTGTATTTTATGACGACGACTCGTTTGCGGGTGTTGAAGTCGGTGCTGACGGTTTTTCGAGCGAGACTTCAGTCCAAGTATCGGGCTTAACGGCTGGTGTCGTGTCAGCGGGTTTGGCGGCGGCGGCTGCTGATGGTTCTTCTTCTTGTTGTTGTTTTGTATTGTCGCTAGGTACAGACTCCACGGTATTCTCCTTTTCTTCAGGTATTGTGGCAGCGGCCTTCTGTTCGCTCTCAGGCTGCTTTGCTGGAAGTTCCGAAACACCGTTATCGCCCAAATCGGGCGCCTCTCTCGACAAAGGAGATTTCGGGTAGGTGGTCTCGTGGTCGTCGTTGTCGCGGTTGGCAGCGTTGATGTCAAGACTATCGCGCTTTAGGAAGATGTTACTGAGTCGCTTCCTTCGGCTTCCACTACGGGATAGCGTGTTAGAGCCCTCGCTGCGGAGAGACTGCATTGATAGTCGTCTGCCTTTGTCCGTGTTATCGTTCGACTCGGTGACGCTTGCCAAAGTCGGAGTAGAGGGTGATGTCACGGCGGCGCTTCCCGTTGGAGAGGGCGAGGTAGACTTCTTTTCCTGCCACTCCTTCTTCTTCTCATTTGCCCATGATCCCCAAGAACTGAAGTAAGCGCCCGCTTTCTGGCCAACGGCACTGACAGACGCTTGAGCCTGCGTCATATCTACGGCTGGGGCGGGGGCTTTGCGGTTGGGAAACCACGAGGAGCCGGTGGTGGATGACGCCGAGTCCGACGGTGAGACTGGGAGCGAGGCAGATCTGTCCAGTGACGGGCGCGGTGACTGGGTTGCCTTTTCCTCGTTTCGCTTACGCTGGGCTTCTCGCATGGATTCGATATCTGCCCAGAAGCTGTTAAACGCGGCAGACACCTTCTTTTGGCCTGTGGAGAAGTGTCTATTGAGGGCTTCACGGCCTTCACGCACTCTTTCGTCGAGGTGGAGGTCTGCGACTTGTTGGGAGATTCGTCTCTGGACATCATCTATCGTCAGACCGCCAGCGGAAGGGTGTCGAGGTTCGGCGACGGAGAATAGAAGGGCGTCAGAAGTTAGGCGTTGGAACAAAGCATAGTTGGACGTTCCTTTCCATTGGGCGAGGAACTCCTGGTTGAACTCCAACGCAGGGTTTCCTTCGATATTGTAGGAATCCAAATGCGCGCGGCTACGGCGGCTTGGTTCATCCGCAAGGAAGGTGTTGAGTTCTTCGTGGTACTTCATGCACGAGAGCAATGCGAGAAGGTACTCTTCGAATTGAAGTCTAATGAACTCTTCAGATCCCATATACCCATGCGTCTTCGGTTGCTGCGGGTGTGCTTCATCCCAGGTATCGCTCACGATCTGGGTGATGGCATCAATCCAGCGCCGATCCGCCACAGATAGGGTCAGCGCAGTTCGTAAAGATGGTGATGTAATGTTGATCGCGTCTTCGTCGAGCTAAAAGTAGATTTGTTAGAGTAAGCTCGGCGAGTAGGCGGGAATGTCTTACGTTGATTAAGATATCGCTATAACGGTCTTTCTGCTGTAAAAGCAAGGAATTTGTAGAACCAACAACATATGATTTCGTTCCATCATCCGCCAGCAGATCCAGCTGCTGCAGAGGCGTGTACGGTCCAAACATGCTTCCCTATAGACGGTCAGGAAAATTCTTATAGAAAGTACATCTGGGGTGCACATACCTTCCCAAAAATCTGCAACGGGAGGCCCATATATGCCAGCACTGCTAGTAATCAGCACTCACTCTCCGGGATAACCAGTCATTTTCCAAGTATCATACAAGAGTTCCTATCACTCGTCTTCAGGGAAGTCGGCTTCTCAACCGTCTGCGCATAGGCGTCAAAGGACGGATCGGCACAGTCTTGAAGGTAGTTCATGAGACCGGGAATAAGAGACACGAGAGAAAACTGGATCATGCATAGTCTTTCACACCTTGACCCGAAGAAAAGCATCTACCCAATTCACTGTATCAGTATGAGGCGAGAAGATAACGGTAGCAAAATGCGCACCTTCGGTTGCAATAGCAAGGCTTTGAAAAGGACAAGAGTCTGGTATTTAAACTCATGGATCATCTCTCGTAAAGAGAGTCCTGGGGCATATCAGTATGCTAATTTGCAGCTTGACTGTAGTGAAGTTGAATCTCACCCAGAGTTTGGTCCTTAACTGCCTCACCCTTCTCCAAACTGATAACTAGGCCTTCGCGGAATTTCTAACAAAAGCGCGTTAGCGAGAACACCCGGGTTCAAATCATCAGGCTCCCAACCTTCAGGATATCACGGTCCGAAAAGTCCCTGTTTCCAAACTCTTATCATCAGCCATGTTCTACAGACATTCTACAGCCACGTTCTCAACTTGTACTATCCCCAATCTCGACCGGTTGACATACCGCTGCGCGAACCAAGCCGACGTAACAACAGAAAGCTTCTCCCTAAGCTGTCCAAGGCTCTTCGGGTTATCCGTCACAACAACAACGGCCTTCTGTACCGTCGACCTCGTCACATCGGGCGACTTATAGATAAGGGTCTTGGAGTCAATCTGTCTCGAACAAGCGATCCCGAAAAGTGACGTGGGGGGTTCGGCGTCCGTGCCTTTGCGGCGAAGGGTGAAGTATGAGAATTCCTCGGTCGACCTAACAGCGGGCAGAGAGTCATATCAGTAAACAATTTCCGTATGAAAGATATACAATGTTCAGGATCGTACATATGCGCTCCGTCGGAGAGCGCCATAAACGGCAATAGTGACCAGTCATTTTCGGCCGCGGGGTCGGTTCCTTCAGGTCCAAAGCATAGTTCGATTTCGGGGCCCCTGGATACGAACGGTCCGTCAGTGCTCCGTTTAACAATAAAGTGTCTCTCTTTCTTATTCAAGCCAAATTGTGGGCCCCTGGCGTTTTGGCCGCAGTTGCACAACAATCCAAGCAAACAGGGCCCGACGTCGGGTATGCGGAGGTAGACAAGGCAGCAAGCGGAGCATGCTCGTTGTCCACGGCGTTGGTTCTCTTCCCCAGCGGAGATATATCAGATTCAAGCAGCAACTCACCTAGCATGGTGGAAGTCAATGACCATGACAATAGGTTCTTGGTGGACCTGAGCGCACGACATTGTGTCCTGTCTCTGTCGTGTGAGAAAACACAAGACCGGAGCCCGATAGCAACAGGGGAGAGGCCCTCCCAGAAAGAAAAGGACAGGAATCGGCAGGCGCTCAAGTCCGGCGAACAGACAGAAATGCACTACACAACAGGAACTCGAGAATAAATAAATCGGAGGCAAGGGCGAGGAGGCGAGTGTCGGAGGAGATTGGCTCCTGTCGGACCTTTTGTGGGCGGTGACGAAGTTGGCGATAGATTAACGCGGATGGGGAGTTTTGAGCAAGACCCCGCCTCCAATTATCGACCCCTGAATAAAAATAAGTAACTAGTAGTAACTCTGTACTAACTATGGAAGAGGCACTTGGATGATATTCCTGCCGCAGATCTAGTGAGATCTCTGGTCGGGGTTTAACTATAACTGGCTTTATCTAAGGCTTCTCCCCGGTTTATGCGGTTGGAATGCCCCTATCAAAGAAGTATAAGCCCCTCAAGGCATCCATGGGTACAACTGTATCGTAGTGGATTTTCGTTGAAGCGTCTGGTAGGACGCATGAAGATGATCTTTCGTGTTACAAAGCCCAACCGCCCATCTTTCAACCCCAAGTCAATGGCCGTGTACAACCGGGGTAAGAACAGCTCATTCAGGAGCACAAGATCAAATAAGTATAGACGAAAAAAGAATATTGCGGATGACGTAAAAATAATCGTTCGTAAATAAAACATTTAACAGCTCTCACGCCCGGTCTACATGCCAGAAAATAGAAGGAATTAGGAAATAAGCCCACCGCATCGTGCTCGGACTGCTACCTGCGCTGCATCCGCGCGATTTATAAGAGCTCTATTGGAACCCTTGCTGATTCAGTCCAACCCCTTCGACAAGGGTCGGGTTACCTTCGGCACCCTGGTCGATGTTGTGGAAATCTAGAATCTCCGAGTACCTGAAAATTGGAAGTCCGCGGTTAGTTCAAGGACGAGTTTCGGCAAGATATAAGCAGAAGAAAACCCACATCATAATTTTCCAGGTGTCCACAGGCAAATCAGCATCGTTAAACGACCAGTCGAACTTCTCCTCCGCCTCAGGCTCATCGGTGGGATCATGGTATGGAGCTAGGTATTCGTGTGCCAGAGCATCGGTAGCACGGATTCGCTTCTTGGGGTCGAAAACGAGCATACGCTCAAGGAGATCAACAGCTACGTCGGATTAGTTACCCCCTCTAAAACGGGCATAGGCGCTGCGGTATACATACCGTCCGGGTCGGCGTTTCTGAATTTAGTCGCCAACGGCTGACGCTCTCGCTTCGGTAGTGACTTGACGAACCGTAAGGTCTATTTCGGAAAGGGTATTAGCAGGAGACTTCGACAATCTGAAATGTCAGGGTATCTGTTTCTTACATTCTCGCTGCAGATGGTCTGAATCACATCGTCCGGAGGTGTCCCAAGAAGCTCCGTAATGATGGAAAATTGGTTAACGTGGTCTTTTCCGGGGAACAGAGGCTTTCCCTCCAGCATCTCGGCGAAGATGCATGCTGCACTCCAGATGTCCACCTCGACGTCGTATTTTTGCCATGTAAGCATAATCTCCGGCGCACGGTAGTATCGAGTTGATACATATCCTGTCATCTGCGGGTCTTGAATGCGCGCAAGTCCGAAATCGCAAATTTTTAGGTCGCAGTTTTCATTGATGAGGATATTGCTGGGCTTAAGGTCACGATGGACAACACCTGCCGAATGGACATATTTCAGTCCTCGCTGTGTTGAGTTAGCTTATAAACGCCCACGAGAGACGCCATTGTAGCCTCGTTAGAGCTCACCAGAATCTGATATAGGAAATACTGGATAAACTGTTTCTCCAGTGGCCTGGAAGTAAGAAGTCTATGTAAATCGGTACCCAGAAGCTCTGTGACGAAGTAGCTATAATCATATGGTCAGAATTCGATCGGGGGGTCGCATTAACGCGGTAATCGCGGGGCAGCGGCGTACATGTCCTCAAGGGGAGAAATGAATATATCGCTCAAGCTAATGATCTGCAGGCCATTAACATCATAATGGCAACGCAAAAGAAGAGATTTCGGGCGGACTAACGTTTTCGTGTCGCAGGTGCTTCAGCAGCTTCAGTTCTCGGTACGTCCTTTTAGAGAGCACAGGAGTACTGAAGGGCTTCATGATTTTCTTAACGGCAACCGGCTGGGCGGTCAATTGATCCCTCGCGGAGCTTTTATCGTTGCAAATGCATATTAGTTTGGTGGAGTGCGTTTAAAATTGATGGGGGTGACTCGAATCAAAGGATGTGCTGGCGATGCGCCGGTGGAAGGAGAGGGGTTAAAGCCGTACCAGACCAGTCCAAAAGCACCCATGCCTACAGGTTGCAAATCCGTGTATCTGTGAGTCCGCCATATTAGCCTCGAGATGACTTTTACATGCGCGATCGAATAAACCCATACCGGCTGGTGATTTCAAAGGTCGTGCCGAAGATCTGGGCACGTACGAATTCCGCCATTTTGAGCGAGCGATAGCGGGGGGACCTGGCGGGGGCGCAGTAGGAACCTTGGCTTATACGGGACACCGAAACTTGACGGTCCTGCTTGCAGGATGGATGAGAAATGGAAGAAGAAAACGGGAAGGGCAAAGACGAAGACCAAGATAGGGTGAAAGCTGTAAGGATGGATGAAATGACGAGGGGAGCCAGAGCGGTGGTGGCGCGCCCAATGGTGTGTGGGGAACTTGGAAAAGGACCTTCTCCTACCTAAGCAGTTTAGTTTGCTGCTATCAAGTTTCCGATCCGTGAGGAACAGAGCAACGATGACGTGCGCGACAAGATAGCAGACAATCAAGAAAGGGGACGGCCGACAACGAACAACGGTCGCGGCGTGCGAATTGGCCAGCAGCACAGCTTGAACCGCACTTCAGGTTGGTGGTGGTCCTTCGGGCTCCTGAGAAAGACACACATTGGCCGGATGATTATTCCAAGACCCCAGGAGACCCAATTACGTTCTACTGACTGTGATACCTTTCAAGAGCAGTTTCAGTCTCCTGTCAAGCACTCAATGACATCCACTAGTTCTCTGCATTGCTCAACAGTCGTCCCTCATCACCCCTCTTTGCCTTGCTGACGCTTTCCCCGCAGGAAAATGGGCTTCGCCAGCGATTTTTTTCCCGTCGCAGCCGGGCCTACAATAAACATTAAATTTTGACCGACTAAAAGAAGTTTCCTGGAAGTCTTCTTGGCGATCCATGACTCGGTCTAGGTCTTTCGCTAAGCGGGAGCCAGTCTTCCAGGCAAGGGCAAAGTCTGAGAGGAGCGAGTCTGCCGGGCCTGTCTCCAGTGATGTCGTCATAGATCTCCGCAACGTCCAGCCACGACCCCCATCGACTTCCTCTGTTCTGCAAGATCTGGGTCTGAGAACAGAATTCGACCGTGGTTAAGATGCAATAAACTAGACAATCATATGTCAAAAAATAACCTACCTCTTCTCAACTTAACCAGAGTCGAGTATTACCGACCTGCGGCCCCGTGTTTATACTCTATACACTGCATCAACTCGCACTCCCTGCTTCTCCATGCCAGCACACACTTTCACCGCCTACACCGTTAACAGAAACAGTTCCATGTATAGGCTCGAGGCATCGTAGCACCTACCATATGCTGGCTCTTGTATCCTTGTTTTTGAGCAGCGGGCAAATACTGTGTCACCTTCAGGCATAAGTTTAGCCAGCTTCTTTGTCAAGTATAGTCGCATATGCTTGTGTCACTGTCTGCTTACATCCAGTATAGAGCTAAGGTCCAGCTACCTATGGTTTGTAAATTTGGGTATAATCCGTATATCAGCTGGAATGATTATTGGTAATTTGAAGGGCGCAGGCGGCTATCCCATCCCCATGGTAGATGGCGCCATCTGCAGACATGTATCATGTCATGCATACTTCATGTCTCTCATGTAGATGCCCCTCACTAGCAGCAGAGTTACAGGCTCATATATCAAAAATAGAGTATTACAGCAAATCGTTGGTTCTGTCCGCAGTCAAGCGGGGGTTTTGAAACCAAGGATACTGCTACCTCTCCAGCTGGTCATGTTCCCATTCCACCCCTCATTGTACGGAGTGGTCAGGAACGCATGATCACTTATGGTCCCGGTTGTGAAATCGATGTTAAAGAAGCTAGAGGATGAGGAGAGGGAATCCATCTTTTGTTATGGAACTCTGTGGATAATAAACAGGTTTAGAGCTTGTTAGCACATGCTGGACGGCCATCTCAGGCATGATCTTCTGTAACACAGCTTGCAAGCTGCTTGACTGGGTTCTCATGGTTTGTCCAAGGATCTCTCCCAGCTTTGATCCGAGAGAAGTCACCCCTTTCAGCATGAGGCTGGGCGTTCGAATTCAACTGGAAAACTAGGTAACTCTAGCCCGGGACGTGCGCCTGGGCTTCCTTTCCACTCGGGGCGCAGCCAAAGCTAACGAGAAGATCTCCGGATAAGGGCTTGGGAATCGCATTACCTTGCCCTTCAGGGCGGCCTTGGGCAAACCTCAAATTGACCGAGCATCGATCGTCGCATTATCGACCAGATAATGGGTATTCATACCAGTTCCTCTTTTTTTTCTCCCCTTCCCCTTCTCGTCTGACCCTTTTTTCTTGCACGCTTTACCGGGGAGGGAAAAGAATAAGAGTCGCGATCTTTTTTTATCGCATTATGCTCTGAAGAACGATTAGAAATGCCCCGACACGAATTGGACGCCAAGAGAGCCGTCGGTGCCCCGTCCATGACACCCCATTCTGTCAGTGCCAAAAGCGCCAGCCCCCCCACCACCAGCACACTGAATGGGCTTTCGGGCGCGGGCACCACGAAGTCTGAAGCCCAGCCTCCGTGTACGAGTACTGTGCCGCACTGGCCCCGGCTAGGCAGAGCGACCATTGCTCCATTGCCCCGAAGGACTCGAAGGGGAGAAAAAAAACCGCAACAAATTGGCCATGCCCTTCAGCCCGAGCTTTCCTGTCAGGCACCACCTTGAGAGCCTCGTAAAGCTTCAAGATCTTGCAGAGCATCAACGACTGGATCTGCAATTGGTGACCTGGTGTCCGCACTGTTGCACAGCAATCATGTGAGATTGTGGTGTCAATCACGTGTACCATCACCGGAAAGACCAAGAGAGAGTGCCAGGACTGGGCGATTTGGTTGGTTCAAGTCATGGTTCATAGCAGCAAAAATGTGAACCTTGAAACTATGAGCTTTCCTTAGCCTTTGGATGAACTTATCGGGGAGGATTCGATAATTTATCGATGTTGACGGTTGGTCGTGAGCAAATTGCACGTTGAAAAGTATCGAGTCCCAACCACTATATATAGCAGTCACCCGTAGATGCATACAGCGGAGGCAAAATACTTCAGAGCTATGAGGCATGTGTAACAGAGAACGACAGTACGTAGCACCAGCTGTGGTCAAAGAAATGAAGATCCCTAGGGTTTTTACCATTACCGCTTAATTATCGTTTGCTGCTTGACTGTCGGTGAGGTTCGTGAAATCGATCTGGGGATGGCGATAATACGGTATTGGTCGCCTATATCACGGAGCTCTTATTTGCGGCTAACCGTGCCGGTCCACATACTCCCAGCTTCCCACAGATTGAGATGGGAGGGCGGAGGGCCGAGGGCCTGTTAACTAATCACCCTAGCAGTCAAGTTACGTACGGACGGGGCCTCTCCTCAGCTCAACTCCACCGCCGCAGTGATGGGCGGCTGGAATGACGAAAAGCGACGCTCATCTTGAGTTGAGAGTATTGAGAGTTCAGAGTCCAGCGTTCAGACACTAGAAATTAAGAGCAGAGTGAGTCTGTAACCACTAGGAGGAGGCTGGAAGCGATAATAAAAAAATAGTGCAATATCCGTAGTAATGACAACTACTAATCCGGCGACGTCAAGTCTCCTCTTTCCCGTCGCTAATTAGCTGTCATGACTGGAGGAGCCTGGGAGGATCGTTTTATCTCATCACCAACTCAAGTTCATTGATCGATCGTATTATTCTTGCACAACGTGTCAACATTCACAAGAAGGCCAGCTTCACTGCCTTATTGTCCAGTATTACATGCATAAACCCCGTGCTGCTCAGCCTGCCTCTCAAACCGCTCCAGTGGCAGCAGCTGCTTGCTTACATTATCTGAGTCTGACTGGAGATCCGCCCCCATCCAACTCTCCCACATCATCCCCCGATCGACCTCTGCTACCCTTTTTAGCGTCGGCTCGTCGCTCTCTCACGTCTTCTTGCTCCGCAGTTTGTATCCTGTCACCCCTCACCCCAAACGACCTGGCCTGGTGAGACAAAGCTCCTCTATCGCTGAATTATACTCGTAACTCTTCTCCGTCCCGCCGTCTCCCTAGTTTCGACACCTGCGCCACAACCCGTCACCTCCGTACCCGGCAGCCTGCAGTCGTTGCTCAGACCTCCATCCGATCCGTAATCCTTCCCCGTCGCTCAGTCTCTGAGTTTTACCCTTCGTCTCTCTGCGCCAGTTCCCATTTCTCGCGAAGCCATAGCTGCTTCTGTTCGGTCGCTTACTGCCCCTCGACCGCGCCAATACCTGCTCTCAAGAAAGCGACCTTTCTCAGGTTGTAGGGGGTGGCTTTTTACTCAACGGCTTGGAATTAACTGGCCTTGCCATTTCTGACCGGCTGACACCGTTCACTCGGTGAACAGCCTATGGTCCACTCCCGCGCCGTCAACGACAACGTCTTGAAAATGGGTTCCTGCTTTAGCTCAGAGTCGGCAGGAGATGCGGAACAGAAGAAGAGAAGCCAGGCAATCGATCGGAAACTAGAAGAGGACTCTAGGCGCCTGCGGCGAGAATGCAAGATTTTGCTACTTGGTAGGCCTTTAACTTTCTTTAACTTTGGCGGCCTCTAGGTCCCAACAGGCCTCTCAGTATCTTGAGCTAACCGAGATTCTCTATGACAGGGTCTGGAGAAAGTGGAAAATCGACGATTGTCAAGCAAATGAAAATCATCCACCAGAATGGGTATACAGTCGAAGAGTTAGCGTTATATCGTTTGACAGTCTATAAAAACCTCCTCGAATGCGCCAAAGCCCTTATTGGCGCCTACCACCAATTTTCGCTTGAACCTACTAGCCAGAAGGTCCGCGACTATATCGAATTTCTCACCGATTACAACATCGATCCGGATCCCAATATACCGCTGGATTCAACAGTAGGGGATGCGATAACATACATTTGGAATGATCCGTGCACATCAACAGCTTTAGAGCGACAGAATGAGTTTTACTTAATGGATTCAGCGCCATAGTGAGAAACCTCCCGAACATATCCTTTGGGTATGCATACTGAACAAAACTTTTAGTTTTTTCGAAGAGGCGAAGCGCATAACGGCACCCGACTATATACCAAACGTCAATGATGTTTTGCGCGCACGTACAAAGACAACCGGTATATATGAAACACGATTTACAATGGGCCAATTAAGCATTCAGTATGATAACCCCCACCCCCGCATCTCCAACATTGGACCAAACTCATACCTGTTTTAGCATGTTTGATGTTGGTGGTCAGCGCAGCGAGAGAAAAAAGTGGATCCATTGTTTCGAAAACGTTACGTCGATCATCTTCTGTGTGGCCTTGAGTGAATATGATCAAGTATTATTGGAAGAGGGGAACCAGGTAAGTTGTATCGATTACTGTCCTGTTTCTTGTGCTGATGTTGGATGTTGGCAGAACCGTATGATGGAAAGTTTGGTACTCTTCGACTCTGTCGTGAACTCTCGATGGTTCATGCGAACAAGCATAATTCTCTTCCTCAACAAAGTGGATTTATTCCGGCAGAAACTGCCTCGCTCACCATTGAGCAACTACTTTCCAGATTACTCGGGTGGTAATGATGTGAACCGAGCGGCGAAGTATCTCCTTTGGAGGTTCAACCAGGTCAACCGAGCGCACCTAAACTTATACCCTCAGTAAGCACTCTTCCAATGACTGAACCCCAACTTTGAATTGTCTAACAAGTGGTACACTGAATAGTTTGACTCAAGCTACCGACACAACGAACATCCGTTTGGTATTTGCAGCTGTCAAGGAGACCATTCTACAGAATGCGTTGAAAGACTCGGGCATTCTGTGAAAGAAAACGTTAGACCGAGCCATATCCTCGATCTCCACCTTTTCGACCACATTCATTGGCCTCAAGTCCACCTCTCCGCTTTGATGGCTCTTGAGGTTCACTTCTACTTTTCTCCTTCGTCCTTGTTCTATTCCCCTTTTTACGTTATTGGCGGAGAGTTAACGGCGTTTATGGCATTGACGTTTTTTCAACTACCCATCTTGATTCTATTTTGGCGCTGGGTCGGACCAAATGCGTTGGTATTTCTAGCATGGTGTTTTTCTCCTATTCTCCCTGCCTCCTAATTTCCTACCTTACTCTTCGAGGTTAGGTGGTTGTGTGTTTCGAAGCTACTTCTCTGCATCATTTAGTTATTGACACGAGTCTACTTTTTTTTTTCTCTATTCTTTATTTTTGATCGAATCGCCCGCTGTTTTGGGATACATGAGCATTATATTGTGAACAAAAAAGTTGCAGACCTCGGCACTATACTTTGCATATATCATGCGTGAGGGCTTCTGATATCCAGTCTCATGTGCCCTGAGATTGCGTTTTTCTTGTTATTTACCCTTTGCCATACGTTCGACCACCTCTGGTCAGTGTCTTTGTATCATGTCGCCCTTGAGGCAGGGGTTTCTCTGAATATACTTTGCAATCTCTAGTACCTCTATATATGTGTTCATAATTCCGAGCTCTATCTAATAAGGGATGATGAATCGATAGTTACAGTGGAGCTTTCTTAACTGGACTCGAGATTTGGTCCTAAGTCTTCACAAGATCTGCGGGTAATGGAAGGTGGAGTTAATAGGGCAGCATATCCGGTTCCAGCCGGGCGATTCTCATTTTTTATTAGAATAAAGCGACGGATTTGATATCGGACCATATAGTCGAGGTGCCATCTATCATAAGATTAGTATCGTTACATATAGGAGGGGTGGTTGCGTCATACAAGAGGGACATCTTCAGCTCTCCCGCTCCGTCTTTCAAACTGCAAAGGAGTTCATCCCCAGTGGGGTCTGGCATAACGATCTTGTTCGAGGTCTCAGATGGTTCCCAGACAGTCCAGCGGATCCATAGTGGCCCAGCGCCCTGAGCACCGTGACGGCTGATCCTCCGCACTGGAGAGCAAGTCTAGACCCTCAGCGCGTCGCTTGCACGTTGACAGTAGCCAGTCTGAATTGTAGAAAGCGTCTCGAACTCACCTGTCTCTCTGCAACCTATGGCCCCGTGCTGAGTACCCCTCATGCTTCTTCCATGTTTTCACCCCAGCTTGCCTGTCACGGGGTACACAGACAGGCCATAGCTCCCTGCTCCTCCCCTCCTCATCCGCCTCTGACCACACTCCATCTGTCTCTCATATTAACCCTCCTCTTTCGCTTCTGTCCCTTGGCTTCTCTTGTAAATTTATCTTATAATCATTGTTGGACGTTGCTGTTTTTTACTCGTCCACGACCCCAATTACTGCATTGCATTCACTTGTTTACTTTACAACCTCCACCGCGAATCGACCATCTTTTATCCCCGGGTTTATTGTACGACAATTGAGCTGCCGGCATCATGTCTGAGTCTCGCCACGAAAGAAGACCGTCAGTTGGAGCCCCAGTTTCGAGTCTCCAAGGACCAATTGGCCCAGGGTTCAGTCGGCCGAAACACAAGCGTAACTACACTGGCTTTGGGCGAGCAGAGATCAAGAGTGTCGAAGCCAGTATTCCTGAAGCATTGAGAGAGGCGTAAGTCCTTTGGTCAATTTTTGTCGGTGCATTTGGGATGGGGAATGTTGACCAATCTAACCCGACTTGTCTTCTAGATGGAGGAAGCATGTAAGAGACGAGCGATAACTCGAAGCGCTCTCGAGGATGTTTCGCAGCTTAAAGTCAGGCTAATACAATATAGTCGGCCTCTGGTTTTGCAAACAAAGACGAGTTCGAAGTATGTTGAGCTTTCTATTAGATTTTGACCTAAAGCTTGTGGGCCTCTAGCTCATCTAAATAGCATGAATTGGTACGCCATGTCGAGACGACACTCGCGCGCTCGTTATACAATTGTGATGAGTTGTATGCTTTTTTCCGCCTTATTTCTTACTTCCGATATTTGAACTTCTAACGACGGCGCTAGGGCTGCATATTCCGGGACTGCTTTAGCTTTCCGAGACCGTTTGATTATCGAGTGGAACAAGACCCAGCAGAGACAGACCCTCAACGATCAGAAACGAGTTTATTGTATGCGAAAAATATCAATACGTATTGTATGGAAGCTGACTATATCACTAGACCTGTCTCTAGAATTTCTGATGGGCAGGGCCCTTGATAACGCTATGCTCAATGTGGGCATGAAGGACGTTGCTCGAGGTACGAGCCGAATGTCTGTTATGACGGTGCCAATGCTAACCCACATGTCTCTCATGTAAGACGGTCTGGGCGATCTGGGCTTTCGTATTGAGGATGTGATCAGTCAGGAACATGATGCAGCCCTTGGTAACGGTGGTTTGGGACGCCTTGCAGCGTGCCTGCTTGACAGCCTCGCAACCCTCAATTATCCTGCATGGGGCTACGGGCTACGCTACCGATATGGAATCTTCAAACAGGAGATAGTGGACGGCTACCAGGTTGAGATCCCTGATTATTGGCTCGACTTCAACCCCTGGGAGTTTCCCCGGCACGAGATTACCGTCGATATCCAGTTCTATGGCTGGGTGAGAACATACGAGGATGAAAACGGAAAAACTATAAACTCCTGGCAAGACGGTGAGATAGTGCAGGCTGTGGCGTATGATGTTCCTGTCCCAGGATACGGTACACGAACGACGAACAACCTTCGTCTTTGGTCGAGCAAAGCAGCCAGCGGCGAATTTGACTTCCAAAAGTTCAATGCCGGTGACTACGAGAGTGCAGTCGCAGACCAGCAGCGGGCTGAAACGATCTCAGCTGTCCTTTACCCTAATGATAACCTGGACCGGGGTAAGGAGCTACGATTGAAGCAGCAGTACTTCTGGTGCGCCGCCTCGCTGTTTGATATTGTAAGAAGGTTCAAAAAGACAAACCGACCATGGAGCGAGTTTTCAGACCAGGTTGCCATCCAGCTTAACGATACCCACCCGACTTTGGCGATAGTGGAGCTCCATCGCATCCTGATGGATAAAGAGGGCCTCGTATGGGACGAATCTTGGGATATTGTCACCAAGACGTTCGGCTATACTAACCATACCGTTTTGCCGGAAGCTTTAGAAAAGTGGTCGGTTCCTCTATTGCAAAACCTCCTTCCACGACACATGCAAATAATCTTCGATATCAACTTGTATTTCCTGCAGACTGTCGAAAAGAAGTTCCCCGACGACCGGGATATTCTCTCTCGAGTTTCTATTATTGAAGAATCACACCCGAAGATGGTCAGGATGGCTCATATAGCAGTCATAGGCTCTCACAAGGTTAACGGTGTCGCTGAGTTGCATTCAGACCTTCTACAAAGCACCATTTTCAGAGACTTCGTGTCTATATATGGCCCCGACAAGTTCACGAATGTCACCAACGGAGTTACCCCTCGTCGCTGGCTTCACCAGGCCAACCCTAGACTATCCAGCCTGATTGCTTCGAAACTAGGAGGCCACGATTTCCTGACGGACTTGACCCTCCTAGAGAAAATAGAGGCCTTTGCAGATGACAAGGCATTCCAGCAGGAGTGGGTAGAGATCAAAACCTTTAACAAACTCCGTCTCGCCAAACACATCAAGGAAACCACAGGATACAGCGTGAATCCGAACTCCCTGTTCGATGTCCAAGTAAAGCGCATCCACGAGTACAAACGCCAACAATTAAACATATTTGGCGTTATCCACCGCTACCTCAAAATCAAAGCTATGTCGACCGAAGAGAAGAAGAAAGTGACGCCGCGAGTTTCCATCTTCGGTGGTAAAGCAGCCCCAGGATACTGGATGGCGAAAACTGTCATCCATCTCATCAACGAGGTATCGTCCGTTGTCAACAATGATGCGGAAGTAGGCGACCTTCTCAAGGTAATCTTCATCGAAGACTACAATGTCAGCAAGGCAGAAATCATCTGCCCAGCCTCCGATATCAGCGAGCACATTTCAACAGCCGGCACAGAGGGAAGTGGAACAAGCAACATGAAGTTCGTCCTCAATGGGGGCCTTATTATCGGAACATGCGATGGAGCTAACGTAAGCCTTCCTTTCTTTGACTAAATATTCCTAGTCCATCTGTCAGCCCTAACCAAATAACTAATCACCACCTCTCAACAGATCGAAATAACCCGCGAAATCGGCGAACAAAACATCTTTCTCTTCGGGAATCTGGCTGAGGACGTCGAGGATATACGACACAAGCATTTCTATGGCGGCTTCAAACTCGACCCTCATCTCGCGGCAGTATTCGATGCCATCCGCTCTGGCACATTCGGCGAACCTTCGCACTTCTCTGCCCTGCTTGCCTCCATCGCCGAACACGGAGACTATTATCTTGTCTCAGACGACTTCAACTCCTACATCCAGACCCAAGAGATGGTTGACGAGGCATTTAAGAATCGTGAGGAGTGGGTATCGAAGAGTATCACCAGTGTGGCGAGAATGGGCTTCTTCTCTACCGATCGAGTGATTAACGAGTATGCGGAGAGCATCTGGAATGTCGAGCCGTTGGCTGTTAGGGATTAAGCTGCGTTAGTGTCTTACTTTGATGAGTTTTTATTCGATGTTTTGTAATCATGCTTTTCATTTAGCTGGCTCGGTCCGTGTTTGTTAGTTTGCTGTATGAAACCATTGAAATGATGCTGTTGTTGAACATTTGGAGGAGCTGTAGTTCGTAACTTAACAGTAGCTTACATTAATGAGTTCCAGTAAGCCATACTCCATTTCAAGGATGAAGGCCTATTGAATAATTCAAAATAAGTAGAAGCTTGTCTAATGAATTCCAATTCGCTAGGTACACAACATACAAATCCTATCTTAATACATTGACTATATGGGTACTGTGTAGTACCACGTACCCGAGAAAATAAAACCCACCCATTAATAGGGCGTAAATGCATATATGCCTCATTACCACCTTCTACGACGAAGTCAACTCCGCCATTCGCTTCTGTAGTTCCGGGATAGCCCGCAGATGAAGATCGAGTTCTTCCTTCTCACTAAAGAAGCAAAGTAGTCAGCACCATTACCTTAAAAAAAAAAAAAAAAAAGAAAAGAAAAGCAAGCCGAGTGGGTGGGGTCTTACTCTTCCAGCTTCATCCTCCTCTCCCAGTCTAGGCCGGTAAAAGTATACCCACCCTGCCCATCAAACTGCAGAATCATTTTGTGGTACTTCCACAGACTGCGGCGATGCGAAACCGTCATGAGCGTCGTGCCCAGTTTCTTCGCAGTTTCGTACATGACGCGCTCGATCTCAAGAGTGACAGAGGACGTGCACTCGTCTAGAATCGCGAATTTCGGGCGATGGTAGAACAGGCGCGCCATAGCGATCCGCTGCTGGAGACCGATGGAGAGGACGTCTCGCCATTCTTCCTCCGCATCCCATTCGCCAGGGCGGTCGACGACTGAGGCGATTTCAACGATGGAGAGGATCTCATATAGGTCGTCGTCGGTGATCCCCTTGGCGCGCATTTCGCGCACGCCGTCGGGGTAGATGACTTGTTGGCGGAGCGTGCCGCGGGAGAGGTAAGGGCGTTGCGGGATGTAAAAGATTTCGTCGAAGCGCGGTTTCTTGACGCGGCCACCGTAGACGGGCCAAAGTCCTCCTAGGATTCGGAAGAGGGATGATTTGCCGCAGCCGTTGGGGCCGACGATTAAGAGGTGGTCGCCGGGGTGGACAGTGAAGCTGAGCTTGCGGACGAGCACATCACCGTTGGGCGAGACGATGGGAACATCGGTGAACTCGATTGAGTCGCTCTCTTCGGTTTCGCCGCGGCCGGATAGGACAGCTGCGTTTTCTTCTGTGGATGCTGATGAGACGAGTTTCTTTTCGAACCGCCCGGCCAAAAGGTCGTCCATGACTTCCATTAGCGACGAGACACGAGCTGTAAAGCCTGCTAATTCGGAAATCTCCTTGTAGGAAAACATTAGACGACCAAAGGCATCCGAGGAAGAAAGCAACATTCGCCTGTTTGTAACAAAGCCTGTTTCGATAATTAGTCACAGTTCGAAGCGGCACTCAAGCCCGTTATCTGCGAATAAAGATAGAAGACTTACTTTCTGTACGGTCACCCATGGTCTGGGTAACTTGGCCAGGTATTTTAAAGAATACCGGGACACTGCACAAAATCAAGCCCAGAGCACCCCAGAAGTATTTGATAACGAAATCCTCCATAAAGCCATGGTATAAACGCCTCCGCAGAATGCGATTCACATGTTTTATGAGGGTGAAATAACCCTTGTCTAGCGTGTCCTTCTCCGCATCATGGCCATGGTATAGAGCAATTTCCTCGCTGTAGTCGATCAATCTCGAGTGAAGGAATCTAAATTCTCCCTCGAGACGAGCTTCATCAGCGACGTATTTGCCGAATGGTGGTGTTAGTGCCCGCATGACATTTGCTGATAATTGAACTAAAAGGCTCATAATGAAGAGGCCTTCACCACCGACACTCTTCGAAAGAGAGTAGTTGTAAATAGCCATGTCTAGAATTGGTTTGGCGAGATTCGAGTACAGCTCCGCTAGGCTGTCGGAAAACCGAGTTACATCAACGGTGATAAGTTGGTCAGGGTTCTTGATTCGGTCGTCCAACGCCGAAATCGCATAGAAGGTCATATTCGACAGGTATTTCTCGTGGATGTGGTCGGTAAGACGCTTGCGGTAGCTGAGTGCGAGCTTGCACTGGTGATAAGACAGCTATTGCGCAGTCATGCCTATTAGTACACTTATATTTAAAGCCCAAGATTGTATGATAACCCACCATAGAGTTCGTAAAAGTCGCAGGCACCGCAACAATCATCCACCACACCAACCCTAGTAGAAAGTCCTTCCCCTTCCCTCGTACCAAGTTACTGACAAGTCTCCCATCAAGCTCGGCCACGTACAAACTGAGCAGAGTCCGTAATACCAGGAAAACGCTGTGGCTTATCAGCAGTCGTAGTTCCTTACTCCGCCAGCCCGGTATTACAATCTTCAGCAAACGAGCTATGTTTCTGAAGAATTCGCGATTCACGCCGACCTTCTTCCGTGGGTTCTCGCCGCGATCACCGAGGCTGCTGGTCCCTGGCTTCTTCCGCAAATCCACCTGGTGCTGGGAGGCTGCCTTCTGCTCGGAGATAGCATTATGAATGCGCTTGGCGAGGGCCGCGAGGAGGGATAGATAAACTGCACGGGATATGTTTGTGCGATTGCGAAGATATAGTGACGTGAGGCTGGAGAAAATCTGCCGTACAGAGCGTTCGGGGGGGAGTAGTTTTGATTGGGCTGCCATAGCGATGGGGATGAACGGCCGCTCACGCGCGAGGGACAAGAGTGGCTTTATCCAGAGTCAACAGGCGCCGACATGTCCATGAACAGCTCTAGTTCTGTAGATGGATAGGAAACACGCCAGACACTGGGCTGAATGACGAGGAGTTGCGAGTGAAGGAAGAATGATGACATGGGCACGGTGAATAATGCAGTGGATAATGGGGTCTCTCCGCCTCTCCGCAAGCTCCGCTGGGGTCGATGCATGTGAAGAAAGCCGAGGCTGCAGGCCAAAGTGCGAGGTCGCCCAACTATGATGTCACGTGGACTCCCACCACACAGTATTTTCGAAACTCGATATTTACTATATGAGACCCCTACTGCGATATATGCTATGAGTATTCATGTATTTCGACATACTTGAGCATGGTTATGTCTCTGAGAGACAAAAACGTAGAATAGAGGATGCCGTAATATGCACATACCATACAAAAACCGAACAAAATCAAACCCATAAAGGTACAGGGATGTACAGAGAAATCAAAGAAACTATAGATAAACACGCTTTGTCGAGATATATGCTAATTATCATGCAAAGGAAGCGGAAGACATGTACCGGTAAATGGGTATAATAAAGAGTCAACAATACAGTGGCTAATAGAACGTAAATAAGCTATCGATGGCGGGTGAGGCCATCGAAAAGCGTGTCGCTAAATCATCAAGCAGATGGCTGGTCGGGACCAGGGTTGTTTGTTCTGGTCCTGCTGGTGTCGGATATAGAGGGCGTCCTTCTCCCACTATTAATCTGAGCAGCAATCTGGCTTTGCTTAAACCTTTCATAGGCTTCAGTATCCTGCCGTTGAATAGCCCATAACTCTTCGACCGTTGAGCCCAGCTCCTGGAAGGCCTTGTCGGCCCCAACGCTCTCAAATTGGGAACGGGTCTGTTCCTCGTGCAAACGATCCAATTTGTCTCGCAGAGCTGTGAGATGGAACTCGTCCATCGGTTCATCTGACTCTCCTTCCTCATTCTGGTCCAGAGGGTTGATAAAATCACGACGGATGTTCTGCCCAAGACGGTGGACATGACCCTCTTCGGATGTCATTGCACGGGAATGCAGCGAGGTAATAGAGCTTGCCCGCGAGAGACGAACAGCATACTGATCACCTTCATCATCATCGACTGCGATATCATTATCAGCAGTGGCGCCAGCCGACTGCACATTCCCGAAACTTGCGGCAAGATCGCCATCATCCCCTGAATTCTGAGAGCTTGTTTCCTGGTTTGGCTTCCCAACCTGTGGTATGACCCGGGTTTCAGGGTATTCATCCTCGAAGCGCTGAATCATTTTTTGTAACGTAGAATCGAGGAATTGAAGGCGTCCTGATAAAGTAGAGGGGAAAAATCAGTAACGTCGGCTTCTGAAAGTGGGACGAGTAAAAACTTACTGTAGTTGGCATCATTGCCTGCACGATCCTCACGCACAAGCGCGGTCTCGATCCTGGTACGTATACCACGAGCCGACTCCAAGAGGTTCTTGGACATGTCGCGGGGTCGCTTAGCTGCTAGCGACCTAGACTTCCGGTGCCTAGGTGTTGTTGTACCACTCGGAGGTCCGGACACATCTCCTGGCACATGGTGATCCAGGTTGCCAAGGCATACTCCCAATGCTTTCACCACACCTGTACCTCCGATCACATAATCCTCATCGGGAGCAGGCTCATCGTCGTCCTCGGCCCCTTCCTCAGCAGTGCCGTTGCCAACAATATGCTGAAGGATCTCAGGGATCGGGACCGCTGTCCCCGGAAGGGACGGATCAAGATTCTCGGAGAGCTCTGCCTCAAGAGCGCCGCCTGCAAGATTGAGATTGTGAAGACAATATGCCACTATCTGAGATGCCAAGGCCTTGACAACCTCGTTATTCTTTGCGCTTGGGTCTTCAATATCCACGGCTATGATTGTCCGCGAGACACGCACCGCAGCGAGCAAGGACGCATAGACTGCGCATGCTTCTTCTTGGGTTTCCGGATCTGTCGCGGATGCGAGAGCAACAATTGCGGGATTCTCTAATATGTTCAAGTGGCATAAGCCAGGACATTCTGGAAGGATCTCCGCAAGAGCAATCGTATGGTCAGAAGAAAGGTTGACATCAGCCAGATGGATACGCTTCAACTGAGGCATTTTGGGGAGAAAACGTCTAAAAGTCGATAACGCATCCGGTTGCGTCGAGAATAACGCTGGGTTATGAGAGACGTCAATGAACCGAAGGTTATGGAGGCGCACCAGCGCTTGAAGCAGCGGAGAGATAGCAGAGGGCGTAAGAGAACAGTCCGCTAGACTGAGTGCATAAAGAGGAAGGTGATCTTCGATAACATTGGTGATCAGATCCAGGTCGTCCCCTATAGGGTTCCCTCCTAGATCTAAGCCTTCACATTTGCCGGATTCCAGATATCGCACAATATGTTCCAGGCCTCCCCGAGTCACTCCGTTGTTAGCTAAGCCTAGCCTCCGCAAGCCAACGGATGTCGCAGCATCACAAATCTTTTTCACCTCTTCCGTTGTAGGCTTGCATTCGCTAAGTAGCAATTCCTCGAGATGATCGCCACCGAAGCGCTGCGAAAGAGAGTTTGAAAATACGGTAACCACATCAATAGTTGCGGAAGCACAAGTAGGGTTTGTTACTTTCGGAGGTAAATTCGTGGGATCATTCAACGGAATGGGAGATGAGGGTAGCGGAATACCCGTGAGGTCGATAGCCTTGAGGGACTTGGAGAGATGGATAAACAGACTGATATGGCGCCATCCTTCAGGGCCGATTTTCGGATTGTTTTTCAAAGATAGCCTTTCCACAACGCTGAATCTCTCTATCGTCTCGGCTTCACGAAGATCTGCTTTCCTGTTTTTCCCACGTCTGCGCCTCATTTGCTCGACGGTTTTGGTCGAAAGAAGGCCAGACAAGATGGCACGGACGGCCTCATCCGTCAATGCGCATTTTTCAAGAATTAGTTTTCGAACGGGTACCACAGCTAACCAATCACTGAAAGTCGCAATATCTTCAGAAGTCATTGGAAAGTTTGTGAGGTCAAGCACAGCGACGGTCCCAGGGGATTCCGCAAGCGTTGACGAAGGTGACGAAATTTCATCCACTATTCGTTTCAGAACGGGTGTCTCACGTAGTTGACAACAACGCCGGTAAATCCGAATAGGATCAGTCGTTGGGTGATTTTGCGTCCCAGATCGACTATGGACGGCTGTAATGTTCCTAGGTCCGCTCTCGTGATCATCGGCTGTCAATTGCATGGGAATGGAACCGTTCGCCTCTGCTAATCTCCGTTTCCTATCCCTTCGTTCCCGCCTTTCCTCTTCGGATCGCTTTTTCTTTTCTTGCTTCCTTGTGGGCTCCTTCACTTCGTCGTTGGGTTTAGCCTCATCCGATGGCATCGTCGGAGGACTGTCCTTCGGGGCGATATTCTCCTCAGTTGATACCTCTTTCTCCACGGGCGTACTATGCGCACGTTTCAATGGCTCGGCCTCGTCCTTCGTCTTAGATTTCAAATTTGTTCGTTTCGGCTTAGAGATATTCATATCGAGATGACGACGCGGTGTATTTGAAGGCGGGCTTTCCTCATCAGACTCTCGGGGGGCTATGCCCGCAATTTCAACATCGACGCAAAACGCGACCCGCCGCAGCTTCGCTTGGTTGAGATCGGGAACTTTACATCTATCTCGATTTTTATCAATGTTCAACGTACGGCGCTGGCAAATAGAACCATTGGCAGGAGCTGGTCTCCCCCCTCCAGAGCCGGACGAAGACAACTTCCTAAATGCGCTTTGCAGAAAAGAAGGGCCCCGAGGTGAACTAGACGTGAGCGGCGTATTTTCGTCCCTTTTCTCTTCTTCTCTATCCTTCGGCGAATATGCTGCTCCAAATGGGTTATGCATGTCTAGTTTTGAGGCAGGTGGGCTCGGTTTCGGTGTTGCTTGAGGTTTCATGTTGGACTGCGACGGAGGGGTAGAGCCGGATGAGAACTTTGAACTAAGACTTGAGATCCACGAGCCTCGGCGCCCGATTGGTTTCGGTGCACTCTTCGGGAATTGATCCGACGCTGGGGATGTTCCATTGCTCGAATTTGCATCACTAGGCTTGGTCTCCTTCTCAGATCGGGCGCTGGTGTTGTTAGGATCGGATTCGGCGAGCACCGGGCCCGCGGGGACGGAGGCATTCTGCGGGTTTGGAGAGCTCTTGCTCGGTGACGGAGCTTTGTAGGAATGGGAGCGCTGCGGCGTTGCCGCTTCCACATCATTGCCAGGCTTGTCGCAAGACAAAGACGAGACGGATCTGCAGCGAGAAAGGTTGTTGTCTGGTGAAGGTTAGGTTGCTCAAACTCCCAGCGCTAAAACCACGAGCGTACCTTTATGTGAATGATGGAGCCAACTCACATCAACAGTCTCAACGTTCTCCATTCTGAGACTGCTCTTATCAGAGGTAGTGTAGTATATATGAGTGATGCAGATGTGACCGTCAAGTTCCTAGTCGAGCCTAACTAGAGAGACATAACCCCCGGCTCTATTCGAGAACACAGTTTCAACTCTAGCTGTGGAACAATTTGCCACCGTATCGCAGCGTCCTGAGCTAGTGGAGATAGGTATCTCCTTGGAATTTAGTAGTAGAAGTAGTAGTGATGGTCGCGAAATTCCATTTTGTCAATGCGGCGGAGCTGAAATAATGCGGTAATCATGGTATGACGTTAAGGACTGGTGGACATGGGATGGGAGGACGAAGACGGCGCAAGGGAAGCGGGCGAGCAGCGAACTTGAAGTGCGAGGAGGAGAGGGCGGTAAGATGAGGGAAAAGTAATGGATTGATAAAGAGTTACTTGCCAAGGACAAGAGGTGGATAACTGTTCTTGTTAACCACGGCAAGAGCAATATTTCTCAGCATCCTTCGTGATCCCTGGGACCACCAGCACGACGTTCATTACCAAGTGGGAGCCCTTCTGACCGGCAGTATCGTTCGGTAATTACTAGCCAGCATTACTTACCCTCATTAAGCTTCTTACAGCCCACTACTCTCCTACTCCAGCATTCCGATCCAAAGTCCAGACAAATCGCAAAGGTCACGGTGGGAAGAAAAACTGCGTAGGATTTCTTGATGGCGGCCCGCTAAACGCCTTTTTGCCCAGCGGAATTCCATATCCTTCCGGTGGGCTCCGAAACTTGCAATTCCAGCCGTTTACACCGTCCACACCCAGTCAAGTACTCAGTGGAAATCCCACGGGCGGAGTCGCCAACTCCGAGACTCCCTCTCTTTCGAATATTGTACATCCACTACTTCGCATAGTCAACAGGTTTTTTTTTTCTATATTTCAGCGAAGCAGCAGGCCGATGATGCCGAAGAGGTCAAGATCCTTCCAGAATCCGACAATCGTGCGCTATTTTCTTGCATAGAAAGTCGTCGCTCAGGTTTCCCGCTAGGGACTGGGATATTGCCGCCCGTTGGAGAACGCCCTTTACATCTTGAGGATATGGCGCCTGGCCTAGTCTACTTACTGGTTCAGCGTTGAACTGTCTCTCTCCGACACAGCAAGCAAGTGGATATTCCGGTCCATCGAGACCAATGTCGCAAGCCTCGAGGGAAGTTGTGCAAGGGAAAAATGCAGGTGGTCAGAAATTCGCGCCGCCGACCAGCCTCCTGTTTGATCGCCCTCAACGTTACACAGGATACCAAAAAGCAAAGCATTTGTTGGCGAGCAGGACGCATGCGAGGGCGATTACTGCAAGGTTCACGGAGGTAGAGTTCTTTCCCCTCTATAGATTGAGCCTGGCCCTCGTATTGGTTATATACGACTAGTAACATTACCAATATTACCAGTGAGCCCTGAGGCAAGTCAGCTGATGGCCCGCGCTTCTCCAAGACTGTGGAGTTGTGGTGGCCATTCCACAACCGTCAACCATCGCTCCAATATGCTGATCGTTTGATTCTTGTCGGTGGGCATTTGGGCTGAATGCTGACTGCCAACTGCTGTTATGTGTGCCGTGTTCTGGTTCCTTCTCCTTACACCAGCCCAACGGTCGTGTCACCTGAGATTTTTAGGTGGAATTTCACTCAGTGTCGTGGACCAGATCATAGCCTTAATTCTTCAGGAGAGATAGGAGTCCACTACGGTGTGAATCGCAAGTTCCATAAGACCCGCAGGTATCCTCTTTGGATCAACGATGGCGGATCACAGCTCCCACGAGAGAAGATACCTTATTTGGAAGCATAGTTCGCGGGTCTCGCGGCATCAAATACACGGCCATCGCACTTAGAAGAAACGGAGAAAGGGCCGACGTTTGTATTTTTCCCATATGGTCATAAAGTAGGCAAATGTATCCCAGCGGAGAAGTCCCGGAGCTGGTTGGGTGCGCACCTTCGGCAGCGAGTGTCCACATGCGGTGTAGACTGTAGATACGTAGTGGGTGGGGGTGGCGAGCGAAGAACAAAAGGACTCAGGGCTTTGGGAGCTGTATATGTACGAAATCTACAAGTCGGCCAATTTATTGGAGCTTTGAAGAAAATTAAGCCATTTCAATTCCCCGCACCCATAATGCTCCAGAAGTAAGCCCTAAGTCATAAAACACAAAAACATAGTCGTGAAAATCATCAAGCTACAGGATATCTGAAGAATCGCCGACTTGGCAAACCCTTTATTGTTGGCAAGGTAAAATTTTTTTTGCTCTGACTATCGCACTCAGTAAATGTATCAAGCACGATCAATCCGCCTCCCTAATAGGAAAACATTTAAGCAGCAAGCTCACGGATCTTAGCCTCAACACGGGCCTTGCGCTCATCGTAGGTGAGCTTGTTCTTGCGGAACTTCTTGCTCTCGGCCTTCCATTCCTCCTTGGACTTCTTGGAGCCAGCATCCTCATCCTTCTTGAAGGGGTCCTCACGGATAGCCTTGTGGGCTTCGGTGTAGAGGTCCTCGAGCTCACCAGCGTCAATCTCGTTCTCGGTGTACTTGTGGAACTGGCCACGGAAACGCTCCTCGTCGTCATCGGCAAGGCCCTCCATGTACTCAGCAACGTGGCCACCGAAGATGTAGCTACGGAGAGTCTCGGCGTCGAGCTCCTCAGATTCGATGTCGTAACCGGGGAAGCGGCTCTCGGAGTGGGGAACGAAGATACCACCGTCGGAAGCACCCTTCATGGCACCGAAGACACGGGCACCAGTGGAGGTACGGGCAAGACCAACATCGAGGAAGGCCTTGAAGGGGCGGCGGGTACCGTCGTCGGTCTCAGCAGCCTCGGTGAGACTGAACTCACCGTCAGCCTCCTCAACACCGGTGAAGTCCTCGTCAAGGCCGAGCTTCTTGAGAGTACGGCGGGCAAGGAGGAGACCAGTGGCGTAGGCAGCGGCCCAGTTGGTCAGACCGTTGGTGATGCCATAGCGCTTGAGCTCGTGAGAGTAGGCGCTGGTGAAAACCTTGTCACCGGTGAGCTCAGAGTAGACGATCTGAGTGACGATGTCGCGGTTGGTGAAGCGGACGACCAGGCGGTACTTGGGAGCGTTGTACTTGTTCTTGGCCTGGGTGACCAGACGCTTACGAGCGTAGTAGTCGGTCTTTCCCTCTCTGCGGCGGCGGTACTTGGTCTGGTAGCGACTAAAAAAATTGTTAGCATGCAAACTTCACATAAAAGATTCACGAGTGCGTGCTTACCTGTAGTACGCGCTGGACTTGACGGTCTTTTGGTAAGGGGCCTACCAGATAACACTCGAGTCAGCAATTTGCGCTTCAGAAGTAACCCTCATCCGAAGCATCTTGCAAAGACCCGGAAACCACGAGAAAACTCATGATTGCAATAGATAGGCCAGAAACAAGGCGATAACGTCGCTTATTTTCACGGATGGCAGTAAATACTCACCATTTTGACTGTTGGGCGGACTGAGGACCGAGTTGTCGACGTTGGCTGCAGAGGAAGAAATTGGGAAATTTCGTGGGATGAATTTGTGGACGGGCCTTCGCTAGTGCGCCAAGACTGGTTGCATCCAACTCCCGGGGCATCTCTACAGTGTGGTCGGCGACGAGGCTGCGGGACACCGCCAAGAGTTTTTTAAGAAGCTGTCTCAAGAGCAAGAACACCCAACCTTGCCAAGAATTACAAAGAGATAATCGATTTTGATCGCATTGACTCTAAGATTAGCATCTATCTCGTGTTAGATATTTACTATGTAACTGTCAACAAGAAGCCTCATAGTTTAGCTTGCTCCTCCAACAGCCGAAGCCCAGTGACCTTCTCCAGCTCTTTCACTGCATCTTCTATATGTCCAAGATTTACCTTGATTGTTCGGAACCCTATCGCCTTAGCAGGTTTTAGGTTCTGGCCAATGTCATCCAAAAACACCACATCAGACGCTCGCACTGGCTGCTTTAGTCCCTTCTTCTGAGCAGCCGCATTCATCTCCTCCAAAGCAGCCTGGTATATCTTCGGATCGGGTTTTCTTAGGCCAGTATGTGCGGATGAGATAAAGAAGTCGAATAACGCCTTGCGCCCGATGGTGTCGTCGTTATACTTATGGCCGTCCGGGAAGATGACTGTATTCGACAGAGCCCCCATGATGAACTTGCCAGACTCCTTCAGCTTCTTCAACGCGGGCCACATGAAGGGGTCGGGCGTCCTCGATATTCGCATCATCTCCCAGAATAACCATTCCGCGTCTACCTCGGGCAATGGTGGGTTCAATGCTAGGACTTTGTTCGGGTTCTTTTTCCGAAGGTCCTCGTTGAATAACTTCCACAGTTGGGGATCCCGTAGGTCCCTATTGAATCCAGCGAAGAACTCGGCGTCCATTTTGATATCGCCCCGCTCCAATCTGTGCCAGCTGCCATGTGGTGATGTCCGGGAGATGCTGAAGTTCACCCATCCAGGCGGTATGTTCTGAGCAATCTCATAGTCTAAGATGGCTTGGAATGGCGACACGACCTGTATTGAAATTAGCACATGTAGCTGATACCATGAGTGTTATTATCAGCTTACACAAACTCCCCCGATATCGAAGAGCAGGCCCACCGGCCGTTGACTTTCCGCCATGGTGGAGCGGCAAGAATGGGTCCGAGATCTTGGTTTTGTAAACACGGGGCTAGGAAATTCAATTTCACTGTCCAGCAGATATCGAGTAGTTATTTTGTTGATGATGGGAAGCTTTCCTTGCGTGTTGTCTGCGGAGTAAGAAACTTGGGGGAACTGGGTTGCCGAGGTATGTATCGGCCATGGGCAGTGATTCTAGACCGAGGAAGACATTCCACATCACAACTAGGACTACCTAGATGAGCATACTATTTCAGCTATCTGAAGACACTACGAACATTGATTCTGTTCACAAAACATGAAAAATACCTCCTATTTATATACTCTTTTCTTTCGGTGTCGGCAACTCGCCTGAAATCACGTGACAATGTTGGCGGCCGTTATCGATAGCATCAACGCGTCTCGGTGGGAAACACCTTGTTCAGCATAGCATTGCAGCCATTATGGGGCCATGGAATCCTCGCGGTCCATCGCCGAACTGAAGTCGTCGTTCATTAGGACGCAAGTCCGCATCCTTTCGGAGAGCCTTGAAGCCCCAGAGGATTGGAGAAGCTATGCCGCAGAGCCCTCGGAGGAGGACCTGAGTGATAAGGTGGTTGGGGAGGTGCTACAGAAGTGTAAGTGCCATATACTCGCCGTGCTGCCAGCAAGATTCATGCAGTGATTTACATTCACTGTTTTTGCTGGGTTTTTTTTTTTTTCTATTTGCACTCTCCCCACATGTTGCTCTCAATACTAACCAGCCTCTGCGTTAGTTAACGCGGCCTTGAAACAACACAATCGCGTTGTTTACTCCTCTCAGGCGATCCAACATGTGTCACAACAAATCGCAAGTCTATACTGGTCATCGATTAGCCAGGCTACTCGTGAGGTGACTTCACTGGAAAGAGGTGTCGACAGAACTGTCGATTTATCTAGTCACCCGTGAGTTTTCGCGCTCGCCATTGATCCCACGAATCTGTTGCCTGACACATTTTTTTTGCAAGAAATATTACCCAGCTCCCTGAAGAGCTCTACGATCGATCAACAAGCGAAGATGATCAGCTTAGGTTTGAGCCCCTGTACGGCAAATTTCACTTTTATCCGACTCATCGTTGTACAGGTACAAGCGCCTACGAGAACGTCTTGCGAACCTTGATAGTCTGCGGCAACAGCGACAACGGCGCCTAGACCAATTGCGACAGCTCCATCGTCTCCTGGAGCCATTTAACGAACCGCAAAATAATATTCAGCCCAATCTAGTCACAAGGGATGGAGAACTAATCCGAGAACTAGAGAAGATGCGGATGCTGGTCGCACGGGTTAGTGGTCGCATAGCGCAGACGCAGACGGATCATGACGGTGGAGGTGATGCTTCATACGTGCTGGGATCGGAGCAGAAGCTTGCGGCGCTTCTAGACATGGATTGAACAGTATATAGTCCTATATGCAAGCCTCACTGCCAGAGTTTACTTGACATGTATTCTCGTAGCCCGTATCTAGTTGCTTTTCAGTTCCTGTCCGAACCCGGTGACACAGAAGCGCTGAAAGAGCCGACGGGGAAAAAAGCTACATAAGTATTGCCCCGGATACTTCACTGGCTGGTAAAGATTTGGGATTATTGCTTGGTTTCTCGAAATAAGTTGCAAGGGGCAAACTATACTTGGACCTGACTGCAGCTGCAGCAAGTGCGAGTGACAGGAGCGTGATGAAAATAGAAAAAAATAACGCGATATATTATTTCTTCCTGCCGCATAATTCTTACTTCTCACATTTAACAAAACAGCCATTATTCCTCCAACAGCACATTTTCTTTATTCTGCACTGCTGTTGGCTCTTGCAATGGATGATTCCCTCCAGGACACCGCCTCCTTCTGTGGCTCCTGTGAGGCTGGTGATCGGAGTTTACCATCCGAAACTCCGGAGCTTGACTGTTTTGGTGAAGGCCGACCTCTCCCTCCTCTCCCAACAACTCCAAACCAACTAGCTGCAGAACACAACGCGACCGCGACGCCGGAGACGACCTCTTTTAGGGCCTCTCTGCCAAGATCGAGGTCTCTGCCTCAATTACCGACCGTCCCTACTAGCGAGATTTCCATTCCACCCGACACAATCGCTGAGTCTACTCCTCCCTGTGCTCCCAAGGCACCATTTGTGCGTGGGCATCGTCGTCGCTCCACCCACGTAGATCGTCGTGACCTTGAGAAATTCAGAAAGGAGGTCCTGGGTGTTGAGACCACTGGATTTGAATACGACGACGAAGGCGCGCTCACTGCGAATCCCAAGGAATTTCAGTCCCAGTTGGAGGAATTGAATCGTGCTTTTGACGCCGCTACCATGTCTTTGAACAGCAGCGGTAGCAACAGCTCCGGATCGGGCATGTTTTCAAATTATACCGACAATTCTGCCGCCGGACCTTCCAACCTGCCTAGTGTTCCTCGCCAGCCGATTCCCTCGCCGGTGGCCACTCCGCCTCCCCAAGTTAACGGCGGCGGGATGGCAGGAATGAATGCCGGGGTGCCGATGAGTGCGGGACATCAAATGGATTTGCGTCATCTTTTTGACATGGTGCTGGAGCTGAGCGATGTATTGAAGAATAATCGAGACATGACCAAAAGCATAGTCTCGAGCGCGGAGGAGATTATGGTATGTTTTCCTGCCCTTCTGCATTGGATAACACTGACGATGACAGAAACGTTCTTCATCCGAAGGGACTAGCCCGAGCATTCAGCAGGTGAATGGGGAAATATCCAGTAAGCCCACGCGATTCCCCTATTTACCTTGATTGATATTAATCGAACTAGGTGCCCGTATTGCTGAACTTGAGCGTGCCCTCGCCAAGGAGAAGCGCCTGGTAGAAGTCTTGAAAGTCGAACAGGTCGAGAATACCAAGTTGATCGGTGAATACGAGGCGGCCGTCGGCACTATGGTAGAGCAGATTCGCAACTACTGCCACAACAATAATCTGCACTACCTGTATCAGAAGCGACATTACAACAATCTCCTTCAGGCAGAGCGTGATGCCCACCTGGAAAGTCGCCTTGATCGTGACCACTGGCATGCTCAGACCTTGAAATGCGCGGAAATGATTCGCACCGCTTATCGTCTTCGCTGCGAGGAGGAAGAGCTCCCCGTTCGTATCGTTGCCGGCTTGCAGAACGAAGTTCGTGCCTATCGCAATGCCTTGGGCATGGAACCCGAGAAATTCGAGGAAGAATATGGCTACGAGATTCTGAAGGACGTGCCGGGAGGTGCCGAATGAAGTGGCGTGGCATTTGATGTTGTATGAGTTATGATGATTTTCGACACAGATTCCCTCTTTCTTTGATCCTGGGACGGCGTTTTGGGTACCTTTTACTCGATATAGCAGCTTGCAGCTCGGATTTTTGCCTGCGAAGGATACCCATCTTTGCATGACTTGCATGTACTTTTCTGGTCTTGATATTACTGGCTGAAGGGTTCTGAACTTGGACATGGTTACTGGGGCTTTTGGATGTGCTGGTCATTTTACTTAAGACCTGGACGATTACCAGAAAGAACACCTTACTTTTTAGGTCAGTCAGATACCTGTAACTAGAAGTTGACCATCTGACTGCCACCAGCGGCCGGCATTGGTTGGAATGTCCATATTGAGGAATAACAACTCTACATTGTACATGTTGATACTTTTTAAGCCAATCCACTCAATCCGTATAAAACACCTCGTCCAAAACCTTCCACCACCCAGGCCCCTCTGCACTGCTCACAGCCCCAGGGATAGGACTCTCCTATAAACGTGCATCCCATTAGCATAACTGCCTTCAAGAGATCTAATCCCTCCTAACTTCCCAAAGAGAGGAATAAATACCTGCATCCCATCCGTCATAGCCCACCACTCCCTCACCTTCGGATTCGCCTTCATCTTCGCCATGTCCCCATCAAAGTCATCTCCGACGTACTTAAATGTGGCGAATATTGTGCGGTCGTTGTCGAAGAATATCGAGTCTATCGCGGCAGCAGCATTAGATTGGCACCGTTCTCCCCAAAATAATCAAAACAGCCTCTCTCTATCTCTCCTTCTTTCTTCCACATGTGGTATGGTTTGGCAGGTATACAGGGCAGGTAAAAGAAGGGGAGACATACAATCACGAATATTGCAGTCTTTAATCTGCTGCAGGACCTCTGGCCAGACGTTTGCGTGGCATTCCTTGTATGCGGCGACGGCGGAGGGTTTGAGGTGGACGATCTGGGCGATGCGGCGGGTAGGCATTTTCGCGTGTTTCGATTGAATTGAATTGAATTGGATAGGATAATAATATTGTGTGCTTTTTGAGTCTAAAAAATCAATAATATTAACAGATTGCGAAGAGGGGGGAAAGGGAGCATACTGAGCTCAGTGCCGTGCCCCTCAGTTCGGGGGGTATTAACCCGAGGCACTCTGGGGAATCACTCCCTCCGTTGGAATGTGGCCAGCGGGGTATAGATTAATTAAATTTGATATATAGATTGTTTCATAAGTGGTAAAGCATAGTCTCTATTGTGTGAATCTTCAAAGGACCTTGCGAGGCTCTGATGTTTAAGTTAACATGTCACATCCTAAACTATATATTAACCCTCGGTCCAGCCATGGTATATTGCCGCTAAACGAAACAGAACGCAAACAGAATTCAAACAAAGCAAGGTAGATTAGGAGATTAATCCTGCATTTGACTTTTTGGCACAGGCCGTATCCAAGCAACTGCGATATTCGCTGCGATGGAAATTACTCCCAAGATCCAGATTCCGCGAGCATAGTCATGGTGGCTGTACCGGAAGATAATGGCGAAGATTATGCCACCTAGATTTCCAAAGCCTCCTACCATACCAGAAACAATGCCTGGGGGAGATTAGCAAATGGCCTGATCATAAATAAAAATAAGGCAAAGCTCGGACATACCATTAGCAAATGGATGCACATGGGGCACAAGGGCGAAGTTGGCACCATTGCAAGCCTCAAGGAAAAATGCAAGACCGGCAGTAAGACCAAACATGGTCGCCTCAGATGTTGGGTCTGAAAGACCCATTGCAAGCATGAAAGCGCCCATGATGACACCGAGGAAGGAGAGAAGGAGTTTCTTCGACCAAAGCGTCTCACTGTAGTTGTAAAGAATATCGGCGAGAAACCCACCAGCTGGGCGGCAGATAACATTGAGGAAACCGAACATAGCGGCCCACTTTCCTGTTTGTGTCTGGCCCATGTATGGGAAGTTCTTGTCGTAGTAATCACCGAGGATGGAGTTGATGGCCAGCTCTGAACCAAAGGAACAGGCGTAGGGAATAGCGACCGCTAGGCTTGCGAGACTGAAGACAACCTTCATGGCTTCTTTGCGGGAAGGGGAAACCACAGCATCTGTTTGGATGGCATCGAGCTGACCCATTACTTGAGTGCCGTCGGACTCTATGGGGGACTGGATGCCTTTCTTCTCCACATCTACAGCGATGTTGGTGATGATCGAGGGTGATCCGGAAGGTTGTGCGGACTGGCTGCCGGAATTGAGGTCGACGATGTTGCCTTGAGAGTGTGTTTCCTCCTTTGTCCAGATATGGCGTTGTGACCACGGCCCTGTTGGCGTATCGTCGCATGTAAACAGCATCCCCAAGGCGGTAGCAACGATAAGGATGAAGGGGACGATGTAGGCAACGCGCCATGCCTTGTGTGCGGCAAGACCTTGACTATGGACGAGCGAGTCAAATATAGCAGGCATGACAAAGCTGGTTGTGGAATGTAAGCACTCTTATACGTGTCTGTTGTTAAAGAAGCAAGAGTGTACTCACTATGTAATACCGCCGCCAGCATTACCCAGACCTGCAGCAAGGGAGTTGGCGGTCCCCACGACCTTCTTGTCAAAGAACCCGGTACACCAAACCTGGCATGGGACAAATGTGCCACCAAGAATTCCAATAAAAAATCGCAGAGCTATTAGTCCCTCGGGGGTTGTAACTAGACCAGCCATTGCAGTGGGTATAGAGCCCACCAGCAATAACCCGACGAAGACTAAACGAGGACCGAAACGGTCGCACATGGGCCCGCAGACAAATCTAACCAGTAACCTGGCAAAATTAGGCTTGACCTGAAAACCAGTGTTTGTAGGGTACTCACGTAGCTAATAGAGCAATGATATTTGAGTTGGCAATTTGCGTCTGCGACATGTGTAGATCATCACGGATGGTGACCGTCAACTATACCTGAATGTTAGAATATCGTCACAAATAATAGTGCTGATGAGAAGACTTACCAGAGGCGGAAATGCATACCATGAGAGAAATGCAAGCATGAACCCTAACCATGAGAAGAAGAAAACACGGCCATATGCGTCAAGAGGATTCAGTATCGGGATGGAGAGCGCTTTGCGGTTGCTAGGGTTGACCTCAGGAGAGGCTACCAGGAGCTTGAAAAAGCCCATGTCTTTGAATAATGTTGATTTTAGGATTTGGGTTGGTTGACTGGAAACCAGGCTCAGCCTGCTGAACAGATATTGCTGTACAATATTATGTCCCGGGGGTATACGTGAAGGAAGTCAATGAGTTGAATGGGGCCAGTATAAGAAAACTGAAGTTTATAAAAGACACAGTAAGATGGACAATTCTTTGAATATTGACTGGGGTTATGCGCTGAACGGACGAAGAGATGGGCTGGTATATAAAGGATGGTATAATCTGGGGCCAAGACGAGTCACTTCCGATCGAATAGGAAGTGTCATGTATCTCCCAGGGTATCAGAGGAACGTCAGCAGTAGGGTGCGCTCGGGACCAGAAAGCAAGTCTATCACGGCCCCTACTGCTGATTAGAAATGTCAGTTTGACCGATGTTTAGTCGATATTCGTAACAAGAAAGTCGCGATATAGACATGACAGCACCGAATAGGGAGCCCACATCCAACCAAGACAGAGGGTTTGTCGATCCACATCCACCGGTTGAGATCGGGCAACGGCTTCTCTGGAACCATCACAGCCATTCCCCATATTGGAAGACACCAGTCGGGCAGGCAGCGGAGGAGGCCAGTCCGTGGTGTGGCCATGATGGCGCGGCATCCGAGCTGGAGATAAGAAAAGCGCACGACCCACAGGCCAGATCTTCACCTCGAGGCTGCAGAACAGAGTTTGGGCGTCTGATAAGGCCTGCTCTTGAGCCACAGTCTCCGCGGGCCTCGTTTGGCATCCATCGGGGAAGGTCTCGACCCCCGGGTCTGCAGGAAGCCCTAAAATCAGCAAAAAAGCAACTCTAAAGCAGATGAATAGTGTCCGTAATCCCTCAGATGTCAGTGTATGAGTATGCCATGGACTTTCCACAATATCCCAGAGAGAACACAGCTGAATTCTCAGCTAGCGCATGTTTGTCCGCTTCACAGAGCAAGCCCTGTCCCTGTCCCTGTCCCTGTCCTATACGCTATGGTGATGACGAGAGCTTCTCGGAATACAATCAAGGACCCACTCTCGAATTTGAGTCCGCGGAGATCTGGAGAGCCAAATGGGTCCATTGGTAAGGGTGTTATCGGGGGAGATGGACGATGAGGAAGAAAGACTGGGTCTGGCTGGGGGGAAGATAACAATATCACCAGCCAATCACGTTTAGGGCAATGTGAGCTCAACAGCCTCAGGCATACAAGCATGAACCCAGTGCCGACATTGCATTATGACATACTATAAAGCAGCATGCTTGCAATTGCATGGAATTTAGTATGGAATTTAGTGAGGCGTGGTTCTGTACAGTGCTGATGGTCTACCCTAAGATGTTCGGCTACAATATCGTCAGATATGAATCCTCAAGTAAATATATTCAGCCCAGGTATAATGCTATGGAATTATCTCCTAAAAACACCGTGAAACAACCCTATGCCCATTGCACGTCGTAATTCGCATCATAAAATAACACACTGACACCAAGAGCCTCTTACCAGTCGATGGTATTTGTAGAACGGACTGGCCTACTGCCCTCAATCCCTTTCCCCGTAACCCTCTTGCCTTTCATCCCCTTGTACTTCTTGTCATATGCCTCGAACGGGTCCGCCGCCTCGCCCTTCTTAACCTTCCACTTCTCCGTACCAAGAATGGAATCAAGTTCCTCGACAGGGGGGAGCTTCATGTAAATCCAGCCATCCTCACGTTGCTCGACTGGGAAAGTGGCAATGTTCATTTCCTCGTCGTTCGAGCAACGGCCAGCCTGCTCGCCGTTGAGTTCAAAGTTGCGCTTGTGGTATGGACACGATACCCAGTATTTCCCGGCATCGTCGTCGCCAATCAAACCATCGGAGAGGACGAACGCCCGTTTGTGAGGACACATTTGCTGTGTAGCGTAGTACTTGCCCTTGACTTTGAAAATGGCCAACTGGGTGTCTCCGCGCTTGATGTTGGCGGAAGAAATGGCAGGCGGGCCGTCTGAAAAGTAATCGGCTTTGATTACGGGCTGCCATGAGAGACTAGACCATTGATGGCCCTTGAAGTCTGCACTTGCTCCATCCTTCGGCCAGTATGTTGGACGCACTTGTTCGCGCTCCTTGACAATCTCCACGGTCTCGATTGTCTCGTCGGTGTTGGCGAATTGCTGGAAGTATTTGCGTCTCTTGGGATTTCTGACGGTCTCGGTCCATTCACAGAAGTAGCTGTCAACCAGTGCTTGCATCTGATTCTCCATTTCTGCTGCTATCCCAAGTTTGTCGTTGAGAACGACATCCTTGAGATATTCAATTCCACCTGGAAGATTTTCGAGCCACCGGGCTGTTCGCTGCAGCTTGTCTGCTGTTCTGATATAGAAAATGACATAGCGGTCTAGAATAGGGATAACCTCTTCCGGCGGTACGTCTTTAGCCAGTAACTCTGAGTGGCGCGGTTTGGCGCCTCCATTACCACCAACGAAGATGTTGAAACCCTTTTCAGTAGCAATAAGACCGAAACTATTCTGTATTAGCAGCATTCAATACAAACGTAGAATGGGAACCCTACTCTTTGTTTTGCGCTTCGGCACACTCTCGAACGCAACCAGATACGGCGCCCTTGAATTTGTGAGGAGCTCGGATACTCTTGTATCGTTGCTCTAGTCGAATGGCCATACCAACACTGTCTCCCACGCCAAACCGGCACCACGTGGTTCCAACACAGCTCTGATTGTCCCGTTAGTAGATCTCGAATACAGTTGGAAATAGCCCCTACCTTGATGGTTCGAAGCGACTTAGCGTATGCATGGCCACTCTCCATGCCAGAATCAACGAGAGCGGTCCAGATGTCGAGTAGATCCTGCTTCTTGGCACCAAACATATCGATACGCTGGCCACCCGTGATCTTGCAGTATAGATCATATTTTTTCGCCACTTGGCCGATAGCAATTAACTTGTCGGCTGTAATCTCTCCTCCAGGAACACGAGGGACAACAGAGAATGTACCGTTTCTTTGGATGTTGGCAAGGAATCTGTCGTTGGTATCCTGCAGCTCATGGTACTCCTTATCCATGATATGTGGGTTAAAAAGACTAGCGAGGATTGAACCAATTGCTGGTTTGCAGATTTCACATCCGAGAGAGTCCGCACACTTTCCAACGGATTTCATTACGTCGTCAAACGTCCTTAGCTGTCGGATTGCAATGACATTATAGAGGTCGGCTCTCGAGTACGGAATATGGATACACACTGTATTTCATCAGCAAAAAGAAAGAGAGAGACTACGGAAGTGAGGCACGTACAGTGGTTAGAGACTTCTTGACCCATATCCAACATCGTCTTGTTGAAAATTGACTGCACAAGGGGCATACAGCCGCCACAGCCGGTACCTGCCTTGGTGCATGACTTTACTTCTGCCAATGTCTTGCAAGTGCCGCTTTTGACGTTCTCGACCACATCACCCTTTGTAACATTGTGACATGAGCAGATCTGGGTGCTGTCATCACTTTTTTTTTTTTGAACGGGTTAGCTAATACTTAAGCGATTAGGGTACTGGGCAGAACTTACAGGTCATCCGCGTTCTCCTCCCCGCTACCTTGAGCGCCCAAAATAAACTCGCTGGGTGGTACCTCCAAGGGCTTCTGTGTTTTGACCATCTGGTTGAGCTTGACGTAGTCTTTCGTGTCACCAATCATCATACCTCCTAACAGGTATTTTCCATCCATAGTGAACAAGTACTTTTTGTAGACTCCGCCAAAGGGATCTCTGTATGTGAGGGCCTTGACCTGAGGTTCCGTTTCAACTGTGAGATCTGTACCTCCAACATCTTCTGCAGAAGGCCGTTGGCCTGGAAGAAATTTAGGCCCGTCCCTATCAGCAAAAAAGTCCCCGAAGCTGGCAACGTCGACGCCCAGCAGTTTTAGTTTCGTACTCAAATCGGGCCTATTGAATTTCTTAGGTTCCTTGTCGGGGTTTGTCAGGTTGAATGAAAGCACATCGGCCATCTCGATACCAGGAGCAATGATACCGAACGTTTGGTTTTCCCAACTAGCACATTCGCCAATGGCATAAATATCGTCGGCAGATGTCCGTAGGCTGCCGAAATGCGTTAGTTTAAGAACTGGGCACTAGGAGATACACACACCTCTCATCAATAACGAAGCCACCCCGTTTAGCACACTGAATTCCAGCGCTGCTCCCCAACTCATCTCGTGGTCGAATTCCAATCTGTACATAAGGTCAGCACTACATATATGAGTGACGTGATACTGGGGAAGCATACCGCGAAGCATATGCAGCAGCAATCGAGCTCCTGGCCATCCTCGAAAAGCACACCCGTCACATTATTCTCTTCATCGGTATGGATTTTTGCCACGCGCTTTTCATGAAGCACTTCCAAGCCAAGGTCTCTGATCTTCTTCGTCACAAGGGAACCTGCATCACCATCGAGTTGCCTAGCAAGAACCCATTTGTTGCGGTCTATTAACTTGACACTGCCAAAATCTTCAAGATCCGTCATGGCTTTGGCGGCTTCTAGACCGAGTAGCCCTCCCCCAACTGTGACGCCAGTTTGACCCTTGTGAGTGGAAGCGAAGTCCATGAGGCGCTCAAGGTCGGAGATGGTACGGTAAACGAATATGCCTTTGGCATCATATCCAGGTGTGCTAGTAGGAAGGACGGCATCTGATCCAGTGGCGAGAACCAGGGTATCGTAAGAAATAATGTCACCGGTTGAAGTCTTAACGGTCTTATGTTGAGGAAAGACGTCGGTTACCCGAGTGTTGAGATAGTAATCGAAAGATCGATCTTTAAAAGAGCCATACTGTAGTCACAAATTTGAATATCATTAGCTTTGAAACCGGTCCTAAACATCAGACTACCCACCCATTCTTTCGGATTGAGGTATAGATCCTCGATTTTACGGTGCTCGAAGTAGGAGGACAAGCCCACACGGTTGTAGGCAATGTGTGGTTCTTCTCCAATGACAACGATATCGTACTTGCGTCTTTCTGAATCTAGTTTAACGAGCTTCTCTCTACAAAGTAGCAACGTTAGTTACATATAATCATTGGAAGCTCATGATTCGTACGTACATAAACGCAACGGCAACCATTCCCAGCCCCACCACTACGATCTTTTGGCGCCGATTAGAATCCTGACTGAAGGTTTCTCGCTCTGCAGTGGGGTCAATCCCATCGATGACGGGGAGGCCATGGTGGGCGCTGGCATTAGCAGTCTCAGCGCCCCGGGGACCGTCCAGCAGGGGCATTGTGTTGGACGTGGACGAAAAGCTGGAGAGTCAAAAAAGTCGTAACTCCTAAAAGAGCGGCAGCCGGCGACTCTCTCCACTCCATATATATCAGGGCCATTTTGTAGTACGGTGAGTAACCAGCTCTTGGTCACTGATTATCTCCGTGGGCTTGGGATCATGAGATAATCGAATGGGCCAATTGCTGTCTCCCCGATCGACGCGAATCAACGATCGCGCAATGGCAACAGTCATAATCACTAATTTTCATCAGGTGAAAGTTTGGCTAGGTGCGTCCACGATAATGGTCGGGCCACGGCGTGGTGTTGTTGACGGCAGTGTGAGATGGTTGGATCTCCGCGGAAATACTGGCCAGGCCCGGGACTCTGATTGGACAAGACGGGGCCACGATCTGCCGCTTATCTCCACCCAAGATAAGAAATTCCGAGGCTCTGATTGGTCGCTCTATCAACAGTATAAAGCCCTATCTCTATATCTCGATCAATGAGAGTCAGAACAAAGTAATCGGAATAAGGTAATAAACGGTTGACGTGAGATCATGTTAGCATCAGATCTTGCTCCGAGTAATGGAAATTAATCATAGAGTGGACTCATTCCAATCCCTAGATCGGAGGGCCCAACGCTGGACATCCACTATTCCCGCTGTCCAGGTTGATTAGGCGGGATTGGCCTCACCAAACGTATTATCGCCACTGGATTGCCCGGTAAATGGTGAGCAAATCCCGCCAGTCAGATTCATTGGCCTGTCGAGCATTCCTGTGCTGGACGCTGAGGTTCTGGAGCCTGCTGCGGCCCGCGGAGATGGAGTGGACCGTCGAATTCCGGATAGCTTTACCTGCTTGTCTTGAAAACTAGAGCATTATTGTATTTCTCCGAGGCTCTTTATGTAGCACAACGCAAGGAGATGCGTTTCTTTCTAAAATCGCGCATCCTGCAATTATGGAATAATCCCGCATGTTCGTCAACCACTTGCGACCCTTGCTAAGATATTTGACATTTACATCCATTCAAACAATGTTTCCATGCCTTTGATTGTCCTTGGTAACCTTATTTTATTCTTGTCCTGTGTATAAATCCCATTTATTTTGAGCATCTGAGCTGTCGTTTTCAAACCCTATCCGAGCATCTCCGCAATCTATATCCTATGCTTTTATCCTCTACAGTACCATCTTTCTTCCCTACCCCCTCAATATGTCTACTACTGTGACCCAAGTTCGAACGGCCAAGGTGCCATCAAAGCAAAGCGCTCTCAAACATACCCAGATCAAAATTGAGGAGCAAGAAGTCTCACCGCTCGACACTCCAGATATCCCATTACCCCCTCCTTCAAAGAATCTATCAGAGGTTCTGAGCATAGACAAAGCAACACCTGACGGTCATGTCGCACGAGATCCTAGACTAATCAGATTAACTGGCGTTCACCCATTCAATGTCGAAGCGCCATTGACACCACTATTCCAAGAAGGTAGATTGCACTCAACTCAAAACAACAGCTGCATCCGCATAGCATCTAGCTCACATCATACAGGCTTTTTAACATCCCCTGAGCTGTTTTACGTACGAAACCACGGACCAGTACCCCATGTTCGAGACGAAGAGATTCCCACCTGGGAAATCAGTATTGAAGGGTCTGATTCTGATCATATCCTCTAGGATTATAGAAGGCTTCTCTAACAGCTGCTCCAGACTGGTCGAGAACCCAATCACCCTAACCTTCAAGCAAGTCCTGCAAAACTACGACCAGATCACTGCACCCATAACTCTAGTATGCGCCGGAAACAGACGAAAAGAGCAAAATACTGTCCGAAAATCGAAGGGTTTCTCTTGGGGCCCGGCTGGCTTGTCAACTGCACTCTTCACCGGGCCCATGATGGCAGATATAATCAAGAGTGCTAAGCCCCTACGGAAGGCGAAGTATGTCTGTATGGAGGGTGCTGATAAACTGGTATAGTTTATCCAATCAGTCTAACCCCTAGAAGCGGTCGACTTACTAACAGACTGTATATAGCCAAACGGTCATTACGGAACATCCGTGAAACTGAACTGGGTCATGGACCGCAATAGGGGAATTATGCTCGCGCACAAGATGAACGGTGAAGATTTGAGACCTGATCACGGCCGCCCCCTGAGAGCTGTCGTCCCCGGTCAGATTGGAGGACGCAGTGTCAAGTGGTTGAAGAAGCTCATTATCACTGATGCCCCCAGCGATAACTGGTACCATATCTACGACAACCGGGTTCTACCGTAAGCTTCACATCCACATGGACTACCATCATATCCCTCGCTAATACCTTGATAGGACCATGGTTACTCCCGATATGTCGTCCCAAGACCCTTCATGGTGGCGCGATGACCGGTATGCCATTTATGACCTGAATGTCAACTCCGCTGCCGCATTCCCTCAGCACAAGGAAGTCCTCGACATCGCCACTGCGAAACCCACCTACACGGCAAAAGGTTATGCCTACGCTGGTGGCGGGCGAAGAATCACTCGTGTTGAAATATCTCTGGATAAGGGAAAATGTACGCCCGCTCCTTTATATTTGTAGGTGAAAATGATTCTAATACACCCCTAGCATGGCGTCTAGCAAACCTTGAATACGCCGAAGACAAATACCGCGACTTCGAGGGCACACTATACGGTGGCCGAGTCGACATGTCCTGGCGAGAAACCTGCTTCTGCTGGTCCTTCTGGTCCCTCGGTATTCCCGTCTCAGATCTCGAAAGCAGCGATGCCCTCCTGGTTCGTGCGATGGACGAGGCACTTAGCCTCCAGCCAAAGGACATGTATTGGTCTGTCTTGGGTATGATGAACAACCCTTGGTTCCGGGTCTCAATCACCAAAGAGAACGGGAAATTGCTCTTTGAACATCCGACTGACCCTACCGGTCCGGGAGGCTGGATGGAACGGATAAAGAAGGCTGGTGGTGACCTGCTAAACGGAAACTGGGGCGAGAGACAAGAAGGCGAAGAGCCTGTTGAGCCTGAGCCCGTGGTGGAGGTCAACATGAAGAAAAAGGGTGTGAACAGAATTATCAACCTTGAGGAGTTCAAGAGTAGATCGACGGATGAATGTCCCTGGTTTGTCGTTAACGGCGAAGTATATGACGGCACGGCCTTCCTTGAGGGACATCCTGGCGGAGCCCAAAGTATCATATCAGCAGCAGGAACAGATGTTTCTGAGGAGTTCATGGAAATCCGTAAGTCGCCAATGCTTTTGTTAGATAAACCACTCACTAAACCCTCCCACCAGACAGCGAAACAGCCAAAAAGATGATGCCGGACTACCATATCGGCTCCCTCGACAAGGCCTCCCTCGAAGCTCTCCAAAAGAGCGACAACGACGACAACACCGACACCACACCGCGCGACACTTTTCTAACCCCCAAATCCTGGACAAAGGCCACTCTAACCAAGAAGATGACCGTGTCCTGGGACACCCGCATCTTCACCCTTTCCCTCGAACACGAGTCCCAGCTCCTCGGTCTCCCAACAGGCCAACACCTAATGATCAAAACCCCCGACCCCAAGGCCCCATCAAGTAGTATAATCCGCTCATACACACCCATTTCGGAAACAAACCAGCTCGGCGCTGTCGACATCCTAATAAAAATCTACTTTGACGGCCCCGCCGTGCCAGGCGGGAAAATGACAACCGCGCTCGAACAACTGCCCCTTGGCTCCGTGATCGAGTGTAAAGGACCGACAGGGCGATTCGAGTATCTGGGTTCTGGAAAGGTTCTTGTCAGCGGTAAAGAGCGGACTGTGCGTGAGTTCGTGATGATCTGTGGTGGAACGGGCGTTACGCCTGTTTTCCAGGTTCTTAGGGCCGTTATGCAGGATAAGCAGGATGAGACGCGGTGCATTTTGCTTGATGGGAATCGGTTGGAAGAGGACATTCTTCTTCGTGAAGAGTTGGATGGCTATGAGGCTGAGGGTGGCGAGAAGTGTAAGGTTGTGCATACCCTGACTCAGGGTTCAGACAGCTGGAAGGGGAGGAGGGGTCGTATAGACGAGAAGTTGATTAAGGAATATGCGGGAACCCCGGATGAGCAGACGATGGTTTTGGTTTGTGGGCCTGGTCCGATGGAGAAGGCTTCTAAGGAGATCCTCTTGTCGTTGGGGTGGAAGGAGTCGAACCTCCATTACTTTTAGGTGTGGTTATTTTGATTCGTTTTTGGGCGTAAAGCAGGGTCGGTTTGGGTATTGGTATGGTATATACACGACTATCAGTTATTTCAATAAAGCTGCAAATTACATATTTCATCAATCATGCATTCAGTGATCCATAACACTGACGGTCCTAAGCCGCGTCAAATCTTCCAAGTGTTTTCAATCAGTAGTACCTCTTCATGTCTAACCGTACCAGAAGATGATCAAACACATTTGTAGGACCCTCCCTAGACGCAAACGCCATTCCAGACCTGCTTCTGCCCAATGACTTAGATGGCGCAGCCGCCCTTGCACCGTCAAGACCACGAAGATACCCGACAAAGGCGGTCGTTTGCTTTCTAAAAACGGCGTATAAGCGTTTGATGACGGCCTCGCTTTCATGCCGCACGCCGTGCATTCCGTCCATTCGCGACAGGGGAGCAAACTTAAGGATTGTGTCAAATATGCCATCCAACAGTTTTGCAACCTCGGCGTGCCGCTTGCTCAGGAACAGCGCGAATATCATCTGATCTAGGGTGTCTTCGTGATAAGCTCGAAGCCTGGGGATGGAATGGGCTGCTTCAATGGTACCATCGATATCGCCTCGCTCTAAACAGGATTCAATCTTAGACAGGGTCTCCTGGAATCGTCGCCATGTGGATCCAATGCCAAGTTGGAAGCAGTAGTCGCTCAGGGTTAGTACGAAATGCTGGCAATCTATCCGGAACTTTTGTAGTATGTTTCTAGTATCGCCTGCGAGTGAATCCCTCGCTGTTGAGTCCCGAATGATCCCCTTGACAACTGAGACCATCCGAAGGAGTCGTAGTAATTGTTTGAAGAGATTATCGTACTGTTTGAGAGAGCGTGGGGTGATTATGGCGTCTAAAACGTTCGACGGTTTGTACTGTAGACGAAGGAAGTCCAAAGCTTCAATAGCGTTGGGGTTCTTGCACTTGACAATTTCTGCTTCTGTCAACTCGCGGATAGAGAAACTCAGTCCGCCTGGGAGTTCCTTCTCTTTCTCGAATTCGGGATTCCCAGAGCCGTCCGCATATTTGCCATTATAACATTCGTTGAGAACGCCCATCAGTACCAGGCGCAGCTCTGAGCTTGCTGGAGGCCAGGTATCCCGGCTTCCCAAGCGTAAACCTGTGTGAACACCGCTCCGTACAACTCCAGTCTTTCGTTCGCCACTTTCCATTTCAGGATCGAAGAGCGAATGGGAAAGACGAGATGTAAAGTATCCGTCGCCCAGAAGTTGGAAACGCCACTGCAATGTCAAATGATCTCTCAACTTGTGCTCTTTGAAAAGAAGATGTAGGCAAGAAAAATCGATTAGTAACGCCTGTGAGGAGAGCAAGGGCGCAAGAGAAAGATAAAGCGAGGACGTTACTTCAGGTGCGAAGTTCGTCTCGAGACCAGAACGTTGCTCCTCAGCAATATATTCACACTCGGCTAGCAAGTGGCCGAGTGTTTCCTTTTTCATGGTCCCATCGTCCGCAAGCAAACCAGTCACATTTCGAGCGTTATCGATGTCAAACAGATCAAAGGCATCTGGTAGCACTGAGGATTCGGTATTATCGGGAACCCGGCAATTTGCTTTGCGTTGAGATGGCCCCTCTCGGTTATACTTGAGGACTTCTGCTCGTAGTCTAGATTCGTAGTCACGAGCCTTGGTTTGTATTCTTTCCAGCTCAGCCCAAGTGCCAGCACAACCAAGGTTTGGGATATCGACGCATGTTCCATCATTCACAAGAGGGTGGTTGGGGTGGGACCGTTTGAGCAGACGAAGACTGCGTCCGCTCTCATAGATTAGGTGGGCTTGGTCAGGAGGGACGAAAGAAGGCATCTGATCTGGAAGATACAGATAGTCAAATCGCTCTTGGAATTGGACTTTTCCCCTGTCCTCATGCTTCTCGAGAAAAACAAAGCTTCTACCACTGGTCAAAAGCTCCATTGATGAGGATGTTTCGGGACGAAAACCGATCCATGATTCGACATAAGACAACCATGGCCCCACGACTTTGAAGACAATCTCTCGGAAAAGCCCCTCCATCTGGCCATAGATGTGCGAATAATGGGCTGCGAGTTTGAATACAGAGGAGATTATCCGAGCCTCCGACCCGGCCTTGTCCACGGCATCCATCATGTTTGCCAGAGCCCCGACCAATTCGCCACATCTTTGAAACAGCGCTCTGACCTGGAGGGCTGAACTGATGTGCTTAGAGCGACCGAGTAATTGCTTTTCCAGTGTGTAAATTATCACGTATGCGACAGTCGAGAACGCTGACATTGCAGACGGCTCCGCCGCATTGGTCGGAGCCCTTTTGATGAAAGCGCGCACTCGTTGCATGTTATTCCCACATTGTATAATCTCGTCTGTTAAACCGCCGAGGGCCAGAGGGCTAACTCCGGAGATTCGGAGATTCTTAATAGTTCTCTCAAACTTCTTTTGTCGTTCGTTGTAACGAAAGAGCATAGAGCTCCATCCTAAGCCAAGCCGAAACAGGGATTGAAAGAAGACATCATTGCGGACAATACGTCTTGTTTTCCCGATTTCTTCGTGTTTGCTTTGTTGTTCAATTGCAGCGTCGAACCCCTTCGCTCCAGACTCACTGAAGTATGCTGAACGAGGTTCGATAAAATGGCGATCATGATATTTCTCCCATGACCTTGGAACGTTGTTGGTGTTGGCCGCTATGTCGGTATTCTCAAGTCTCCAAAAATCATCAAGCTCGTCGTCAGAATCTTGTCCAGTGATGCTAGCTTCATGTTGACCGTCGCTCGACGTATCCGTTATCGACTCCGCAAGCACACTTGGCTCAAAAAGGTCGGCTCCGAATATGTCCAGTTCGTGCAATTTCGATCCATCTTTGTCAAACAAATTCAACGGGCTCTTGAAAACGCCCCCCGACAAGTCTGCATGGAATTAAGAGTTAAGTTCCAGATAAACCGAGAGATACCACTTACCGGGGAGATTCTCGTTCCAAGGTAGAGGCTCTAGCGGCTGGAGTGACTCCAAAGTAAACTTCGAAAGCCGCCAAAGCCCGTTACTGGAGAACGGGTTCGAGACGTAACTTTCATGGTCCATTGTCACCGACTCATATCGAGTCACAGAAGGATAATTCGACACAATCCACTGCCGTTGCTACCCATCCGGGATCCTTATCAATATTCACGACGCGTGGGGATCGCGCGCGGCTAAAGTTGAACTTAAACCTCACCGCCTTCGCTCGGGAACCCGAACATCTCGCTCCGTCTGATCAATTATCGAATCAATTACGTCGTTTACGGTTGGGTTTTGTTATCATTCCCAATGCCTCCAAGAAAGAAGCCTAAGCTCAACACCCAGGCGGAGAACCCGCAATCTCCTACCAACACTCCAGCTGAAAGCGCTGCCCAACGGACCCCAAGCTATGACTTAGTTGCGGATCCTTGGACAGATGAGCAGGAGACGGCGTTGCTCAAGGGAATCATCAAATGGAAACCTGTTGGTTCGTCTCGCCCCTCTTGTTACTGGCAGTTTGCTGTGGAATATAAAGATTCGCCCGCTAACGGGACAATTCACCAGGCATGCACAAGCATTTTCGAATGGTCGCAATATCAGAGTTCATGAAGAGTCAAGGTTATGCGCCTTCACATGCCGAGCACACGCGGATACCGGGGATCTGGCAGAAACTAGGGACGTTGTATAATTTATCAGCGCTCGATGAAAGGGTATGTGAATATACTAAAGGCAAATCATTACAGCTCCCCTGCGCCGCTCACACTCGGTTGAATAACAGGAAGACTCGCTTGTAACGGAGGTTTCGGATGACGCCGAAGGAAAGGAGGTCTATTGTCCATTCGAACTTCCTGAGGACGAATATGGCGATATGATGTTCGATCGAAGATTGGCAATGGAAGGATCGCAATCCCCCGCGCCTAGTGGCCAGGCCGAATCACGGAGAGGGAGCACCGTAGCTGACACAGATGGTTCGTCTTCATATTTTGATTTAATAATTTCTTCGTCGTCAATGAATTTGAGGCTAACAGCCCGTTGGATTAGAACCACGCTCATCGCCGGCCCCTCCACGAGGCCGGAAACCGGGCCGTGGCCGTCCCCCTAAACGGGGCACACGGTCTTCGCGCCTCCATGTCGCAGTCGAGACCCGCCAGCAAAGCTCTGAAGAGGAAGAAGGAGATGCAGAATCCGAGGAGGAAAACGAAGAGAGCGAAGAAGAGGAAAGTGTTGGCGCAAAGGAAGAAAGCGAGGACGACGGAGATGGCGAGGCAGGCAGCTCACCAACGGGCCGGAGCACGCGAGCCCGGACGACCCAATCCAAACGGGGGAGAAGGGGAGGCGGCGTTGCAAGAAGAGGTCGTCGGCGGGGAAATTGATTTGCTTTTGCGGCTGGTGCCTTTTCGATTGAGATGCACATATTTGATACCTCGGAAATCAGGGTACGGGCGTTGGTACGGGTTTGTCTTGTTACATTATCCAGCGATGTATGACTACTGAATGAATTGTCTCCAAGAGTAGTGCAAAGGTGTAATGTAATGTGTGCTACATAAATTAGGGGCTGTTGAACAATCATTGGAAATCTAGATACATTTCAATACGTATAGTAGATCACTATATTTAGTCTAATTCATTCATGGGGCTAAAAGGAAATAAGGGAGGGATATAGTACAGGGAATGGACTGAATCCCTTACAAGCGCTTGATGATGGCATCAGCATACTCGTGGGTCTTAGCCTTACCACCCAAGTCACCAGTGAGGGCCTATTGGAAAGAGATATTAGCATTTGGCGAAATAAAAAAAAAAACGATAGAGAATCTTACCTTGCCCTCAGCGAGAGTGTCGAAGATTGCCTTCTGGATGCGAGCAGCGTGCTCAGTGAGACCCATGTGCTGCAGCATCATGATAGAGCTGAGAAGCAAGGCAGTGGGGTTGGCAAGACCCTTGCCAGCAATGTCGGGGGCGGAACCGTGGACAGCCTCGAAGATCGAGCACTCGTCACCAATGTTACCGGAGGGGGTCAGACCGAGACCGCCGATCAGACCGGCGCACATATCGGAAAGAATGTCACCATACAGGTTGGGCATGACGAGGACCTTGTCGTTGTAAGGAGTAGGGTCGGTCGTGATCTTCAAGCAAGAGTTGTCCAGCAGCTCAGCATCGAATTCGACGTCAGGGAAGTCCTTGGCGACCTCGCGGGCAGTGTTCAGGAAAAGACCGTCGGACATCTTCATGATAGTAGCCTTGTGCACGACACGGACCTTCTTCTTGTTGATAGAACGAGCGTATTGGAAGGCGAAGCGCAGGACACGCTCGGAAGCCTCCCGGGTGATAAGCTTGATGCTCTGGACAACACCATCGACAACAACGTGCTCAATGCCAGAGTATTCACCCTCGGTGTTCTCACGGATCAGCACGGTATCAACGTTGTCGTAAGGGGTCTTGTAGCCAGCGACCGAGCGGCAGGGACGCAGGTTGGCGAAAAGGTTGAAGGTACGACGAAGGGTAAGGTTCAGGGAAACGTGACCCTTTCCAACGGGGGTCTGGGATTGTTTTAGCAATGCGCATTGCGACAGGCGGAGGTACCACATACGGCAAGGGGACCCTTAAGCGCTACGTAGTTTCGGCGGACACTCTCAATGGCAGCATCGGGAATGGCAGTCTTGCCATCCTTCAAGATGGGGGTGACATCGACGGACTCCCAACTGACCGGGGCCTGAAAACAACTTAGTATAAGAATCTCGCAGCTATTATTCCGGCGGCAGGGGACGCGTTACTTTTGCGGCGGCGAAGATATCCTTGACGGACTGCGAGATCTCGGGACCGATGCCATCACCCTCAATCAAGGTGACCATATAGTTTCCCTAAAATCGATCATGTTAGAAGCGAAACAAATAAAAATGTCCTCAGACCAAAACGTTTCTCAAAATAACGCCAATTTGAGAAACTGCCGATACTCGGACCAAAGGAGCGGATAGCAAAAAAGAAAAGAAAAGAGCTTCCAAGTAGCCAACGTACATCAGAGCCCTTCTGTCCCTTGAACTTAGCAACACGCTCATCGGCAGCAGCGGAATAGCAGCGGAGCTAAACAACAGTCAGTGGGCTACAAATATTTGACGTCGTTGCGCTACGTTACCTGCAGGCGAGGAGCTGCGAGGCTCGGAGCCACACGTGTTGTTCGCAGGCATTGGCGGGCGGGGGTGACGAGGTTCCTTGTAGCAAACATTGTGACGATACCCCAGAATCAGCGACAAGCTAGAGAGCTGGAAAAAGGAGGGAATGGATGGGAGAGGAGAGCGAAAGGGAGAGGACAGGAAGGCGGCGGATGAACCGTGTGCGGGAAGAGAGACTGATTGAAGTTTGATCGGGACCGCCGCAGCCGATCCGACCGGGATGGGACTGGGAGGCCGTGTGGTCCACTTGGAGTCTTGGGTCTCATCAGATAAGTCTCCCCGAGCGAAACGCGCCAGCTCGCTCTTACGCCCTCTTATTCCGCTTCTTGACTAGATCCAGGTCAATCCTGCTGTCGACCTGCTTCTCCACACTCCCGTCGTCAGTCGTCACTTTCCGCTCCCTCGTGCTTTACCTGCATGCGCCTCCGCCGTTGGCCGTTTATCCCCCATCCCGGTCCCCTTGGTGGAGCTCAGGCCTGCGCTCGCCAGGATGACTGACGCCGACGTCGCCCACTTCTACAATCTACCATCGGCATATCCAGAGGAATGGCCTACGGAGCTGGATGATGAAGATGAGGAGGAGGACGCGGCTCTCCAGCACGGTGGTTCGAGATCCAGTTACCATGTCCTCGACCGGAGCAACAGTCGGACTGGTCCTAGTCCGGGATCGTTAAAGGGAAACAGTGGTCGGGAGAACCTTGTCAAGGTTGACGAGCCTGATCCGTTAGGCTCGAGGAACAGTGTTCTTAGTTCCCTGAAGAAGCGAGGGTTGGCGGTCGCTGATGATAACCGGCTACGGAATCGCTTCCTCCTCTCCTCAACGGGGTTCTCCCCCGCACTTTTTCTATCGCAGGTCCATTCCGATGCATCGATTAAAACCCTCGTTGAAGGCCTCAATTTCCTTTCTCAATCTATCGACCAGAAGTCGGCCTCGCTGAAGGTCCTTGTCGAAGCAAACTTCGAGAGGTTTGTCCGGGCCAAAGCAACGATTGACAGTGTATACACGGAGATGAGGCACCAAGGAAGGGAACAGGACTTGACGACTCATCGCAGGTCGGCGAGCCACCTGCGGAGGATTTCCGGACATGACTTCCCTCCCTCAAATGCAGATTCGAAAAAGAACGCGTTGCTGAAGGAGAGCGACTATGGTGTGAAGGGTATTAGGGTTCCTCTAACGGAAGCATCTGTGAAGGCGGAGGAAGTCTGGGGCCCAGCATTGAGCGGACGCGAGAGAGAAGAAATGCTAAAGGCCGTCGTTGAGAGCATGGAGAGGCACCGAGAGGTGTACGATATCGGCGGGCTTCTCTCAAAATCTATCAAGCAGAGGGACTATGAATCTGTGTTCGAGCAATATCGCAAGGCGAGGGCTCTTACTCAGGATGCAAAGGTCATTGCCGATGCCGCGACCAGGGAAGGTCGAGCATTGACGGACGAAGAAGCTCATGTTATATTAGCATTGGGTAGGATGTGGATTGATGTCGATCAACAGATCCACGGATTCAAGGGCGACCTTTGGAGGCGCCTCAATGAGGCTCCGAGCACATCTACAAGAATTACAACCTCCGGCCCGGTGGAGGAATACATGGAGTTGATTGGCGCTTTATTGGAACTAGGGGTGGACGACAACCCTATCTGGGTGTGGCTTCTTAGCCGTTACGACTACCTAAGGGCGAAGACAAAGGCTTTCTGTGATCGCGGCAAGGTCGAGATAGAAATTCTTAGACGTCGTCTCGCTAGCGGGGCAGAGCCTACACCTCAGGAGATGGCTTCATATTTGCGCAGAGCTCCCCAGGACGGCTCAGCGGAGCCATCACCACTTCCAGACTCTGATCAAGTGATAGAGCTTTGGGAATGTGTCCATACATACCTGACCAGGCTGTTATCATCACATGGAGGCATCCTTGGCGAGGTTTTGGATTTCTGGGAAGTCGCGCAATCGTTCATCGACGGTAATAAACAGAAACTTCTCCCGGCGGGATTCGAAGGCGAAAGTCGGAAACACCACAAATTTGCCTCCAGCGATATCAGAGATCTACAAAAAGGCCTTATTGAGCTAGTTAGTCTAGTTCGAGATGGTGTCCTCTCGTTGTTCGCCGAACCACCGGTAGATGATGTCTCTCTTCTCACGTCCCCAGTCTCACCAGCGAGCCCTAGTAGCCCTATAAGTCTGGGAGTGACACCGACCGAGTCGCGCTTCAAGCTCGATCCAAAGAATATTCCCTTCCCATCCCCCAAACGCGGTGAACTATGGGAGGACTACGCTTTTTGGCCACCCTTTTCGAACTCTCTCAGCGGAATCAATTATCTGGGTCAATTCCTTGTTATAATTGGAGCTGCGGCAGGTGAGATGGCGAATCTAGAACCGGTCGCAAGCAGCAGCAACACTCGCGAACTACTCAGAGGGCTTGTGAGTGTCATAAGGGAACGCGCTATACGCATCGCTTGTTCGGCATGGGAGAAAGATGCGGAAGTCTGTAGAATGTTGGAAGATTGGACGCGGGACCCAAAACGAAGAGATCTCACAAAAATGCCGACATTATTTGTCAATTTCCAGAATGCCGTACTCACTGGACTGCAGAAAATCCTTTTCATGTCTGAAGCAATGGCGAGGCCGGGGACTGTCGCCGTGGTTTCGCAGCCATCTACCAAACTACTGCAAATGGTTCGTCGGGAGTTCATAATCAGCATCGAGAAGGCTCTTGGTGGTCTTGTTGAAACAGCAGAACATCCGACCACTCAGGAAGAGAATGATGAATGGTCTGTGCCGGAATCTACAGCAGCTCACAGCAAGAATGATGGGTTATCGGCTCTTCTTGCGGCAGACGCTGTCGATTCTCAAAACAGAGTAAGTCAGATTTGATCCCTTTGAGTTAGAACGTGTTTAACCAACTTATAGAATGTTCGAATCCTCCTCACACTCTCAAATATAAAGGCGCTTCAAGCAGACCTTGTTCCACAGCTTGTCGCCAACTTCGAGTCTTCATTCTCAGTGACGCTAGCAGATGAAGCCAAAATAATCCGGCAGTTCCTTGATCAGGTTGACCAACGGTTATTCCAGTCCTACACGGAGCCTACAATCAGCAGTCTGAAGAGCATTATTATGGAAGGCGTCACATCCCCAACTTGGGAACCCCCGGCATCCCGTCCCGAGCAAGTACGGCCGTATGTGTACAATGCAATGCTAATACTTGTACTTGTCCACACGGAAATTTCAACAACCATTCCCTCCACATCATCCTCTACAGCAAGCCGATCAGCCACTGCTGGACACTCACCACTGCTATCGATCGTCCTCACACACCTATTAACACAAGTATCCAAATCCCTCATGAGCGCTTTCAACTCACGGCCTTCGTACTCCCTGAACTCGTTGATACAAGCTACTCTCGACACGGAGTTCATCGCCCAGACGATGTCGCAGTATTCTTCAGAGGAGGCTTCCGGCGTACAAAGTCAAATATACGTGGAACTAGATCGTCGGACCACCCACGAAGCGAGGGCTCGCCTTCAGTCTGAGCTAGGCGAAATGAGGGGTATCCTGAAGAGACTAAGAGAGAAAACCAAGGGCGAGTTTGCTTGCTTTAGGAAGCCGAGAAGTGGCAATTCACAGAAACCTACTTCTGCCTGAGTTACCAGCTCCTCTCGGTTAAGAAATTATACTATATATCCATATATTAGCTTCATGACGATTTTAAAATGTTCAATTCCTTGGGCTAAATAGAAAAGTACCATCCGTCTATACAAATTATACGTTAAAAAAAAGGTAAAACAAAACAATAACCATCATACATCGGGTATCATCATGCTTGCAAGAAATCACTTTTTTGTCCAGCCTTCTGCATCTACGCAGACTCGCCGACCATCCTCTGAACCCGACTGAGCAAAACTTGGCTCTCTCTCCCTAATCTCCTCTTTCCATGCTGGTCCGGCCGCTTCGCCCGCGCCATAGCCTCTCTATCCTTCGCCCTAAACTCGCGTTGCTCTCTCTTCTTCTCGGCTGCCTGCCTTCTCTTTTCCGCAATCTCCATCTCCTTTGCAAATGCCGAGGGCTTTGGTTTTCGGTTTTTCCGTCCTCCTGGTCCTCCTCTCCCTTCTACCTGCTCAGGCGCCGGTTCGCCAGAATCCACCATCGCCTGTCGATCCGGGTGGAGTTCCAAGCCTGCAGGCTCTGCGACCTGCTCTTTGCCATCCTCATCCTTCCTTTCCTCCTCTTCTCGCCGGAGATAAAATTGCTTCGGCTGGGGCGCGGCGAGTTCGGCGGCTTTTACTTTGGCATACTCCTTCTTGACCTTGGCTTTTTGGATCAGGTCGGCTTTGATTTTTTGGGCTAGTGGGAAGGTAATGTTAGTTAACTGTGTGATAATTTGTCTGGCATGCAGTCCGCTATAGGATGAGTACCTTTGCGACGATAGGTGCCGTCGGGTAGATTTGCAGGACCGACGGAGAAGCCCTTGCGCTTCTTGTTGGCCGTGGCGTCAGGTTGGGGCTTTTTGCCAGAGGGCGCCTTTTCGAGAGGGCGTTTGGGTACCATTTTGAGAGATAGACCGTGGATTATTTCGAGTGCAAGTCTGGGGAGAAGATTTTAGAGTGCTGGCTGGGTATGTTCTCCAAGAACTTTTGGAAAATCTTCGATAAGACGGCGCCAGCAATCAGACGGGTTTCCTGTTTTGGTCTAGCTTGGTTCTCGCCCGTTACTTCCACCCAATGCTGCGGGACCATGGAACATTCATTCTTAGGGGAAGGCATTGAGGAAATGGGTTGTAGACTACCCCTCAGGTAAGGACGAGTTTTTTACGGATTTCTCTACGGACTGAGTCTGTGCGACCATTTGGAATGGGTTTGTCCCAAGCGGCCCAAGCAGAAGCACTCAAGCCATGCGGTCAGAATGATGAGGCCGCCTGCCAAAATATATTATGTTGGCGAGGCAATCAGCATTATACCTGGAAAGGTTATACGATCCGACCAGAAAAGGACATGATTAAACTAGTGTAACTCAGTCCCAGGAGAGCGACTGCTGAGAAGTTAAGCCGGAAACTCCGTCTCAGCAAGACCATAAGGTACGTACCACCTTCCGAATGGCAAGGTACTCGAGTCAACTGACCAGATCCACCACGCCTACGACGCTGACTTACCCACGTTTTAGAAGGGGTTGAGTCTCCGGTTACAACCTATGACCCGAAATTGAGCGGCGGGAAACCCAGTATTAATCGCGCTAGGAGCAGAAGGTACGGAGGGCGCATTGGACCATTTGCTGTTGCAATCGCCATCATATGAGGTTTCACCAGCCCAACCGTACCCAAATATATAGTTATAACCAATTAGTGGTAAATCATCAACGGGATGTCGACTGGAGACTTGGAGTAATTTGTGCGTGTACAGTAAATAGAATATTAGTTTTAGGGATGACACAAGAATGATGAAAGACGAGATTTGGGCCGTTTCTCAGCGGCCGCGCATGAGGTCTATATCGGGAACGTGAGGGATGCGGGTGGGGAAGGGCGATGACTCCCATGTCCAAAGTCGAAACCCGCGGTCCTCCGTCCTCTTATTTCATTACTCCTCCCTCACCACACCTTTTTGTCCCCGGTAGACAAGAATACCGGCCTCTCTGCGTTCTTTGAGCTTCCGGACTTGACTACCGTCGTCATTACGAGAGAACCTCCAACATCCCTTATCGGGCCTTGTCGCATTTCTTTATCGATAGTCTTTATCCACACCGATACTTGCCGCCACCGCTGAGTATATTACTTCAATCACTCCACACACCCATCGCCCCCCTCAGACAACTGTTAAGGCTATACCAACCTTCTTCGAGGCTTCTCTGTTGCGATGGTTGCGCCCTATATAGGCCACACTTGCCTCCCGATATGCCGGTGACAATGCCTATCTTTCAGGACCCCGATAGTCGGCAGTTCTACGACCTCTGGTCTGATGACCAGCAAAGGACCCAAGACGAGCGCCGATACCACCCCAGCTGGTTAAATTACCATGAAGCTGAGAGAAATATTGATTCATCCCATAACATGGACCGAAATTATTACGAGCACCACCCGAGAAATTCGAGCCCGGCCGCACGGCTTCATGCGCATGATCGAGAAGAATTGATCCATTACATCAAAACTGCAGAAAGTCCAAATTGGCCGCAATACTGCTCGGTAAATTTACCTCGAGGACCTCTCGCCCAATGCCTATGTTTTCCACTCCACGGTCTTGGTCGTTTCATACCATATTCGTGCTCCTCAATATGCTAACAAGCATCATTTTCATAGACAGGAGACCCGGAGGCAGATCACCACTTGCTACGTACCCCAGAAAAGCCTCCAAGGACGAACGAACAATCTTTTGGAAGCGATATACCTGAAGAATTCCCAGAACGCAGCTCAGAGCTTGCATCCCCGGGTGAAATTGAACGTCCCCGCTCGGCGCTCCATTCCGGCGACTTTCGAGAGGGTACGCCGCAACTCGAGCAGCAGCAGCAAATACCACAATCCCCAATACCTGACCGGAGGGCCAACATTGGCCTCCCTTTCTTCTCCTCTTCTCCTACCACGCCGTGGTTTGCTCCGTCTTTTCCGTCGCGAACACAAACCGCTCCGTTACAAGCTCTCGAAGCCCAAGTATCCGAGGCAAACCCCTCACCGGCGCCGTCTCTTGGATCATTTTCGTCTGGCTATGTCCTCAAGACGCCGACTAGCCCTCTGGTTCACCAGGCAAACAATACCGACTTGGATTTCTCTCCTCGGACGGACACCGAGAATCCAACAACTTTATTCGACAAGGCTAACCGACGACGAACGCTTCCGCCAGACACATTTCGAGACTTGCAGGCGCAATCTGGAGCCAATCACCCAATAAGATGGGGCTCGCTATCCAATGGTTCGCGCAACCCCCGCCGATCGCTGGCTTCGTCATATAGTCTTCAACTGGCTTCGTCCGTTCAAGGATCTTCGCCGAGGCCTAGAAGACCATCACTTTCTTCCGAAGTATCTTGTAGGACTCACGCCCCAATGGTTGGATCGTACGAAGAGTCAATCCTTCGCGGCAGAATGTCAACCTGCCCGTCGAAACCCTTGGATTTCACTGCCCAAATTGGTGTTTTGGGCAAAAGCAAAACCAAAGCCGGTCTCAAATGTCCACCACATGTTACGGTTCCGTTTCCAGCCGTTTTCTACAGTTATCCAACCTCCGGAAATGGACGCACGATCTCCGATGATAGCCCTAGTCCATATGTTGGGACGATTGACCTAGAGAACTCGTTACCGAGAGACACATCAAGCAATAGTCGGCGGCGCAGACGCCCCCAGAGCCCAGTGGACAACTTCAATAGTCATCGTACCGAGGATGCTATACAGACTAAGCACAACGATCAAGAAACTCTACGCAGAATAGAAAAGAGACACAGAAGGACAGAGTCGCCCAAATCTCCTTCTGGTGGCTGTTACCGGATTCCAGAGCAAGGCCAACTGCAGGTCATCATAAAGAACCCGAACAAGACCGCCGTAAAATTATTCCTTGTTCCATATGACCTGAGTGATATGGACCCTGGAACAAAAACGTTCATTCGACAAAGAAGCTATTCGGCTGGTCCGATTCTTGACATGCCCTTGTCTGCCCGGTCAAACTACGGCACTGATCGCCCCGAGGCATCGTTGTCGAACTCGGATGATCCAAAGGACAAGCCCGTCCTGAGGTATCTGATTCATCTAAACATCTGCTGTCCATCTAGAGGCCGTTATTATCTCCACTCCAGTATTCGTGTTGTATTCGCCAACCGCGTACCTGATGGTAAGGAGAAGCTCAGAAACGAAATTCAGCATCCTGAACCTCGCTATTCGCCGTATAAATCGCCCCGTGAACCCAACCCGCTACGGGTAAACTCAAGACTGGCCGCCGAAAAAGGATCACGGGGGGCTTCCCCTCGCCCTCCAAACTTCCGCGCAACTGATGAGCGCCCACCACACCCTTTCCGACCTATTCCCTCAATTCGAAGTGAAATTGTCCCACAAGGTACTCCGGCCCCGTCCGAAATGCAGGCTCCTGAACAAGAGAGTTACAGCAAACTTAACAAAGGAGATGCGGGATACGGTGGTTATCAACTAGGCTCTACTGGAAGTCCCGAAGGTGAAAGTCTGTTAGCCAGAAAGCTTCGCGGCCTGGACGTTCACAATCCAGACAGGTTTCATGAAGGGCATGAGTTGTAATTTGATACAAAAAGGGAAGCCACACTACACCCTTGCTTCCTAGGAGCGGATATCATCCCACCTCCAAAAGGGTGATGCTCTTGCTGTGTATCTGCCCCCTGCCTTTCCCATTACGCGACCCATAATAGATCAAAAAGACTCCCGGAGATGCAGGCCCATCTTCCACTTTTATATAACAACCTGAGCAGCGCTCACTCTCGCCAGGCGCAGAACACAACGTATACTCTTTCCCTGATTTTACAATATACCCATCTTGCGCAATCTGAGCCTTGGAGCGGGCTCCCTCTCGACTCGCTTTTTTTCCTTCTGTCTTTTAAGGCTGCCACAAGCCCCGGAGTCTGGGGGCTATTAAATATGAATCCATCATTATTCTTATCACTCTTTTTTTGGTTTGCCTGACACTGTTTGGCGAATCGATTGGATGTACTTAAAGTGTTTAAACAGAATAATACTATTACTATTGACTACTATTTCCTTGGTCGAAACCTAGTTTAGTTACCTAGTGTTTGGAACGCGCTGTGACCCGGACCCAGAAACCATACTTCCCGGGGACCAGGGCAGGGACCGTAGCTTAGAGTGTTGGGCTTCCCGGGGATGGGCCTCACCTAGACCTAGGGCTCCGGGTGCCCCGGGGCGTACTACCCATTTCCTTTCTCACCTCCTCTCTTTGAGCTTATCTGCCAATGGAAAACATGACTGTTACGAGAGGGATATTCTTAAAGACAGGGACCAATTAGTGATATCACCACCGGAGTTCGTCGATTATAGATTTTTGACTGTAGGCACTTGAATGAACGAACAACTGGTAGTACGGTACTTACTGACAAGCCGCTGCTAAGGATCGACCCATTTGCTTGCTGCTTGCCCTGACTAGGTAGGGCGTTGGCCACGGCCCGCAGACAGGCAGGCAGGCAGGCAGGCAGGCAGGCAGGTTATGGGTTTACAAAAAGAGAAGGAGCGCTAGGCCGGCCTAACAACTACATACCTATTTACCCAGTCTAGGAAGAGTATTCACAATATGGGGCTACGACGACTGTTGGTAGTAGAATTTAGTATATAGCACCTGCTTCTGTCTATCTGCATAGGGAGCGAGTGTTCTCGGAGCTTGTGAATGCTATCAAAACTGCTCAGCAAGAAGTTGATATCCAAGACGCCCGACCCTTATCTGGCCCTTTACTACTTCCTAAATACATATATTGAGACAGATTGAGTTTCCTAACCCACATGCTCGACAATCTCGTTGACTAGAACGCCGTTCTTAATGGAGGTCTTGATCTGCTCTGGGACCGGACACTCCTTGGTATCCTCGTCCGTGCCTTCCTTGGGAGGAAGCATGATGTTGAGGGCCGTGCACTTGCTCGACAAGATCTCGGTTTCCAGGCTCTGAGAGGATAGGTAGACAGTAGCGCCGTCAACCTGGTCCATGAGTAGGGTAGGAGCGACTCCATCAATCTGAAGGGCAAACTTGGTGCACTTAACGACGTCTAGGCTGCTGACAAGGGAATCAACGATGATGGAGAGGCCGTGGCAGTTGTCAATGGCAATTGCGTTAGCCTTACTAGATACCTTAAGTATCGTCTTGTTGCACCGAGAGATGAGGATGGAATGGTTCTGCTTAGCAGGGATTTCGACAATCTCGCCGGGGTTGTCGAAGTTTTCAATGAACCATTTCGTACCCTCGAGATCCTTGCGAGGCGGCTTCCGGCTCCGCATGTTCTCTGGCTTGGGCTTTTTGCTGGGGGCAGGGGACTTGGAACGGGTGCTAGAATTAGGGCTCTCGGGAACAGTTGAGCTGGCTCGGAGATTCGGGTTCTTATGTGTCATTTCGGACTTGTCGACCTTGCGGAGACCTTGCGTGACAGCGTCGCCCTGATTTAGCTGGGCAAAGACTGCAGTCATGTCCGACGAGGAGCCCGCGTTCTGGTCGGGGATCATGGGGGGAGGAGGCGGTGGCGGAGGTGGAGGGGCACCACCGGGGATGTTTAAAGTAGGCACTGGGGGTGGAGGTGGAGGCGCTGCGCCGCCAGCATTAGGACCAGGGCTGCCCTTGACCTGCTGAAGAGCCTCCAGCGCATCAATTCCATCCTTATCGTTCCATGTCAAGCCTTTAGGGTAGTAATTGCGGAGGTAGGCGGAAAGAGACTTGAAGATTTGGTAGTACGCTTGGATGTAGTCATAATGGGTACGATCCCTGCAAGTTCGTCAGCATCTGTCGTACAACCTGACACCCGATTTCAATCTAAGAACATACTTCTCCTTGTATTCCTTTAGCACCTTGTTGCCATAGTACTGAATTCCTCCAAGCATTTCATCAACGAAATCGGCAGGCTTGGGCGCAAAAAACCAACCCAGAGCAACGATGCCTTCGGCAATGGCACTCAGGTGGTCTATAAGAGGCGAAGCCCTGTTGGACTCCCGGATATTGTTGATTGCGTCAGAGGCAGTGTGAAGCTCAGTCATAAGCTCGGGCGGTTGGATTTCTGGCTTCTTCGCCTTGGCCGAAACGTAGAGGTAGGTGCGCTCCGCCTTGAAGGCCTGGAGGACAGCGTTGGCCTATGGGACAGATGAGTGAGCAACCTATTCAGCCGGCTTCTCGAGCTCAAGGAAGCCTACCTGCTCTGCGACAAGCCCTCCAATCTTATTACCTAGTTGGACAAAGTTCCCAACATCCTTGTCGATCAACGTGTCGAAGTCTTCAATCTGGGACGGAAGAGAAGCGGGTACAGGTGCCGGGGCAGCGGTAGGTGCAGGCCGTTCGGAAGGTTGCGAGTCCAAGACTGCTGCACCTTCAGGTGCCTTCTGGGTGGCGGGGTCATCTAACGACATCGCCATATCCTCCAGGCGGGAGGTTGCGGCTTCGAGCCTGGAAATGGATGTACACCATTAGTCTCGGAAAGGTGACAAAAGTTGGAAACATTGCAGCCCAGAGAGTAATTCGCTATGCGACAAGTAAATAAAAGAGGATGGCTATTTACCGCTTAATGAGGGTGGTCAAATTGTGCATATGGCTGGTCGCTGCCATCTTGTCAGGTTCTCGGAGCAGCAAGGAGGCTGCAGGCAATGGAGCTTGAATAGATGAGATAAGAGACAGCGAGGGCCCTGTCGAGACACTTGGAAAGGGTTATCCAGGTGCTCGGGGAGATGGCAGTTAAAGAAGCAGCGCTGGAGGTAGGGGAGAGCAAATGGAGAAGCCTGCTGAAGGGAACAGCGATTAATTGAAGGCTAAGTTGTTGCCAACTGACGATGCGCATCTGTCTCCTGAGGAGTGTGGGTCTTACAGTACAATACGATTTGATGCACGGCATAGCCCCGAAACGGCCCGGTCTTGATGACGTTTAGTGTAAAAAACGGTAATTTTTGCATTGTTCGGCCTTAACGATAACCAGATAGACGGCCCCCCACCAGACAAAGCTTCAACTACCCCATTGCTCTTAGATAATTCATTTTGTTCGCCCAGCATGTCCGGCGAAGGCAGTGCTGCAGAGGGCGGAGTCAGGTGCGATACCGACTTCTGTACCCTGGGCATGTTCATTCTTGGTATGCCATCGAGCTGCTAGCAACTACTATGCATCGCTTGCTTACTGCTGAAATGCAGATGATATTGATTTCGGGGGAGCTCAACCGAATGTTAAGAATGTCCTCGGAGGTGCGGCTTCTTTTGCCGTCATTGGGGCCCGTCTCGCTGCTGGAAAAGAGCACTCGCGATCCGTCAGCTGGATTGTTGACGTTGGCTCTGATTTTCCACCAGATGTTCTAGATGTGATCAAAGCGTGGGATACAGACTGTCTGATTAGGACTGACCCCGAAAGATTGACCACAAGAGCATGGAACGGTTACGGGCCCAATGAAGAACGAGGTTAGTTTCGAATTCCTTCGCGAGATGCCAGCGTGATAATAACAAGACGTAGCTTTTCAATACTTGACGCCCAAATTACGGTTGGAGCCATATATGCTGTCGGACTCCCAGGTATTTTCAAAGACATTCCACATGGTCTGTTCTTCCTCCCGTTGTATATCCATAGTACAGGATATTCTACGACGCCGGGAGGAGCTACAAAGCAAAGCGACGATTCCTGATTCTCCCAGTGATAGACCCATTTTCGTATGGGAGCCCGTGCCTGATATGTGTACTCCTGAAGAGCTGCAAAAATTCTTAGAGGCATGTCGCAAGGTCGATATTGTGAGCCCCAATGACCTAGAACTGGGAATGATGTTCGGGAAACCTGCTTGGAGTGAAGGAAGTGCCTCCGGCGGGGACATAGTGCACAGAATCCTTGAATCAGGCGTTGGGCCTGGAGGAGAAGGGCACTTGGTTATCAGGGCTGGAAAAGACGGCTGTTACTCTTATTCTAGGAACATGAAGCTCTGGCTTCCCGCATATCATCAGCCTAATGCCTCAGCGAGTTCTCCAGTTGTTGATCCAACAGGGGCTGGAAACTCCTTCTTAGGTGCTATGGCTCAGGGAATGGTGAGCGAGGGCAGACGCTCCGCAAAAGCCATCGATTCAGTTCTCGCGGAGTCCGCGTATTGGCGGGAGGTAATCGGGCCTTCTGGAAAGCACAGAATCCTGGTCGCCTTGATCCTTGCCACCGTGGCTGCAGGTTTTGTCGTTGAACAAATCGGGGTGCCTCGCCAGTCTACGTCTCTCGAAGGGAAAGAACATTGGAACGGAACTGAATTCACGGAACGGGTCCGTCTGTACACCCAGGGATTATATCGAACATTTGAAGAATCTCCCCAAAAGCACTTGCAGATCAACTGAACGATTGAGAACGCCCTTCTATTGTCGTACAGCACACATAATTATAGAACATAGACCTTGCCATACCATATCATCCTCCTCAACTTTCTTTTCCGTCACCGGCACTCCTTATGAGTCGTTCTTGGCGGTCTGTTGCCTCTCGTGTTCGATAATCTGCTTGCTCCAGCTGTAGACAAATAGAAGCGGATCAGTATAATCTTCAGGACAAACCCGGGTAGCAATCATGTAAGGATAACTGACTATCGGCTGGGGAAGAACCGGCCGGGCTCTGGCATCTTATCCCGTTGTTCGCGTTCCGCGCTAATGCTCCATACCGCAGCGACGATTCCGATCATGGCGGCACCGATAATAGCGGTATTCGCCCTCCAGTTTGCAGGTTGAGCGTACCAGCCTCCGGAGGGAGACCAGACTTCCTTGGGGTATCTGGGGAGACATTCGTAAGAATTGAACGGACTGAAACTGCAAGAAATGGGCAATTGACTTACGGGATCTTTCCGCCTCCACCCATTGCGACAGATAGGTGTTTTCGTAGTTTGAAGGATGAAAGCTGACAATTCTGGTGGGTTTGATAGGTAATGCCTTCAACCATCCGCCCGAATGGACCGTCGTTCACTCACGTGACGTATTTATCCAAATGTAGTTTAGCGTATAATTTGATCCTTCTCAGACGACTTTCCACCGCCGAAGCCCAAGTTTTCAAGTGTCCAAAAAGTATAGCGGATCGCGCGGAGCCCCTTCTTTACTCGCAACGCCTGACATCCCGGGTGTGGGTTGCTTTTCTTCTTTACTTTCTCTTTATTGTCAACGCGATTTAGACCGCACAACCGCCCTGATGAAGAGGCTGCAGCTCCAACGATGGAGCACCTCGGCCCTATCGTCGCGCGCCAGGACTTGTGGCCGGTTACAGCCACAACTCTTCTCGAGCAAGCGGTTCCAGTCAACAGGTTCGGCGCCTTTACAATCTACAAGTGAACAAATAGCCGAAGAACAATCGATTCCTCCTACTACTACTCGCAAAACGCCCACTATTCCACAAAATAAACTTCCTTCACCAAGAGTCGTGGTCGCACGTCGGTCTGCAAAACTTGCAGCACTCCATGCACGACTTTACCTTCCTTCGCGATTACCGCTCGAAACAATAGCACGATGCTTAGTTGATCCCTCCGCAGACCCGAATCCTCAGTTCAATAATGCATCGCTCGCCGTCCTCGGCCACGACCTCCTGACCAATTATGCCTCGGAACACCTCATTTGCACATATCCACGGCTACCTGTGACGGTTATCTGGGCGGCATTGTTTGCTTACGTCGGCCCAAAAACACTCACTGCAATGGCCAGAGAATGGGGTGTGGAAGCTGCTGCCGAACCGGGTGGTGAGGTAAACCCCGGACTCCTCCAGTTTACGAGAGTTCAGCCGGGGACCGATGTAAAGGCAGAGCGTATTTTCGGCTCAACACGAACCTACGAAGACCAGAAGCATTGGCGGAAATCAGTTTCTTCGAGCGTTGTCTACGACAATGAATTCGGGGACCCCGATACCGCGGGCGTACTGCCTTCAGAACCACAAACATCGCAAGAATCCAAAGGAGTAACCCTTGAACACGCCAGCACTTCTTTCGTACGGGCCGTTATGGGCGCAGTCTATCTCCATGCTGGCAGAGCAGCTGCGAAGCGTTTCTTTGAACAGCACATTATCTCTCGACACCTCGACGTTTCCAACCTGTTCAACTTCTCCGAGGCGACGCGCGACCTAGCCCGACTCTGTGCGCGTGAAAACTACGAGGCACCCATCGCCAAGATTATCAGCGAAACCGGCCGCAGGAGCAGACACCCCGTCTTTGTTGTTGGCATTTACTCCGGTAAAGATAAATTGGGCGAGGGCGCAGGCGCCAGCCTAGTTGAGGCTCGGACAAGGGCTGCCGTTGCATCCCTTAAGGCGTGGTACCTTTACAGCCCGTTGGAAGTGCGCGTACCGAGTTCGATGGAGGAAGAAGGCGCTGCTCCTTGGAAGCCGGTTTATGTGGATTTGGGTGAGGTTGTTGCATAAAAAACCAAGCGGTAGAGAGCCGCTCTCCCCTTCTGCACGGTGTATTGTCTACAGTCGATGGGACAGGAGCCTGTGTGCAATATGTTTTACCAAATTATTAAAGATCGGACCTTGTACAGTATGGGAATTTATTATATTATTTTGGTGTTGTTTTTGCATATCCGTTACCCTTGGCTTCACTGTTACTTATGGTTTACAGTTGAAACAGTCGTTGGGACAAAGCCTAGCGGGGCAGTGTTCTAGAGATTTATGGTACATAGATAGTTGTATTGAATCAACGCTTGCTAATACTTATTCATTCAAAATATAAAGACGTACAGCTCTGTAGATACTGCTTGATTCCAAGCCGGTGCCGTCTACACGGACGAGGGTGTTCTGGAAGCGGCGGGAGGAAGCTGCAGCCTGGCCACGTATCTTCAGCCGACAGGATGGTGCTTCGATTGACAGGAGAGGGTTTAGATCGCTGTCCCATGGCGCCCCTTAAGTGTTGCTAGGGTTGAGCGCTCGATGTAGTAGTAGGTATAGCAAGTATTATTTATTATTTATACGTACTAGTTCTAGTTATCGCTCGGATTTATGAGCTCATCCTCCCAGTTTCCCTGGCCGTTGGGGTTATCTAGCCAAGTGCCATACTCGTCCCATAGCTGATCGATCTCGGACCCATACAAAGCCGTCCAAAAGCCCTTTCCCTTCTTGTGACTACCCTCCTCCTGGGCCTCCTTCGACTTACCGTCCCCAACATAGCCAACGCGACACAACCGATCGTTCAGCAGACCTACCGCCCCCCTCCCGACTCGAACATCCTCCAGCCATGCTAAGAAGTACGCCGTATGCTGATACCCAGAGTCCCACTTTTCAGGCCTGTCCTTGGCACATGTCGGTCGACTCCAATGCGGCGGACTCAGTCCCGCCTTGAGGCGCACAAAGTCCGCAATCCCCTCGATTAAACCACCGGGGGCGCGAGGGGTACAGTTATCGGGCCTACCGTCAATAGTGGCACGCGGGGCAGCGTACTGATAGCAGTGGACGAGCTCATGGGTGAGCACGCCTACTATCTCGGCGAGGGGATCGGCCTTGGTAGCACAGTGTTCGATGTACCCAAGGGAGATGTGGATTTCTTTGTTGTCGTTGTCAATGTCCTTGCCAGTTGTATAGGCGACCCCGCCGATATCGCGTAGTAGGACCGTTACGGAGCGGGTCGGTGGGAGAGAGGGTGTGAACGTGGGCGGATGCTTTCGTTTCGGGGACGCAGCGGTGGCCTTATCGAGGGCGGAGGGGGTGTAGAGGTTCCTAATAATTTCGGCGAGGGCGGTTTCAAGGGTAGATGTGAGGTCGGACACGGAGGTGAGGAAGAATAGGGCTGCAGGGTGTCGGAGGTCGTGGATTTCAAGGCGGAACTTGGGTGCGGGGAGTTTGGGGGAGTGGGTTGAGTTGGGGGCTGTAGATGGTTCCTTGGAGGGGTCAGAGGGAACACCGATCTTGGGGATCGCTGAAGGGGTAGCCATCGTTGATTTTTGAGTATTAAATGTGCTATGAAATGCTGCCGATGAGAGATGCGTCGATGGTGGGATGGGTGGATGACAGGCGGGGGATGCAGGGGCCACTGCAGAGTGTATGTAGTCTACCTGTCAGCAGCAACTTGATGTGCCTAGCGCACAGTTCAATTCCCCTCGCCTGAAGGCATAAAGCATCGAGTAGCCTGTTAGTAGGTAAGCGTGTTGAACTCTAACTTTGTCGGCCGTAGACTCTCGGGCAAAGCAAGTCAAGTACCCTGGAACAGCGTTGGTTCTCTGGAGTGGTTCACTGCACGTGAAATAGAATAGATGCGCTCTGCTACGCTTCCAGAATTGAGTACATACAGGACACAAACACACTGATTACTAGAGATTATCAGACACACAGGAGACAGCGGCAACCTAAACAATTCAACTCTGAACCCCAGACACTGAACGAGGACCTCGAGTTCTTTGCCAACAAGCTCACGTCCCTGCACTAACGCCTGATATGAAGTGGGCCGCCCACCGGCCAATGCGCAATGTCCAATACTGTGGGGACTCAAGGTAAACAAACCGAGCCCGACCTGGCGTGGGTAACCGGCCTGGAAAAAAGTGACTACACCTCATCAACAACTCAAACACAACACCACCACCATCCCCCTCCCACCTCTCGAGTCGCTCGCTCCTTCCACAACACCGCCGCTTCTCACAACAACCCCGATTTACACGCCAAACCCTCCTTCGAATCCCCCATAACCGTCTGATCTGCCAGGAATTGAGCAGAAGCGCTTATCGCCTCGTCTCTGCCGCTTATCGGGGATCGACTTATCGTCCCCCCCTCCGCTCTCCAAACTTGTGTTCTTCTCGACATCATCTTCGGTCGCCGCCCACGTTCGACGCCGTCGCTCCTTCTTCACCGCACCTACTTCCTCCTCGATGGAACACTGAGTCGCGACTGCTATAGCTGCTCTGTCTATACTGGTATAAAATCCCCTCCCTCTTTCTTCTGCCTTAAACCGCTTCGTACCCCCTGCTCTATGTTCATTGATCACAACGTTTACTGACCATGGATTCAAACTCTTACAGCCTTCTGGCAGTTATTGCCCTTGTTCTCACTACGCTTTACACTTCCAACTTCTGGAACTTCTTTTTTACCCTACTTGGCTTCGCTTTTCGTTTCTTGACAATCTATGCTCTTCTCTTCGTAGCACGACCCGAGCTCGAACATTTCGCGGCTAGGATGGAGCAAAAGTCCGAGGAGCTGCTTGCAGTGCTCAAGAATAGTAACCTCTCACTCGACGTCAAGGTAGCCCATCTGCTTGGCGTGAAATCTGACATCAAGCAAAAGAATGTTCCAGAGGGAGCAGTGCCCCTGCTCTTCGAGGGCTTGCGGCTTGCTATAGCCTCACCTCATATTGCCCTCATCACGGCAGGATTCTCCACTCTTGGCCATTTCTTGAAACGCCTGTTTATACAGGAGCTGCACAGTCTTGTTTCCGTCTTCGCCAAGGAACTCATTTCATGTCTCCTGGACCGACTGGGTGATCACAAGGACCGCATCAGAGGCCTCGCTGCCCAAGCATTTACCGACATGTGGCCCGCTGCTTCTCCGCAGATTGACCGTGCTGTTTTCGAAGTTGGCCTTACGTCGAAGAACGCCAGGCTTAGGCATTCAAGCCTCAATTTGCTCAGTAGCGTGAGTACCTGCTGATCTGTCTTATCCCATCTTGCTGCCATTATCTGACTTTGCCCTGCAGATCGTCACTCAGTATCACATTGGCTTCAGACAATACGTTCCGGATGCCGTTGCATGCCTAGAAGATGCCGACAAGGAGGTTCGCAAGGCTGCGAGGACGGTAATTGTGGATCTCTTCAAGTAAGTTCCCTCTATAGATGCTCGTGTGCTCGTATGGCGATTAATCTTTGGATAGGGAAGCGGCCCCCCATGCTCAGGCTGATCTTCAGCGGCAAATGGCTGACCATAACGTCCGAAAGGCCATTGTGAACGACATTCTCATTGCCATTGGGCTTGAACCAGAACTTCCTAGCCGACCGCCATCGACTAGGCCACCTTCAGTTCGTCCACCATCGCGAGGCGATGCTATACGCCGCCCACCTTCTAGGGGTGATGTCCTACATAGGCCACCCTCGAGAGGCGATGCCTTGCACAACTCGGCCTCAAGGGGTAACATTCAACGACCAGCGTCGCGAGTTGATACTTCGCACGGCTATTCTACTTCAAGCGGCACTCATCCCGCTACAACCGTCACCGAATCCGCCTCGGCTGACAATTATATTGACTCCGTTTTTCACCATTCCGCGCCCGCCGCCACGGGCGTTAGCAACCCCCCTGTTCTCACTCGATCACAACAAGCTGTCTCCGCACATCCGGAGCAGACAGTTGAAGCTTTGACGGAGCGTAAGTTTTTGCTAGCCTTCCCTTTAACAACGCATGTTGGAAGGTTCTGACGGTGTATTAGATGCCTCAGTTATTCATAGACCCGTACCAACGCGTCCAAACATCACAGCACCCGATACGTACAAAGCGCCCGGAGCGGCGAATGCCGCTGTTGACCGGCGTGCTGCTCCTGCGACACCACGACGTGTCCACCCAGAACTCGACACCACCGTCCAACCCCGCGACATCTCATCTGCCCGTGAGATGGAGCAGCTAGTGCGCGATATGCTGCCATGCTTCAATGGCAAAGAAGACGAAACCAATTGGCAGAAGCGTGAAAAGAACATCATTATGCTCCGCCGAGTTACTCATGGGAATGCGCCGCACGAGTTTTCTCAGGCTTACCTCGCGGGGATCAAAACTCTTCTTGATGCCATTTTCAAAGTCGCGAATTCTCTCAGAACCACCATGCAAACAACTGGCCTTGAGATGTTGCAGTCTCTCGCTCGTGTTAACGGAACTCGGCTTGACCCCATGATCGATATAATCCTGAACAATGCGATGAAGCTCTGCGGCAACTCCAAGAAAATCACTGCCAACAATGGCAACCTGACTGTCGGAGCTCTACTAGAGAATGTGACCTGCAATACTCGCGTTCTGGCCCACGTCACGTCGGCCGCGGCCAGCAACAATAACAACCTCCGCTTCTTTTCCGCTGGTTGGTTGAGGATTGTCATTCATGGTCAAGGAAAACACAAGACTACTCCTGAAGGGTTGGCGAGCATCGCCCAGTGCATTAAGACTGGTATTAGCGATGCCCGACCAGAGAACAGAGAGTCATACCGTCTCACTTTTTGGGACTTCCACAAAGCCTGGCCCGACAAAGCTCAACAGTGAGTTGGCTAGCTTGCCTTGACCTTCGTTCAAGACTTGACTAACAGATCATAGGATTCTGAACGAGATCGCACCCAAACATCGTGCGACGATCGAGAAAGATGCAGCGAATCCGATGAACGATCCGTTTGTATCGAGCTCAACTTCCACGACGACAGGACTGTTCAGCAGTACTCCTGGGCGTCCGACCGCGGCAAAGGGAGCGATCGCTGCTAAAGCGAGGCCTAATATTGCACCCGCCACAACATTCCCACCTCCTACAGCGGCAGCTCAGCCTGCCCAGGCCAACCGTCCCCGCAAAAAGCCCAGGTCAGCCGTCACGGCCACACCCACTTCATCACTCACATCCGCTCCTATGCGTCCCGGCGCTTCGAAACCGCGCCAGCCTCAACTTGAAATCAACCCACGCCCTGCGACCGCTGCCGATTTCCATCCAACGCAAAAGGAGAGCCCAACCCGGGGAAGCCCGGCCCGGATTCCGGTAGCACATCCTACTACTCCTGGGACGAAGCACCGAGGTGCTTCACGTCCCCGTCAGAAGAGCGACCCGCTGCAAAATGCAAGTCCGACAAAGATGGGAGTTACACTCACAAATGACCCTACACAAACCCCCGACCGACCCTTTGGGAGCATCAGTATTCCTAAGAAGCGCACGAACAGCAGTGGGGAGGAGAATGGTGAGAGGAAGAACGACGAGGATACTGCCCCCAAGAAGGTCGTGCTGGACCACGGAAGCCCAAGAGTCGATTCTATGGCGGACTCTCTTGAGCTATCCGGTTGGCCACATCATGAAGTCAGAGAAGTCTCACCCAACAAGTACGAAGATCAAAAGGTTTTAGAAGTTGAAACTACGGAATCAGTTGCAGTCGAAGCGCGAACAGCTTCAGAGGCGGAGCCTGGATCGAAGCCAGAACTTCCCGGACAGATGCCAGCCGATGCAGACGAAGAATTGCATGATATCCAAACCATTTATCCGAACGCTACCGTTGACGCAAACCAACTGCAGGTCGAGGACGAGGGCTCAAGGCACGAGCCTGTTTTGTCACCGGGGGTATCGCCCACGGGGCTCATTTCCCCTGTGGCTTTGCCAGTCGCCCCAGAAGCATTGCATAGCCATCACAACAGAGTAGAGAAATCGATTGATGAGACTGCCGAAGAGGCCATCTCAGACAGAGCTTCAGCAAATTCTGGGGCTCGCCGTACCTCAGCCATTTTACCCCTTTTACCGTCGTGGCCGAAAACCGATAACACACCCGGTTCACAGTCAGGCGACACATCACCTTTACGACTCGAGAAAGAGATGACAGACACACAAGGTGCCAGTGGCTTGGGAAGGCCGTCTGGCGACGAGACCCCAGACGTCCAGGTTTCGCGAGCCTTGCGCCCGTTTAGCGATCGACCAAGGGAGTCCGAGGCTACCCCGACCAAGCGGGATATTACTCTTCGGTCCCAAAACCCTGTGCAGGCGCGTGAGATGCTTGCAAAAGGGATTTCACGCATCCAAACCAGGGATATGGACATGAATGGATACCGGAAACTTCAGGGTCTCATCGAATTCCACCATACGATATTCACCGATGCAAAACAATTTGATTCCATGCTCGAAGCTTTGCTTACCGAGTTGGTGACTCAAAAACCACCTAGCGACAAGGTACTCCCCTTCGGTTCGGTGTGGGACTTCAAGACGCAGGTCCTTTACACCGTGAAATCCATGTTTATTCACTCGAAGACATACTTTTCCTGCCACTATCCTGGCACGATAATCCAGCTACTCGAGGCTCAGAAACCTTACGAGATAGCGCGGTATCTAGTCAAGGTTATTGACCAACTGATTGATGACATTGTTGAAGTCTCCGAACCATCTGCAATCGTTGACGCTCTTATGGAGTACCTCCCCAATGTGAAAGACGACCCCCAACACAAAATACTTCGAAAGGGGTTTGAAACAATCGGACATGCCCTTGTCGTCATGAACGAACAGAAGAGAAAGCTTCCCGACGGTACCCTAGAACACATCGGAGAACTTGCAACTGATTCGTTAAAGCTCCAGTCCATGGGTGTGAAGCGGAGAATTATTGCAATGTGTGTCGAGCTACGCGTGATGGTTCAGGACGATGATAAATACTGGAAGATTTTGGGTGGCGCCGACAGGGGCGTCCATGGTCTGTTGTTTTACTACAAGTCGAAGCATCGGGTTGATTGAGGGCGTTTTTGTTTTGTTTTGTTTGTTTGTTTTTTTGTTTTTCCCTTTTGGGAATTTTGGGCACCGTTTGGAGTTTTGGATTTATTTTTATTTTTATTTTTATTTTTACCGGGAGAGAAAAGCTGGCGGGCGTTTTTCTTCTGTTTGACCCCTCCGGCCGGTCCAAGGTGTTGGCGGACACCAGACTGGCCGGAGGGTGCCGTGTACTTTTTTTTTTGACTCGTTAGTCAATATCATTGTAAATCAACTTCTACCCTGTTTAATAATTAAATATTGTAGAACTTTCTCCAAGGATGTCCCCGGGGGCTAATGGGGACAAGCACGACCTCGTCTTCCAGCAACTCATCATCCTCAGCTTCATCCTCGTCCTCATCGCCAGAGTGAGTGCCGCAGGATGCGCTCGTAGAAGGAGACAGGGGACGTGTATGGACTGTTTCAGGTGACGGGGGACTTGAGAACCGGAGCCGCCTCGTCTCTGGACTTGACGATAATCCACCGATATCGTCCGTTGGTGTTGAAGATGGCGACACAGGAACGAGAGTGTCGGATTTGACCACTCCTGTCGGGTTGAGTTCAGTGACGAGACTGTTCGTATGACTTTCCGTACTATTAGTAAATGTTTGATCTTGACATGACATCTGGTTCTCTGTGTATTGCTTAGCACCTCCTGGCTCCTGTGTGATTTTTGAGAGGTTGTCGCTGTCAAGGAGAGCCGACGGCCCTGGGCACTGTGGAGATGGGTCGCTATTCAATCTCCGGACGTCATGTTCCAAGTGGGAGTTTCCATCTTCGGTCGTTTTAGACAGCCGGGCCAAATTATTTGTCAAAGACGAGTTCGCTCTCTGTCCAATGTTGACAGATTGTTGCTGGTGGTGGGATTGCTGCGGCTGTTCTAGGGCAAGCTCCTCGAAAGAGGGCGGGGCGTTCTTAGGGCATGGGGAATCCCCCACCGTGAGGGCGGATACCGATAAATCCCGACAACCATCGATGTCGATCTGTTGTGAGTCTCCCTTCTCGCCATTATTCCTTTCGATGTCGACCTTTTCTCTGTTGCGGAGGGTGAGTAATTTGGCCGGCGTAGTTAAATCACGATTAAGTTGCTGGAATTCCGAGCTGCTGCTGGCTGGTGATTCTCTGGGGCTGACTGTAGACCCTTGTTTCACTGCGGCAGATGATTTTAGTTGAGGGGCAGTAGACTTAGTGGTCGTAGAGGTGGTGGATGTGCAGGTGGAGGGCGCTTTTGCTTGGTTGGACGTTAGACAGATGGCTTCGACGGGGTTAGGGCCAGGGCCTCCATCTAAACCAACCATTTTAGAAGACGCTCCTCCCCCGTTTTTGTAGGGCTGAGAAAGACCAATCTCATTCCCCCAACTTCCCGCAGCTTTAGCCTCTATCTCTCGTCTGCGTAGGAAATTCCTTGCAGCCGTAAGCTCAGAGCTTTCGCAAGCAAAGAAGTCGACGTTCGGATTGATGAGTTTGTTCAGCCTGCGGAACGTGTGGCGAGAAGCTTTCTTGAAACCGAGGGGTTCTGATTGGACGTGGTTTCGAAGACTGTTGTCGATTTTCATAAATTCTCTCAATTGTTTTGCCCGCATGGCTTTCAGCAGGTTATCTTCCAAATTGTCTTGCTCCCGGCGATATCCTATGAGGTCCTTAATAGCACTGCGTTCCTCGTCGGTCAATCCGAGCATACGGCACACGGTGCGGCGGCTGTAGCACCCGAGTAGATTGTCCAGTATTTCAGCTTTCATTCGGCGTGAGAGATCGCTCCAGCTTGGGTCTCGTGGTCCTGTCGAAGAAGGCTGAGGTTGAGATGTTAGTGACGCCTCTTCGAATGACCACTCGTTAGAGTCTGAGTCAACGCAGCTTACCCCGGGAGCCTCAGACATTGTTCCATCCACATCAGTGTCTTCCATATCCAGAACCATAGCTTCATATGCAGCGTACCCCGTATTTACATCCAGATCCATGGAGTCCTCGGGGAAGTTCTTCCCCGAAGCCTCCATCTTAGCCATATTGCTAACCCATATCGGATTTAGGTCCCCATTGCTCGCAATGAAATTGTCAAGCTGATCCGCCGGTATGCCCTCTAAGACAGCAGACAAAGAGTTGTCTCCATGGCTCTCGGCGTTGGCCGCCAACAAACTGGGGCTTCCTAGGCTCTTCCTCCCGTTTGTCTGGTTGTTTTGACTTAATCCATCCTCTGCGTTTCCATTTTGTTCGGAGGCGCGTGCGAAATCCCGCGTCGGGAACGCAGCAGGGCGTTGGTTCGGAATGTAATCAATATATTGCGGATTCTTGACCATGTTATCTTTCCGCATACGCCGTGGAGATGTTGGGGAGTAGACTATCTCATCACTAAAACGTACCGGAGGACGGATGGAGTGTCGAAGTTTCATGGCCACGAATGTCGGTCGGCGGGTTTGAATGTGCCTTGTTCTTGCTCGTGGGAAGGTAAGGCAATGCACTGATAAGAATATTGAACGAGAAGAGATAGACAAGGATTCTGGTCAGACAGTAGAGATAGGCTGTTAGAAGCTGTCTAATCAATCACTAAAATGTAGAGTGAATGACACTGACTTTGAAGTGACAGGTATGAGTGAAATGTATCTGTGTGAAAGTTCCCGCCTACAGATAAGAGGAGAAAATAAGAGAATAAGAAAAAAAATAGGCAGTTAAGAGGCAATTGATATTATTATCATGCTGCCATGAGTGAATAACTGACTGTTGATGTGAACTCGGCTGCTTCTTTAGGCAAAACAATAACAATGAGAACAGTGGGTATCTCTTCATGTTAATTATGAAGGTAATTCATATTCTCATGCCTGAAAGTTGTGTAAAGTCTCAAATTTGTGAGACAAAACCTGATTACAGGAAGTAATTAAGTAGCGACAAAGAATAGGAAGGCTGTACGCTCATGGAAGACAATCCTTCACAGAGAAACCAAGACAATACCCATTATCCCCAACGATCCTGAAACGGTGCCTGAGGTTTCCTGTCCAAAGAAGAAGCTTCTATTTCCATATTGTCGTCGTTTCTTTTCTCGTCCTCTTGCTGATCTGCAAAGCTTCGCTTCTTGGACAGGGTCATCATCGGAGGGGCCAAATTCGAGGTCGCGCCCACAGTCCTGTTCGCATTTTCAACATCGCGCTTGGCCTCCAAAAGTCCCTCGAATGCCACCAGTAGTGGTTTAAAGGCATCTTCCATATCAATGCAGAATCTTTGGGAGTGGATGAAGTTTAATGTTTGACCCAACGGCATGTTAAGCATCACCATGCAGTACGCCACCACGACCAGCGCGGATAGACCGTTCCCCGTTTCGCAGAATACGAGAACCTTTCGCGGAATTTGCGCACCACCTTCCGGAGCCACTGGCGGGCAGATATGATCATTGATGCGTCGTATCGTCTGTGGCAATCTCGAAATAAGATCTTGGCCGTTCACGATGTCAAAAGAATCAGACTCAACCCCCACATCGTTCGCGGCTTTCTGTCCCGAGAAAAGTCGTGAGTGCGCCAGGCGTTGATCCCGGACCCCCAGCAACAGAGTGATGCCCTCATCTTTCAGCCACTCTTTGCTTGAAAGGCAACTCCATGGTCCCAAATAGAGGAATGGCAAGATACGCTGTGCGGCTCGGCGCAAGTTGTAGGACCACTCAATCTCAGTCTGTGGCAGTGTGAACATCTGCGGATCGACCCGTTGGAAGAAGTCGGTGCTGGCAAACTCGCCTTCCTTATAAGGATGGGAACTAACGCCAGCTGGCTGGATATCTGGTTGATTGTAGCCATTGTAATGGACGTCGGGGTAGTGAGAAGATGGAACCCGTTGGGTGTATTGGTGGTTCCGAATATACTGGGATTCAGCGTTCCCCGACATTGGTGATTCTGTGCCTGGATATACAGGTTCCATCTTGCCGTGGGGGTATAGTCGCTGATTTGCTGAGTTGTGTTGTAAGAAAGTGAGCTGGGAACACTGGGAAGTTTAGATACGTACTTTGGGGTTCCTCAGGCCCACATTTCCCTTTTTCGGAATGGCCGACTTCGCCCGCTAGGCAGTGAAAGCCATTGGTGCCTGCCATACTACAAACGCTGTGCTTTCATGGAACGACAAAGAAGATTACACAAACTTCAGGGTTTTTGCCAGTTACTAATTATATGGCTGTTTGAACCAACCATTGCGATCTAATACTCAATAAATAGGTCTCGATTACAGCGGATGGCTCCGCGTCGGTATTTTCGCCGATTCTATAACACAAGGTCTATCTTCAAGTCTGGAAGATCCATCGAGGATCCTTGTCGCCTTGGAATTCGCCTTCCGCATCACCAATATCTCCCATCAGTGCCTGGAGACCTTCACGTTCCCTAATCTCCGCCTTCTTTGCATTCTCACGGTTGAGTACCTGCCACAGGATGAATACGACGGTTATGTTCGCCACAAGATACCCTAGTGCGAATCCATGGCCCACAAAGTATCGAGGGCTACTTTCCGTCCGGTACAACTGTGTTCCAAGGACAGCACCGAGGTTACCGATGGATATTTGCATGGCGTTGGCAATGGCTCGCTTTGTCTGGCCAGAGACATTGTTGGCGGGCCAGGATAGAACAATTGCTACGGCGGGATAGATTCCCGCGCAGCAGAAAAATGTCCCAAGATATGATACACCGGGTTTGCGTCCAGCAAGGAGAATGATATAACCAATGCAAGCGAACGCAGAGGAGCCCATTATGTAGGGCGCCCGTCGCCTAGTGCGTTCAGAAAGGATAGCGACAGTAATCGTCGTTACAAACCCGAGTGCGTAGGGAGGGACGGTAAGGAGCTGGGCTTTGGCCGCGCTGTAGCCAAGTTCCTTGATGATTGTGGGCTTATTCACAGTTAGCAACGCAGAGAAAGTCCCGTTAAGAACAAGGTATCCTTACCAGGAATAGAGAGAGGGTGTATAAGGGAAGTGACATTGAGTGGAAACCAAGTCCGTACAACCAGACCTTGGGGTCTTTGACAGCATCTACAACTGCTCCCCAAGTGAATTTCTCCTCTCGTGTCGCATCATTATCGTGCTTCAGGCGAAAGGTGATATAGCTACGCTCCTTGTCTGACAAGAATTCCGCGGTAGCTGGATAGTTGTAGACCCAAACGTAGGCAACGGCAGACATTACCACCGTTAATAGCCCTTCCTGCAACCAGTTAGCCTACTGCACTTGATACTATGTGATCACTCGCTGTATCATCATACCAGGATGAAAATCCACCGCCAACCAGCGTAGCCGCCGACACCATCCATGTGCGCAATACCCTAAAAAAACGGTCAACATGTTACACTGGACTCGGCGATTGATTGGGACTACTCACCCAAGCAAGAATCCCACCAAAAGCACCAGCAAGTGAAGCGGCACTGAAAAACAAAGCCACGCGGTAGTGCTGTTCGTTTCGCTTATACCACATAGATAGATAGAAGACCACACCGGGGAATAAACCGCTTTCGGCAACACCAAGAGCTACACTCCATGTCAGAAGCGAGAGTCACGTTGAGAAACGGTTAAGCATACCTGTTCGCGAGGTGAGGTATCCTGCATAGTTATTTACAACACCAAGCAGGGTCGCAACAATGCCCCAGATCAGAGTGAGGGTTGGAAGCCATATCCGGGGAGTTGTCTTTTTCAGTATAATATTGCAGGGGACCTCAAACACGACATAACCGACGAAATACAAGGTTAAACCAGTGAGATATTGGTTTCCACCTATGCAAGTTGTCACCACGTCAGTACATCATTCAATACTTAGTTTCAGAGGTTTCCTTACTCATGCCAATATCGTCGGTCAATCCTTCTAGACGAGCGTTGCCGACTATGAAATGTATATATTAGCATTGAGATACACCGACTTCGGAATTCCCTATTCCGTACCATTACTTCGATCAAGAAAAGACAAAAGGTACAGTATCGTCAATGGAGGAAGTAGTTTGTAGTCGAGTTTTCGAAGAAGCGATTTTTCGTTTATATCGGCATAGTCGTCCGCGATATTGCTTTCTGCTGGAGAACTATCATACTTCTCCCGAGGTGGATCGAAGTCGGGCCCTTTCGTTTCTTTTACGTCCGCCATCGTTTGTTGAGGGCGCCCAGAGCCAAAGGGCAATATGCGCTGAGGCAGCTTGAAAGAGGGTATCCCTGCAGAGGTCGACCAACTTCACCTTTGCAAAGTGGATATGGGTTTTCGACCACGGCGCATTCGAGCACTGGCTGGATTATTTAAAGTTGTCAACGGCGCGCAAGGCACCGCACATGGCGGGAAGCACATCATCATGGCCATATTTCACGCGATGACGGCTGCGAATCGCAGAGGACTATCTCGTGGGGGTCTGGATCACAGCAGTCCCTAGCAGAAGTTGATCACACCCCCACAGGGAGCCAATGCGTCGTTTTGGTTGAAAGTCAATAATAATGAGCGGAAGCGATGATGGAATTCCAAACGAACCCCCGCCGTGGGTGTTGATGAGCAATATGGCATCCGCGATGACGAGATCGCTCTCCCGCGCTAAGGTTCCACAGCGTTTGTAGCCAATAAATTCGTGGAAATAACATCAATCCTTGTGGATTTTCCTATTTTTGTGCAGAAAATCGTATTTTAGTTGCACCCCATTGGTTGTATAGCTAATTCCACGTTGGAATATCATATCTTCAACGGCTGAGGCACGTATTGAGATCACTCTTCCAAACCCAGGGGTTTCTCGGCCGATACTACTGAAATTTCATTGGCTGTCAAACATATAGGACTAAATTAGCACAGGAGGACTTGAGGAACAACTGGAATGGTATATGGTTCAGGTAAAATGAGTTTGCTATCTCTAAATATACAGTGTCATCGGAAAGCATCAAGATCAGGGCGAGTTAGTGGAAGCCCCCGCCATTTCTTTAGGAGCGAGCTTGTCCCATCAAAACCACGTTCCATCAGCTACCAGATCAAACCAAGCTGTACACACCTTATTTAATCCCCTCATTTGCACAGACGATGCCATTATCATGTCAACTGACGCGACTAAAAATCCCGGTTTCTTAGCCTGGACGGTAAGGCAAAGCTATTCGCATTGGACATGCATGGCATCAGGAATGAGGATGACTACACCATAGGTATCATCACGCCGCGAACTCGGCCTTGTGCTTTTCCGCCCATTCGGAAAAGCGCAAAGAGGGCCGCTTGAGATGCCTCTCGACGTTTGCCCTTACTTCAGAACTGAGCTGTCCAACGATCAAGTTTTGATCCTCATTCGCTGCCTCAAAGGCTTTTGTCAAGGTTTGAGCCACGAGCTCCGGAACCCCGGACTTTTCGGTCATCACTTGGATGTTCTCGTCTGAGCTGACCTTTGTCACTTTCACCGGTTTGTTGATTGCCCGTCCAATAGTCTCAATGGCACCGGCAACTGACAGATCCGTCTCTGGTCCAGCAAGAAGAACTGGAGATCCGCCCTCGAAAGCGCCGGCGAGGATCGTTCCAGATACCGCGCCAATATCTTCAGGGGCGATAAAATCAAAACACAGGTCTGGAAAGGCCCATTTCACTTCCCCCTCTAGGATCTGTCTCTTCCACCAGAACGAATTCGACGCGAAATACGCAGGGCGAACAGCGACATATCCCTGGGGCCCGAATACATTTTCCAACGACAGTTCGACCTGCGCATGTTCATATGCAATAAAATCAGTTGGCTGGATAGCCCGGATATCGCCATGCACAGAGATGCTGCTCAAGAGGACAACCTGCTCAATTCCTGCTGCTTTGAGTGCTTCCACAGTGGACAGCATATGATCGGGTGAAGCTCCAAGGGTTGCATATATGAAGGCATGAGAGGCGCCTGTGCTGGACACCGCAGCATGGACGGACTTCGGTTGGGTGAGGTCCGCTTGAACCCTCTCGTATCCCAAGCTTCGCTCTTCGGCGGCAGTGAGACCAGGGACAGGCTTCGAGGTATCACGTAAAGCAAGGAATACTTTAGCGCCGTGGGCTTGAGCGGTACGGGCTACAGCAGAGCCCACGCTCCCTGTCGGGCCGAAGACGATGACATTTCTAGTGCTCATGATAAACGTGGAGAAATTGGGTTGGGTGTTTGAAGAATGTTTTTGCGACTGAGTGTGCTCTGGGAAGTAGATGGATACGACATCTTCACCTTTGAGGGGGTTCTTATAGTCTTTGGCTTTACCATAGAGCAAGTTACTGACCTACTTCAGGACGCTGGTCGGCGAGAGAAGATACCGACCACCGATCCGCATTTTGGCTTGTATGTGTATACTGTGCATTATTAAGCCTCGAGCCCACGAGAGACATTTGTCAGCGATGCTGGAGACTGGGGTTAGTGGCGTTATTACCGGGCTGACCGACCCTGTTATGGGGCTCACGACGTTAGATTGCGATTCTCATTGGGTGTAGTAACTAACATATCGGAAGTTCGGGGCCGGTATGAAGCTCGAGGCCGATTTGGAGACGGTGGTTCACGTGTGCTTTGAGGAAGCCAGCGTGAGCAATTGTTTTGTTGATCGGAATAACCTTTAGGTGTATCCGTGGGTGCCAAGAGAGCCCCGCGGTCGTACTCGCTTACCGGCTTGAGTTGATTTATCGAAACATGATAGAGGCAAAAACCTATTCGTGCCTATATCTCTGAAGGATGGGATTTTCTAGTATATTGATATTGAATTGGTCTGCAGATGCACATGCGTCAGTTTGAACCATGGGCAGCTTTTTGTCGTAACGGGGCGCAGGAGCTAAGCATCTTCCCTTGCATGTCCTACCAAGGAAAACTTAGTTGAAGGTAAATTGAAAGAAGCCAAGGTACCCCAGGCCATTACATCGTGGAAGGGGATGCGCTCTCCGCAATGAGAACATTGGACAATTTGCTCCAGAGTGGGGAGCCTGGAATCCCGGGCAGGCTCTCAGCTCGCCGGCGCAACCAGCCAACGGCAGCCTCGGCTTCACACTAAATCGGCAAACCGATCTATAGAATCCCCACTCGACATCAAAGGCGTCTCCAACTGCGGAGTTGAAGTTGAGGGGTTCAAATACTACCATGACCCCTCTGGTCACCCCATCCCCAGATTCATCCCTCTTTTGTCATATAATCCGGTAACATGAGCACCCAAAATAAAACCAACCCAGGTAAAAGCAAGCAATTCACCCGTTCCAAATCCTAACCGCTGATGATATCTAAAACAGATTCTGCTGCTACGAGCGCTGTTCTCCATCGAGATACCCGCTTTCTCCCCAAAAAGGCCGTCGGTGGTAAAGGCAGCTATCTTTTCCTCGAAGATGGCACCAAGTTCCTGGACTCGACGGGCGGCGCTGCTGTTTCCTGTTTAGGCCACGGCCATGAGAAAGTGGGCCAGGCCATTGTCGACCAGTTCAACCGAATTGAGTATTGCCACACTGCATTCTTCGGGACAGACGTATCTGAGGAGCTTGCTCGTTTTCTTGTCGACTCAACGGGCGGGAGATTATCTAAATTGTTTGTGATCAGTTCCGGTATGGCCTCTTCCTCAATCCATTGTGGAGTATTAACATCGTCAATCCCAGGCTCTGAGGCCGTCGAGGCTGCACTTAAACTCTCCCGCCAATACTTCCTTGAGCTGTCTACACCCCAGCCCCAACGAACACGATTCATCGCCCGCAAGCCCTCTTTTCATGGCACCACTTTAGGCGCCCTGGCAGCTGGCGGTCACGTTCTCCGTCGCCAACCTTTCGAGCCTATATTATCACAAAACACCTCTCACGTATCTCCATGCTACGCTTACCGAGGGAAGAAAGATGGCGAATCAGACGCAGACTACGTCGTGCGACTTGCAGACGAACTAGACGCTGAGTTCCAGCGCGTTGGCCCTGATACCGTCTGCGCTTTTATCGCGGAGCCTATCGTTGGAGCGGTAAGTCCCTTTGTACACTCCTATTCCAAATTGATGGAGGAGTGGTCTATTGACACATAAAATGAAAAAGGCTCTGGGCTGCGTCCCCGCTGTCCCAGGCTACTTCCCCGCCATGAAGGCCGTTTGCGAGAAATACGGGGCCCTCTTTATCCTTGACGAGATAATGAGCGGTATGGGTCGCTGCGGTACCCTGCATGCCTGGGAACAGGAAGATGTTGTCCCGGACCTTCAGACAATCGGGAAGGCGTTGGGAGGCGGATACGCTCCCGTCTCGGGTCTTTTGATCTCGGATAAGGTCGTGCAGGCTATTGACAAGGGAACTGGTGCGTTTCGCCATGGCCAGACTTACCAGGGTCATCCGGTTTCGTGTGCGGCTGCGTTGGCTGTACAGAAGGTCATTAAGGAGGAGGGGCTGTTAGAGAATGTTCGGAGGATGGGTGCGTATTTGGAAGATAGACTGAAGAAGGCTTTGAGTGGAAACCCGTATGTTGGAGATATTAGAGGCAAGGGCCTGTTTTGGGGGGTGAGTTGACTGCCTGTAGCTACTTCAGCCACCATCACATTGTTTGACTGACCATGTCTTTTGGCAGATTGAATTTGTCAAAGACAAAGCCACAAAAGAACCTTTCAGTACCGACGCTGCGATAGCATTCCATATCCAGGAAACAGGGTTGAAGGCTGAATACGCAATCTCACTATACGCTGCGCCGGGGACTGTTGATGGGGTTCGAGGAGACCATGTTATTATAGCGCCGCCTTATAATGTTTCCAAGGAGGAGATCGATATCATCGTGGACACGACTGTTCGGGTCCTTGATGCGGTTTTCGCGCAGGTCTCGGGATCTTAGGTATGTGTTGTTGACTACAATGTACGGTATAAATGATAAAATGTCAGACAGTTTATAAAGTATCTATGGACGTTTCTGTGGCTGTAACTTGTTTGCTCGCCTGAATCGTAGAAAATCATCTCCCAAATCAGAGTATTCCATGAAATGCGTATATTACACACAATAATAATAGAACACATAAACTTAAGCCTTAGCTTCAAGTTTCAAGCCCTTTGAAACTGTATTCTCGGTATATTCCTTCGCACCATTCGCAACGGCACTTGAAGACCCTGATGACCACATACTCGCAACTGTCTCCACAGCCCGCTCAATCACGACCCGGACTCTATCCCTCAGCACCGCATTGGCACACTCAACCTCCAAATCTTCCAGCCATACCCTCGCAGTATGCTTATCAACCTTGATCTCCAAACCGGGAACAGGGATACCAAGGGCATGGAGCCGAGCAAGCTCGGCGGTTTCGAGTTTCGCCACGGCTACGGGATCTTGGTCTTCAGTATCCTTAGTGTCGAATGGAGTTGGGGTTTGCTCGGGCTCGGTCTTGACGGGTCCAGTTGCTGTGCCGTTTGAAAGATCTTTGTTGGGGGATGAGACAGTCAGGCGGGGGCGCTCGATGGGCGCGATCTCGGAACCAAATTGGGCTTCGAGCATCATGAGGAGGCGCGTAAAGCGTTCTTCTGCGTCCTGCGCAGCGTGCGGGTTTAGGAGGTCTAAGGTGGTGTCGTCGTCGTGCTGATGGTGGTGGTGGTGGTGGTTGTGCTTAGCGGATTCTGTGAGTGGTTTTGTTAGCAAGATACGATTGATTATCCGGGGAAATTCTTAAAGGCATACGTTTAACGGAGGCTGGGCTGCTTTCCACGGTGAGTAGGACGGCCATAACTGCGTCAGCTACACCGTCGTTCATCATGTTTCCTTCCCATTGGAGCTCAACTTCGCGAGTCCGAGGGTGATATCGGAGGATGACACAGCCCATGACCAGGTATGCTTGAGACTCTTCCATGGGGATTTCTTCATCGGCAGCCTCCTGTTTTGTTTGTTGTTTATCCTCGTCGGTGTCTTCTTCGTCCTCTTCCTTCTTCGCCTCTTGGTCGGTACCGATTTCCTCAATGGCACCAAAGGTACCTTCCAAGGCCCATTTGATCAGATCCATACTAGCCGAACTTAGAGTGATGTGTTGTTTGCAGGTGATAGTGGTGGTCGCTAGACCAGCGTATTCTCGGAGGTCATCCGGTGCCATCAACGACAGATCGAAGCCGTTCTGCACAAGGACTCCGGACATGAGGGGCCCTTCTTCTTGTTCCGAGTGTAGAGATGTTTGTGCTAGTTTACCAACCACTTTGGCGATTTTATCTTTTCTGAAGGGGATTCGGACTTCGTCGCAGTTGGCTGGGGTGTACACTTTGACTTTTACTGTCTTTTCAGCATTGAGACTCAACAGTTTTGATTTTAATCGCATCATCTGGTGTTTTTCACCGTGGACGAGGATCTATTGAGGGTTAGTGATAGGGGAAATTTGTAGGAGTGGAAAGTGCGTACCACGACAGGTGCTTGTACTTCTTCAATGAAGTTCCGGTTCTCGACACCATCAACGTGGGCAGCGAACGAGATCTCGTCAATAGTACACCGTCTCGGAATCATGATCTTCTGTTCTTCGTCGTTGCCATTCATGCGCGTCCTCCCCATGCCAGTGGCTGCACGGGACATCACGGCGTGAATCTGCTCTGGTTCATTCAGCAACTGCTTAGCCATCGTGCCCTCTACACTGTAACCCGTCATGACAACACCATTGCGCTCATTTGGAGCCCATCTCTCTAGGAGTTCTCGACTAGTTCCCGTCTGCAGCATACCCGGGGATGCTAGCATGACGCATCCACCAACATCGTCAAACCGTTCTAGGCTACGTAGACTTCGGACAAACCTGAAATCCCAAGGCCCCGCACTGATGCTCTTGTCACCGCTGGCTTCGGCTTCTGCCATTCGCTGGCGAAAGAGTCTTTTTATATTGTCGTTCATTGCTCCAATATATGTTTGATAAACAACCATGCACCTTCGAGCCGTATTTCCAATGTAATAGATAGGAATCTTTTGCAACTCGGGGTGTGTTTCCCAGTATTCGTCAAGAATGAGAAGTAGCTCCTGTGCACGGCCAAGCGCGAATACTGGCATAAGAACTCGACCTCCACGGTTCAGCACTCCGGTTATAGACTTCATTAGGGCAGCCTCGCGCTCGAGTCGAGGAGGGTTGGAGGAAATTCCAAACGTCGATTCAGTTATGAGGACATCAATCTTGATCCCCCGAGGAACCTCAGCTGGGATGAGATGGCGATCTTCTTCACGAGAATAGTCTCCTGTAAATAGGATGTTCAGACCCGCAATCGATACCAGGAACATAGCAGCTCCAAGGACGTGGCCGGCAGGGAAAGGAGTGATGCGAATGCTGTTTATGGTATGGGTTGTGTTGAAGTCAATGGTTTCGATCAGTGGCAGCGTTGACAGATGGTCATGCTCGGTATATAGCGTAGTTCGTTGGTCCGACGACGAGGCAGTATTGTTGACTCGCACATTATCCTGGATCAACCATTTGTAGATAGCCTTCGTCGCGTGGGTCATGAAAACACGGCCCTTGAAATTAGTTTTGCTGAGGACGTAGGGGAGCGCGGATGAGTGGTCGACGTGAAAGCTGTCATGCGACAAAAACATCGATTAGTCGTTTATCAGTGGGGATAAGAGCAACAGCACGGTGTAAGGATTCATGGCTAAAGATGATACAAAATACATATGATGGGACACGGAATACAAAATGGATTGAATTGTATTGCGTTTCTTGTATACATGAGACCAGTAGGGGCTGGATTGCCGAAAGAGCCATTCCGCCATTGATATCCGATGGCTTTCTCATGCCATCACCGTGTCGAAGAACCCTTTGGCATCCAGGAATCCCCACAGCGAAATGGGGGGAAAGCAGCAAGGAGACTGTAACGTACTGGCTAATTAAAAGTATATCCACCGTGCTCAGGTCGAATTCGTCAAAGAAAGGGAGCGCAGAAAATCCCTCTTTCGCAGGATGCATACCAGCATCAAGCTATATTCCTCAGTTTAGGACAGTGCTAAATAGAAGAATTGGCAGGATACACACCATGACAGTCTTTCCCTTATACTGAATTATGTGGCATGATCTCCCAACCTCATTACCACCACCCAGACAATAGAATGCTAACTCGTCCGAAGGGTCGACAGGTTCGTCATCGACGGCGTTCATCGCCGCGGCCTTTCGCTTTGTCGCCATAGTGAGACGCGTTTCTGATTTCCAGAAACCACGCGCAGGGAAATTGGTTGACCGGCAGTTATGACAAGCGGATTTGGTGAGGAACCGAAAAGGGATCAATCGATATTACAGCAGCGTGTTGTTGAAGATTAGTGAAACCTCTCAGTAGTTTGCGCTCAGTTTGCGAGCCATGGCATGCACTAGCGGCAATGCACAAGGGTTCCTTCCTGGATTAAGCAAACAAGCACGATGATACAGATTTCAGATCAATCCAAACCACGTCGTTTGTCGTTTGCTCGTCTCAAAAAGACAACCTGGATAATGATGCGGTTTCTTTCGAGGAGACGGAGCTTTGTCTTATGTAAGTCACACGTGATCATCCGCCGCCGCAGCAAAACCTCAACGAGCCGGAGCTCCCTTTCCATGCGCGCATCCCGAACAACGCCAGCTTTCCGCCGCGTAACCTGTCCTCTGTTTGTCCAGCACCCACTGCCGACGGAATATTGCACCTCGATACTGTACCCGATGTCTTGAGATGGTTACAGGTGGCGGCGGCGGCGGTTTTCAGCAGTCCGCTTCACGGTTCAACATACGCGCAACGCACGCATTCTGTCCGTGATTGATAGGCAAATCTCGATCAAACACCATCGTGTAATTGCATATAACGCGACCAGCGGCCCTGGGCTGTCGTAACAATGGCGCAAACACAACCCCAACAGTTCTCCCAATCCTTTTCACCTCCGGGTTCCTCTCCCTCACCCGCTCCGTCGCCGGTCAATGGAAGTGTTCCACCACCAAACAAGCGACAACGCCTTTCACCTCACCCTCAATCCTCTCAGTCACCTTATGCCTCGCCCAGCTTCGGAACCTTACAACTACCGCAAAACCAACAAACTGGCGTGAACGGGACAAATACAAATGGGATACCACAGTCGCCGGCACCCCCACCTCCTGGCATCATGGGCCCTCCCTCCCGGCCTGTTGACAAGCCAACAGATGCAGCTGATCTGACGGATGTATTGGCCTCTTCTGGAATTGATGTAAGGGAAGAGGAGGCATTTCTCACCAGCAGTTACTCTGCTCCTGGTTTGCAAGCGCAGCAACCACCCCGACCTCAACAACCTCTCCCACCACAGCAACAACAGCAACAACAACCTCCTCCTCTCCCTTTGAATACATCCTTCACCTCACAAGCGTCGGCAACCGGAACAGCGTCCAATACCCCAAGCTTCAGTGAGGCGTCACAATACAAACCTTCAGGGACACAAGAATCCTTCTATACAGAGCCATCAACCCAGCCTCCCGCCCCTTTTACCGACCCGAATGAACCGAGTCGGGAAGATACTGAGGCAGCTAGGCGTGCGCAGTATCACTTACAAGAGCCGTTCCTGTTGACCAAGATTCTTGAACAGAGGCTCCAAAAACGGGGTTTCGAGCTTGGCGTTCGCATACCATCGGAAGGCTTGTTCCACCCAGTACCAGGCCGTCCACAGCCAATTGAAGTAACCGGACCAGATGGGTCGTCCGTCGTGCGTACTGGTCAGACAATTCTGAACCAGGAAGGCGCACCTCTCGTGGATATACTCAATTTGATGTCCATATCGTGTGAGGAGCGACTACGGACTGTGGTCGATTATTCCTCAACACTCGCGAAAAGTAGACGAGCGCATTCTCATGGGACGGTCCCGATTGAATATGGAGACCTAGCCTCGGCAAGTGATAACGTTAATGGAGGAAAGGATGACCCTCAAACGCCTTCTCTTAAAAGTAAAGCCTCGCAATTTCTTAGAACTATAGAGACATGACTAATTTTTTTTCTTCTTTAGGACCTCATTCGAACACACAATCGGGAGCAAAATCACTGTCGGATAAATGTCGTCTCTTGGTGGATAAGGATGCTTCTTACGAGGAGGCCAGGGCAGCGAAACGTACAAAACGCAGCGCAAGTGCGATCCTTGGAGATGGCGGTACACCAAGGGCCGATGCAGTTGATGTGCCTGGCTCTGGTGCATCGACACCTATTGGTGATCGGGCTCCCAGTTTGGATAAGAAAGGAATGTCAAAGAAAGAAGCCAGAAAGTTAATGGATGCAAAAGCGAACGAAGTCCAGCAACACCAGCAATCCGTTGAAACAGCGCGCATGGCCACTCAGACTATGATGTCGGGGGGTATGTTTGGAAAAAAGAAAACATATTCCTGGCTCCAACGTGGCCCGCCTGCTGGGAGTGGCTTTTCTACGCCAACGCGTGCCAACCCTCCCACCCCAACCGCAAATACAGAAAAGGCAACCCGCGCGGGAGAACCTGCGGCTGTTCCCACTAAACGGTTGGGAAGCTGGCGGGAGGACAAGGAGAAGGGGGCTGGAATACAGGTTCGAGATATCCTTTACATGCTGGAGCTCGATGGAAGAGCGTCTAGACACATCCAGAAAGTATACTCGAAAGACTTGAAGGAAGACAAAACAGACTGAACCTGTTTAATCCGTGACTTGAATAATTACAATCTTTCCATTGGCTTTGCTGCAATATTTTATTTTCAAGTTCCGCATGAGCACTGCGCAGGACCGTGGTTTTTTGGCGTTGCGGTACATTCTTCGGTGGTTCCAATCTATGTGTCTCTAATTTCTCTTCACGCTTGTTCTGGGCGGTTCCTGGGAAACGGCCTTACATGCTGTTTTCCGGCCATGTTCACCGTTTTATCATGGTTTAATTAACTCGCAGGGGGTTCAGCAAGGATCTCTCATCTTTCAAATGTACTGTCGGCCTTGCTGGTACTGTTGCATAAACGTAAGGAAATAAAAAAATTCTCATGGATGTGTTTATTTGCGTAAATAGTAATTTCAGCTTTCTACGAATCTCCTGCCCATGGCAACAAGAAGCACGGACAAACACGAAGCAACTTCGTCTGTGCTTCCTCTTCCTGAGCCTATCTATGAAGAATCTATAGGTGTATTGACACCTCAGGCATAAATCACCAAGTGGCCTTTCCGGATAGGGTTAGGGCTCTGACGCAAACTCCGGGGCACCAAAGACACCAATCTGGCAGACGCGGAGTCGCTTCAAACTCAGCCAGGCCGCGAAACGAACAACAGCATCCATTCCCTTGCACATTTCCCTCGAGTCGCGAAACCGCGGGAAAACGATCGACGTGACCATGAGCCTAACGGAGCCGAACCGCACTGAAACATACTTTTCTTGCCACGAATTGACACGCTGAAAGCAGAATGAACGTGGAGGATGATGTCAGAAGAAGGCAAGGCCCAAAGCGGAGAAGTTTCCACCGCGTGCTTCCAATTCGTCCAATCATTCCATTCCTCGCACCGGCGCCATCGCCCAGACTGACCAGATTAAGCCGTCTAGCGTCCTCTTAGGCTCTTTCGCTTCGCTGCAGCGCGAGCAGCGGATTCGAGAACGCGGTCTTCGGTGAGCGGTATGCACCTCAAACGTCGGCGGTGCTACGATCGCCCTTCGTGTGCGCCGCCAGCCATGAAAGGACTCCTCCGTACTCCGTTTAGAAGATGGGCCGCGTTTCTTGACGACGAGTCGGAGTAATGGCTCCGGTACTATTCACGGCTGATAGTGGTGGATAAGCGAGAACCAAAAACAGCATTTTCTTCCAGCCCTCCGTTGGCCGCCTCAATGCGTGTGTCGATGGAGCATGGCTGTGAAAGTAATGAGCCCTGCGGACCTACTCCAGTAGTAGTAGCCCACGCCCAACCAGTATGAGGAGTAAAGGATTCTGATGTCCGTAAAAAAAAATACTGCCTATATTTGGGCCGTTTTTTGATAATCCGTAGGGGAACACATAGATTAACCTATTAGAGTATTAATAATGATGTTCCCTGGTGGTTGCTGGCCGAGACGACAAGGAGAAGGGGCAAAGGCTAAAGAAATAGTGAAGGTATCACCACATTCCTCATTCCTACTAGGTACTGAGTCTGAGCACCCTCTCCACCAGGACTCACTGCGACTGTAATTCCCCTAGAAGTTTAAGTGGTTTCCAAGTGGACGTGTCCCTAAGTCATATCCGAACTAACCCAACATTATTGTTGCTGTGCTCGTGCGGCCAGCATTACTCGAGTGCCAGAGGCAGATTATTATTGTAGCGATCCCGTCTTGTCTCCTCAACCCCAGTATCCTACATGAACAGTGCTTTTACAGCACCACACTGTTGCATTTTTTTAATTCCAAATTTACTGTTTGACTGTTTTGTCTCCCAATTCACCCAGAAACCCCGGAAACGAAAAATAAATTAGTCTGAAAGGGTGATGTAGACTTCTTTTCCCGGACGGACCGCACTTCTTGCCCCGACCGACCGCCTCGCCATCGCTCCCCACGCCTCTCACTTTCTTCGCTCCTTGCTCGTCACGTCCTCACAGTCGACTCTTCACCTGCTGCGTTCTCGCGGTGTCTCTGACTTTCTTGGTGACCCGATAGAATTCTCATTCCCAGCGATTTTGGGATTCTCGCGCGAGAATCCCCGGCTTTCCGGCCTGGCGTGTCGAGGCCTCCGTGTTCATTGAGGACGATAGTTAACCACCAGTGACGCTGAACGACTTCCTCTTCTTTCTTTCTCTTTCACTGGCACTCTTCCTCTTCCTCTCCCCATCCGCCGCTCGTACGACCGGACGGTTCCTCTAAACCACCATGTCTACGCCCTCCACTGCTACTGCGACACATCCTACGCATCATCAGCAGCATTACGGATTCCCCCATCACCACCAACCATACCTACCGAACCCATCGTACCCGGCCTCGTCCACTCCTCATTTAAACCCTCCTGTTTATCCCTACGCCGTTCCTTCATCGACAGCTACCGTACCCTACACCCAATCTCCACAGGCGGCCGCTGCGGCTTCCACGCCTACAACTGCCTCAGCCATGCCGCAGGCTCCAAAACCCGCTAGTACGGGTTCTTCTGATCAGAACGGGAGGCGGAAAAAACCAGACTGGGGCGAGTTCTATAAAAACGGAATACCAAAGGAGGTTATTGTCATTGACGATACACCTCCTCCTGACCAGTCTGCCGCCGCGTCGCATACTCTCCCGCCGACATCCACCGTTCCGGCTCAGAACGGTAATGTCCCACAGCCCGCGGGTAAGAAACGACGCACCGGTATCGAGACAGCATACGACCTGGGCTACTATGATCGTCCGTCTTTCTCGATCAATCCCCAGCAATACGGCGAAGACTCGTCTGCGGGCTCGCTCTCGACCGACCGCACAGCGTCGCTGCACACCACCGCTCCCACATCTCTCTCACAGGGCAGCTCGGGTGCGAGCAATGGTACCTACTATGAGGATGCCAATATTGGCCAGAAGCGGAAGCGGGTGGCGACGCGAAAGTCCGTTCGAGATCAGCAGAAGAAACTCGAGCAGGAGACGGGAACTGATGCCTTTTTGAGCTACATCCCTCCGCCAAAGCCTCCCATCAAGGCAAAAGATGTTCCTGTCCCCGTCGTTCGTGCTGTAAGTGCCGATAAGTCGTTACTATATTTGGGCTATTCTAACAGTTGATGCAGTATGCGAATAGGGGCGAAAAGTTCGACGATGACGACGGCCATTATGTTGTCAACCCAAACACTCCATTGACAGATCGATGTAAGCAGCCCTGGTTTCAAACTATAATGTCGTTCATGCGTACTAATCTAGTCAAGATTCAATTATCAAGCTTTTAGGGCAAGGAACGTTCGGCAAAGTTGTCGAAGCTTTCGACAAACAACGCAAATCTCGCTGTGCTATCAAAATCATCCGCTCCATTCAAAAGTACCGAGACGCATCAAGAATCGAACTGCGGGTGCTGTCAACTTTGGCATCTAATGACAAGAACAACCGAAACAAGTGCATCCACCTGAGAGATTGCTTCGACTACCGAAACCATATATGCATCGTCACAGATCTGCTGGGTCAGAGTGTCTTTGATTTCCTCAAGGGAAACGGGTTCGTCCCGTTTCCTAGCAGCCAGATCCAGAACTTTGCTCGACAACTTTTCACTAGTGTGGCTTGTAAGTTCTCACAGATTTCCAGCATCCGAGGCTTAGCTAATTTTGGCTTGTGCAGTCCTCCACGACCTCAACCTCATCCATACAGACTTGAAGCCCGAAAACATCCTTCTCGTCAAAAATGCCTACCAAACCTTTACCTACAACCGCACCATCCCATCGTCCTCTAGTGCGATTTCTCGGAATGCCCGCCAAAGACGTGTTTTGCTTGATAGCGAAATCCGCCTGATCGATTTTGGGTCCGCGACCTTTGACGACGAATACCATTCGTCTGTCGTTTCTACCAGACACTACAGGGCACCCGAAATCATCCTTAACCTTGGCTGGAGTTTCCCTTGTGATATCTGGAGTATTGGCTGCATCCTTGTCGAATTCTTCACTGGCGATGCTCTCTTCCAGACCCATGATAACCTTGAACATCTCGCGATGATGGAGGCTGTCATTGGTGACCGGATAGATGCGAAGCTAGTGCGTCAAGTGATGCAGAACAGTCGGAGTGGCAATCAAAACCCAGCAGTCAAGTAAGTGTTTTGGATCTCAATGATGTGACCACTACTGACTTGTTTAGATTTTTCCTCCGCAACAAACTCGATTACCCGAATGAGGAAACAACGCGCGCCTCCAAAAAATACGTGCAGGCAATGAAGCGGATACAGGTATTTCTTCTTTTGCGTATTTTAATACTGGGGTCCTTGTACTGATTGCCTTAGTCATTCATGCCATCGAATAACAAGTTCTACCGGGCGTTTCTGGACCTCTTGCAGCGTATCTTCGTCTACGACCCGAAACAACGTATCACGGCGAAAGATGCCCTCAAGCACCCATGGTTCAAGGAGTCTATCACCGATGATGGAACTGAAGCTCTGCGGATTGGACAGCAATTGCAGCGCACCAACGGCCAACAACGTTAAGTGTTTGAGCCCGAGTCTTGCTAGCGTCACAGCATAGCGCAATTCGGCTTTTTTTTTAAAAGGGCGTTTATTTCGGGCTTCTGCTTGTTTATTTTGCATTGGATATATCGCTGGTACCCACGGGTAGCGGTGCGTTATTATGTATGGGTACAGTTCCAGTTACGATGGCATTTTTTTGGATAATATGTATGGCATGGCACGCGAGCCCCCTGCTCTGAGTATATCGAGCTACTGGGTAGCTCTCGGGGCTATGGAGTTTGGCCACTGAAGCAAGTCATCTCAGGGCCTGGGTATTGTTATTTCTACGGAGATGGATATGGATATGGCTATTCTATTTGATTATATTGCACAGGGTTGGCTTGGTTTGTGGGTATATGGGCATGTTTACTGCTTTCGCGATATCTATTCTCAGCATTGCTGATTGATCCATCCTTACGTGGGAGATTCAGCTTTATGGCGTGGTGATATGGTACAGGTTTCTTCCCTTTCGTTTTCGTTTTCTTTTTTTTTTTCTGCATAGCCATCATGGTAGATGCTCCATCTTGTGCTTGACTGTGTAGACAGGTACATGTATATATATACCCTTTGTCTCTATATCCTCTATAACATTCTTCTCGTCTTCGATTATATATATATATATATGTATGTATGTATGTATGTATGTATGTATGTATATATAATTGCATTCGACATTGTTACAACGCGGAAATCGATATGCAGAATTCCACAAGCTCCGAACTCCCATCGTCACTACCCACTTCTTCATTAGTCTTCCAAAACCCAGCTTTCTCCATCACTCTCATACTTCCCCCATTCGCCTTCGCAACAATCGCATACACCCGTTCCTCATCCACCACCTCTCCCTCCTTCCCTTTACTTCCAGAACCCTCAAGGGCATTCAACTCCCGAAGATGTTCAACCCACCACCCCAAAATCCCCTTCACAGACTCACTCGCATACCCCCGCCCCCAAACGCCCGGCACAAACATATACCCCAGTTCATACAGCTTCGCCTTTGAAAACAGAGACTCCGACTCCCGAATCCCAACTATCCCGACTATCCTGTCTTTCTGTTCTTCACCCTGCTGCATCGCTATAAGATGCGAGAGCTCTCGCACGGAGAAAGTGACGTCCTTTTTTGGGGCTTGGGCTTGGGCTTGGACTTGAGGTTGAGCTTTTCCCCGGGTAATCGTCATCATCAATCAGCCTTTACTCTCGTCCTTGTTGTCCATTTGGATAGCGGCAATACGTAGTATCAGGATTTATACTCACCGGCACTAGTGCTATGATGCATACTATCAGTAAGAGGCATAGCCTTTCTGATCCAATCCTCCGTCTCCTGGAGACAGGTGTCTGGGCGTTTCTGGCGAGTCCATTTCATCACCTCGGGCTCGGTGCGGAGCTCGTGGAGTGCGACTGTGTCGGAGAGTGAGACTGGCGTGAATGAGAGGCGGGCTGTTTGGAAGTTTTTCATGGTGGTTGGTGGTGGTTGGTTTGTATGTAGTATTGAGGTTGATAAAGATCGTGGTGGTGTACAAAAAGGAGATGGACTGTTCAAGCGGCCAAGTGGGTGTTTACTGGATTATATACGAGCTTATATTTTTATTTTTATTTTTTTCGGTTTGGCTTGAGGAAATCTGAATAGTGGCTGGCCGCTATTTACCACGCGGGTGAGTCACTCCTTAACGGAGTGAACCGTACAGTAGTATTCAAACCTAAACCATTTCTCCACCATGCACGGGGGAGCATTGCGCTAAAATAATATTCTTGGACGGCACCTAAATATAAGATGCATAATGCGACTGCGCTTTTGGTTGATTACGGTTAATATGGAATAGGCTAATTTAATGAAGGGGGCAAGAGGAGCGTTTTGTAATCTCGTTTGATCTGTTACTATTGATTCATTCTGCAGACGTAGTTAGTTACAGGTATCCTAGCCTTAACTAACTATTACTAAACAATTAGTAGGAAATAGAGAGAAAAACACAGGGCGGCGCATGCATAACCACCACTGAAACAATGTATGATGCCGTAAGAAATTGGGTATGGGTATGATATGTCTAACATGGTGCACATAGAACAAAGGAAACCCGACACGCGGTAGTGAAAGACAACACCTCTTTTTTTAGAAAAGGCTCATTATGACGAAATGCATAGGAAAGTTTAGTGAGATCAGTGTCGACGCGAGTCGAAGCATAGCTCTATCATAAAGGTACATGTCTATTATCGAAATCGATAAGACTTATGGGCGAGAGGTGAGGTCGGAGCATGGCCGACGCCACTGACAGGTACACGCACTCGATTTTTCCGAGTCGGGGTTTGCGCGCAGAAGATGCAGACGTAGACAGACGGGAGGTTGGACCTTTCCAGACCGACGCATTTGGTATGCAACCAGTGACTGCACGATTCGCTGTACAGCTAGTTAGTGGCTGGCGGTGTCATTTGCAAAGGGGGGTAAACGTACCATTGAATCATCAGGTGGCCACCATTATCCATGGAATTGCAGATGCATCTGGTGCCATTACTTGGGTTGCTATATCGGTCCGTGCAAGGGGTTGCAAGATCAGGGTCTGTAACTGTCGTAGGGGATGTATTTGCTTCTCGGGAATCTGAGTCTAGCTCAGTGCCAAATCGAGGCGGTGACGACTGTAGTTGTGCCAAAGATTGCAGGGAACGGTTGGACCGGGAGCCGAAGCTTGCAATTGTCTGCGACCTGGGAATCCGCCCTTTATCCTGCAGAACCTTGCGGAGAGCGTGTTGGGCATCTCCGGTATCCTCTTCGACGTCCGCAATACTGCCGGGAATGGAAGCCGCGCTGCTATACGACAAATCTGAATGGAGAGCCGAAGACTGCCTCTTCGGTGTCCGTTTCCAGTCCTCTATCGTAGCTTTCAATGGCGGCCTCCTAGCCGGGCCACGAGGAGCTGTAGCCCACGGTGAAACTCGACCTGAGTGTGATGAAGTGTAAGAGCCCATGGAAGGAGGTCGTGAACCAGAGTCACTGCGGGCAATATTCGGTCTCCCGGCTTCTGAAAACGCAAAAGAGGTGTTGCGGCTGCTGGGAGGATGTTCAGGAAACTCTGCTGAATCGTACTCGCTTTCCGTGGCAGAGTCGTCCATATCCATACCGCTAACAGGGTCCGTCAAGCCAGTCGATGCCTCAACGACAGGCTGCATTTCCGTCTTAGCTCTACCATCTTTGCCAATTCTGAGTACCACTGACTGAGACCGTCGTGGAAACCCACTGGCCAAGGAGTTGGATCTGGGCAGCGGAGCACGAATTGGCTTGATTGGGGAGGATCTCCCCTTGGATGGGCTCTTCCGGATGCCACTTGCAGATGACATTGTGCCGCCCGATCCTGGCCGCGATGCATTAGTTCCACCAACGGTGAGGCTCCGAGTCAAATTAGGCCTGTTTTGTCGAGGGGTGAAGTCGTCATCTTCGTATTCCGAAAGCTGGGGGTTGACTCCTTGAGAACGCCGGAGCTCTTCTCGCTTGAACTCCTCTGTTTGGTGGTGATATGGTTGACGCTGTTCTCTCGAGAACACACGTTTCTCCGGGGATGCTTGAGGTCCTCCAAAGCGGCGTGCAGGAGAACTCAGAAACAAGGCGGGGTCATCTGCTTTGGGCAAAGGAAGTCGAGGAGAGGTGGAAAATGGGGCGGGGAATAGGGCAGCGTCTGTGGGAGCACCAGAAGAGAGGCCGTATATTGCGTTGTTGAACTCGGGAAGTTCGAAGTTCTCTTCGATGTGAGGTAGTTGCGGAATGTGAGGATCTTGTGGGGGATTTTCTCTATTGGCTTGAAAGGCGTTTGTACTTGCAGAATCAAACACATTGCCATCGTTTCCGGATAAACCCAGGTCTGTTGTATGCTGGTCCAGTTCATGGTCCCAGAATAACTTTTGCTGTGGAAAGAAAGGCGATGTCGACGGATCGATCGAGCCCAGCTGGAAAGCACCCGGAGACGATTGAAAGTCGCCGAATAAGCGGGGAGAAGCACCCATAACCCTACTCGGAGTCTCCAGATGGGGCCCTGTCGTACTGGAAACTGATGGCCCATGGCCTGTATTGCTCAAATCTCCAAACTCAGTCACCTTTGTCCTCGATGCGCTACTCGGCGGCGGGGTCTGCATGGAAGCGGCCGACTTTGCGGATTCCACAGTCCGGGAGCCATATTCCCCCAGGCCATGAAGCTTCGACTGGCGATGCTTTCTAGCAGTTTCGACTTGTGGGCTCAATTGCTTCGCATTATGTAGCCCCGGGGATGCCGGGTCTTGGGGTGCCTTTTGCCCATGTAGGCGGGGTGTGTTCAGGCCGAATCTCTGAGGGGTGCGCAGGAACTCAGGGCTTGAGGCGTATGGATCGGAGGTATCCCATGTGACACGGGGGTCGAAGAAGCTGGATTCGAGCTTGGGGGTTTGGAAGGTAGCGTCACCGAAGAAGGTTGTGGGAGGAGTCCTCGTTGGGGTCTGAGGTTCACCGTTTGGATAGCTGAAGCTGAGCAAGGCAGACGGTTCTGTTAGTATCATACTACACATTCTGCGAATATTGAAATATCCGAGGGAGAGGGAAGAAAGCACGGATATGACAGAAAATGGGTAAGAAGGAAGGGAGGTGAGGCGGAGGGTATAGGAGCAAATCCAGAGGAGCTCGATAGGTGTATGAACGCAGTGAACCTTGGAACATACCTGTGGATAGGCTGATCCCAACTCATGTCAGCAACGGTGTACTCCTAGCAACCATTAAAGTCAAGCTGCCAGGCAACCCTCTGATCGGAGGCTATCGAGCTATCCCGGGACCGTCAGGAATGTTCGAGGGGCGGTTTGGTGGGTGCGAGACTTGAGCCGACGAATGTACGCCTCCACTGGGTCATTGAAATTCAAGCCAAGGAGCGTCGAGAAGATCGGGGCCCTGGGAGAAAAGCGAGGAGATGAAAAGAGAGTATTAGAGAAGGAACGACAAAAACCAGAGCATAGTCCTGTGGTCCGAAGTTGGGATGGGGGGAAGGACGAGGATTAAGGAGGGGGTCGAGGGATCGGTCGAGGCTGGCAGAGGAGGAACGACTCCTGGACAAAGGGAGAGCAGAGGCGGGCGGAATGCGGTTCGGGGACGGCCTGGCCTCGGATTCCAGAGAGCGTTTGATAGTGACGAGAGGGAGAAAGGCAGAAAGGAAGGAGAGAAAGAGAGCCGAAGCTGAGCTGAGCTGGAGAGGAGAATTTTATGTTTTCGTTTTGCTCTGTTTGTAAAATTTGGTAATAAAATTGACGGCTTTTTCTTTCTTTACATCCGCAGATCCACTCTCGAGGGACAAGTTTTAGGGAACAGATCTGGACATGAATCGGACAGATACGACGGAGCGAGCCAGGATTATTATCTATACCAAGGTCGAGCTCGTCAGCCTGACGCCGTCGCTCGCTTGCCCAGAGGTGCCTGGTGGAGCAGGATGGTGCCTAAGTAGCAAACTGCTCTGGCATAGTCTAATTCTTAGCTCGCGACAACTTTGGGTCGTATTCTACTCGGGAGTCTGGATATGGGGACGATCTTGTAGGATCTGTCTACGGTGTAGTTCGGGGCTCGCTTGCTTGCTTGTGGATAGCTGACCTGGCTGAGCGAGCTGACTGCCTAGCGGGCTTACCCCGGCACTCACGACCACCATACTGCCCAGGCTGGAGTCGAGGAGGGCAAGGAGGAGAGAAGGAATAATAATGGCGACGCATATCGCCCCTTGAGGGCAAGTTTAGTCTCCAATAATTGGTTCCGAGAACAAGGAACAGCTGTGGTATTCCGTGGATCGACCGTCTCCATCACCGCTGCGAGCTGCACGGTTGGTTGCCGGTGCTGACGCCGTCTCCGAGCCACTCTGCGCGGCCGCGTGAAAGAAAGGGGTCTGGTGGTTTCGAACGAGTTGAAAGCCAAGTTGAACTGAAGAGAGACATCCGTCGATTCAGGCGTCTAATTGCTGTTCTTCTGACAGCGACGAGAGAGCCAGGGACATGAACAAGGGATCACGATCAACTCCTTGCGCGACGATCCAGCCTTCTTTGGGCGGTTCCCGTCCAGCGCGATCACGATCCCAATCAGACTACCACTCTTAGTCTCTGCAATTCTGGATCCCTTCAGCTCCAGCCTCAGCCTCAAGCCTTCGGGGAAATACTACGCAGGAATTAAATGACACCATGGGGCGAGTCGTCCGATTTTGAAGTCTGAGGATCTGACAGAAAACGGGTGCAGGCCCTGCATGCGAGAGACAAGCACTTTGGAGTCAAGAGTTCCCCCGGATCCAAGCACGAGATCTCCATGAATGACGGAGACATCCAAGATATCTCCATAAAAAACCTCTCCAACTTGGCAATCAAAGTTTACTTCAGCTGTCTGTGATCTGGCGCCATCGGACATGGCGAGCTCCGCTCGGCCTTCATTTCCATACTCTGAACACACTTACCATTTCCTCTTGCAGTTTAGACGATGTGCCATTCATCTTACTTGGCCTGGACTGCTTCGGCATTCCAGCAATCACGGCGCTCCCACAACGCACACAATTCAATCGTCATCAGAGATATTCAATATCCATGCTCCGGAGTCCACTGATCCATTCACTGGGATCTTGCATACCCCGCCTTCGGAAGGTCCAAGGCCCAACCTTGACCAACGTTGACTAAAGTACGGCCCAGCTCGGACACCCAGGGACTTGCGACCTGCTAAGGTAGGTACCGATATGCACATGAAGGTGGAGAGGGCGAGGAAGAACCCCTGTCAAGCCAGCCACCGTCCAAGGGCCCGGCCTCGGCGTGTAACTCGGACAAGCGGCCTTTGTTTGTTCCAGATCCTTGTATCATGGAGGCTCCAATTTATTTTTTGGTTCCAGAGTCTCGCAATCAACTGGGTCGCAACTCGCAAGTTGGATTGGCACAAATGATAGACCAGACCGAAAGAATGGTTGAGCCACCGTTCGTTCCGCTCAGGCACAAACCGTGCAAGCCTGACGAGCCACACTTGGACCCCTCCACAACAACCGAGTCGATCGAGAATCAAGAGCCAAAAAGTATTCAAAGAACCCAATCCCATCCCATGTTCCCGTCAAAATGACCTTCTGGACTGAAAGAACTTAAGAAGTCGCTGGAAGTAAAAATAGCAGGTCCGACAAAGCATCAGACGTTGTTTGTGGCTTCCTTCATTGCCCCTCTATTCAATTTGTCCCCTGCTTGACAGCTACCGGACAAAGCTCATTCATTTGCAACAGATGTTACTGCACCCAGTGTTAGTATTTGACCAATATATTTACTCGTATACAAATTCAACATTATTTATCCTCCATGTTCCCACTTAACGTACACGATCTCCCTTTGATTTTTCGCATAACTCGCCCCGACAACATGGCACCCACCACCCGCAATCGAAAGCCAGCTCGGAGAAAAGCCCGCAAGATCCAGCATCGCCCAAGGAGGAAGAACCGTGTCGAGAAACGGTCTGCTCCGAGCTCGCCTCAACTTAAGATAGCCAAGAGTCGCCCTCGAACTCTATCGAAACAGGCCCTGTTCAAGAAATCGGAACTTACCGCAGTGAACCACAAGCCCAAGGCTGCCGAAAGTAAAGGCAGTCCACGCATGGTGAAATACCAGCTTGCAACCCAATGGCCGTCGTCAGAGCCCTTTGAAAAGGTATGTGATCCCCGATATGCAGGTACTAGTGATATAACGCCCTTGCATCCGACCCCCTTGCGCGATCCAATACGTCTCTTGCTAACGTGCAGATATCAACAGAACTGTCTCCAGAGGGATCCGTTGCCAGCCGACTATGTCTTCGTTCCTAGGGGCGATGTCTATGTTACTCGGAACTGCCGAAGTAAGACAAAGGAGAGCCAAAGGCTAGTTTATAAAGTTTATGTGAGGATGCTATCTCTATCCCTTGATCTGCTGGTCAATTTGTCATCGCAAACCATGGCTAAACGTTCCATAGGACAACACTGGAAAGAGGTCACAGGGAATTCGTGTCCCGGCAGATGTCTATACCACAGTCTTACAATCCGCACAAGAAACCGCCGAGTCTCGAGCTGGCGCCGTCAAACTCCGCGACCAGAAGGACCTAGCTCAGTCACGGGAGCTTCTCTGCAAGCAATTCCCTTTGATGCCAGTAGGGTCTCTAGACGTTATCCTCCATCACGCTTTCCTCAAAGGCTCCGGCCGCGTCGGAAGGACCACGACCACTTCAGACGAGCGCAAAGCCATTCTAGCGGTAGAAGCGCACATTCGCCATATGCATACGCCATACGAGATACTTCTCCGTCAGGGAAAGTCGCGGGACGACGCCCGGAAAGAGGTTTGGGAAATGGTTCAAGCTATCCGAATGGCCTGGGCTGGCCAGGGCCACGGAGTACAACCAGCACTCCTGCCCGTACGTAGCCGAACGAACTCAGCGGAATGATTCAAGGCTGCTCGATTTATCTCTTATTTTTACGTTTTCCTTCGAGGCCACAACCTAGCAAGGCCGTTTCATTTACCGTGTCACTGCGCAGCATGGGAATTATGGGAAATGCATAAGCAGCTTTTGGCATAGACTACTAGGTATAGATTAACGCAGCTCAATGAGATTCATGATTCATGACACATTACTCCATATTTCCTTGATTACCCTAGGTGGTATATGTCCAAAGCCCTAACTCTAAATACCAGGGACTGAAAAAGTTTCCGATGAAGGACAAATATAAACTTCAAAGTACCAAAAGCCTGTGCACGCTCTGGTTTCTCAATTCGATAACCGTTTGCTAAGACCCTTCCTGAAACGGATATCTCGATACAAGGTAGGACCACTTAAAGCAGATATTATTGATCATCCGTCCACGAAGCGAGGTAAAATAAGATTTCCACCCCCGCATATATATACAATCTAACAACAAGGAATGTAAGAGTCTTTAAACCCTAGCGTTCTATCGACCACTTGGAGAACTCTTCAAGCCCAAAGATAGGCAGATCAACACGAGCCCCATCCCGCCAACGAGGATTAACAACAGGGGCTATTGAAATACGTATTCAGCAGCTCCTCACACCCATCCCACTGCACACATACACAATCTTCCACAGTCGCCCAATCCGCATTAATCTCCAAGATCTCGCCCCTCGCACCCCTTTCCAACAAACTTTCCAGCAACGACACCAGGGCCTCGTATACAGCCATGTAAACGCCAAAGGGCGTTCCCTTGTCCGTGACCACGGTGATCCTAATTCGGCTGTACGTGGGCATGGCCATATCGAGCGGGTTGCAGAACCCCTTCGTTGTGAGGCGGTCTTTCACCTGCTCGATTAGCCAGAGTATTACATTGAGGATGTGGTTAATGGGCTTAGGTGTGTGCCGTTGGGAATGTCCATGAAGATGGTTATAGTGTCTGGGTCATCGTCTGAGACTGAGGGTCCGTGGCGTCGAAGGTGCTGGGTGCGTGCTTGGATGGGGTTGTTTGGGGTGTAGGGATCTTTTAGTCTCCCTGGTTGACTATCTCTGGGACTGTCTCTGGGACTCCGACACCTGGCTGAGATATATTCGTCAGACATATTGGTTAGTATATGATAGAGTGACTGGCGAAAGGGCCCGGAATCGCAGCTAGCAACATGAATAGAAGAACAGGAAAGCAGGAAAACAGAAAATGGACTAATACTGAAGCAGACTGAAGAAATGGGCCTATGTTTCAATCCAAAGGCACTGCTTTGTGTCTCATTGGGAAATGACAAAGGCTTTATCGCAGGTCCATTCTGTTGTATGGCCGTTTCATGCAGTTGTTCAGCGACGGCCACTGTTCACTTTCCAAACAGCTAAATCATTAAATGGTTAATTGCCTGACTTATCTACGGCCGATCATATAGCAAAGCTAACCAAATGATAGAAAACTCACTCAAATTACGATATATACTTAGAGTGTAGTCACCATAAGGCAGGTTGTAGATATACTTCCCAATGCGGACATACCTAGGGCTAGCCCTACTGATTTGCTCGGAGATTTTCCTGAACCTCCGCGGATGAGCTCCAGCTCAACCCCAGCGACAATCATCGCCAATTCTCGTCGCAATGGATATATCGGATCTAATCGAGCCTCCGCAAAAGCGCCTGAAGACCGAGGATGCCTCCAGCACCGAGGAAGTTGCTCGTCCTGTTGCTGCAGCCCCTCCCCAGACCGCCACCGAAGATCCGTTATCGAGAGAGATCGAGGTCGGAATCACCGAATTTGTTAGCGAAGATAATGAAGGTTTCGCGGGGATATTGAAGAAACGGTATTACTACTCTTGAGGAGGTTAAAGTCGCGTGCTTATTGTGCCTGTAGATACACAGATTTCCTCGTCAACGAGATCCTGCCCTCCGGCAAAGTCTTGCATTTGCAGAGCACTGCGGTGCCCAACACCATAGGGGAGGATGGTGGTGATACGCCTGCACCGGTCGAGGAGAAGCCAAAGGAGCCCGAAACACCTGCAGAAGAGTCACCAGCTCCTGCCGAATTCCAGTTAACGGACGAAGACCGGGCACTGCTCGACGAGCTCTTCGGCGCCCAGAATGTCCAGAAAATCTTGTCTCTGCACCGCAAGGCAACGACGAATTTGAAAGCGAAGCCAAGTGATTTGGGGCGATTGAACACAGTTGCTGTTGACGACCGCGACCAGCGCATCAAAATTCACCACGCAGTCCGCCGGATCTTCAACTCGCAGCTCGAGTCCTCGACCGACCACGATGGGACAATGGTCATATCGGCGGCTCCAAACCGAAACAAGAAGAATGCACAGGGTGGTGGACGCGGAGGTGGAAATGGGCGTGAGCGGGTGCGCGTTAATTGGGATGATATGGGTGGACCATATCTTCACTTTACAATTCACAAGGAGAATAAGGATACCATGGAGGTCATCTCGTTCATCGCCCGTCAATTGAAGATGAATCCCAAGAGTTTCCAGTTTGCTGGCACCAAAGATCGCCGTGGCGTAACTGTGCAGAGGGCATGCGCATACCGCTTGCAAGCCGACCGTCTAGCGAAGCTCAACCGAACGCTTCGCAATGCCGTCCTCGGCGACTTCGAATACCAACGACATGGGCTTGAGCTGGGAGATCTCTATGGAAATGAATTCGTCGTAACCCTACGCGAGTCGGACATCCCAGGAGTTAGCCCCAAAGATGGCGAAACCGCCGTAACAAAGGCGACGGAGCTCGCAAGCTCAGCGCTGAAGAGCCTCCATCAACGAGGCTATTTCAACTACTATGGCCTCCAGCGCTTCGGAACATTTGCAACCCGTACCGATACTATTGGTGTTAAAATCTTACAGGACGACTTCAAGGGTGCCTGCGACGCAATCCTCGACTACAGTCCACACGTCCTCGCCGCGGCGCAAGCAGGCGAAGCCGCAACAGTCAATATTAGCTCTGAAGATAAGGCACGCGCAGAATCAATCCACATCTTCCAAACAACCGGCCGTGCCACCGACGCCGTTGAAAAGATGCCCCGCAAGTTCACCGCAGAGTCAAATATCATCCGCCACCTCGGCCGCTCCAAGAACGACTACCTCGGTGCCCTGCAAACAATCCCCCGAAACCTCCGCCTCATGTACGTCCACGCCTACCAGTCCCTCGTCTGGAACCTAGCAGTCGGCGAGCGCTGGCGTCTCTACGGTGACCGCGTTGTAGAAGGCGACCTTGTCCTCGTCCACGAACACCGTGACAAAGACGGGTCCGCTGCCGCTGCCTCTGCAGGCACAGGTACAGACAGCGCAACTGTCGACGCAGATGGCGAAATCATAATTGCTCCCCAAGAGGGCGACAGCGCTTATTCTGCCGAAGATACATTCACCCGCGCCCGAGCCCTTACCGCCGATGAAGCCAACAGCGGCAAATACAACGTCTTCGACATCGTCCTCCCCCTTCCAGGCTTTGATATCGTCTACCCGCCAAACAAAATGACCGACTTCTACAAGGAGTTCATGAGCAGTCCCCGTGGCGGTGGCTTAGACCCCTTCAACATGCGCAGGAAATGGAAGGACGCGAGCCTGAGTGGGAGTTACCGCAAGGTGCTTAGTCGGATGGGGCCCGATTTCTCAGTAGATGTGAAATTGTATTCGGCGGATGACCAGCAATTCGTGACGACTGACTTGGAGAAGTTGACTTCGAAGTCAAAGGAAGAGGAGCAAATGGATACTGAAGATAGCAAGGACCATGATAAGATTGCTGTGGTTCTCAAGTTCCAGCTTGGCTCTAGCCAGTATGCCACTATGGCGTTGAGGGAGTTGATGAGGGGTAAGGTGAAGGCATATCAGCCTGACTTTGGGGGTGGACGGTAGTAGACCCGACTCAACAGTATGTATATACACAAATAACCCAACCCCAAACTATGGATATACTAGCAATACAACCATAGCAAATAATGATAAACAGCAAAGAAGCCCATTTTTGCAGTTCATTTAACTCATTCATTCGAAAACCTTGACTGGGGATATATAGAAGTATGGATAGCTAGATTACGGACATCAAATTGGTCCAGACACTGCATATATATAACTCAACCAATAGCAACTACCGCGGCCGATTCATCGACGGTCTTGGCTCGTCGTCCTCGAAACTCGATACAGATGACATATCATCATCCCTCACAGCCCTAGTCCTCATCGCTCCCTCCCGGTCGTTAATCTCCGACACAACAGACATGGAATCTTCAGGGTCATGCGGGTGGCTGAATGGCGACTGTGGCCGTTCGAGGGCACGTCGTTCCTCAGACGTCCTCCATTCTAGATCTGGTGGTGGTACTGCAACGACGGCGGGGACTGGTGGTGTCGTTTGCGCGAGGCCTACTTCTGAAGGGTGAGGAGGCAGAGAGAAGGGTTCATGTTCATCGGTCATTGAGCGCTGGTTCCCTGGTGCTGGAGGAGGTGGCGGGACGGGTTCGATATGAGCGGGGATGAAGAGGGAGGAGGTTGTTTCCATTCGGGGAGGGGATATGACGGGAGGTTGGGAGATTCGTTGGCGCTGGCGCCGACGCCGGCGGATGAGGAAGAATATGATTGCGGCGATTATGGCGGCGCCTACGACGGCGACGGGGACGGCGATGGCGACTTTGGTGTTGGTGCTCAGGCCGCCGCCGCCGCCGCTGCTGCTACTGCTGGTGTCGTTGTCGGTGGCATCTTCCAGGTCAACAGAGGTGGTTGGGGTTGAAACTGTCGTTTGGGTCGTGGCTGCGGGAGTATAATATTCATTGTATGTTGATTGCCCAGGTGATGATGCTTCTCCTTCTGTCGAATTATATTCTGAAGATGTATCGCCGTCATAGTCGTCAGAGGCAGGGTCGTGGTAGGACCAGTCCTGATTTGGGTTATTTGGATGGCCACTGGCAGAGGGATCCATTGCTGAGGTATAAATGGGAGAAGATAAGGTAGTCCCGTATATTAGTGTGAGTGTCTACACCCGTTAGTATATTCAATACTGTATACAGCTGGACGGGAGGGTGGTTACATTTCAACCCCACCTGGATGTAATATTTCCTCGAGTTTCCAACCCTCGTTCTTTCATGCAGGTAACGAAGGCCCGTACTATTATAATAGGAATTATGCCAGGCAAGGTGGTCGCTCTCGTATTTGGGCTGAGTGACAAGTGGACGTGGGCCGCCTGCGCCAGTAAGAAGCGAAGCAGCAAAACCACTGACAGGGTGAAGTCGTAGTCGAGCGCAAGGGAGGAAGAGGGGAGAAAAAGGAAGAAAAGTTCAAAAGAAGAAGACTGGCGGCCTTGAAAAAAGAGAATGCAGAGCTGACATGGCGCAGCGGCTCCAACACCTCCAGCTCTAGTGAGTTAGTATAGTATAAAGCCATGCTAGCCCATTCCTCTGGTGGGCACGGCTGAACGCGACCTCATCAGATGAGCAGGCGGGACGATTTGACAAAGGATAGGACAGCGGTAACATGGTTTGTTTGTCCTATCTGTCTCTTTCTCTTTATGGAATTTTTTTTTTTTTTCATTCAATCCGATCCCAGTCTGTCCAGTCCTCTCTAGGCGCCCGCAGTGTCGTGAAACAAAAGTTAACGCCCTCACCAGCAATCTGCTTTGTTTCAAGAGGCTGACGGGGCTGTGCTGATCGACCCGCAGACGAGCAACCTTTCCCTTTTGAAGGTGTCTGTCCGCTCGTAAACGGATTTAGTCTGCGTTGGGCGTTCGCTCTAACGGGCTCACAGCCCTGCTCTTGCGTGGCCATGCCACTGCTCAGTCCTGGGATCATCATGTTTGGGGGCCAAAGCCATATATATCCATGCTGATCGGATGAGGGAAACGAATTATGAACTGACTTCAACTCGGTCGCTGTCCGCAGTTTTCAAAGTGGATTTCCAATTTCCATGGTGGATGTTCAGTTGTTCGTTTGTTCGCAAGCACAAAGAGCCGCAGCCTTGTCCAAGCTTTGACCGGCCGAACAGTCAGACGGCAAGACGCTAGAGATAACCAACAACTAACGGTTCTGAAATTAGAATAATGGCTTGAACTTAAATTCAGTGTCCTCATTCCCAAAGCACATGGAATTTGTCTGCCGAGCACAGGGTTGCTTACACCGTCGTTCGTTGAACGGGTGTCGGTGTCGAGTGGACCCACAGGTGAGCATATGGTGTTCTCACCACAAACAGGCTAAAAGACCCAGTGCCCTATATTCTGCACAGGAAATCCTGCTGCCTCTGTCAGTATCACCACCCAGAGATGCTCGCGAGTTCTTATTTCTTATCCTGAATAAATGAACGCGAAGCTGAGCTGATTGCGGCACAACCGACAGCCCAAAATGGTTGACGCTAAACTGCTTTCGGGTAGCACGACCTGCGGGGAAATGATGGCATTTCGTCAGCTTCAACGCTCTTCAGGCTCATCGCTATTATCTCGCCTTGACATTCTGCAGATTCACACTTGACCGGCACAATGAGCGGCTTTAAGGATATTATGAAAGATGGCTGGCATCCAAAAGCCAAAGACGGGAAAAAGGAAAGCTGGCGGAACGACTTCAAGGGCATCAACCAGGTGGTGAGTGTGTTGCCGCTTTATCGCACATGATCCCTGCTAACAGTCGCATTAGGCCGGCTGGATGGGCAAAGGGAAGGATAAAGACGACGAAAGAGAAACGCATGTTGCCCGACCCGTCTCAACTCTCAGGGACCCGTCGACTTTCGCTCCCCCGCCCAAACATGTCAAATACCACGGCGCTGCCGCCCTGTCGAACGAAACTACATCGAGTCGCAGTGGATTGGGCGCGCCATTGAGCCAGGCGCAAATAAACCAGCAGGAATCCCACAAACAGCAGGCGATAGAGGAGGAAGAGGAGGAAAGGAGACAAGCGGAAGAAGCTGCGAAACGGCCACCAGTGCCGTTTCGTGCAAACCGGACAGGCATCGACCCAAACACTCTTCCACCGCCGCCCCGGCGAGTTGGCTCAGTCGCAGAATCAGCACCAACATCTACGAGGCCTGTACCAAGACTTCCGCCCCGTGTACCACCCCGGGCAAACACCTCCACGCCAGCCTCTCACTCACCCTCTCCCCCTCCTGCGTACTCCCCCAGTCCATCAGCTACAGAGCAGTCACAGACCTCAGATGGGTATGTAAACCAAGCTGCTACGTCGCGTCTTAACCAGGCGGGAGTTTCTGTTCCGTCGCTAGGTATCGGTGCAGGATCCTCAAACCCAACCTCACCATCAGGGGGCCATGCGAACCAGGCGCCGGTGAACGAAATGCAGAGTCGATTCGCGCAGATGAGAACCAACTCTGCATCAGCCCCGTCGCCTGGACCGCGGCCGCCGCCAGCACAGCAAGCTCAATCACCAACTAGCTCCACACCGAGTGTTGCAAACGCCAAGTCTGCGCTCAACGATTTCCGGTCCAAGCACAGTGACCAGATTGAATCCGGAAAGCAGAAGATTACTGGATTGAACCAGAAATACGGAATAACTGAGCGTATTAACAATGCTGTGTCCAGCAAGTCTGCCAGCTCGGAACAGGCTCCTCCCATTCCTCCGCATCCAAATGCGGGCCGTTCAACAACGGCCTCTAGTACTGACATCGGGTCTGTAGCCCAGCGAAAGGCGCCTCCACCGCCGCCGCCGCAGAAGAAAGCCGAGCTACGGGCAACGCCGGTCAATACAGGATCACCAGCACCACCTCCACTTCCTCTCAGTACGAAACCCCGCTGAGCAGGGATCTATCTGGTTATAGAGTCTAGATTGTAAATGTAACATGTTGCCGCGCAATGCATTATTATTGGCGGAGTTTGTATCTAAGACTACGCATTCCAACGAGGTTAATAGACAGCGTAGACCACATTCTCAACAATGCCTCAACGCCAAGACATTCTGTAAGGAGTGGAGGTGACGTCACGTGAGGGGTGGCCCAACCGGCCAGGCGGAGCATTTGCCCTCAGCCATTTGACTCGAGAATACTCCGTACAATGTTCAAGACAGGCCACTACCCTAAAAATTGGGTCTGAACTCTGCAATATGCAGGCCTGACACAGCGCACTGGTCGGATGGGCATAATGGGCTGTCCTCTCCACGCAACTCGTGCGGAGATTGTTTGCGCCGCGCGGTCCCGTTGCTGTTCCCGCGGTTCACAAAGCGGAAGCTTCTCGCGTGAGTGTCATCGGTACGTCAGTAGACATCATTCAACCTCCCCTGGTGGGATGGATATGCACACCCGGCACCTTATTAGGGGGGGAGCTGCCGATTTATGCAGTCGACCAGCAGCTCTTGACCAATTCCAAGCCCCAGCACGATTCACAGGCAGGGACCGCACTGTGATTTGCAGTTGTTGGGACCGAGGTCTGGATGCTTTCTCTCCCAACAAAATGCAGTCGCGGCTCCACACGAAAATCGCAGCGAGTGATAGTATCTGAATTATTTCACCCAAGCCTTGGTATCTTTCTCTCCTCTTTAAATTGATATTCCAGGCTCCAGTCGCGCGGAGGTGTTATATTGGAGTTTTGATTGCTGTTTTGGGCCCTTGGGGATTTTTTTTGTCTTTCTTCGTTTGTTCCGCCTCTTCCTCGTCGCGCTGCGTTGAGGCTTCTCTTCCCTCTTTGCTGAGATATTTTTTTGGCGACAGTTTTTCTCAACTAAAAAAAATTCCAATCGCCTCTATCTAATCAACAATGTACGACCTCTCCCTAGACACAGGGTCGGGCCCGGCTGTTGTGCGAGTCGGCCTGCCCCCAGTGTCACTGCTCAAATTCCCTCCCGACGAGCTGCCGGGCACCGTTCCTGCGCCGCAGCTTGACGAGCCAACATGGTACCAACCCTTCAACATCCCTGCCGGCCTATATAGCCAGCTCCTCGACGTTCGCGTTCCGATCACCATCGCCAGCGTCTACGCCGTCACTGTCATCATTATCAACCGCATTAACAAGAGCCGCGGATACAAGCCCTACGCATTTAGCCAAAGCAGGGCTTTCAAGACCTTCGTAATCCTGCACAATGTTTTCCTTGCCGTTTATTCCATGTGGACCTTCGCTGGGATGCTCCGCGCATTCAGCAACACCTGGCCCTCTTGGGAGGAGAATGGTCTCGTGGGCGTCGTGGATGCGCTGTGCAAGTGCAACGGACCCCGGGGATACGGAAACGCGGCCACCTATGACACCACAGTAAACAAGTGGTCGATTCAGAGCCCCGAATACAGATTGGCCGAGGGTGGTGTCCCGGATCCGACGGACGTCGGCCGTTTGTGGAACCAGGGCCTGGCGTTCCTAGGCTGGATTTTCTACCTATCGAAGTTCTACGAAGTGCTTGATACAGCGATTATCCTTGCCAAGGGCAAGAAGAGCTCGACCCTGCAGACCTACCACCACGCCGGTGCCATGATGTGTATGTGGGCTGGCATTCGCTACATTGCGCCCCCGATCTGGATCTTCACCCTGGTCAACTCGGCTATCCATGCGATGATGGTATGAGCACCCTTTTCTATTATTTATCTGGTCAAATTTGCTAACCAAGGGGGAAAATTAGTATACCTACTACACCTTGACTGCCCTCCGCGTTCGCGTTCCCGCCATCGTCAAGCGCTCCCTAACTACCATGCAAATCACCCAGTTCGTTATCGGATCGACTATGGCAGCATCTTACCTGTTCATCCACTATACGCTTCCCCCGGTCCACTCTTCCCCCTCAACCTCTGCTGTTGCAGGTGCCGCAGCCGCAACTGGACTGGCCTGGATTAAGCAAGTTGCTTTCCGCGCCGCCGGTGCTGAAGGTATCGCCGAAAACGTGGGACAGTCCGGGGACAACCTTGGAGCTCCTCGCGAGGTCGTACAGCCCGGACGCATGATCACGTGTATGGATACCTCCGGGCAGGGGTTTGCGATTTGGCTCAACGTTGCTTATCTTTTGCCTCTGACCTACCTCTTCGCTCGCTTCTTCGTCCGCTCCTACCTCTACCGCAAGGAACCCGGTGTGCCGACCACCCACGTCCAGGCGGCCGAGAAGGCTGGTCTGGAGGCTCTGAAGAGCGTGTCCCGCGAAATCCAAAAGGCCGCAGAGATGAGCGGTGAGACCAGCGAGACGACCGAGGATGAGGCCATTGCCAGGTCGCGCGCAAACCACCTACAAGCTACCACCGAGGATTCTCCCATCCGAACCCGTTCAGGCGCAGCTAAGAAGGCTGCTCGTAGAACTGGGGGTCAGCAATCCGAGCAGGGCTTCTCCCCTGTTCCTGCCAGTAAAAGTGCGAAGAAGGCTAGCAAGGAAGAAGCCCAATCTCCCGGCACTGCCGCTGATGTCAAGACTTCTAATCCCTTCGGAGTTCTAGGCGGCTCCGCCTAAGCCTGGCTCGCTTGGTCAGTCATAACTTGTTGATACCAGCAGGACGCTTCCACCGCATTATACGCGAATTGGTATATTTCAAGTCCCGATTTGACATGTCCTTACCTACATCTATTCCTCCGGCTCGAGCCCCAATAGCAGCCACTCGACATCTTTCCGCATTTAAACCCCTCCCATGAGCTTATCAGGTGAATGGCACGAGAGAGAATGTTTGGAGACCCCACGGGGTCGAGTTGGGCTCTCACCGGCCTATCGCACAATGATGCGCAAGGCCCCCGACAACATGATTTAACGTGTCCCGTTAATGAGACCTTGTCCCCAGCCTTTCCATCCTGTATAAAAGCGAGTTATTTCAGATTTGATCTTTTTGTCCTTTTCTTCGGTGGGTTCAGAGCTATTCTATACCTAGTTTGCATGGAGTTTGACAGCTGGTTTTGGGCTCGCCTTGGTGCTGAGGCCCCGGCGTGCGTCGTGTTTTTTTTTTAAGGTCTAATTTGTCCTGTCGGATTCCAAAGAATAAGGCTAAAGAATGTATCTTAATAGAGCAAGCGGGGATCGCAGAGCAGATTCTCATAGTTCTAATAACAATTCCATTAAACGGAATCCACTGCGCCTTCTTTCTAGTAAGATAAGAATATGATCGACAATTATAGAATCAGTCATCATAAGAGTAGACACTGCATTAATTAGTTCGCTGGATGGAGCCCTGAATTCGCTGAAAGTTAAATGAATGACGCTCAAATCTGCCTCACATCAGCGCCCTGCGCTTTATGATTAACCGAATAAACTATAGTAAAGTAAAACCGAATCCAACTGATTTCAATTGGGACAGAGATGTAGAATCTGACCCGTCTCTGCGGGGCAGCACGTTTTTTGTTTTGAGAGAACGAATTGGGGATAAAAAGATATTTTGACAAGGTTGAACATTAAGGTACCGTAGTGTAGTAAACCCCTCCGTCCTTCCGCGACAATAATCACATTGGCAATAAATGTCACTGTTGGCCATTCTTAGTCATCCCTATACACAGGCCTCTCTCCATCGGACAATCTCCTAATTGACACAGTCTCCATCGTCCCATTACAACTCTTTCGGGGTGAATAACCCCGACCTGCCAGCTTAATGGAGGAAAATCTATGCCCTGTCCCCGCGTTTGATTCGATCCACCATAACGATGCCACTGAAAGGTAATCTGACTTAATCGAATCTCCACTCCGTTTCTTGGAACTGACGATCTTATTTGTATGCCAGGATGTGGAGGCTTGGTCTGCCGGGACAAGGAGCTCGGCCAGCTCGCGTCACGGAGTGTTAACTCATAAATACACTCGCTCGTACCCATTGAAAATATGTCGCTTATGGTAGAGTGTCAATTCCTCGCTGTCCAAAGTCTCGACTATGGCGCGCGTTATTCAGTTGCTTCTCGGCCTTCTGGGGAGCCTCCAGGTTCTGGCAGCAGCCCAGAACAGTTCCCAATCTGAATGGCCTCTACATGACAACGGCCTAAACAAGGTTGTACAATGGGACCATTATAGTTTCTACGTTAATGGTCAACGGATATTCATCTTTTCTGGGGAATTCCATTACTGGCGCATCCCGGTCCCGGCATTGTGGCGCGACGTCTTGGAAAAGATCAAGGCCATTGGTTTCACCGGTTTCGCGTTCTACTCAAGCTGGGCCTACCATGCACCCAATAACAATACGGTCGACTTCTCGACTGGTCCCCGTGATATCACCCCAATTTACGAGCTAGCGAAGGAGCTTGGAATGTACATAATTGTACGCCCTGGGCCGTACGTCAACGCAGAAGCCACTGCTGGTGGGTTCCCGCTCTGGCTTACGACCGGCGCGTATGGCTCGACGCGGAATGACGACCCTAGATATACGGCAGCGTGGGAACCTTATTTCGCTGAAGTGTCTGAAATCACGAGCAAGTACCAGATCACTGATGGCCATAACACCCTTTGCTATCAGATCGAGAACGAATACGGCCAGCAATGGATTGATGATCCAGTTGACAGAAACCCTAACGAGACGGCAGTCGCCTACATGGAGTTACTACAAACCTCGGCTCGCGCAAATGGAATTACTGTGCCATTGACCGCGAACGACCCTAACATGAACACAAAATCCTGGGGGAAAGACTGGTCGAGTGCTGGCGGGAACGTGGATGTTGTGGGCGTGGACTCGTACCCTTCTGTGAGTGTCTCAATGCCTATGGATGTAACGTCGTCTAATTGGATCAGTGCTGGAGCTGCGATGTCAGCGTGTGTACTGGTACGAACGGAGAATATGTACCATATAAAGTGCTGAATTACTACGACTACTTCCAAGAAGTCCAGCCAACCATGCCCTTTTTCATGCCCGAGTTTCAGGGCGGATCTTACAATCCCTGGGATGGCCCTGAAGGTGGCTGTCCGGAGGATACTGGTGCCGACTTTGCCAATTTGTTCTACAGATGGAATATCGGCCAGCGATCAACTGCAATCAGCTTATACATGGTGTTTGGAGGAACAAACTGGGGCGGCATCGCAGCACCCGTCACCGCAACCAGCTATGACTATTCCGCGCCTATTTCGGAGGATCGATCGATTGGTTCCAAGTACTATGAGACGAAGCTACTAGCCTTATTCACCCGAAGCGCAAAGGACTTGACCGTGACCGATCGCCTCGGGAATGGGACGCAGTATACGACCAATGATGCAATCAGTGCAAGCGAGTTGCGGAACCCAGAGAATAACGCCGCCTTTTATGTGACCACCCACCTAGACACTACTCTCGGCACAGACGAGTCGTTCAAGCTGCACGTCAATACATCAGAAGGTCCTCTCACCATCCCGAGACATGGAGGCGCCATCAGGCTCAATGGCCATCAGTCGAAGATCATTGTAACCGACTTCAGTCTTGGCGCTGAGACGCTCTTGTACTCCACGGCAGAGGTTTTGACCTATGAGGTTTTGGACCATAAGCCAACTCTTGTGCTCTGGCTGCCCAAAGGCGAATCGGGCGAGTTTGCCATCAAGGGCGCGAAATCTGGATCTGCCACAACGTGCTCAGGGTGTTCGCCTGTAAAATTCCACCGCAGCAACGGTGTGTTGACAGTCGGGTTCACCCAAGGTGAAGGCATGAGCGTCCTAGAGCTAGACAACGGCGTCCGCGTGGTCTTGCTTGACAGGGAGGCAGCATACACCTTCTGGGCTCCGGCATTGACAGACGACCCTCTTGTCCCTGAGACTGAAAGTGGTAAGCTTTCTTATCCATTGACTACTTCCAAGTTGTGCTAATGATCAAACAGTCCTTGTTAGTGGACCATACCTTGTCCGATCGGCCAAAATCTCAAAATCCACACTAGCCCTACGAGGAGATTCTAAGGGCGAAACAGCCTTAGAGATATTCGCCCCTCAGAAGGTGAAGAAGGTTACGTGGAACGGAAAGCATGTCAAATCGACCAGGACTCGATATGGCAGCCTCAAAGCCGAGCTCGCTAAACCCCCGTCTATTGGCCTGCCCGCTCTCAGCGAATGGAAAGTGAGCGACAGCCTACCAGAGAAATTACCAAACTACGACGACTCGGGTGCTGCATGGGTTGGTAAGTTACTTCCATCCATCAGCCGCAAATGGAAGGGTTAATCAAGTACAGATGCGGACCACATGACAACACTCAACCCTAATAAGCCAGCTACACTCCCTGTGCTCTATGCTAACGAATACGGTATGGTTTACTAAACAACCATTCATATTAAACACTAATCCATAACTAGGATTCCACAACGGTGTGCGCCTGTGGCGTGGATACTTTAACAGCTCCGCCTCCGGTGTTTTCCTCAACATCCAAGGTGGCTACGCATTGTACGTACCTTCTAGCATAACCCCTGAAACAACTACATTCTAACATGGCCTCAAAAGCGGCTGGTCGGCGTGGCTGAACGGCCACTTCCTAGGCTCCCACCTAGGCTCCGCATCAATTGACCAGGCCAACGACACTCTCAGCTTCCCAAGAAAAGCCCTAAACAACGACGGCTCCCCCAACGTCCTCCTTGTCGTCCACGACGACACAGGCCACGACCAAACAACTGGCGTCCTTAACCCTCGAGGAATCCTGGAGGCCCGCCTCCTCTCCAACGACACTTCAGCACCCGAGTTCACTCACTGGCGCGTCGCCGGAACCGCAGGCGGAGAATCAGACCTCGACCCCGTCCGCGGCGTCTACAACGAAGACGGTCTCTACGCAGAACGTGTCGGATGGCATCTCCCCGGGTTCGACGATAATGATTGGGAACTAGTAAAGAGCAAAGATGATTCATCACTATCCTTCACCGGCGCAACGGTCAAATTCTTCCGCACTGTCATCCCACCACTCTCCATCCCGGAGGGCGTCGACGTCTCTATCTCGTTCGTTTTCTCTACTGCGTCCAACACCACCATCACTTCTTCCCATGCAAACAATAACAACAACAACTCAACCGGCGACACAACTGCCTTCCGCGCCCAGCTTTTCGTAAACGGCTACCAGTACGGCCGGTATAACCCGTACGTCGGCAACCAGGTTGTGTATCCTGTTCCACTGGGAGTTTTGGATTATAATGAGGAGAACACGATCGGTGTGGCGATTTGGGCGCAGACTGAAGCTGGGGCGCGGCTCAGCGTGGAGTGGAAGGTAAATTATGTGCTTGATAGCTCGCTTAATGCGAAGGGGCTGGATGTGCGAGGGTTGAGGCCTGGGTGGAGTGAAGAGAGAGAGAAGTTTGCGTAGTAGCTACTACCTTCCTTATTTTTTATGGGAAAGTGGTTACTAAAAGCTACCTGAGACGTCTGTCTGGTTATTAGATATCTGGACCTTCATTCGGTGTCATCTATCTAAATATCTTTCTACTGGCCAAAGCTAAATGGAAAATGTAGTATATCGTATCCTCGTGGGGCAGCGAATCATACAATCATGACCTTCATTTAACCAAGTATCTACAGGATATGTAGGTATATACATATCCATAAACGTAGACACCAAAATCAAACCAAAAACCTGAACCCCCTGGCCGAAGCCTGCCCCGGCACACCACCCCCACTAACACCCTCCCCACGATCAAGCTTCTTATTCAACCTAACAAGAATAACCCGCAGCAACGTCGCCGACAGAATCGCCACAAATGCTGTGGCACAGTTCACCGCCATCGCCGTGACAAACCGCGGCTTGTCGCTATCGGGATACATATAGCTCGCATAGATGCTGCTAGCATTACTCACGCAATTAATCCCCGCCAGAGCCGCCGCGCGCTTCGACGCCGGCCGCGGAAGTGTATTCGAGATCCAACCTAGCGCGACGACGTACCCCGTGTAAAGGGCCGGGACCATGAGCATCATGGAGAGGTAGCGGGGCGCGACGGCGGTGGTTGTTGCGGCGATTATGAAGGCTGCGACGGCGATGTAGAGAGGTAGTGTGATGTGAAAGTAGCGCTCGCCTGTGCGGTCCGCGTGCCAGGCGTTTGCGAATGCGGTGATTACGGCGAGGACATAGGGGGGTGCGGTGAGGAGGAGGGTTTCGATGTTTCCGTAGTTGAGGGTTTCGACGACAGTGGGGAAGAAGTTTGTTACGGAGGCGGAGGAGACGATGCAGAGGATTAGGAGCATCTAGGGTAGTTATTAGTGTTAGGATGCCCTTTCGCACACAGTTTGGTAGGTATGGTGGGTGACGTACCAGAATCCAGGTCTTGATGTCGCTGAATGCAAGCATCGCACCGTGGAGGAAGGACTGGTGTTCGCTGTCGACCCAGTCGTCTTCACCAATATCTTCCTCTAGTCTCCAAGTTGCTAGCTGTTTCTCCTCTGTTGATAACCAACCAGTGGTACGTGGAAAGTTGGGTAGGACGAAGATGGCAATAACCGCAATTGCAATAGTGATGGCTCCTTCGATTATGAACAGCCAGCGCCTGGAAGAAAAGTCAGAACACAGCTGTTCTTGTTTTTAACTTTCGACCGATAGCTTACCAAGCACTGAGCCCTAATTTACCATCCATATTCCCAGTAATGCCAGCTGCGATCAACCCGGAGAAAGCCCCGGAAATTAAAGAACCAGAGTAAAGCGCTGCGGTGCGAAATCCGAGCTCCTTTCTGGTGTACCAGGCGCTCAGGAAATAAAGACACCCGGGCTATACACAGACATATCAGTTAGCAAGGATACTTAGAGTCAAGGGCATCGGGTCGCATACGAAATAGGCGGCCTCGACAAAACCGAGGAAGAATCGAATCACAACAAGCCCGGCGTAGTTTTGAGCTGCAGCTGTGCATGTGGAAATGATACCCCAAAGAATCATGGCGCAGGGAAGGTAAATCGCCGGCTTTCCGAACTTGTTCAGCATCAAGTTTGAGGGTACTAAACTGGTTAGAGATGTTAATCTCATCTTTTTTTCGTTCAATGATACTTACTCTGCATCAAGAGGTAACCAACGAATAGAATGCTGACGCAGGTTTGGTACTGCACCCCTACCAACTTGAGGTCTTTCTCAAGACCAGCAAGCCGAGCAGCCGCCTAGGAAGAATGAGCAGGGAGGCCGTCAGTGGACTTGGGCCAACTTACAATGTTGTTCCGGTCTAAGTAGTTCATAATGTACATAATGATGATCATTGGTAGTAATCGGATATCAATTTTGCGGACGAGGGCCCTCTCAGCGCGTGCACGCTCATCTGGAGACAAGGCTGCCACATAGACAGGGGCTTCTTTTCTAGGGTTGGGCCTATTACCGTTGGCAACGTCTTCGGCGACTTCGATATTTTCAGTGCCGTTTTTGTGAGCATCCCCTTCGGGGTCTTGAGTGACCGATACCCGCGGAGACATAGTTCCATAGGACAGATGAGAGGGAAAAGAGGGAGGAGAGGACGATGAAGGAAGAGAAGCAAGGAGAGGAGAATAGGGCGATGAGGAAGAAAGCGGACGAGGGACACCCCCCTTCATATTGACTAGCTCTAGGGCTTCTTTTTAGAAACAGGAATTAGGCCTGATGAGACGGGGAGTCCCCGCCGTGCACAAGATTCTAGCATAAGTTGATTATGGGATGTTACGTCGGCTTGTTGCAACAAATCCCACGAGACTAAGGCGGCAGCAGGGCTCCCTGCTTTGCCAGGAGAAGGGGAGACGGAGGAAGTCCTGCCAATGGTAGAGTCGACGGCGGGGACACCAGTCCGGGGTCAAGGGGATAAGCTGAAAGATGGAGCTTCACGGGGATTGATGTGGGGAGATGGATGAATGGCGCGGGGTTGAAGGAAACAGTGAAGGAGAGTTGAGAGTTGAGTAGATGCGGAAGAGAACCCGTGATCAATTGTTGATTCTACACAGGACACCCGCCTCGCCGTACCAAGGCACCTGTTTCAAACAAGCTCCCCCAAGCAATGCTTCTCTCGATCAGGAAGCCCAATCTCTAACCGAATCATCCCCGAAGATCCTTGCCTGGACCTGTGCAGCTAGCGTCGTCCCTCTATCGGTCCAACTCCGGCAACATTCCAGTCATCCCACCAGAATACTCCGTGCCTCAAATCCCGAGATAGGCGATCCTCGAACCTTTATTTACTTCTACTGGAATGGACTTAAACTGCCATGAGACGCAGAAATGGAGATGATTTTGGTTCGCATGTCATCCAACCAGATACAGTACCAGCAACAGCTATGAGGAACAAAAGAGAGCGTGTGCATGAGAAGCGACAAAACGTGGATACAGGTTCAGATGCCAGACAACAAATATAACAGAAGACAGAAAGCAAGCCATGACTATGCTGAAATTAGACCGGTCAATAACAGATGCTCAAACTGCTTGAGGTATGCCAGTGCATCGATTTCCAGAACACGAACACACGATGAAAAGTGGCTAGTGCCAGTTTGATAGCGACAGAGAAAAAGAAAAACTATGATACTGTGAGATAATGATCAATAAGACGGCCCATTTCCACGCTTGCCAAAGACAAAATTAAAAAGACTGATTGGTTCGAACATAATGTCGAAAAAGGGGAGACAAAAAATCCGTAAACGTAACTGGATCCGGGGACAGAATAGAAAAATAGATCAAAGCCCAAAATCCTGAGCGCAAGGTAGATCAATGTATCTGAAGTGGTCGAGGTCAGAACGTTTCCAACAGTCGATCGCTCCGTTTTCTTTTTTTTCTTTCATTTTCGTTTTCTTTTTCTTTCTGCCCGCTGTTGTATCCGCATAAGGTCGGAATGCATGCGCAAAGGAAACACCCTACCCATTCCAACCCCAAATATATTGGAGTCACCATAACACCAGAACATGTATTAGGGACCAAGGAGGTCAAACATCGTGATCCGCAAACTGGCGGGGGTCGTACCAATGCCAGACGACCCATCTGGTCTGGGCACCAAGTTGAGACCGACGCAACAAAAACGAGTTGCTCTAGAGAGATAAACCAGGTCTACAAGACGCCAAATGTGGATACCACGCGCTTCATAGATCCATCGCCGTTCGAGAATAAATGACACGAGAAATGAAGAGAACGATAACGCCGTTTGCAATGCTGCCTTCAGAGAAAGTGTGTATAGATCTTCGAGGTTTCGTGAACTTCCATCTCCTAAAAAGTCATGTGTTAGATCGCAGACTAAACGGGCATCATTATGGGTATGTTGGGACTAACCATCTTGAAAGTATTCAGCTCTTCTTTGATTTGCTGGGCGAGTAGCGGAGTGAGCCTATTGCACGTTGCGATATCTCCCCTTCGATCATATTCTCCACTAGGCCATGTCTCATGAAACTGAATTCGGGGACTAAAAATGAGGCTCTTAGAAGCCATCGCTTGAGGTCCCAGTGTCGCATTCTTGGCTTCAGATAAGTCATCTTCGCCGGCAATTTTGACAGTGTCGGGACGTCGGATCCCGGTCCTAGGTTGATCTTCAGGAGTGCTGGGCGCACTGGACTGAGGCGAATCAGTGCCGTTGTCCTGCGAGCTGGGTTTAGCCGGCGTGAGGGTTGTGTTGTCAGGGGCAGTTTCTAAGGCACAGTATTAGCGAGTGTCTCTGGAAATAGCGTAGAGTTTAAATGAGGAAAAAAAAACGTACTCTTGAGAATGCCCTTTCTGACAGCTGCAAGAACTTCTGCACGTTCTCTGTCTCCTCCAACAATGCTTTTACGCGATTGCAGTGTTTCCGCCAAGTCCTCCTCCTGGCTGGTAGAGCCAGGGCCAGTAAGTTCTATCTTGGGAAATACTGTCCCACCATGGGGAAGTTCCTGAGGATCCGCGTTTGCCGCAACACTCTTCCTGTCTGCTTCAATATTCACAACCGACACCTGGGGCGCCATCGGCTCTGCTGTAATATCATCCGTGGATGACGTGACTAAAGCGGATTTGGGTCGGAATATGCCAACAAGAGAACGAGTAGATCGTTTCATCCCCTTGCCCATCTTCCGTAGCATGATTGACGCAGAGGATGCGGTGGAGGAGATGGACAAGTTATCTGTGGAACTGTTGAAAAAGCGGCCTTGATGATGCGAGTATATACTTTCACCTAGACCGCTGGCTTCCTGCTGCTCGGCTATAGCAGCTTGTTCCGCACCTAGTTCTTCCTGCAACAAATCCCTGCGGGATTTGTCCACCGGTAGTCCATCCTTGCGCTGGCCAGCCTGTGAGGCTTTCAGAAGTTCGGAGGCACTTCCAAAAGAGAAGGCTCTCCTCAACCGTGATTTCCCCGGTCGTTGTGTGTCTTTTTTCGAGAGCTCTGCCAGGCGTTGTGAAGCAGGACTCGCCAGCTTAGGTGGCTCCCGCTGGGTTGGTTGCGCAGTTTGTGGTGAAGTGGGGTCTGCAGAAACAGGTTGAGATAATGGGGAGGGTTTGGTTGTGCGTTTAGTATCATCCAGCTTTGCAGCAGGCTTGGGCGATGCAGCACCTGCATCGGCCACCTAAAGAAAAGAACGTTATTATCAACAGCAAGGAGAATGGACATGGTCGCTTCTTACAGATGAAGTGGAGGAGCGAGCAGAATGGATGCTCCCTGACACTTCCCTATGTGACTGAGCAGACCTAGGCCGCTCTTGATCAAAATAATCCTGCCCCTTGGACATCGGAATTGGAGAAGCTGCGGGCAACTTAAGCTCAAGGTTTATGAGACCTGTGTTATCCATATTCCCCCAGCTCCTTCTTCGATACCGTTTTGCCAGTTCTGGCAGTTGAGGTTTCTCTGATCGCGAAACATCGTCTGCACTGGGGGCTCTGGTATGCCCAATGGCATGAGACTTGTTTTCCGGGACGAGGTTTCTGACTCCTACGGACCCGGAGGACGTCGCTTGTTGCTGGTTTTCATCCATAATTGGCGGGGACACCCGTGCCGGCACACCCCCTGTTGTGGCAGCCCCCGCTGTTGCATCCGAGCGACGGTTTCCACGACGGTATCGATCAGGTGACGGGCGGGACACAGTGGGAGAGGATATGTTCATGAATTGGGGCGTTGGTGAAGGCAAGTTCGCGGTAGATAGGGGACGGATGGAGGAATCACTATGAAGTTTGCGAGAGGGAATAGCTGTGTCGTCTTTAGAAATGTATGACTGGACAGAAGAGTTGGAAGATGAAGTAGATACAGAACCAGCTGCAGTGTGGTTGACGGGACGTGAATTGATTCCGGCGACAGCACCATTCGCGGGGAGTTGAGGAGCGGACGGGGCAGAAGAAGTTCGATGCTCGGGTCTCAGATTAGGAGACCATGACTGACGGTTTTGCACATTCGGTGAATTGGAGAGGTTGGGGGTGCTGGTAAAGGCGTAGGGAGCCACAACCTGATGGCCCTGCCTATAGCCCCCTGAGTTGCCAGTCGTGTTGTATGTATTCCAAGACATGGCGGGATTTCGAGAGTTTGTTTGCTGTAAAGACTGAGAAGTTGTGAAAGCGCCCGAAGAGGAAGAGGGGCGAGTTTGGAGCACCGGAACCGCGCTGCTTTGCTGAGGAATTGTCTGTACCAAAGCTGCCATGTTGTTCTCCTCCACTGATCGAAGAGTAATCCAAGTCGGACGCGTACTCAACGACGTCTTCCGAAGAGATTCGTCTTCGGAGAAGGAGGAATAAGGCGAACTGAGCCCTTGAGTGTTGCCGTCAAAAGTAGTGTATACTGTTCGAGAGAAGCCCGAGCGAGAGGAAAAGGTTGGGGGAAACAGGGGGGTGAATCTGTACCACGTATCCGTCAGTTAGCATTGTACAACCAGAGCAACCGAGTTCGAAGATTGGCTGAGGCCTTATAAACGAAGGGTTCATTAAGACAAGCGAGTTTCGGGGTAGGGGATGAATTGTTTTGCAACGGCGAAATTCGTACCTGGTCTAACAAATGCCCGTAGCTCAATTATACTGGTACAAACGATTAAGAAAGGCGCTCAGATGAATGCAGAGAAGCGAAAGGTGTTGAGCAGGAGGGTAAAAAAAAAAAAAAAAAAAAAGAGGAAAGAAATGAAAGGCCTGGATCGAACGAGGACCGAAGAGGGAGGAGCCAGCGATGAGGTACGACGTAAGGAACACAAGGGCTAAGGGCGGCAGATGCTGTCTAGAGCGGTCGGGCCATAGGTAAAGAGAAACAAGGCGGGAGAAAAGAAAAGCGAAGAGTCCAGAAAATAAAAGACGACGACCAACAGCGAAGTGGGAGCGATAAGGGACAAGGGGAAGAGGAACGAAAGGAAACGGAGGCCAAATCCGAAGGACGACACGGAGCTTCTGAATCAAGCAGAAGACGCGCCGCTCTGGAGGACTGGACAGGATGGAGGGGAAGGGTGGAAAAGGGGAAGGAAAGCAAAAAGGCGGAGGGAGATGAGGGAGTGGAAGAAGAGAGGAGGATGGAGATAATGGGATTGAGGAGGAG